GTTATGAGCATAAGGTCTGAGTTGATTAAGTCATGTGATGTCTAGCTAAGCTTGGAAAAATATGTGTTTTAGGCCATTCCTGTCCATTCCTGTGGATTCCAGTGGAATGGCTCCATTCCTGCAGGAATCAGTGGGGCATGATGAAGTACTGTGACATGAGCACCATTGTCAATCAGAGCACGAGTTTTTACTGGAAAATCATCAATGAGACTATGAATATGACAGTGCCAAATCAGGTGCTTTGATTTGAGTGGGGCACTCACGTCACACTTAGAGATATCTGCATCCTCTTCAGAATCAGATGTGTAATCACTGATCAAAGGCAGGACAGCAGCGATAGCAGCAGCTTCATCATCTGAGTCAGGAGCAGTGGTGGCTACAGCTTTCAAGGTTGGTTTGGATGAAGAGGTGGTGGATGTACTTTTTCCCTTCGTTTTCGCAGCAAGTGTGTCTGCAAGGACCAAGGTCTTGTAACCTTTCCCTGAAGGAAATCCTGTGGGACAGTCCCACAAGCGGTGGCCAATGTAGAACTTTCTGCACTTTGTACATCTGTCGTTTTCATTGAGCAATGTACGTTCGGTATTGAGGAGAAGCAGCAAAGGGATGAATGTGGAGGAAGTAGAGGACGATGATGTGGTAGAATTGCCTGCTGCATTATAGTGACGTGAAGGGTTTTTAAAGGTGTTGTTGTCTGTAGCAATGCATTTAGCTTGATGCTTGTTGAAAGTTTCCTCAATGAGTTCACAGTGGTGCTTGTTCTCACTGATCCAAGTTTCGTCAAGGTGACGGACTGCGTTGACCCAAGCTTTGAGGGTTTTCTCTTTCTTGGCGTCGCTATGTTTTACACGCTCTTTGAGTCCATCATCGAGATGCGTGTCAAGCTGGTTGCAGAGGGTGATATCGTCAAAGACAGAAGTCATATTTTTGAGTAAACAGTTGAGTTTAATGATGTTCTGCGACCAAGACCAGAAGGAATCCTTATTTGGATCCAAGCAGGAATTCAAGATCTTGTCACGAACATGGTCCTCCCAATCAGGATGAAGGTAGTTGGCACGGAGTTGGGTCATGAATGAAGTGAAAGGGAGAGTGACGATAGTCACACAGTCTGCTGCAACCCAGTTCCTAACATGCAGATCCCTGATCCCTGGTAAGATAAATGCGACCTGTTCGTCCGCAGGTACTGATTTCGCTTCAAAAAAGTCATAACAGGTGTTCTCAAACTCCATCATCACTGACAGAGTGATGTCTCCACTTGTCAAGATGGGAGCCTTTCCACTTGTAGGTTCAACAGTTGCGGCAGTGGACATTTTTGTTGATTTTGAGTGACTATATGCACACTGATCGTCACTGGAAGAGTCGGTAGACAGTGTAAAGGATGCAGGGCATTGAGAATGATGTAAGGGGCGTGCAGGACAACAGTGTGTAGGCGGTTGAAGTTCATGAAGCAGTGGCAAATGGCGAGTTGCTACTGTTGCTCACGTAAAACACAGTGAAGTATTGAGCCGAATAGGTGACATTTCAGATACAGATGATAAGGGTGATGACGGCAGTGTGGACAGTCAAGATGTAGGTGGTACAGGTGGTTGGCCCTCCACTATGGTAAACAGTTACAGTTAAGTAAGGCATGTAAGGCCTTCAAGGATATGCACGGTTGGTACGGTACAAAAAAATGTGAATATTAAGTTGGTTGTAGAAGTGCCGTAGGTTGACAGCACCTTACTCTGTTGATAAACACGTCAGCATATACGAACATGGTGATATTTCAAAAAAAGTGGAAATCTATCCCCTTGAAGAGGGGATAGATAACACTAGAGAAGAAGAAAGAGACAACTCAATACACACACAGAAATATACCATGTGTATGATTCTGGAGATCTATGAATGGAGAATACAATGTGGAGAGATGGTGGTGGTAAGAGAGTGAGTGTGAAGTGAAGCAGGGAGTATGTGATGTATCTGTGAGAAAGTGATACCAAATATGCATAATCAAGGATTACATCCATGACTGTTTTTCATACTTGCAATCTGTTCTGTCTTTTCACATGAGAGGCCACTATCCTATCTATGATGTTAGTCAACCTTCCACTCATATCAGTATCTGCTGTCCTGTGTCTGACCACAGTCAGTGTTCACATGATTTTTTTGGAGGGATAAATTCTCTGTCCTACTGTTAGAGTTCGCTGACTCGTACGTTGGTGTATTCCTATGAATACAAATGTCAGTTGTAGTAGTTGAATCAAAACGTACGTATAGCTGAGTCGACGCGTTGAAGAGTCAAGTGTGATAAGTATTCCCTAGATCACGTGAGTTCTTAGCGTGATTGATGAGTGATTCGGTAACGAGTAACGTCGTGAAACAAGTCGTGAATTGTTGACAAAGAACGCTGTAAATCTAAAATGTTAGTCCTCAGACGTTAACAGTTCGGATCAAGTATGTGATAGCTCAAATGCTTTATCAAGTACTTAAAACAGCTAACTAAGTCTTTTATTCAAGATCTTAAGTTCAGACAAATGTGGGGTAAAAAGTGAGTATCCTTTCTGTAGCTTTACTGACATGTTATATACCTAAAGTACTTAGTTCCAGAACCTAGAAGAACTTAAAAGAATGTTTAAGAATGTTCCGTCCTTGTTCGTCTCTGTTCGACGCGCTTGGACATGTTTGTTTGTTAGGTTCTATTTGTCAATCGCCTATACTGCAAACACGTCGCTAACACATTCAAGAACTGGATTCGAGGTATATTAACGCACTACAACTAGATGTCCTACGCGCTATTTGAGAATCACAAATAGAAAATACAATGTAAATGATCTGAGTGAACCTTAGAGTAATGGAACGATAGGGGACAAATAGAGGTACTATAACATACCCCCCCCTGACCTTGAGTTTTGATTACTCTTCTGCATCCTGAACCGTAAAAAGCGCATTAGCGTAATCGATAGTCGCACCGGCCTGGTTGGCTCCCATAGCGGGGTGAATAATCATGGCTCGGCACATGTTGTTGTTATCGTCGACGTAGCCATTGTTGATAAGCGGTAAACCGGCAAAGGGATTGAAATCGGGGTAGCGGGCGGCGTAAGCGGACTTGGTTGGGTGTAAAATTACGCGGTTGTCAACATGGGCGATTCCCGTACCGGAACCTTCAGCACTCCAGCTGCCCAGTTCGCTCTCTGACCCTTCAGAACTAGTGTCGGAAAAAAAATCGGCTTCCGTCTCGGAAGTGTCGTTGGTGATGAGTAGACGGTTTGGGTACTCGAGACGAGGCCCGTGGCGTGCCTCCCAATTCCATCCCGTCCCGTCTCCCAGTTGAAGCGTCTGTCGGCGCGCGGTCTGGATCCACTGAACTGTGAGTCGTCCGATTGTCTGGAAGTCGCGGTACCAGGCGATGAGATTTTCTCTACTGGTATATCCGCAAAGCGGATTGATGGAATGATATTCCTGGATGGCGAGGATGTCTGGGCGCTGCATGCCGATTCGGTCGAAATAAATTTGAGGGATGTAACCCTTGGACGCGAATGGAATGGTAGCGTCCTGATAGAGGTCGTGTGATGCGGCGCGGGTAATGTACCGCACTAAACGATACAACGCCCAAAATAGAGATGTCGAGGTGGATGGATCAAGGGTATATAAAAGTTGCCCGTCGGGTTGAGCAAGTGCAATGAAGTCGTCCGTAGTCAACTGGTAGTTGAGAGGGTTGAGATCCTCGGATAAGGAGTACATAGAGGCGAGAGACGAGACGTGTAAGTTTGGCGAGTTGGGGTTGTATAGTTCGACGGATTGCATAGTGAGATGATAGTGTTCTACTGGGGGTAGATGATTCGATATTTGAACTGGAATGGTATGATGTAGTTGTTGGTGAAGCAGTTCGTTTAAATAAATTTCTGGAATCACCTTAGTCTGTCCTTGCTGACTTCTTCTTTTGGAGCGCCTTGAACTTCTCCCATTCACGCAATATCTCCGGAGCGTTTTTCAAATTTCGCTTTGTTTCCCAAGTATCACCCTCAGGACCGTAATTGGTATATCGTAAACGGTAGATCGGTATCCTCCGCCCGTTCCTGCCTTTCCGCATGCGTTCTGCCACGATTTTATCGACCTCGTACTCCGGTAACGCGTCGAAATTTAATCTGTTGGCTTGAAGACACGGTCGTTCTCCGAACTCCCTCAGTGACTCCTGATACTTCTCTAGATGTTGAATATTTAAAACAGGGTGTATCCCATAAGACGCCGGCATACGAAGTCGATAAGCAACGGCGCTCACCTTCTGTATGATCTCAAAGGGTCCCTCGTATTTGGCTAACAATTTGTCACCCCTCCCTTTCTCGTCTCTCAGCAAGCCAAGGTTCTTTCGATTTATCACGACCTTGTCTCCTTTCTCAAATTCCCAGTTCAGTCTCCCTTTGTTATATGCTTTCTTTTGAAATAACTGACCTAAAAGAAGCGCGTCCCTGGCCTTTGCTCTTTCAGCAGCGAACCCTTCCACTAGATCTAGCGCCTTGTCGTGTATTGTGTCCTGATCGGCATTCCTTGAACTCGACACTTCTGTTCGATCTATGCTGGACGGTCGACCTAGGATGGTAGTGTTTGTGATAGGGTGGTATCCTCGTAAGAGGTAAGCTGGACTAAACCCTGTAGCAGTGTGTGGTGAGGAGTTATAGGATAGCGTCAAAGCGTCCAGAATCTCACTCCAATCATCCCGATCTGGACCGATATAAGCACGAATTGAAATTTCAAGACCCTGATTCAATACCTCCGTTTGTCCGTCGGCTTGCGGATGGTATGATGTAGTCAGGGACCGTCGCATGCCCATCAATCGGCAGATTTCCTTCCAGAAATCACCTCTCCATCTCGTGTCCCTGTCCGAGATTACTTGGCGCGGTATCCCGAATTTTGCGATAACATGCTTGAAGAAGAGCCTGGCCGTTTCTACTTCGGTGACCTTTGTAGTGGTTGGGATAATGATTGCGTATTTGGTAAGCTTATCCACGATCACTAAAATATTGTCGAAGCCGTTTGATATTGGTAATTCAGGTATAAAATCCATACTCACCACTTCGAACGGCTGTGATGGGATTGGAATGGGCTGGAGCAATCCTGTAGGTCCATGTCGTCTTGGTTTGGTCTTTTGACACACGTCACAAGTGTTCACAAAGACCTTAATTTCCCTAGACATCCTTGGCCAATAGTACGTTCCGCTAATTCTATTGTATGTTTTGAAGTAACCCCCATGTGCTGCTTCCGTTACTGTGTTATGAACTTCTTGCATTACTTCAATTCGAAGATCCTTGGGTACGCACAACCGAGTGTTCCCCGTGGAATCTTCAAAATAGATTAGTCCTTCCGCGGAGTGATGATACTGAGATAAAGGTAAATCCGTTTCATTATCCTTGCTTTCAATTACTGATTTGAAATGTGGATCTTTGATATAAGCGTCCTTCCACCTTCGCATTTCGTGCGCGTCGATTTGTACCGTAGTGGAATATGATTGCGAGGTCGAGTACGGTATTTCGACTTCTTCACCATTTGGCAGTACTAATGGTAAGTTCCAGGATAATATACAGTCGTCTTCAACTTGAAGATCGGCTTCTGCGAATTGCGTAGCAGCTGTCAACAATTTTTCTTCAAACCTTGGCCCCAGCTCCTCGTACATGTTGCGTAATGGGTCTTCCACTGGTTTCAATTCTAATGGGTTAACATTGTCATCTAGGGGACTTTCTTGAGGTGGAATACGTCGTCGAAGTCGAGAGACAGGGTCCACGTTGGAATGGACTCTTCCGGCTCGGTGAATTATTCTCATATTCGGAAATGCTGAAAATACTAATCCCCAAGTTAGAAGTCGTCGATTGACGTTCTGAAACGTCTTACTCCAAGTCAAGGCTGCATGGTCAGTGATAGCGAATATTTTTTCTCCCTCTAAATACGGCTGAAACTTGATTAGTCCCTCTTTCAATGCTAAAGCCTCCCGCTCTGTCGGTGAGTAGTTCCGTTCAGCGGATTGCAAAACCCTCAACCAGTAAGCGACAACTCTTTCAACGTACACCATAGTATTCTCGAAATCCTTGTCCCATCCTCCCTGCGGCGGAATGTCGGAGTCTTCTTTCACCAGATGAGTTGCGAGGTCTGGTATTGGTTCCTTAGCTTTGTATGCGCGTTCCAATAGCTCGTAAGTCTTAGTTCCCTTCAGATCTCTGACTTTAATTGGCTGGACTTGTTGAAGAATAGCAGCTAGAGCGAAGTCGCAAGCATCAGAATATATACGGTACGGTAGTCCGGGCATCGCATGTGCTCGGACTGGAGCCTGTGTTAATACCTGTTTGCAAAGGTCGTATGCATTTTGTTCTTCCTCCCCCCATTTCCACTTATTCTCCTGTTTCAATAGCTGGAATAGCGGGTGAACGATCCATGCATAAAAGGGAATGTAGGCGGAGAAATAGACCATCATTCCCAGAAATACTTGTAAGTCATGGATATTTCTGGGATTATCCAGGCTAACGATTGCATCAACCTTTTCCTTATGTGTAGATAAACCTAACCGTGATACCTTCTGGCCCAGTAGCATTAGAGATTGATAGGCGAAATGACATTTCCCAGGCGACAATGTAATTTTCGCGTTTGATATGGCCTTCAAGACCGATTCCAAATGAATTAGATGATCTTCAAAGGATTTCGAAAAAATTACTATATCATCAATGTATACTAGAGCGAATATCCAGAGAAAAGGGGCCAAAATGCCCTGCATGACTCTCTGAAACATGGCGGGTCCGTTCCTGTATCCGAATGGCATTCTCCTAAACTGAAACAGACCTCTATGGCTTCGGAAGGCTAGTTTGTCTCGATCTTCTGGCTTGATACTTAACTGAGTGAAGCTGGCTAAAGCGTCAAGTGTTGTAAGATATTGGCTGCCTTCCAACGACTGTAATATTTTGTCCTGTCGAGGGAGTGGAAATTCGTCAGCTATAACTTGCTCGTTCAACCTTCTCAGGTCAATTACCATTCGTGGTTTATTGTTGCGATAGGCGATAAACACCGGTGCTCCCCAGGGGCTTTTAGACGGCTCAATGACCCCCAGCTGAAGCCATGAATCCATCTGTTTGTCGATGACTTCTCTGTTAGCGGGAGACGCTTGAAAGGGTGGTACGGAAATCGGTTTAGTATTTGGGAGAAGGGGAATGTCTACTTCCTCGGCATAGTACCCCAATCTTCCTTCAAGTCCAAATGCCCTTTCGTGGCGTTTGAGAACGTCCTGTAATAATTTCGTTTGGAGTTGGGTGAGGTTTGGAGAGATGTCGACTTCCTCTAATACTTGCTTGAAATTCGTAGGTCCTTCTGGCATTTCTGCGGTTTTAGGCCCTCCTTCCAGTGCTGGTTCGGCTAAAGGGTCTTCGGCAGAGTAGTCCCTTCGTGACGCATCATGTAATGATTTAACTTCACTCCTGGACGTTTGTGCGAATGGATTTTTCTTGAGGAGAGTTCCTTCCAAGTTGATGACGCTACGTAGGAGATTAGCGTGCGCGTTTACGGTGTGGCGATCCTTTTCCGAAAACTGACTTTCCTTGTCTAACCACGACTGAGGGTCCTGTCCTTGACTTATAGCCTGTCCCGTAGGAATGGTGATTGGTTTCTTGGAGAAATTAGAGACGTACATGAATGGCGAGTTTTTACATACCAATGTATCGCCGCACCCGTATATGTCTTCCGGTCCACCGCTGGTTGCTAGGCTTTTTTCCACAAACAAAAGTCCAGAATTCTTGCTAAAGTTGGCTTGGACCTTGACCAATCGAGTAGTTTCGGGTGCGATCTGTATGGGGCCCGTTGTGCGAACGTAATTGTCTGCAGTTCGCCGAGTTGACCGCCTTTTCAGTTTCTGAGATTTCCTATGTGATTTGGCCTTGAATACCTTACTTGTTATATCAGGTCGAGCGCGCACCTTAAATGTGTGACCGTCCTCGTCGACGAAAGCTGGAGCGGTAATAGAGTTGTGTACTTGCTTCGTTCGTCCGGACTTTCCGAATAGTAGAGTACTCTGTCCTTCCTCCCTTAATAGAGAAATCGCGTACTGATCAGCGAAGTCATTTCCTAGAATTAGGGGTGCTGACATTCCTTTAACCACATACGCTTCGACCTTGATAAGGACTAATCCTTCCTCAGTTTCGAAGTACAAGTCTAACATGACGTACCCAGTAATCAGCGCATTTCCTGTAACCTGAATAAGATTTATTCTTTGGCCGGTTCGAATTTTCGGTTGTACTGACATTTGCTCCAGGGCCCTCTGAGATATCAGGGTGATGTCGGACCCTGAGTCAACAATGACCGGTATTGATTTTCCCTTAGGGTCGTTGAGGCGGGCCGGAGTTTCCGTAGCGCGTGCTCCCAAAAAGGCGCATCCAAGTGGTCGAGATAGATGTCTTTTTAATTCGATAATTGGTTTGTCTGTACTACGGCTTTCTTGTGTCTGCGTATGCAACGAATTACTATTAATTTCTTTGGAAAGTTTTCGACGTGTCTTACGATTAATAGTTGGCGGCGCCGAGTGTCTTACAAATGAAGAGTTTAGAGAGGGAGCATTGGAATACGGATTCAAAAGGTTCTGCTGCCAGGTTTCAGTGTTGGAGTGCACTCGAGAAGAAGTTGCTACACTTACCCCTCCCAGCTTCGAAACCTTTACAGCTGAGAGGGCTTCTGAAAATCCGCGTCGTCGTTTAAATCTTCTTCGTCACTAAATCGTTCGTAATAGGCATTGTCGTAATCCTCCTGTGCTTGCTCATCTTCCGCTGCAGTCGTAACCATGTTCGCTCTAGCGCGTTTTTCTCCCTTTCTGGCGTATTTGCAATCCCTGTCCCAATGCTTTCCGCTACCGCAATGTCTGCAAGGACGGGCACCTTTTTCGTCCGGCGTTCCGTGCGGAGAAACGTTAGAGTCGTCTTTTGGGAATTGAGGGTTCGAAGTCGCTTTGGTCCATCCTACCAAGTTGACGCGTACATTCCTAAAAGGATTATAAGGACTTCGTTGAGTGTTTTCCTTGGCTTGGCCCTGACTTCCCTGTCGGTTCGCGTTCTGATACGAATTTTCACCTCCTCCCATATTGAGGAGTGAATCTTCATGAAACTTGACTGATAATCGTAACTGTTCGAGATCTTGGAACAGGTGTGGCGTGATAATTGATCTCCAGAAGGAAGGCGCGCCCTCCATGATTTCGTTGATCAATTCCCTATCCGTGTAGTTATAAACAAACTGCAATAGCTCCAGCTTGCGTATGACGTACTCACTGGGTGTTTCTCGTCCGTTCCCAGCATCCTGATAGGATGCGCGATTGGCGCGCGCCTTCTGCTTGTCCAGGAAAGCCCGATTCATATAGTATTCCCCGATTGCGGCTCGTAGTGTATTCCAATCCTGCTCGATCCTATCACGTGTTTCTACGCTCTGACTATAATACCAGATTTCGGCCGAGCCTGTTAGCCGCGTAGGAGCCAACGTACCTAATTGTTTGAATACTATATCGGATCGTTTGGCCAGGCTGTTAATTTTCAAAATCCAGCGTCGTAAATTCTCAGAATTTCCGTCCCAAGTAGGAATAGCGTCTACCTTAAGTTTAGTGTCGAACTGAGGTTCTTGGGGAGGCTTACTTACGACTGAGTTTCCTTCCCCTGGGATGGCACTAAACGGGTTTTTTCGTGGGTTACTTGGTGAGAAAGGTTTCCTGGGTCCTCTGCGCGGACCATTATTCCCTTCCCCATCATCGCTGTCGTCGCCGTCTGAATCTCCTGGGTCCCCGCCTCCTTGGCGCGGTTGTTGCTGAAAACTGTCTCTTGACTGGTGAGAATGTGAATTTTCTGACCTGTTATCTTCCCCCTGAGATTCGCATATGAGCCTTGGTTCGAAATTGGCGGTTCCTCTCGGAACGTTCGATCCTAATGGGTCTTCGTGTCTTTTGACACCAAATAACTCCTTGAGCGCGTGTGAAGAGTTGTTTTGGACTGGGTGACCAAACGCCGAGGAGTTCACGTTGGCCATTGGATGACTAAAGCGAGTTCTCGACTTCTTGAGATGCGTCGAAATACTGTCTGGCTCACCTTCAGTAAACATGGGAAGGTAATCGGAATCGTTCTCTATGAATGTTGGGAGGTAGTCTCGTATGGCCGTTACAACTGGAGGTTTGATTACGGACCTCTTGTTATTCCTACTAGAAGTGACTACCCGTTGCTCCGGTCTACGATTCTTCCTGATTTTCGCAAAATCATGATGTTCCGCTATATAGGCTAAGAAGTTTTCGACTTCTCGACGATAGCATGCCCCTAAGATTTCGAAGTCGTTAGCGCTCCAAAATTCGTCCGCCTTACCCGTGAAACCCCATTTTGGTAAGGAAGGGATACCCTCGCCGCTCGTAATTAAATCTTCCTCTGCTTCGTTTCTGCGCGATTTGAGTTGTTGATTCAAATTTACGAGTATAATTTTCTGTAAAGCGAAACCGACTTGGTTAGCGCCATTGTCAAAGTGATATAAATTGGTCAGTAACTCCCTCAAAACATCCATTTCCTCCTTGAATATTTCCCTTCGCTCCGTGCGCGATACTATCTTTCCGTAAGAGCTGTAGATGGGTCGGCGTAAGGCAGCTTCCCCCAATTGAAGCGCTTGTCGAAGTCGACCTGCTAATGCAAAGATTTTTTCGGATCTGTCCAATCCGGTCTCAGTGACAGACTTCCCGAATGAAGAAACAGGCATGCATGCTGGAAATTCCACCACTACTTCCTTGTACGACCCTCGATCAGGCAATTCCTCGGGAGCAAAGGGTGCTCCTAGATCTGTAAGATCCTCGACTCCAGGGTGTTCAGGTTCAATCCCTTCCGAGATGATCGATGGTTGATCACGTTCCTGTGCTGTCTGAAATGATGGTGCTTCCGGAATGTCTAGTCCTTCGCTTAGTTCAGGTGTACCTGGCATGAACATGTTCTGCGTACTTGTTTCTAGCTTGGCTTCCCTTCCGCGAGGTGTGGTTGTTGTTCCGGATGTGGGTGTGTTGCTTGTTTGCCGTGTCATCCCAGCGGACTGCGAATTGTTGGTCTTTCTACCCGGATTGGCTGTCTTCTTTGTGTTGTCCATAGAGTCGTTTGTAAACTGATTTGAAATTTGATAAGGGTAGTATGATTCCGCGTGATGAAGTAAGGCGTAGGGTATAAGATGTGTTGTGTGGGTGTGATTTGTTCCATCTGTAACAGAAGTCCTTGTTCTTTTCCCAAGATTTTGATCGAGATCGATTGCGGAGATACTCACGAGATCGTAGGGATATTTCCCAGTGTGTCCACCAATGTTAGAGTTCGCTGACTCGTACGTTGGTGTATTCCTATGAATACAAATGTCAGTTGTAGTAGTTGAATCAAAACGTACGTATAGCTGAGTCGACGCGTTGAAGAGTCAAGTGTGATAAGTATTCCCTAGATCACGTGAGTTCTTAGCGTGATTGATGAGTGATTCGGTAACGAGTAACGTCGTGAAACAAGTCGTGAATTGTTGACAAAGAACGCTGTAAATCTAAAATGTTAGTCCTCAGACGTTAACAGTTCGGATCAAGTATGTGATAGCTCAAATGCTTTATCAAGTACTTAAAACAGCTAACTAAGTCTTTTATTCAAGATCTTAAGTTCAGACAAATGTGGGGTAAAAAGTGAGTATCCTTTCTGTAGCTTTACTGACATGTTATATACCTAAAGTACTTAGTTCCAGAACCTAGAAGAACTTAAAAGAATGTTTAAGAATGTTCCGTCCTTGTTCGTCTCTGTTCGACGCGCTTGGACATGTTTGTTTGTTAGGTTCTATTTGTCAATCGCCTATACTGCAAACACGTCGCTAACACATTCAAGAACTGGATTCGAGGTATATTAACGCACTACAACTAGATGTCCTACGCGCTATTTGAGAATCACAAATAGAAAATACAATGTAAATGATCTGAGTGAACCTTAGAGTAATGGAACGATAGGGGACAAATAGAGGTACTATAACACCTACCAGTGCAACTTGTCATGTCTTTCAATACCAAGACCAGTTGTCATTGTCCAAGCCTTCACCACTGGGGTCAGCCTTGAGTAAATTGATTTAAAGGTACCAAAAGTGAATTGTATAGGTGGTTTGGTTCTCTATATTTTTCTCAATGTCTATCCAGGATTCATGTGAAGCACACCCTTAGACTAGATAGGATAGTGACTTCTCATGTCACATGTGAAAAGACAGGACAGATTGCAAGTATGAAAAACAGCCATGGACCTGACATCAAAACCAACAATTCATAATTGGCAAAATGTCAACTCATCCCAATCCTTCAACTATATCCCCAATGACCTATACATACATAGTCAACCACACTACAAACTATATGTCAGAAAAGCAGACACTCTTTTGTAGTCTCAAAAAGCGGACACTATTAACTTTTGTAATGAAAAAAGCGGACATTACAAACCATTGTGGTCTGAAAAAGCAGACACTACTAACTTTTGTAGTCTCAAAAAGCGGACACTACAAACCATTGTAGTCTGAAAAAGCAGACACTACTAACTTTTGTAGTCTCAAAAAGCAGACACTATTACTTTTGTAATGAGAAAAGCAGACACTACTAATTTTTGTAGTCTTTGTCTGACCTTTGTGGTCTATGTCCAACTTTTGTAGTCTTTTGTAGTCTATTAGTAAACTCTGTAGTCTACATCTGACTTTTGGAGTCTTTTTTGTAGTCTATTAGTAAACTTTGTAGTCTATAACTGACTTTTGTAGTATATCAGCATCTGTCAGTGTCAATTACCCTTTTAGGGCATGTACCTTCCTTTTTGGGAGAAATTTCCCACGATACAATAGTTGTAGCCCCTTCTCTTAGCTTTCTAAATCTGTTGAAATCATGTTGTTTAGTGTTCTTTTCATGTAGAAAAATGCCAAAAAAAAAAAAAAACCATACTTTTGAAAACCTTTTACCTCATATCTCCACAATGGAAGCACTTTAGGACATAATTCCAACTGATTCAGGAAGCTACAGTGAAGAGCTACAACTTTTGTTTTTTTACCATTTTTGGAAATTGATCATGTGACCACCCTCCCAATGGCCCATTGGATGGACCCTAATAGCTATTTTATTGCTATAATGGAATATAATGAAAAATCATAATGATAGCCCTGGGGGTATGTATGAAAATCGGAATGAAATATTGAGAGATACTCAATGAAAAATCCCAATGAAAGCTGTGGAATATTCAATGAAAGTGCACATCATTAATTATGAAAGAAGCAATGAATACATCTAACCTAGCCAATGAAATATTTATTGAAATATTCAGTGAAAGTGCACAGCATTAATTATGAAAGAGGCAATGAATACACCTAACATAGTCAATGAAATATTTATTGAAATCACACAGGTTTAATTATGAAAAGTGCAATGAAAGTGCCGAAAATTCCCAATGAAATATTCAATGAAAGTGCATACCATTAAGTATGAAAGAGGCAATGAATGCACCCAACCTAATCAATGAAATATTCATTGAAAGTGCACAGGTTTAATTATGAAAAGTGCAATGAAAGCACCCATGAAATACTCAATGAAAGCATACAGCAGTAATTATGAAAGAGTCAATGAATACACCTAACCTAGCCAATGAAATATTTATTGAAAGCAACATTTGTAATGAAATATTCAATGAAAGCACACAGCATTGATTATGAAAGAGGCAATGAATTCACCTAACCCAGTGACTGAAATTTCTATTGAAAGCACACAGGCTTAATTATGAAAAGCACCCTGTGGCCTTGCCTATATTTTATGAAAAGAACATAGGCTTTATGAGAAAGAAAAGCACAGGACACATCTATGAAAGGCCTTTCATAAAACTTGTGGACTTATACACACAGCTCTGCAGGCAACTGCCTTAGTTTTATGATAAAAGTGGTAGCCACCAGTTGCAGCGCCAGTCCTCCCATCAACAGTCTTTGGGAGTTTTATACACTAACTCAAGGGCACTTCTTAACCAGTCACATTTGTATTTTGTATGACCAGGCAGGACTCCATCTATAGCGCCTAAGGGAACTAGGACGTCTTCATCTGCAGCTGGGTCAAACACACCGAACATGTGGGCAGACAAATGCATAATGGGCTCAGCCCAAACTGGCAGCTCTCTGTAGGGCTCGATGTCCCAGAAGATCGTGTTGAATTTGGACATACTACCACGATCTTCAGGTGTGGTCTCAGTTTTGTCCTCCTCTGTTTGACTGGACACAGAAGGCTGGGTCCTGCCCTCAGCCATTGAATGCTGCATAGCTGCTTGCAGGTTCAGTAAATCATCTACTAAGGCTGGCTTGTTACGAGGAGGTCCTTCTGGGACTGAGGCAGCATTCTTACTCACACCCGTGGTCAAAGGCTTGCATGTTCCTTTGTTCTGAATGCCTTGTCTAGTATTACTTGCACTCCTAGGAGTGGCGGGAGGATTAGAGACAGATTTACCAGCCTTTGGTAATTGACTCACACTTGAAGAAGCAGCAGGATTCGAAGAAGGCCCTTCTATAGTCGAGTGATCCAGAGTGTGGGGACCTGTGAGGACAGGCCCAGAGGAAGACATTGGATTGTGGAGTGTAGGAGATATCACTTCAGGGTCTGGTTCTTCCGCCATGGACACACCCTTTCCTTTCTTCCTAGTGGTCAGAGGGGTGATGAGGTCTCAGCTGGCCAAGTTGTTGGTGTTACGGGTTTTGTTTTTAGAGAGGTCCTCTCCAGCAGAGGGGATTGATGAACTCATAAGACAGAGTGAGGAGTCAGTTTGCTGGCAGCCTCCCAGCTTAAGAGGAGGTGGTTGATGGTCTGGGCATAGACAGGGTATGAGTTGCCCTGGAGTTACCATCAATAGGGTCAGAGAGGTCAGGGAATGCTTGTCAGCAGGGTCCCAAGCAGGGAGGGCACTCACGCAGTGGCAGCAGGCATAGCTTGAGTCAGTTGGGAGAGACAATGATTTCCTGGTCAATCTGTGGCTTCCCAGAGCAGCGAGAGATCACACTGGAGATGGAATTGGCGAGGAAGTTACAAGGGTGATGGACGACAAAGCCTGATCATCTGAGTCTTCAAGGGAATGATTCTCAAAAGCAGTGAATGAACACGCTATCGAGAATGGAGAAGTCTTGAACAAAACTTCTTCGTCTATGATTGGGTCGAGTGACGAAGTTGGGTCCACAGGATCCTCATGTAGAGGGTTCTTGCTAGCTGCGAATGAACACACTGACAAGACCCATGGGGCTTTTGCCAGGGCCTCTTTGTCCTTCAAAGGGTCTAGGGTGGTTGTGGTTGCAGGTAGGCTAGGTACAATAGTCAGTTGACAGATTGTGTCAGAGGGACTTACCTTTTGGGGGTTCTCCGCACCTATGCACTTACAGACTTCATCTTGGTGAAGTCCACGGTGCCCCCACCATTGTGAAACTGAGTGATGATTCATGTCTTCTCAATGAGATCGTGCACATGAGATGGCAGCGGATAATACATGAGGTACTCATGAGAGAGTCGAATGCGTGAAGTCAGAATGTGACTTCACGCAGAGGGAATCCAGTAACCCAGGAAGGGGGACGTTGTCACCCGACATCAGGCTCTGGTATCCCAGAGGGGAGGCTATAGGTTGCATAACTGTAAGTCATATCTGCAACCCAATCCACATGTCAAGTATATAGTGGTAATTGAGTGAGTTACAAGAGGGTGTAGCACAACTATATACAACAAGAAGCAAACAATAGTAAATGATGATCCTAAGTCATGTACAACTACTAGGACACACGTCCGCCGTTACATCAATAACCACCGCAGCGCGCCTCCGGGCGCAAAGCCCGCTACTGCGATTAGGTACTTAAATTCCATTGACCAATCCAAATAATACTTGCCTTCGCGGGGGTTACAGAAAAAGGTCATTTATGTGACCGTCTGATGGCTACAAGGAGCGCTAGCATTTCACATTGGAGAAGGAAATGGATTTTTTTGTAAAGTGACCATCTACTTGTTTGGTATAGGCTGCTTGTCGCCGACCGCTCAAAACTGTTGGTTTTGTTTTATGTTACATAAATTGAATAACACTGCTCATCGCTCGGCAGGCAAGGAAAAGAAGAAAAGGGAAAGAGACCGACAACTTGAATCAAGCCTACCCAATGAGAAGCCGCAGAGGAACAGGCTTCCCCTCAGCTTGCCCTCAGCCCGTTGCTGTTTCTCAATGCTCTAACATCACGCCACTAATCATTGATGTAACACTTCCCCTTCTCCTGAGTACGATCGTAAGTGTGTCACTGCACAGAGGTTGGCAGTCCGACAAACTCACTCAATATCACAAAAAACCCACTAGATTAGAATGCGAGGGGTTGGTTCAGAATGTTCAACCTTTTGATTCACTCACTTTTTTCCACTTTTGAACCCATTCAGCAAGTGATTCAAAATTCCCCCAGGTGAGCGTACTTCCGCTTCTTGGAGGGACAGCCACGTTCTAAATGAACGACCGATTGATGGGACCCTCGTCAAGTGCCAACATCGGCGGCTTTACACCTTTACACGAAAGCTTGAGGGTGCTGGGGCGTCTGACTTTTCTGCTTAATCTTGATTTCGTGGCCTCCTAGTCATTGTGGCTTTGCTGTGTGCCTTGGATTTGCAAGAAAAACGAGCCCTAACGGTTCGAACAAGCGACAGACACATAGGATCGACCAGACGAAAGCTCAACAGAAACGGGAGAGCCGTCGAGCTGGAAACAAAAGGACATGGTGGAGGAACACGGGTTGAACCAGGGGGGGCCAAACATGGCTAAACTTACCCACGCAAGAGCTTTGGTGGCTCGTAGGATAAGACCCGCTAACTACGTAGCGGGCATCCTTCTTTCTAACTTGAAATAAAATTTGAACCAGAAGGTCCACACCTAGGTGTCTCAGATGTATAATTGTTGACACATTACACATGAATTAGCGACACACTACACATACATTAGCGACGCACTACACTCGAATATGTCGTTCATTTCAAGGGGGTGTCGGGATAAAAAAAAAAGACCTAGGGTCGATTTTTTTGGTAGTGAGCGCTGGGCTGAACCAACCACCCAACGTAATCAGGCACATGTCTACTTTAGGAAATATGACGTCACCGCCGTGCTCCTGGTCCTCCTTTCGACGTTGAAAATGCATTGCAGACCCAATGCATGGGCACCTGTGCATGGCAAACACAAATGAGATGATATTAGAATGGTTTGACGTGAAGATGTAAGGAAGTTTCATGCTGAAACCCTAACAGAAAGTAGGTTTACACTTATCCACACAGTTTCACATCCCACTGGATCACATTGTTGGCGGTTAGCTCTGCTCGGGATCCACAAAAACAATCCTCTAATCCTCCAATGTCAACAACCTTACGTTTTCATCTTTCACACTGACCTCATGTTTCCTTGTTGACAATTTCCGAGCTTGAAATAGGTGGCCTATGAACCTCATTGGTGTCAGAATGAGTCACGGCATGAGTGTCCTGTTCTGTGGAATCTCACGGTGAGCTTGCGTGCCCCGGAATATGCTAACAAATCATAATCAAAGGTCTTTGAAGGTTGCCACACTCAGTGTTGTCTTGACCTGTTTGACCCCGTCAAAAAAAAGGTCAAGTCAAAGGGTCAGTCAAGAATTGACCAGTCAGTCAAGAAAGGTCAAGGGGGTCAATGTCACGCAAAAGTCACGTTCAACGGCATGATGACACATTGTAATTATTGATTGGGCTAAAACAATGGAGCTTGGCTGCAACTTGGCTGGAGGTGTAAGGACGGTGTAACCACGATATTCTACTTTAAATGGGTACCAAATATGCTAGCTCAAAAGGTGGGAGGGCATGAGTAATTTGTAAAGTACCATGCCCTCCAAATGCCCTCAAAGTCGGAAGAAACACACACATCCTAACGCAGGGTACAAATATCGCGTCGGTGTGTGTCAGCGCGTACATCCGAGCTAAGCAAGCGGTGGATCGTGAAGCTTGCGCAAGGGGAGAGTGCCGGTCTGGCCAATCCACCATTGATCCACCAGGGCGCACTCGCAAAATAGCTCTCGCCGTTGTTTTGCCGACCTCTTGTTATACCCCGAAGCTTTGACTATGAACTCGGAAGAAGTATCGTTATTCTACCGAATTAGAGGTAGCTACATACTTTATAATAATAAAATCTCTTGTTTCTCGTATGTACTTCAAGCCCGAATGCTGTGTTTGACCTCTCGGCCCAAGCTTTCCGTTATCCCACGAAAACTCTTGACCCAGGTCAGTCAAGGATCTTGACTTGACCCCCCTTTTTTGACTGACCCCTTGACTGACCCGGTCAGACCCGGGTCAATGACAACACTGGCCACACTAACGAAAATTATCAATGAATGTTATTATTGCCTTATGTAAGCAGTCCCATTGGTGTTTTTGGCGCATCCTGAGGCATTTAGCACACCTTGAGGCTTTCTAGTATCTATTATGTATACTTTATCCATCAGGAAGGCCGTCTATAATGTTTTTGGGCCAAAATTTTTGAGCTTCCAATTTTTTTTTAATGGCCTGACAGCCCAACCAACCAACCGGCCCCCGGTCCGGGATTATGATCCCGACACCCCCTTGGTTCATTTGCACGATGTGTCGCTTACTCATGCAATGTGTCGCTTACTCATACAATGTGTCGCTGTCCCAATTTGGGGAGTGTGACGATGTTGGTATGCCCTGCATTTCCTCCACTGCAACAACATACGAGCATCAGTATTAATCAAAACGGATTCGGTAAAAGACCTACCAGCTATCTGCTTAATCGGGCCCTTAAACCACTTCCTAACGCTGAGAAGCCAAAACCCGACACTGTAGATGATGACGATCCCCACCGCCACAATGGCATAGTTAAAGGTTTGTAAATTCACGGGCTGTGCAGGACAAATTCAGAGTTGAGTTGCACAGTGGGAAGAAAAAGGAACCCTCACATTCAAAGAAGGCAGAATAAAAGCGATGGAGATGAAGGCAATCCAGATGACGGCAGTCGCAGCGACTGGATAGGAGAACTTTCCGAGATGAAAGGGACCTCGAACGAATTGATCTCTGTATATGACGCGCAGTGCAATAGGAATTCCTGTCGCTTAGCATTAAGGTACAATTGGCTGTGTGTACAATGCAGGATGTACCATAAGAGATGTACAACCCAATGGTGGCGATTGAGGTGGCTGCCGCGAATGCCACAGAGCTTCCTAGGCTAGGTAAACCGAGGATGAAACTAAGGGTGCATGCAAGCCATACTGGTCGGCAGGTAAGTTGTCATCCAATAGACAAGGTTGAAAAACGGAACCTGTTCTAACAGGTGACTTCCACCTTTGGTTAACCTTGCTGAAGAACCTGTGTCCTGGGATACCACCATCGCGGGCAAAGGCGTACATCATGCGCGAATTGGATGTGATCGAAAATGTCCTGGGTTCATCGTGAAATCTGCGTAGAGCAGCAGGTCAAGAGAAAGACGAACCCGCAGAAATACATGGCCCCAATGACGATTACCTGTATAGAGTATATGCCTCAGATGTCAGATGTCTTCTGAGAAGCCAAGAATCCACACCATCAGAACTTTAGCTCCCGTCTCCCCGACCGTATCTAAGAAGATTTGGGTTACCGGCTGCCCAGTGCGCGAAGCCAACGTCGTGCCCAAGTCCTGGATCGAAAAAAGTAGACCAAGGATCAGGAACCAGCCAAGAACAGCGGAGACTCCAAGGGACATGATGATCCCAATACTCCCCGACATGGCTGCGTTGCGCGTTTCTTCTGTCATCTACAAGCACGAATTTGGTGAGTGGTTTGTTAGCGAAGAAGGGATTCTCACATGAGCACTTGCATCGTAACCTACAATTGTGATAGATTAGTGTTGATCCATGGGATATACGACAATTCCCACCAGTGAGAGTGTACTACCGAACGAAAATAAGAAGTGGTTTTACAGAGCATCAACCGAGACTTACTTGAGCCATCAATACCTAAGTAGTAGAATCAGTTCCTGTACTCCTGAAAACTCATAGAGAAAAAGGAAATACCCCAATGATGACTACGTATGCGTGGCTTGCCCTGTCTCCCCATCCTTGTCCAGGTGGTCCCGTGCCGTCAATAAATGTCTGAAAGACGAATTTTGCCGATTGGTGTTTGGGAGCTTTCGCCAAAATAGCAATAACCAATGAGGTGGTGCCAAGGGCGTGCCACCAGACTGATACATTATTGAGGGAGTGCAGCTTATGAACTCCGAAAGTGTTCGTCAGGCCTTGCGAGAACAAGACAGCAGCGTAGATTCCTAGGCAAAAGTTAGTTTGAGCAGATGTCATGAGTGTTTAATGTACCAATTGTTGTCCACGGCGTAGGAACGAAGCTTGTGTTTAGCATAGATAATACGGTTGAGATGAAAGTCGCACATGCGAAGCTTTGTGGCATTAGCAACGCAGTTGGCGTATACTTGAATGACAGCCTTACCTGATTCCAGTCGTAATCGCAACTTGTCCAAGTAGATTGAACCATCCTAAGTTGAGAGGAATGTTACGAAGCGATGAAGGGAATAGGACTACGAACCTGTAATCCAAGACGCAAGGGGGGCGTTTCCCTTCCGTGATAGCATTGCCGACCAGAAGTACGGACCTCCCGAAGTTGGGTAAGCGCTGCGTAAATTTCTTTAGACGGGTTTGCTTCTCTGTTGTTCTTCAATGTCCTACCTGCATATCTCTGCAGGTCGTGAGGGCACAGCCACAAGCGAGGCAAAGCGTACTCACCAGCCATGGAGAGCCCCACAGACATCGTGAAGAAACCTAAAAATTATGAGCTTTCTATGCAAGGCTCAGCCACATTGTCCTACAAACAACAACCCATCCCCACACCATGACTACCGGCCCTCCTATATTCTATGCACGATTGAGTAGAAGAACTGAAAACCACAGAATTTACTCACCAGGCCATAGAGAAATAAAGATGGGATGCCAGTAATGACAGAAATGACCGAGAACGAAACCTGCCAAATCAGTTACCCTGTAGCAAGAACACCGCAGATGCATACCCCGAAGTTCTAACAATACTCATCAGGGTTGCGTCGGCCAGCTACTGTGTCAAAACGTACCTGCATAAGCCCTAACTCCCGGCTATAACAGAGGGCTGCTCAGATTTTGGGTACATCGCAGAATTATGAACACACTTACTTTAACTCCTGCTTATAACCCATCCGCGCGAGCTCGGCTTCGTCCTTCTGTAGAGAGTGAGTATGTGTAGCATTGCTGACAGGCCTAAGCGACCTGGCTAGACCTACAGGTCATCAATTGTATTAGCGGTATTAAATAATGGGTTGTAAAACTTCGACGTACCTGGAGCGGGCAGATGGCCATGAAGAACAACATCGCGGCCGGCGGTAATGAGTGTGCTTCCAGATATGGTGGTTCCGATAGCATTTTGCAGCAGTGCGGCTCGAGACGAAGCTTCCATGAGTGAAACGATGTGTTGTAATATGAAGACTAAGCAAGTTCGAAGGGATAAAGATGTCGATAGGTCTGGTCGTGGTGGTTGATGCAGAAGCTGTGGGAATCCTAATATCGGGCGACGAAACTCCTCATAGTAAGGTAGGCGGGAACTATATGGCAGGATTTGAATTCGTGATTGATCCAATCCCTTCTCAGGACTATCTTGGGACCGCTACCATCAGGTAATCTCCACTCTCCAGGACCTGACGACGCTTGAAATATAGCGCAGATGTGACACAAAAATGCAAGTAGAGTAGATCACAAGAAATAACATGGAAAGGATTGTAAAAAGAGTGGAATTAGAGGATGACAGTCTTTGAAACCGAGGGTCAGCGGCGACTCAGCGCCGTCAGTCAAACACGTACACACAAAACCTCGGCGCTACGACAGCGATTGCAGCGTTGGCGTAGGTTTCGCACGTAGATACAAGGTAGAGATATACTTATGGCTGATTATTTTCCTTCAACTTCGACATTCTTGGATCTATAGAATTTTTCAGAGCATTCTCAAAAAATAAAAATCATATTTGTGACTCCTGGTCAACTGCCAGTGAATGGATATCTGGGTATTATGTAGACTACATAATACCAACGCATTCCAATGCCAACTTGCGCTAGTGAGCTAACTTGAACTCCTGCGGCTAGCCCGCGAGATTGCACCTCACCGCTGCGGCGAGCGTTCTAGGGCGAAATTCAACCTTCTATTTCCCCAGTGCCACTATACCTCTCTGACTCGCATCTAACACTTTAATAGCAACGATGTCGACCCTCCAGCGATGAAAACTGAAACGAGACCAAACGATGGGCAGGCGGAACAGAGCACTCACACAAAGTCTCTGTCTCCTTGAATCGATATCCGTCCCTCACCCCATTAGCAGCCGATCCCCCTCACACCTGCTCCGTCCACTCTCCCAATTTACGGATTTCTCTTACGCGAAACATGCGAGCAGAAAGCGATGCACCGTCCAGAACTACCCTCCACTGCCTACACTCATTCAATCCTCATCTCCAGTTCTTCCTCCCTCCAGCATGGCTCAGAAGCTCCTACTTCGCTAGCCCAACCTCGGCCCTATCTCGCCTCTCGTACACCCCGGAATCCTCACCACAGCGCTCTAGCATTTCGGCGGTCTGCGTTTCTTAGGCGAACCACCAGTTTCCTTTCTTAGCCATCTTTTCCTGGGAATGTAACGTCGACGAGCTCCGGAGTCGGCTGGCTTTCGGTTGGAAATGACGCGAATGAGAATGAAGACTCACCATCGTGGAGCCGATGATATTACTCCCTCATTTCGAACTTGGTGGATTCGCAGTGCGAACGGACTGTCGAAGCTCTAATCCAAGCGCTGCGAAACGATGTTCGACTTCTCACCCTCCTCAAGCCCGATGTCAATACTGACGTTGAATTGGAGTTCCTTGACGATTGTCACAAGTCGTGAAGAACAACGAGGAGGCGCGGCGAGGGTTGAGTTTTCTTTTGTTGGTGGGACAGAAGACGTAAGAAGACGATCGATGGTCCCGCCACTCATGGATGTCGACCCCTCAAACTCAGCAGATCGTACCCGTAAAGTCTCTCCTACCACAATCCACGTCAACCCTTCTCTCCTTCTCCTCCCACTCACGCTGCCTTATCTGCGATGCCTCAGGAGCACAGTCTCACAGTCGTTCTTGGACTTTGATCACTGCACTGCTGACTCGTTCCATCGTCCCCCGATACCTCTGTCTTAGTCATATCAGCATAACAGCGCCTCGTAAGTCATTTTTCTTACAGATGCTGGGATGCTTGCTCACAAGAAAGTCGACCAGTAGCTCTACATACTCCCTGATCGAAAATTCGACATCCGAATGCTCTTTCGATACCCACAAACCAATGTTTCACAACACCCTCATGTAAAACATCTGCAGGCGTCATTCCTCTCATGTCCCATAGGCTAGCCCTCACGGTATGGATAAACCTTTCACGGACCATGGCCGCGCAGCTTCAAGGTATCGTAGTCGACGCAGATGTCATGAAACGGCTGGCTGGAGTTGAAGAAACCCAACAGGAGATTGCCTGGGCACACTGAGTGGTCAGGGATGCTATGGGCCTCCAGCCACAGTTTACCGCCGTTCAGCCCCAGTTCACGTCGATCCGACCACAATTCACATCGCTCAATTCCTATCAGCAGCAGGCAGGAACAGGAGGCTGCACTATTTATTCGTCTCATCACAATCACAGGCAGAGTTCATGTGTCAACAGCAATTGTTCTTCCTCCAGCAACAACAAGCCCGACAAGAGCAACAGCAGCAAGAGGGGATGATGTGTCAATACCAGCTCTTCCATATGCAGCAGCAGCAGAATCAGAGCTTGTTCGCCCCTTCTCAGCCGGTGACAGCTCGACCCACCGGCTTTGGGTACGTTTCCCTACCTCACCTCTCCTCTCTTACCAGACCTCATGCGGTCTACCCCAGGTCAAATGACCCATTCGCGCCTTCCACGGCTCCATCCGGATTCAATCCCTCCCCCAGACCTACCCAGCAAGAAGGCCCAACCTCCCAGAAACGTACGAGACCCACTCTCCCTCACGCGTGTCCTCCTTGTCTTCCTCCCCTCCGCCCACGCAAAATCAAATCCAGAACCGGCCGATCTAGGTTGAGACGAAGAAAGGGCTGGGCGAGAACGAGGCACATTTATTTGGCTGCGTTATTCGCCAATCGGGATGATGGACATGATACGTTTGGGAATATGGGTGCTTTGAGGTGTGGGATTCTTGTCTTGCCGTGTAGGGTAAGACTGATGTTGATTTGTTGGCTTAGGTACGGATACACTGATCCTGGGAGGCAGATTGTGGCGCAGAGGACGACATAACCCTTTCGCCCAGCAGAAGTAGCAACAGGCTGTTAATCCTCTAGGCCGGTGGTTGTCGGAAACTGTGGTCTTTTGGTGGTTCGTCGTTGGTTGGTTGGTTGGTTGGCACATTGTCCGGTTTTTTTCTTTTACGCTTCTTACGCAATGTTAGTACAGTTTCTATCTCCATCTCTGTCTCTGTCTCCACCCTGTGTTTTTACTTTCCTTCTCCCCCGCTCTTCCCTCTCTAATTCTAGAGTCCGCACGATTGTCACTATATGCAAAGATGCCTGACAACCTCACGTTCCTTTTCATCAATCCAAACTCTTTTCCTCTCACCCTCTTTATTCCGTTCATACCAACTCGCGACTGAAGGCGGAAACAAACACAATGAAATAGATATTGTACTATTATATATGCACCCACTGGCATTTTGATTGTTATTCTGGCTGACTGGAAAACCCCCTCGCCTTCACTCGCCTTGGCCGTCTGGATTGGAGCTTCGAATTTCACTGGACTTACTACTATATATGGTCAGGATATGCATGGTATCAAGATATGCGGATTTCACTTTTCGTGTCCTTCCCTTAGTCCTGCTCTTTCAAGAAAATTCACTCATGTTGAAATAGTGTATTTAATACTGCTTGCAAATTTTTGACGGGATTCATGAAGTGTACGAAGTGTGAGAAGCCAAAGGGTGAGATTTCAGATAGGTGTATGACGCTTTGGCTGCCAGGAACACATTCTGTGTGAGGCTTACTCCCAATTTTTTTCCGTAGACACTATCTAATACCAATATTAGGCACATCCTCAAAATTTCAGGAAGGCAGGACAAGTGGAAGTCGTCAAAATCGATTTTGAGAAAGAAATACGTGACAATTGCCCTGCTTGGGAGACTGTCACATTGTGCAAAATCCCTCAGTGACATTACTGTGACATGCCTTTGCATATCTTGTTCACTTACCTCCTCACGACGGCAACACTCCGAGGCTACAACACATCTTCCAAAAATTCTCAAAATTTTGGGCAGCATGTTAAATTGAATTGGCTAGCGTATTGTAAAATTTTAAGGCTGAACAATATGATCTTGAAGCTACATCAACGAAAAAGTCAAATATCCGCATATCCTGACCAGATATAGTACTGCCACATAACAGCCTAAGTCTCGTTTCGTATACGCACCTGATACATGGGAATCAAGGGTGCACCTTGCTCAGATTCCGACTCTTTTGGAACAGGGACTTCTATTGTGTCCATTGGGAACACCCTCACTATTTACAACGAATGCAAACCTCCTTAGATCCAGCGATTGTTGGATTTGGAAGAACAAGCAGCTGCAGGGCGCATTACCTATAGTCATGCAGGGACCACACGCCATCTTTGCAAAGGGTCGTTCACATTGAGATCCTTCACTTCCTGGAAAGATGATGAGTAAGGGGAGTGTTTGAATGTCTTTGTCGCTCACTAGCCGAAAGTCCCACCCATTGAGACGAACTTGTGTTTCATAGAATGCCTGGCGAGAAGTTTTATCTGGAAAAATGCTACATCTGCTGTAAACTGCAGAACAATTATGTAAGTGGTGGAACTTACTAGAACCATTCTTCGCTCTCGGTTGGGACGAAGTAATAGCTATATTCTGTGGGATGAGCACAAAAATTCGGCCCTGCCCAGTTTCCTAAATGCTTGCAGCGCAATGCAATGCCACCATCATCTTGGATGTTGAGGGAAAACTATGCAACAAACTGAGATCAGATAATTAATCAAATAGCGAGAAGTAACACGCACAGAGAGTGTAGGACTATCCCTATGCAGCTGATGGCTGGGCAGGTCATACAAATAGAGGTCACGGCCTGGGTCAATCCCCGAATATAATGACAAGGCTTTCCCCGTCGAATTCAAGATCTTGTAATGCGACCCCTCACTGAACGTAGGAAGAGAAAGTTCATTTGGGAACCTGAACATAACATGATCGTCGGGTGTGGACCCAGGCCATTTCCCATCCTCTGTCAAGATATTCGCACCCTCGTCGTTGTGCACGCGGTAATGGACTAAGAAAGGGGGATGAGGTGGAAGTCAGATGTGTAAAAAAACATGGATGCCGCACCGAATTCCGAACCAGAAGAGCTAGCGACTTTAGCACGCACAGAGGGATGCATTGCATTAAGGACGGAATTTTGCAGATTCTCTGGAGTAAATTTGTTCTCAAAGTTTACTGTATCCATGATGTTCTAGGGTGGTATGATCTAGAGGATGGTCGCAAAAGCAAATCAAGTGACAAACAAAGGAGGGATCATCCGACAATTTCTTAAGTGCTGTCTTCGCAAGTTGATCATTACCGATCTGAGTAAATTGAATTGCGATGGCGTTGGGATGGTGTAGTCCTTCGTTCAGTTTCCGGGTTGCTTCTTGAATAACTGTAGAAGAATTGTCCGAAGGGGGGCTATTTGTGAGAACGACGATATCGATCGGCTTGATCTGTCCGTAGGCAGCTGCATCAAGTTTCGCTTGTTCAAGCTGGTCGATAACTTTGTTCAAAACAAATTCAAGCCGAGCGCCGATTGGGGAAAGTCCTATAATGTCAAACTTAGAGAGCGAGATAATGGATAAACGAAAGCGTTATACCTTGCGGCTTGATTTTGCCAAATATCTCAACAACGTCTTCCGGTGCCTGATATATGGCAACTGTCAGCATCCTCAATCAATGTGAATCGAATATCTTACTGTGATTGAGTTTTGGTATAACGGAGAGTTGACGAAATACAGGTCGATTCCTTCAGAGTCATATTGCATAACTTCAGCTGTTACTTGGACGACTGCTTGTTTAGCCTTTCCCCATGCGCCATCAGCGACCATCTGCGGACAGTCGACATCAACAAGAGAATAAAAGACAAAAGAAAGGCACACACCGAGTCAGAGTCGTCTATCACAAAAACAGGTTGGTATTTGCTTGAAGGAGGTGTCAGCGCTAGCTACAAGAGAAAAAGCCACTTTACTTTAGCCATTGGTCCATATGTGCTGGACGCGGGGAATCCAGATCTTGATTATACCCCTTATTCACGGTATCCGGTTCTGGCTTTCCGGGATCATTTAAGTCAACGGCTACCTTGACACTTGCATGAATCGTGATGATCGCATTCTGAGTTCTTCCGGAGCTAGGCCCTTCCGAGGATTCATCGAAAATCTAAAAAATGTGTCTAGTCAATTTCAAGAAATGATAAAGGGCGTCGTTTACCGTAAAAGTCTGAAAGTCAGGGAAACTTTTCATGGCATTTGGCCGAGAAGTCTGAGCATTGTCATAAATACAATGAGGGGTGTAATCATAGCAGATGCGTACCGTGACGATGCGTAGATTTGCGCTTGAATGTTTGGACCCAGGCAATTTGCGAGGGTCCTTCCTCGCCCGATTACTGGAGCTGAAAGCCTCGATGACAAGGACATAAACATCCTTCGCGGAAGGCAGAGCCAAGGCATCTGAATCGCTTCCGGCCACCGTCATTGCCTCATCAATAGTATCCCAACCACTAATAAGATCTTCTTTCTCCAGCGCTCCATTGACAAGGCGGCGAACCCTGACAAGATTGATGCAATTTCCGCAGGAGACCTTTCGACAGCTAAATTTTAAAAAATTGGACAACATAAAGTTCTCACTGAGGTAATGGTTGTTAACCAGCCAGCCGGTATGGTCACGACGAAGGCGTTTTTGTTCGCTGAATCTAGTTGAGTTGGACGCTTTACAGGACCGGCCACAAACTCTTTTATGGGATCAGGCTTGTAGTTGAAGACGATTCGTCAGATTTCATGTCATAGTAATCAAAGCAAATAGGCATACAGCTTGGGGGTCACCGTCCACGTTTTCTAACTTTTTGAACTTCCAAAAGCTTGCCCTGCTGTCGTGGTCAGCAGACAATTGCAGCTGCGAAGTTGCAGTGATTACTTTTTATCCTCAGGCATACACGTGTACTTACAGACGCCCCCTCATCGCCATTGGGAAGGCTCCAAAGCAAATCGGGCTGAGTTGGAGAGTAGATTCTGGAAGAAGAAGATCAAATTGTGAAAGACGAGAATACGAAAGTTCAATACGTGTAGAATTGGGCTTCTGCGGAATGACGCTTGATGACCCACTGATGAGGCTTAGGCGGGTTCTTTATCGAGGCAACGTCTTCTTCTTCCTCCGCATCTGGTCCAATGTCCGCGAACACGTCTGGTGGGCCTTGAATCGACCATTTCTTATTCGCAAGCAGTGAGATGGTACACTGTAGTTGGAGAATTGGTCAGGATAAGCCGCGTCGTATCAAACGAACACTTACCCCATAGTCTACTTCGGATGCGGAGAAACCCTTGTTGAAAGAGACGGCACGGTTGTACTCGACATTGATGATGGCGTAAGTACCCGAAGGAAGGAATCTAGCATCAGCAAAAGCCATGTAGAATGGTTGCTGTCGAGATTAATGGATGCAGCGTCTGCCTTGTGTAAGTAATGTAAAGGCGCCCAAGATGCAAATTGCTATCATATCAATGGACATCGTGTGGAAAATGACTCACTGGTCCACAACACATTCACCGAAACACTGAGAAGCCAAGTTGAAACTTGACACGCTTGCCAATACTACAAGTACATTTACACGATTTTGACCACGAATGCAGATCGCTTTCACTAGTTCTTCTGTCGCAAGCGCTTCGTCACAAGCGCTTTCGCCTTAAATTGACTCGTCAGCAATTATTGGAGAGAAGGAGCGGTGTGCGTTACCTGGTAGTGGTGAGTATTTGTTTGTTGTTGAAGCCCACATCAAATACCACAAAAACCATTCACTGCCACCGTTCACGTCGAGCTCAATGTCGACGGCAGCAGCCAGGGAAGCTGTAAAGCGCTTTCGCCTCGGACAATTCAAGTTTAGAAATCTCCATCATCACCCCAAAATCTTCGGTCCTCCTCTCGAACCCACCAATCCAATTTCCGCCCTCGACTTCCCAAACCCCTTCATCCCGTGGCGCACGAAATCCGGCAAATGGACCGCACCAACGTATTCTCTGAGACGCCAGGCTGAACTGGTTAAAAAAGCCAAGCTTTCCGGGTTTCTTCATCTCCTTCCTCCAGGCCCCAAGACTCCTAAATACATCCCGCAGCCGGTCAAGGTCCTCGACGAGACGCCCGAACATACGCCCAACGGCGCAGAGACGTCAGGAAGTGTGTCTGAGGAACCGGTGGTGAAGATGACGATGAAACAACTGGACGACGCGGCGGATGACAAACTGGCAATGCAAGCACCATATGAGTGGCTCGTTGGTCCAGGTAGGGAAGGGTGTGAAGCATTCAGGGAGAAAAAGAGGCTCGAGAAACCTGGTGCAGCGCTTGGTACGCGGTTGTACGCTGGTAAGAAGCGGATGTTCAAGGGACACAAGTGGGAGAGGGTCAAGGCGCACAGGGAGAGGAGGCAGAACATCCTTATGCGGGATATGGCGAAGAGGGTGTATAATTATAAGAATGTGCGTTTTCCCATTTTTGTTTCTTTCGTTACAAGTGTTCACTAACCGTGTGTGTAGTATTATAAGAGGAGGAGGCCGAACCCACTCAAGCCTCCCCGTACTACCAAGGCACCCAAGTTACCATTCTAGATTAATCGCCGACCAATATATCTGTTCTCTCTCATGTGTGCACTAGCATCTGCCGAGAACAAGAGGCAACGTCGCTAGTGTTTTTTTTTGAATCAGTCGTTTTTGTTGCGATAAAAGCAAAGCCAAGAACATTACAAGCCAGACCATTTAAACTGCCGGGTGAAAATTCCATATACAGCAAAGTCACCTCGCCTATAGGCGTGAAAGCAGAAGAAACAAGACTTGCCACGTCGTGGACTACCAACATCCCCTTCATAGAGGGATCTTGTCCTCAATTATAGAAACGAATCATTACGGTAAGTTCCTTTTGCAGCACTAGACACGACGCTTTGTGACCGCTGATCAACATCTTTCAACTATGGAACGCGTTCTTCGGCTGTGGAACCCTCTCCAGGTGGGCTAGTTCAGATGCAGGTGAAGGAGGAAGGCCTGAAGCTTCACCGTGGATTTATCTCAGATGGTCCCTCCAAGTTGGAGCTCGACGTTGCTTGTGACGACATAACTTTTGAAGTCATTTTGGACAATAGTCTCAAGTTCAACATGTGTCCACGCCAAGTCGGGTAAAAAGCCAATTGTTCGCGTTCAATCGAGGTGGACGATCTCTCATCACCAAGGTCAAGATACTTCACATAACCCAACTTCATGTCGACTTCTTCACTCTCTGTCCAAATATCCCAGTCCCCACTCGTACAATATCGCTCCCAGCCTTCAAAGCCGCCTCAAAGTCACTGGACATCCCCATACTCAACGCCAACCCACCCAACCCTTCCCTCCCCCACCTCTTCTCCCCATCTCCACTCAACCCTCCCAAATACTCATCCAACACATCTCTCGTCTCCTTCAACTTCTCAAAATCAGCATTCTTCTCCACTTCAGAAGAACTCAACGAAAGTTCCAGCGCGCCTATCGTCATTAGCCCTTCCAACCAGAGCTTCGGGCATTCTGTGAGTACGTATCTAGCCAACTGGGCAAGCTCGGATGAATCGAGGTCTGATGCCGACGAGAGAGGGTCAAGCCCAGATTTGGAGGTCTCCCCTGAGGTGTTTACTTGAATAAACACGCGCAGGGGGTGAGGCCGGTCAGAAGGGAGGGCCTTGTTCAGTGGTGAACTCGAAGAGGACTCTTGCTCTGCCAGTGATTTCGGTTGGATTTCGGATAACGATTCGTCCAGATCTTCCGCTGAAGCCCTCTCGAGAGACATGATTGAATGAAGGTTCCGTATTGTTGCAGGGCAAGCTTTAGCGTATGATGCCTTCAGCTGCCATGAAAGCAGCGAAGAGTGCTGATATGATTGTTCACATCTAAGAATGCCGTCACGCGTCAAGAAAACGTGGAGAGCGACCGGGCTGCAAGTCGAGCAAAGCGCTGGCGATCTGATGGATAGGCGATAGTGGGGGGCGTGCAGGGTCCATTGTTCATTGAAACTTGCCATATCCACACTCACTCCAAAACTCGACGTTAACAGACTGTACCGGGGGCGTGTAGGGTCTACGGTTCATTGAAACTTGCCGGAAAGTCCTCCAGGAGTGAGCTGGTGAAGGCTGGTGAACATCCCGATATCCGCACTCACTCCAAAACTCGTTGTTGGCGGACTGTAGCGGGGGCGTGTAGGGTCTACGGTTCATTAAAATTTGCCGAAAAGTTTTCCAGGAGTGAACTGGTGAACATCATCATCCCGATATCCGCACTCACTCCAAAACTCGACGTTGGCGGACTGTAGCGGGGGCGTGTAGGGTCTACGGTTCATTAAAACTTGCCGGAAAGTCCTCCAGGAGTGAGCTGGTGAACATCCCGATATACGCACTCACTCCAAAACTCGACGTTGACAGATTGCTGGTGAAGATCCTGCCGAGATACAGTGTCTTGCATAATGCTTTGCAGCATTTCAAATGGTATTTGATTATATTTGTAGTGAACCTGATATGTCACAACTAAGGCCCAACGAAATGATCTCTGTCCGGAATAAGCCTGAATGTGACATCTCAGGACCAGTTTAAACACAGCCAAATACAATTTCAAAAAATTCACGCTGCAAAGCATTATGCAAGGCACTGTAGGCGGAGGCTCTGGCTTCGGAGCGTAAGCTTGGGCATGAATAAGCCTAGTGCCAATCAATGAAGTTTTTGGCGACTGTCCTCAGCAAAAGTTTTAATTTCTCAACAAAAGTTGTTTGTTTGTTCAAAGTCTAAGTATCTGATAACCCTCGCTGACAAAGGTCACTGAAAAATCGTCAGAGGAATATACAGTAGTCCAACAGTAGTCTGAAGTGTAGTCGTGTGGAGGTGCTTAGTTTTTGGCTTTCATCTTTCATTTGACTGGAGTAAACATCATTCACAGTGCTTTGCATGTGAGATTGCGAGAACTTGTTTGTACTTGTAGTTTATTACTTGCAAGCCAAAATAAAGCCAAAACTTTATTAATTATTAATTAGCACCAAGCCCAAGCTTACGCCCCGAAGCTAACACCTCCGTCTATCTCCGCCCAGCAATCTTTCAACGATCTTCACCAACAGTCTGTCAACGTCGAGTTTTGGAGTGAGTGCGTATATCGGGATGTTCACCAGCTCACTCCTGGAGGACTTTCCGGCAAGTTTTAATGAACCGTAGACCCTACACGCCCCCGCTACAGTCCGCCAACGTCGAGTTTTGGAGTGAGTGTGGATATGGCAAGTTTCAATGAACCGTGGACCCTGCACGCCCCCGGTACGGTTGCCATTTTGTAGAAGGACTGTCATAGTATAAATAAGGCTACTTGTGATTCCTGGTATGCGTAAGTTTTTTACAGTTCTTCATGTTCGCCATTAGCCAGGAGGCCATACTATCGAACACTTGGGTGATTATTCTGTCAATCATCCCCTCAGACCTAGTCCGGACAGGGGCCCTGCTACTCACCGGCGTCATTGTCACCTCTCATATCGTGCACGCTATCCGCCCTCGAGACCTCATGGAAGAATTACAAATGCAACTATTATGCCTGGAGGAAAAACTCAAGGCCGCCATTGATAGTGGCATCATGGCTCAAGCGGATGTGACTTTCACTGCGCAAATTGAGAGAAGACTCGGAAGGTGAGCATTGATACATATGGATCACAAAATCTTGTCGACCATAATGATTTTTCATCAAGAATTCGATACAGCGTTTTTGAGCTTCATGAGAAGACGCTTTCGACGTCTGGGGTTCTTCGGGAGATCCAGGCGGTCTGGCGGGGTCAGTCATTTCAAATTTATAAGTGCCTTTGGGATGTGAAAGATTTAGAAAGGGAGCTTGAGGTTGTTGGTTCAATCCTGTTCTTTGTGCAAATTTTCTGATTGGATATACTTTCAGATACATCGCGCAACAGTGATGAAGAATCGTTACTTTTTGTGGAGGTGATTGGAATTCGTAACATCCCCACTGCCAGTGGCATGAATTCATTAGGGAATATTTGGGAATGCTTACCTGCTTTTTGCTTCGATTGGCACCTCCCTTTGGTTTTTATGCTCTTCAGTACTTGCCGTATAATATAGAATACCCTCATGGATTTGTTTTCATGCCTTTCCAGCTGACTATCAGAGTATTCAACCGGGTGATCTCAAATATTTAACTCAAGCGAAATCGGGTGGGGGAGAGCAGTTAACTTAGCTCTTCACTCGAGCAATTGAAGATAGTATAACGTGCATCGGTTTTATCCCAAGCCACTACTAGGCATAAATGCGTCTAGTTTGGGTGTAAAATCATATTCAGAAATGAGATACTAAGTATGATGTTAACGTACTTATATACACCCTTATCACCCCCTCTCCTTGGTTCAGGATGCTGGGTTTTCACCCAATAACGTATAACCCATATCTCGAACCGCAATCACCAGATACTACAGTCACGGTTCAGCGTTTTAGCGCTCAGTTGAAGTGGTTGAGTTCTCATTGCAATTGCCAGTGATCGCAAAGGTCAACACTTCGCATTAAACCTCACTTTATGTCGATTTCTTCACTCTCTGTCCAAATATCCCAGTCCCCACTCGTACAATATCACTCCCAGCCTTCAAAGCCGCCTCAAAATCACTAGACATCCCCATACTCAACGTCAACCCACCCCACCCTTGCCTCCCCCAACTCTTCTCCCCATCCCCACTCAACCCTCCCAAATACCCATCCAACACGTCTCTCGTCTCCTTCAACCTCTCAAAATCGGCATTCTTCTCCACTTCAGAAGCACTCAACGAAAGTTCCAGCGCGCCTATCGTCATCAGCCCTTCCAGCCGGAGCTTCGGGCATTCGGTGAGCACGTATCTAGCCAACTGAGCGAGCTCGGATGAATCGAGGTCTGATGCCGACGAGAGGGTGTCAAGCCCAGATTTGGAGGTTTCCCCTGAGGTGTTTACTTGAATAAAAACGCGCAGGGGGTAGGGCCGGTCAGAGGGGAGGGCCTTGTTCAGTGCGCTGGCGGCTTTCGTTGAGTTTAGGGTTTGGACTGCGTGTAGGTTGGGTATTGCTAAGAGGGGCAGATGGAACTCAGGATGGAAAAAACAGGCATGGACGGGGAACGTACAAGCGAGTGTTTTCGCTTTATTCGATTGTAGTGTACCAATAAAATGCCACCGGATGTCCGCAGGTAGCTAAAGTAGATAAGAACGGCGAGTGCAAATCAACACCTTTCCTGCTCCGGACATTCAGCGACACTCACTACACGGGCTTTCTCTTCCAGCTCTTGCACGTAATTCTCTCCGAAATCGAGCTGACCCGCTTCGTAACATGCAAGAATGTCGCTTGCGGGTTTAATCTTGGAGACTGCTACGAGTGTTGGTGTGTGGCCTGGTGAACTCGATGAGGCAGCTTGAACTCTTGCCCTGATTTCGGCTAACGATTCGACAAGTTCCGAGGTGCGTTCTGCTGAAGGCCTCTCAAGAGACATGATTGAATGGATGGTCCGTACTGTTGCAGGGAAAGCTTTAGCGTATGATGTCCTGAGCTGTGAATCCAGCGAAGAGTGCCGGAATGGCTGTAAGATGGAGGTTGTTCGCATTCAACATGTTTTTTAGATGCTCTCGAAATTGATTGAAAGTGATTGCAATCTTATCTTATCAGATATTTCCGCCTGTTGAAAGCCTTGCAAAAGTTCATGTTTAGTGGTATGGTTAGGTGTGGAACGACATGGTACAAGTGATTTAAAACTTCAACCTTCAATTTGTGCAATCCTCGCATCCAACAGTCTAAGAACGGTATCAAGACCAAGCAAAACACCTTCATCAGGGCCTTCCCCCGGTGCCAGGCGTGTATGAGCAAAATCGATGATTTTGACGACGAACGGAGGGCCTGGCCGATCGTCGTCATCGTCATCGTCTTCATCTTCATCTTCCTCATCATCTTCCTCACCTCCCTCGTCGCCTTCGTCCGGCCAGAGCCGCTGCAAACCCTCCTCTGCTCTAGCCCAGTCAGCTTCGTAAATGATGAGCAAGCTGCCCCCAACCAGGCGGATTTCAAGAGTGGTAAAGACTTCCCGAATGTCCGCGACATCTTCCCGGATGGCACGCAGGATCGGTAGCAAAGTTTGTTTAGGGAGCCCGGAAGAAGAGTTCGGTGCTTGTCCGACAGGGAAGAATTGTGAGATACCATCAGGAAGATCGCTTGATTTGATGCTTTTGCCGTAAGATTTCGGAATGACCTTTGGAAGGGAAGTGGCATTATCGTACACCTACAATTTCTGTATGATAAGTAAGTGTCGTCAAGATGAAGAAATGAGGACAAACCTGGAATCCGGTCAACCTGACGCCCGTCTCAAATGAAGTCGTATCTCTGGCGGTCTTCTTCATCCGCTCAACCTTTTCTGGTGACGCTGTTTCATCATACAGTATTGTACCAAGCTTTACGTCCAGAATATTTGGTTTAAGGAAGGGATATGTAACGTTCTCTAAAACGATGGACTGTATTGTCCAACACTATCAGCGATACAAAAGTCGATTTCACGAAAAACACTCATCTTTATGGTCGTCTGTGGGTTTGATAGCGATCCCGCCGTCCGGCGTGATGGGGTTGCTCTCGTCGACTTCCCCCTCTAGTTTCAAAGTTCCCAGAAATGTAGCTGTAAAGGGCCGCAAAGCCTCCAAGACTGGGTCGTATAGCAATTTCTGGTAGACCTCAAGCTCGCGAGGTAAGGCCGCTTTGATGAGGAGCGAACCGTTTTCGGTGGTGAGCACACCAACATGCCCGCCTACTTGAGGCGTCAGTGTTCGAGTTGGACCTATTTCCATCCGACTCCAGGTATGGAAAGATGTACCGCCTCGCCGATGGTGTAAATTTATACCAGTGTTGTGCAGAAACGAACAACTTGAGCTTTGCCATCAGTCCACAATCATCATCAATGCCTCAGAGTCTGGACTACGACCACAATACCTACCTCGCCGTCACGCTCTCAACATCATCTCATATCCAACCCTCGTCGCTGTCGGCCGTGCACCCCTCCTTGGCGTACCATGGGCAAGTGGGCGAGCTAAAGGACGTGCAATTATTTGCTGTGCCGAAGACGGACTGGGATCAGGTCGGCGAAGATATCCTGGCTGTTTTGAGGGCCAAACAGGGAGTTTTGGGTGTAGATGTTCAGGTGCCAAAGCAACGGGTCAAGCGAGGAAGCGATGAATTGTAAATTGTGAGTTTCGAATACGTCCAACTCGAGTTCTACATTTACCACGGCATCAAGAGGCGATAAGCCTGTACAGGATACCTCTCTCGAAATATAACCTGCTTGTTCTTAATTTTGTCTTTCAAACCCTCGACGATTGTAAGATGTGAGCCTGTTCTTTCTCACACAATGCAACTTGCAGGGTTTTTACCCACATGTCAAAAATATAGACATAAAATGACGGTCTTCCTGCCAGTATTCACGTTCCTCGTAACAGAGAGCACAGCACCACGTAAGAACGCCTATGGTCTGACTGAAGAAGTTCACGAAAAATAAAATGAGTTTTCTCAAGGTCATTATGGCCCTAGCATTAAAGATGCTAAAAGTGGCACGTTAGCTATACTCAAACGAGGAGCCCAATGAATTCACTCACCTCGTGCTTCAACCTTGACCCACGAATCCGGACCATCCCCAATTGTCCCACAGCTGTCTCTAGAAACGCCAATCGAAGAGGGATCAACCACAAACTCGCCGTTCGACACATCTCGCAACACGGAAGGCGCAGGGGAACTCCAACCAGCAACACGATGTCCTTCATCCGTGACCCTATACAACACTTTTGGGCCACACCGGAACTGGCTGGCTTTTCGCTATAATCACGACGTCAGCTCAATGAACGACAACTGCAAGAAAGGGCTGACACGCACATCAGTCTCAGCAGGACTTTCGACCTTCGGAAGCAGACGATTTTCAACAGTAAAAACTATCGCAGATTGATTTGATTTGCGAGAATCGCCAACGAGCGTTATCCAACCAAAGCCAACAAAATACGCTGCTAACGACGCTGCCTCTTCCCGGCCGGCAACAGACGTAAACTCGCAAAGCCACGCCAGGGCATCCATAGCCGTGAAACATAAATCATAAACGACACCCTTGCTCTTCACCCAGAAGAAGGGGACACCCTTCGTTCTTTTATTGTGCCTCTGAGCGGGGTCGAGGTCCTTGTCCGCCACGGGGTTGGTATGTCTGGGTTTATCACCTGCGAATAACCGGAATACGTCCGTAATGACATCTTCGGAGAGCACCATCTGGTCATCCTCGTCCTGCCGCTCCAGGTGCAGCAGGCTAGTGCACATGGGTAGGGACCTAAATAGTGCCCGTAGATGGTCGGCGTTGACATTATTTCTGCTGATGAAACGGTGGAGAATGTGGAGGCCTTTGGGCGTTAGCTGGTAGATCCATTCGTCTTTGAAAAGAAAAGACGTTGTGTTGACCGCGCTTTTGATGAGACAGACGTCCATGAAACATTGGCACATAGCTTTTGCCACGACAGGCGTCATGGAATATGTGACGCATTCCTTCGTAGTCTGAGTTTTTGTAGGATCGATAGAAGCTGGTTCTCGCTTAACAACTCGCGAGATTTTCAACGACGCCAAACTGGCCACTGCTTCATCTCTTGAAGAGGGTTAGCGGTCATTACAAGTTTAAATGTTACACATACGTGGTAAAAGAGTGTGGATAGGTATGGGTAAAAAATCCAGAACCCTTGTGAGGTCCCAGTTTGAGGGAAAGTATAAGAGCTGCAAAAACATCAAACGTATCCTATGAAGTCGGAAAGTTAGTGGAGCTCACGGAAATACATGGCGAATCAACGGACCTTCGTGAAAGTCCTCCCACTTTTCGTCGTCTTCAGCAGACCTTTGTATGGTACCGCCTGGGATTCCCGGCCTGCTGGAGCAATCGCTGGCGGAACCTCTTCTGCTTGAGCTATGGATGGCAAAGAGTTTTTCGCTCCATCCACTGCCAGCGAGAAAGTAGAAGTCCTCCTACTTTTCGTCGTCTTCAGTAGACCTTTGTATGATGGCGCCAAGACCGCCTGGGGCTCCCCGCCTGCTGGAGGTATCGCTGGCGAGCCATCTTCTGCTTGAGCCATGGCTGGCAAAGCATTTTCCGCTCCATCCGCCGCCAGCGAGAAAGTGGAAGTCCTCCCATTTTTCGTCGTCTTCAGCAGACCTTTGTATGATGGCGCCAAGACCGCCTGGGGCTCTCCGCCTACTGAAGGTATCGCTGGCGAAACATCTTCTGCTAGAGACATGGCTGGCAGAGAGTTTTCCGCTCCATCCACTGCCAGCGGGATGGTCTTCAGCAGACCTTGGTATGGTGGCTTTAAGGCTGTCGGGGATTCCCCGCCTGCTAGAGGTATCGCTGGCGAAACATTTTCTGCTTCTGCTCCCAGCGAGAACCCTTCTGTTCCAACCAGTGCTGGCAGAACGTGTGGAAGGTCTTCTGCTCCACCCAATGCCACGGCAGACTTTTTCACTTCGTCCGCTTTCAGTGAGAAACCTTCTGTTCCAATCAGTGCCGGCAGAACGTGCGGAAGGTCTTCTGCTCCACCCATCGCGGGCGACAAAAAGAAAGACTGTAGGGCAACGAAGACTGGACTTTTGACGAAAGAGGAGGTAATCATGGTAAGGGCTTTTATATATGCCTGTCAAAGGGATATGAATCCCTGAGCTACGCTGGATTTGGAATGCGCCCAGAACACGACACAGAACATGCACAAACATCGTCTCCGACGGCGACGAGGCGGAGTAAGATCGTCGTAGCGCTGTGCAAGAAACTGGGTGATAGAGATCGTCAAGAGATGGTGGTTCAACGTCGCGTTTGACTCATTTTTCTGAAGTTCCTAAATTTGCACATGGCTATGCTGACGCGAACACGTGCTTGAACGCGACATTATCAGACGCGTCGCGGCGGACCGCGGTATCTTCGGTAACGTCGGTCGATACAACCATGAAGCTAAGACGAATTCATATATCCGAGTCATTGATACTTCCCCAAGAATTACAATACATCATACACTCTATCCAAGCCGTCGCCAAAAAAAACCCCAGTAATCATACAATGCTCAGAAGAAATCCCCCCTATGGAACTTACACAGCTGCCGTCCAATCGCTATCCCCTCACCAGCCACCAGCGTCAGAACCTCTTCTACTCTCCTTCTCCCTCTCCCTCTCGCTCTCCCCCTCGTTTCCCTCTACCCTCTTCATCATCCTCTTCCTCGCGTTGCCTTCCCGGCTCCTCGCCGTCCTCACACTCATCATCACACTCCTCGCACCCACACTTCTCCTCAACCCTCACCAAACCCTCACAAACGGCTCCTCCGTAACCTCATCCCTAAAATGCCAATGATGGTTCAACATCGCGTTTAAATTTTGAAGTAAAATCCTGCGGGAGCGTGATGTACATGATGTGACAGAATTTCCTCAAACCCAGCTGTTGTCTCGGACAAGCCACTCCCACCAGTCCATGTCCACACCAGGAATTGATAGCAGGAGCAAGATGATGAAACATTGGAATTACTGAAGTAGGAAACTTGATTTTACGTCCTCAATTTCTTTACAAGCCAACGAAAACCTGAAATGAGCGTGAATTTGGATTTAATGGTTAAGCTTGTAAGTCCTGCTGACCTTCAATAAAGCGGTTGGACGGAAGTGAATATGTGAACAAAGCAATACGGCCATTATCCTAGTGGATGACTATCACATATCTGTCAATTCACCAGATTGCCGAACACACCTCTGCAATGATTTCTTCCAAATCGCATTCTGCAATCACGTCTTTCTCATCCGCCTTGGATAAAACATTGGCCGTGGAAACAAGGATCAAGATAGGTTGTGACAACTTCTTCGTATCGCGGACAAGACTAATGAGTTCTATCCTTGACTGGCGCATATACTCAGCATTCGATGTATCAATCACGAAGACGATTCCACCAGGAGTATCAGGCAGGTTTTCCTTTGTAAAGAGAAAGGCTAAGGTGCAGGAGTTAAGGACAATGAGAGAAGTAAGGGAAAAGACGTGCATCCAACAGTGTCTGAAGGAATGTATGCATCAAGAAGTTCACCGTCGATCTCCAGCCGTATCTCAGCTTGAGCGAAAAGTCAGTACTAGGTCACAAATTCAGTGATATGCACACAAACCAAATTTGAAGCCTCGAACAGGTTCTGAGTGTTGGTAATATCGACCACGTTCGACTGTTCGAGCCAAGGTCTGTAGCACCGTCAATGATCTAGCGAGTTGAAGATGGGTAGGACAAGCTTAACAGTCATTTCCACGTGGCAGAGTCCATAGAAATAAATCTTGGGTGGTGATATCACGCCTGTGGAATAAGTAGGAGATGTCAGGGTCAAACCTGCAACCCGAAGATAACGATTAGGTTCACCAAAGTGGATTAAGAGTTGCCTGAGCATGGTATTTCTTGATCTGTTCAAGTGAAAGGTGGTCAATGAATGAATGCAAAGCCAGAAGACCCAGGCGGTGTTCAAGGGAAGATCCCGACACTGACTCCTCGACTGAACACTGGGAGGTCTCGCTTCATATTTGGAAGGTCGCCAGACGACGACGTCACCGAGAGATGGACGTCGCGTTTGAAGTTCCTAAATTTGCACGTGGCTATGCTGACGCGAACACGTGCTTGAACGCGACATAAATTATCAGACGCGTCGCGGTCGCCCTGATACCTTTCATAGTCGTCAGTAACGTCGGTCGACACAACCATGAAGCCAAGTCGAACTCACATATCCGAGTCATTAATACTTCTCCAAGAATTACAATACATCATACACTCTATCCAAACCGCCGCCAAAAACAACCCCAGTAGTCATACACTCAGAAGAAATCCCCCCTATGGAGCTCACACGGCTGCCGCCCAATCGCTATCCCCTCACCAGCCACCAGCGTCAGAACCTCCTCTACTCTCCTTCTCCTCCTTCCTCTCGCTTTCCTCCTCGTTTCCTTCCTACCCTCTTCATCCTTCTCTCCCTCCTCCTCCTCCTCCTCCTCGCCTTCCTCATCATCCTCCCACTCATCATCACACTCCTCGCACTCACACTCCTCCTCAACCCTCACAAACGGCTCCTCCGTAACCTCATCCCTAAAATGCCACTCCCCGCAAACCCCCTCCCCAAAAGGATGCGGAAAAAACTCATCATCATCTGGCTCCTCGCCCCACTCCGCCGGCCCACCATGCCTATGGGTCTTTAGAAACGGATGAGCGAGCGCCCCACGCGGCGTTATCCGATTTGTGGCAAGTGGGTCGAGGAGCTTGTTGAGTAGTTCAAAGGCGTCTTCTAAATCCTGCTTATACGCCGCTTCTGGGGTCTTATCTTGTTCAATGGCCTGTTCCAGTTCCACGTCAACTCCGATGGGTGTAGTAGGCGTCAACGGTGAAGTGGGGAACTCGAGCTCATAGTAATCACCACTGACACTTGCGCTAGCACGAGCAGGGGAGGAGGAAGTAGGTGGAGGTGGGGATGGCGCGGTAGTCGGTTGAAGGTGGGTGGTCTGAGAGAAGGAATTGTGTGGGTAAAAGCGGGTATCGGGTTCTTTGAGAATGTGTATATCCGGATTCTGCTTGGTGACAAACTCGGACCAGGGGACTTCTTTGTCCACACTTGGTACGTTTGTAGCGAATGTTCGACCTAAGTGAAGCCGTTAGTTATGGTCTAGCAAGACGAAAGATGGGGAAAGGAGAGAAACTTACTGTGCAGCGTAGCCACACCTTCCATCTTCTTCCTCCCAATGATAGCAGCGATCTCCATGAGAGCTTCCACATCGTCGCTGGATTGGAACAAGGGAAACTTTTTTGTGAGGAAGAACAGGAGTATGATACCTGCTGCCCATACATCTAAGGCTTTTGTTGTCCAAACAGTTAGCTTGTGATATGACCTCAAACAAATGAAGGGACGAGCATACCACCAGTTTGTTCCCCACACTTTAACAGCACCTCAGGAGCACGAAACCCCCTCGTTCCAGCTCGGTTAGCTTTCGATACCGGTCTACGCAGGCAAAGTGAATTATAAGCATCAAAGAGCAGGGTAACATACAAGATAGGTGAACAAATGCGTACCTTGTATCCTTATCTGGATAGCCCACTTTCTCGGAAGGCAACTTCGACTTGGCCCTTGCCTCCCTCTGTAGCTTGACCACGCTCTCGTGGTTATACTGATACCGAACTTTATTCTCCCCATGCGGGTTCCTAGCTGACGGTGGACCGTGGAGGCATGCGCCTGGCATCGGGCCCGCCTCCATGCGCTGTTACAAAGTGAGATTAATTTAGAGTAGACGTATTGAGGATGAGAGGTACCCACGGAAGCTAGACCAAAATCACACAATGTCCCTATGCCAGTACGGGGATCGAAGAGAAAGTTGGCGGGCTTGACGTCTCGGTGGATGATCCCTCTGATATGAATATCTCGCAACGCCCGAAACATGCAACGGAAGTACGATTTGATACCTTCCATTGAAAGCCTCGTAAAGTATTCCTATACCCAATCTTTGTCAACTCTCGCGAAATGGGCAAGAACGAAGGAAAACCGACTCTGAAATCATCATTCCGATGATACGGCATAATTATTGCCACTTGATCGTTATGCCTAAACGCTGTGATGAGTTGAGAGACGTGTCGACACCCCCGACACTCCTCCATAATCATCAGCTCGTTTCTTATACGTTCCGGGCTGCTGGTCACATAGATCCGTTTAATAGCCACAAACACCTTTGACCCCTCCGGGCGGGGCACGGACTGATAGTGCGCAGAGGAGGAAGGGGAGTGATGTCCATGCCAAGGCGTATTATCCCACTCTTCGTATCGCAGGTCGATAGCTTTGTAGACGGACGAAAAGGTGCCTGTGCCGAGACGGTCGATTATTTTGTAGTCCCCTTCGATGTGGGGAATGGATAAGAGGAACTCTTCAATCTCTTTGACGATTTCGACCTGGTCTTCGGGCGGTTTTCGGGCGAGGGTGTGTTCCTCGTCCGTCATGGCGTCTGAAAGTGGCGTCGAACATCCGTCCACGGCATCGTACTCCTCCAACTCCCGTAGCTCTTCGTCCATCACCAGATCCTCGTCGTCGCACGGCTCATCCACCCTTCTCCCCTGCCCCACGTTTGTCGTGTTGATCTTCAGTGACCGCTTGTCCCTTTGTTCGTCTTGAACAGGGTGCAGAAGCAAATCATCACTCATATCCTCGTCAAGGTCCACGAACACTTGGTGTCTGCTGGTACTTGCGCTCATCCCCTGCACAGGGTACCCAGGCAACATATGCGTCAGATGTTGCTGATACTGCCTCACCTCTGGGGCTGAAAAACCATACAGCGGGTCGTCGGATGAGGCGGCGAATTCAACGTTGAGGGCGGCTGCTTTGGCGTAGTGTTTGAGGTAGCGGGAGTTGCGTACATCGGATGAGCCGACTTCGAGGGGATTTGAGGAGTGTTGGGAGAAGAGAAGTGCCATCGACGACGCGAGATCGCTTTTGAAAGAAGTTGAAACCACAATTCATTTGTCCCTTTTCGACGCGTCGCGATTGGTCATGTGATCACGTTTTACAAGCTCGCCGAGTCGCTCAAAACCTTTTGTATCTCTGGGAGAATGTCCTCTGGATTTTTGTTGAAGTTGCGTGAACAACACATTCGTATTCGACCGATGTAAGTACCTTGCTATAAATTTATCCTGTATCTATATCACACGTAAATCAGGCATCCTGTTGCAATGTATTATTGAACAAGAGACCTCCTTCCGTCCATCGTGATAAATTGATATTAGTGACTAGGAGATGAAGTAAAGCAACTGCGCAGGTTCCCTCGGAGCTATGTGAAAGAAGAAATATTGATGTGTGCAGCCAACTACAAGTCCTTGTAACAGAGCACCTCATAGCTCTGCGTCACGAAATCAGTGTTGTGACACCTTAGCTTCGATGCTCTACACACCTTTGAGCTCACCACTACCCCCGTGCCCCAATGTACATCTGAAACGCCTGGGAAAATGGGATCGTCAGGTTATCAAATAATTTTGGCCAAGCTAGTCGTGACATACCATTTGCACTTTCTGTTACCTCGGTCACGTAAACACGATCGAGGTGGTTGAAACGCGCAACGTAGTGAGTGTCCGATACGTTGTCCGCCTCTTTATCCCAACTAGGTACGGGGTGAACTGTCGACTTCATGTCAAAGCGACCATGATATGGCTTCCAGATTAACCGTGACTGATCCCCAATGAGAACTTGGAAATCCCAATAGTGACTCCCATTAGCCCATGTCGCTGCAATGGAGGAACGTTTACTTCGGCTCAAGTCTCGGGAAGCCAAAGCACTCACTTATAGAAGACCCTTCCTGGACGCGGTCAGTGGCGACTGATCCGTTGCTCTTGTCCGTCCTGCACTTGAAAACAAAAGCGGAAACGCCGTCTACGACGCCAGCCTGGATAGGGGCCGGAGTAAAGCTAGCAGAACGGAATGGGGAGCTGTAAGGCTGCCAATAGCAAACCTAACGCTCATGTCAAACGCCATCCTAAAGTGTCAAGGATTACGCTTACCTGACGGCGCATGGACCGGAGCAGGTCGCGATGCTTCCGGTCGGTCTCTTCTTTCTCTTTTCGCGCTGTCTCGACGAGTGACTGGATGCGTGCCTGCTCCTTTCGACTACGGTTGGCGGCCGCCACCTGATCTTTCTCCAACTTTTGAAGCTTCTCGTTGGCCGTTGCCCGTTCTTTCGATATGTTGTCCATCTCCGCTTTGAGCTTAAATCGTTCCTTCTCCGCCTTTTCTTCCGCCTCTTTGACCTTGCGATTGAACCCGGCACTCTGCTGCAACAACTTACGGTCTGCCTCCTCCTGTTTCTTTTTCGCCTCTTCCCTAGCTGCAGTGATGTCATCTGCCAACGCCTGTTTCTGTTCCTCCCATTTCGCTATCTCCTTTTGCATCTTGATCCGTTCTGCCTCCAACTCCTTCTTCAATGCCTCATCCTTCTCCGCAATCGCCACCGCCATCTCCTCTTTTAAGTCCTTCATCTCTTTGCTATGCTTATCCACAAGCTTCTTTAGCTCTGCCGCAAGTTCAGAACCAGCCGCCGTCTCCTCGAGCGTCTTTCCGTCGCGCATCTCAAGCTGGATTTGAAGGGCGACGGGGCTTTTCTTTAAAAACGTCTCTACAATCCTTCGAGCGGATCCCTCCGTATTGTCGTGGCGAAGAAATTTACCACCCTTATCAATGAGTGGCTCGAAGAATTTGCCTGGGGTCTTCATTAGCTCATCTTCCCGTTTTTCCATCGTCTCTCTGTCCTTCTCGGAGACGTCGTCCCACCGTGTAGTCACAACGACGACGTTCTCCAGAGCATCTTCACCACAGAGCTTTCGGAACATCCTCAGGTTACGAAGTGAAACGCCTCCCATCTTGGGATCAGTAATCCGATGAAGATATATGATGCCACTAAGCTTCTTGTCCTCTTTGAACCTACACGGATTCGATGAGGGACTGTTGTGGTCATACAGGTCAGCGATTAGGCGACTCACGTCATTTCCAAGAAGCCTGCAATTTTTTTCAGGATATCAGTGTCTGTGTGCCCTTCGCGAGAATCATCAAACCCAGGAGAGTCGATCAATGTCACGGAACGGCCGCTTTTGTCGAAGTAGTTGTAGTGTCCGATCTCGGACGTTGCAGATTCAACGCCATGGCCAATTTCAATAGATTTGTCACCAGTGAGTCGCGCAATGAACTACGGAGTGTGTCAAATGATGGTTGAGGACGCACGTCAAGCCCAAGGCCTTACCGACGATTTCCCAGTCCCTGTGGGACCCATGATTCTGAAAGGCGAAGCTCCAGTCAGTATGCAGTCTGCAAACAAATTGCCAAACTCACCCTACCATAATGTTCGAAGGGTTTGAGCCACGCTTAACGTCAGAGCCGTCCGAACCTTTAAGAGCCATGATTGACTGGTTATGCGGTAAAGGTAACAATGGGGAGTGGCACGCACCCATTGGGAATTTATAGTCCCCTTACGCGTGTATCGATGAGATGTTCGAAGTATGAAAGGTGTGAATTTTCTGAAGGGCTATAATAAGGTTAACATGCACAAGTTCCACGCGTTTACACTTGATATGACACGCGACAACAGATAACCGTCGCAAACCCGCACAGGTTACAGCAAGATGCAAAAACGTAGACACCTCTCCAAATTTCCCAGACTCCGCCTCGCTTTGTACAAACAACTGCTTTAGGAAATGAGCGGGTGTGAGTGACGCAAGCATTCTGTTCTCGCTCCACCAACCTCCACTTCGTGCATTCGCTAGCGTCTCAGAGTCTATGTCATTTCCTATCAACCCTCGTAACAATGAGATGCCGTTTTTGTTCGGCAGATATAAAGCGGTAGTTCCCTGACATATTTGAAGATGGGAAAAGAGAAATTATATAGAAGTACCATATTTGTAGGAGTATATATAATAAAATGGTGCGCCATGCAAGCGCCATGAAGTCACTATGACGCGTCGTGCGGCGGAGTTGCACCAAATGCGGTTGTTTGTACAAAGCAAGGCGGAGTCTGGGAAATTTGGAGAGGTGTCTACGTTTTTGCATCTTGCTGTAACGCCGCGCCACTTGAGTGGGTCACTTCAGCTGGTTGGATCCAGAGAGTTCGTAGAATCGAAGTTCCATTGCTATATCCCATCCTAATCTCGATTTGAAATGTGATTTCCAAGTCGAGAAACACGAAGATTATCCACGTTCATCGATGAGATCTCTTTGAGTCGCGGCACGGGTGGGACGCTTCTGTTCAACTTTGGTTAGGTAAATTTCTCATGATGGAAAACGTTTCCAGTTCAAAATTCCTGGAGCCCGCCCGACCTTTTCGCGTCCCATCCTGAAAACTGCAATCCGGTATGAATACGATTGCAGATCTGGACAAAACTCCAGTGGCGTCATTTATTCAATGTCCATCCTGGGGTTGCGATGTCTATAATAGACTTGACGTCCGGAAAAAAGTCACTCCTCCGCGAGAATCGTCAAAGAACGAGAATTACACGTCGGCTGAGTCTGCGTTTTTCACAATAGCGGAAGAGAATTTAGAAGAACGACGTCCTTGCTAGTCAAGTAAATTACTGCAGGGTGTGAGTTCCAACACTAGATGTGTATAATTTAGCAGCTCACTGACCTCCATTCCAAGTTCAAGAACCCATAGTTTTGAACGGCGGCGCCAGGGGTGTGTAGAAGGGGGTTGGGTCATGTGACCAGGGTTGTTTTCTGTTCGACCATTGATGCCAACGTCAATTGAACGCTCAACGTTGCCGCGCCCACTTCCCCACTTTAAAATTCCACAATGCGGTGCTCTACCAAACCCAATTTCCGCGGTAAATTTGTATACAATGCATGGGTAGGTTGAAAGCGACTTTTCTTGCGTTTTAGACTTGTTCTTGACTTGTTCGGGTCCCAATCATAAATTAGTCAGGGTCTCCTCAGTTCCCCGCCATTATATAAAGGACCCTACCCCCAAATATCTGATGGTGCTCCTCTTCGCTCAGGCCAACAATGCCCACAATCCTTCACGCTTCCACCTCAAATTACGCCCTCAAATCCACGAAACACGGGAAAAGGTGCATCCAGCCCGTCGACGCGGATGGCAGCGAGCTCAGTGACGATGCGTCTCACGCTATGAAGACGACTAAGACTGGGAGACCTTTCCTGCAGGTAATTACTCGATTTATAAAGCCCTTGAAGCGCCCACTGAATAAGTAGAACGCAGGATACATACGACCTCTTTGCAACGCTCATCCTGTCACTCAAACTAGGACCCCACAAAAAACGGTTTTTCAGCAGCACCTTCTCTCATTCTTTCACTTTGTAAGCCCCATTCCCTTCATGCCACCCTCCACACCCACTAATATCCCCTCTGGCAAAAAGTAACGAAGCCGCACGCAACCTCGCCTCCCTCTGCTTTTCCCACTCCTCAGAGGAGGCCTCCCCAGGGAACAGCGCCAAATGCCGCACAGTAACAACACGCACAACATACATCATGACCCGCTCCGGCGCAAAGGCCATGTGCAGCCACTTCTTAGACGCGTGCTTGATCAAAATGGATGTCAAGGGGATATACCAGCTCACTCCGAAAGGACTGTACATATTAAACCGTTTCGTGATAAAGAACAACATAAACGCGATGCACATCCTCCAACTACTCACTTCTCAGCCCAAATGTAACTCTCTCTACTACTTGGACCGCCGTGTGGAGGACGACGAACCGGTCATCACCAGCGCGAGTATGGCAGCTCTCTTCCGGAGGTTTTCAGGTGCCCAGCCTACATACTCCCTTCCAGCTGACAAGGCCCTCGATGTGTTCCAGCGCCACCGTAAACTTGCCAACGGTATCTTGGTAACGAAGCTCCGTGTATCGAAGAAGAAAAACTTGGTTTACGAACACTGTTTCTCCGCTGTCAGCGCTGTCGAATGGCCTTGCGAGTTTACGACCGCGTCTGGTGAAGAAGAAGCAGCACAGCTTGTGGCCCATTTTGTCCGGTATGGGTTTGTCGAGCTGGTCAATGACGAGAGGAAACGAAATGAGTCTGCAATCCTATACACGGTTAGGAGTCTCTCAGAGAAGAACAAGATCGCTGTTGCTGTAAGTCTTCTCCGTTTTTTTGTGTTGTGGGTACTCATGTCTATCTTTCTTCTTCCGACAGGAGGGCCAATTTAACTTGGGCGCAAAGGCGATTTATCGAATAACCGACCAAGGAAGCCGAGTTGCTGGGTGGGGACCCTCAGTTCCTCCTGGTATGCAGCGGGAGTTTGACAACGATCGGTCCTTGGTCGGTGGGTCTATGGATAGCTCCAGGACGGTGACGGATGATCAAAACATCCGGAACAAGGCTTAGAATCGCAACTGGATGCGATACATATGTTGTCATCCTCGAGTTTGGGAACTCTTTGTTTTGCTGTCGTTTTCCTTGATACCTCGATGAATCACTTGTATATAGTTTTTATTAACACATAGTTATATCGTACATACGCCCACGTCTTATAATCAGAATGCCCGTCGTACCCAATACAAATGACTTGACGTTTACACCATCCCATCTTCTTGAGAATGAAAACCTCAAAAAACGTGCCTAGCTACCCGCGCGATTACCCGCCGTGTAGCAGACATCGACGATTGGGGAACAATATTTGGGCAGAGGGCATTGTGCAATAAAAGCCCTACCCTTGACATCACCCAGAATGTGAAGTTATCCCACAACGCCTGGGGTATTTCTTAGCTCCCAGTTCGTAGCTCAACGGAACGCCAGAAAGTATGAATGCCCAGCGTTCCGCCACACCCTCGAATCGACGACGAGTATGTTTTAACCATTCACCATCTTCAATTCCTATGCATTCCAGGTCAATCAAAAAAACATCCAATCAGTGACTTGGAGTTGAAAGGCTTACAAGCTCTTCCACCTCCTTCTCCAGCGCCTTCACCTCCTCCTCGAGCCTCTCCCGTTGTTTTGTAAGGAGCTGCAACTGCCTCGCCTCCGTCTTCTGCGCAATAGTTGTGGCGCCCCTGACTGTCCGAAGCCGATTTTTTGCGTTCTCCACCTTCATTTCATTTCGAGCGTCAGGGTACCATCTCTTGTAGAGCCAAACCACCCACCTTGATCTGCAACGCCGCCTCCTTCTTCAGCATCCCCGCAAGCCCCTGCTCAGCCCTCTCGATGAGCTCGGCGATAGCAGGCTCGATCTCGTCCGCTAGCTCGGATTTGTATCGTTTGATGGTCCCTTCGTCGACGAGGAGGAAAACCTTCCGTGGAAAAACACGTATCCTTATCAGCTCCCCGAAAGTGACTTTGAACAAAGCAGGCAAAAAAAGACCCACCCGTTCATTTGCCAATATTTTGTTCATGCGAGGAAGATCCTTCGTTCCGTTCCTCAGCAAATGCTGCATCTCGAAGACCTAAAAATTCGTTACGGCCTTCCGCCTACGAGATTTGAAATGTAACATACCTCGTCGCAGCAGTCCTCCATAACCGCAACGCAATCCGCTAGGCTTGGTGGACATATTGCCTGGATGTCACCTATGTATTGTTCTGGTCCGCCGTAAAATATGGATTCTCTAGCTTTTAGATTCGCGCGAGATAAACGTGACATTGCAATCAGATGGAGGAGGGTGGTAGGTGGTAGGGAGGCGACTCGAAACTCGGATCGGTGGAGGACTGGGCTCGAGTTTGTATCTCAAGCTTCAACCAAACAAAACGACAAGGCAAGGTCGGGTGACTGTGACGCGTCGCGTCAAATAGTACTTAAGCATAGATGAATCTCTTTCACGTCTTCCCAGGTACTTCGTACTTCGCCGTCGGGGTCATTGGTGTCCTATCCATTGCTGCTTCCGTTGGACCATTGATAGCGGGTGTTCGACATTTAACATGGCAGTAATATTGAAAACCGCTCATAATTATCTTTTCCATTCCTACTACTTATTAACTCTGATATCGAAGAAATTGAAAATACCTTGTCCTATAGATATATCCGCCACAGAAAACGTGTAAAATTATTGAGGTAGCATAACTCACATCTCCATTTTCTTTACAAGCCAATGAAAACCTGTAGTAAAGATGAACCTGCATTTTAATGTCAAAGCTAGTACGTCCTGCTGACCTTCAATAAGATTGTCGGATGAAAGTGAATAGGTAAACAAAGCGATTCGCCCTTGTTCCTAATAAAAATTTGTGAATTTCTATGTTATCTCATCAGGATGGTCAACACACCTCTACAATCATTTCTTGAAAATCACATTCTGCCATTAAATCTGCCTCTTCCTCCTCAGATGAAATGTTGTCCGTGGAAACAAGGATCAAGATAAGTTGCGACAACCTCTTCGTATCACGGACAAGACTAACGAGTTCTCTCCTCAAGTCATACATCGGCTCAATATTTGTCGAATTAATCATGAAGACAATTCCACAAGGAGTATAAGGCAGGTCTTCCCTTACAGCGCGAAAGCCTAAGGTGCAGTTTGGTTAGAAACAATGAAAAACATAAACCAAAAGACGTGCAGCTAGACGTGTTCGAAGGAACGTAGACATCAACAAATTCACTGTCAATGTCCAGTCGTATCACAGCTCGAGCGAGAAGTCAGTACTACATAGGTCGCAGAATCGTTGATATGGACACAAACCAAATTCAAACAAGCCAAGAGGTGGGTCTACATAATCTCTACCTTGTTCAAGTGTTCGAGCCAAGGCCTGTTGAGCTGTGAATCACATAGTGAGTTGAAGATGCGTAGGACAAGCTCAACCATCATTTCCGCATAGCTAGCTGGTCCAATGAAACAAATTTTCTTGGTTGGTGATATCACGCCTGTTGAATAGGGGATGCCAGGGTCAAAGCTGTAACCCAAAAATAACGATTGAGCTCACCAAAGCGGATTAAGAGTCGCTTGAGCATGGTATTTATCAACCGGTTCAAGTAGAGTGTGAGGGGGGAGAAACCTTGAAGTGAGGCTTGAGTGTGAGCGTACTGTACTAATCCAATCAATTCGTCGGTCACGCGTCACAGGCGGTCCGAAATCGACGAAATTCTAAGCGGTCACAGGTCACAGGAGCCAGCGACGAAACCACCAGGTCAGTCAGAAAAGGAACAAAATTGGGGTCTTTTTTCATTAGAAATCGATTTTTTCGCCCTCTAAGTCTCTCTAGCAAAGTTCTCTGAACTATTTTAAATTATCTAAGGACAGAGGGCTACTCCGACATTTTGACGAAAATTTCCGGCAGTCACACCTTCCCCGGTGACGCGACGAAACCAAAATTTCGTCGCGTGGGTCACAGGTCACAGGGTGCGACGAATTGATTGGATTAGTACAGTATAAGCGACTGAACGTCGACGTCACCGTTTCAAGAGAGAAGACATTGGTCAGGTGAGCGTGACACGTCGCGTCAAACAGTGCAAGGGAACCTCTATCCTGTCAACAGTAACATATCCATGATAATGATAGTAAAGTCGGAGTTGATATATTCAAAAACAAAAAGGTATACCTAAACGTGCGACCAGTCGCAGCTATGAGAACGAAAGTAAAGGTGGGCACGACGAGGGTCCAAAGATCATACAAAATCACGATCATGTCCATGTCCACGCGAATCAGCTCCCTTCGACCTATGAATGAGCGTCTCCTCTCTCAAACTCCCAACAACGAACGGATCCAACGTCGGTGGAGAAGCAGTATCAAAAGTCGACGCCGCCCACGACGAAAGATTAATATTGGGTATCAGATTCGCCATACTCGGACTGATCGGACGCGCCAACGACGACACCACAGCCTTCTTGGGTGTTTGAAAGGTCGCCTGGACAGGTTTCTGTGGCGAGGACACTTCCGATATCGAGGGCGAAGATCCAGAACCAATGGTAGCCATTGTCCCAGACGCAGTCATACGGAAATTATGAACTGTCCTGCTCAACGCCTGAAACACCGTGTTTCGATCAGGCCAATGGATGGAGGTATTTGCATCTCTTGAAGACGCGTTGGGTGATGATGGTAATTCCTCAGCGTGACTGGTAAATGTCGAATGTATAGATGAATCTGACAATCCACGACGATGAAGCGTTCGTCCCATGAGAGGTGGTAGCGTATCCGCCTCTTCATCCGACTCCATTTGAGGGTGTTCAACATCAATAATAGCATCGACGTTTCTCGAGAGTCTATTGGCATTTCTCCGCCCAGTGGATCGCCCGATGGTAGACGTCGACGCTGACAAATTCACCGAATTCATAGACGACTGAGCTCTCTGTGGTCCTTTGGGTACTACAACCCATGGATCAGCTTGAGGTGGCGCAGGTCGAGGTGCACCGGCAAATATCCCCATTACACCAGCAGAAACACTTGAAGGAAGTGCCGAAGAGGATTCAGAAGGGAGCTCGGTGTGTACCTGCGGCAACACCGGAACAGGAGGAACAGTGCTGGTGATAGGCCTGCCCACACCAATCCCTGAGAACTCCACATTCACCGTCGTGGTGGAAGCGGCAAGTGCAGGTCCAAGCTTGGGCGCGAATCGCGGTCGAGAGCTTGCTCTTCCACTTGTTGAACGGGACATTGGAGGGGCAATGGCCTCTCCACGTCCTGGCTGAGAAAAGAGTTTGGAGATTGGAGCCATCCAGCTCGGTCCACCATGAGCCGCGTTCTCACGACCTCTTTCTGCCACCTCGGCTTGAACTTTGGACGGATTCAAGGCCAATTCGCTAATCTTCGTGGCAGTGGAAGGATCGAGAATAACGTCATTCAGAGTGACCCTCATCTGACCCAACTCCGTGAAAGTGTCTTTGAAGATCTTGAAAAGCACGCGCAAATCCTTTCGTAGAAATGTCGCCATTACCTTATCGTCCTCTAACAGGAACCTGAACTGGGTTCGGAGGCCATTTACTTCTGAAAGGATGTTACTAACAGTACTGCGAGAGAGGTGCCCAACATCAGCCCCTCTGAGATGCTGCCGTTTGAGACGGTTTGTCAAGGTGAGAGCATCCGCCTGTGCCATGCGGTTCAGGAGAGCGACTATACGTTCGAGGAGTATCGAAACGTGGGATGAAACTGACTCTGAGTAGGAGGATGATTCTGACCGTGGATCAGATGGAGATGGTAGATGAGATGACAGAGACAAGGGTGTTAGTCGTTCTGGGCACGGATCCGTCTGTACTCCACGCGAACGAGCCAGAAGAAGTAGGGGTTTATGACCTTTTGTCTTCTCGAGCTCAGAGGCATCGTTGCCGTTCTCCGCGTCCTCTTCTATCTCATAGCCAACGTGAGAGGAAGCATAGAGTGGCGAATGCTGACTAAAAGATGTCCGCTTCGAATCAGAGGGTGCCACGGAGCGCGCTGGGGAGGGCGGGGGTTCCTGTGACAAATGAGCCTTTGACCTTACTAATGTGAATGGAGCCTTACGATATTAATACGCATGCCATGGTCGGATCCTGGATTCCGTCTACTAAAACCGAACACCTGAAGACAAATTAATCAATAATTCCATGCTACCAAAGCAATGTAGCTCACTGGAAGATCTTTGACCTTTATCGACGATAAGCTACTCGACGAAAAGTGTCTTGTATGGGATGGGTTGACTGTGCCTATTCTTAGCAACATATACAATTCAAAGAATTGTATCACTTTACCAGCTGGACGTGGTGAAGGAGGAGGATTTGCGCGTTGTTCATCAACTTCCTCCTGTAGCGCGTGTAAATCCTCGCGTGACTCCGTGAGCAAACGTTGCAACTCTGCGTTATCCCGCTTCAAAGTCTCACTATCGTTAACCAGAGATTCTAGGACTTTGGTAAGCTCGTCTTCTTGGGCCATTGCGGTAACACCGACTTGCTATGTGACTGGTTGAGCAATAAACAGTAATTCGTTCGGTAGAACTTACTGATTTACGGACGGACTCAATTCTCGAACGTGCATCCTGGATAATTGATTCTGAAGACTCCAAACGATGGAGTCTTTTCTCTTCCAAAGAATCTTGAAGACGCCTAACCTCTGCTTGTAACTTATCTACGTTACGCCCGATCAATAATGAGAGTGGGCAGGAAATCGAAGCTTACTCGTCTTGTCTTTCAACGCTGCGAACCTAGACTCCGCCAGTCGAGCCCTATGCGTTTCACTATCTCGCTCCTGCTGCATGTCCTCCCTCTCCTTCATGGCTGCCGACAAACGAGTGTCCCAGCCTATGGAACGAGCATGGTGTGCCGTTAGACGAGATATTGTTTCGCGCGCGTCTTGTAATTCCTGAAGGATTGTCTTGTTGGATATTTCAGTGACTTCATTGTTGACCAACGCTTGGTTTAGGCGCTGTCCGAGATGTACGTTAAGATGAGGGAGATTCATGTGGACGGTCCTGTTCACCTTTTCCAACTGTGCCTTCTCCCTCGCAGAATCCTCTAGGCGCGACTCTAGATCATCCTCTTTCACATCCTTCTTCGTTACTTCGCCGTCGGGGTCACTGGCCTCTCTCCGGTTGGAAGTACATCGCGTCCGCCCAGCCCCCTTCTGCGAGTTGTATTCCAGTTAGTCGGCGCAAAGGAGATCCGGTGAACGCTCACCTCAAGCTGGCGCACGTATGCCTCGTGCCGCTGGAGCAAGGCCTGTCCCACCTCTAATAGCGACCTTAAGTACGCGCCCACTAACACGACCAATGACATACTTACCTGCACTAAGAATCAACCTGCTCTCGAGGCGAGATTTCATAGCAAGCCAAGACACCACATTCTCGCAATCTTCTTTGCCACAGCAGCACGTAAGAGTAGATGGAGGTTCGGGGGACGGCACACGCGAGAAATTGGTCAAAGCAGTGGTTAGGTCGTCGATTGTCGTCGTTGCATGGTGGAGGCTGTTGGTCAAGGGCGATTCTGGTGTTGTTGGTCGAGAAACGTCGTTGTTCATCGTTGTGTTTGAGTTGACGCGGGTCAAGATCTAGAGTGATAGCGGTGAAATGACATGGGTGCACTGTGCCAGAATATCGGCGATCGCGATCGGACAATTGTCACTCCGTCGCCAACTTCGCCAACAAAGGCAATCTCGGATCTTCTGGTCTACACTTCGTTGAAATATCATTAGAAAAACTATAATACACCCCAGAGTAGCAAATTAAGTAAACAGTATTTTGTGTATGTGAGAGGAAAGCAGATGAAAACGGGATTGATGTAGCGAGATAGATACGGACACAGATAAATGAACAATGCGAGTAATGACTGAGAGAAACCACTATGCAATCATGAGTGCTACCAAGCCGGGGATCCAGTTGATCATTTTGGTTGCGTGGCCGCGATTTGGCGGTAGAAACTGGAAGCTGTTGGCAAGGCCCTGCATTCCGAGCTCGTCAAGAGCATTCAGATGCGTCCGGCCGGGTCCTGCACCATTTTCCTCGATCGTTCCGAGGGTTGAGGTCGACCCACGGGGGTTCGGGGTTCGCGAGTTGTCTTGCAAGGCGACGCGGAAAATATTGGACACAGAGCGTATGATTGGCGCATTAGACGAATTGGCAAAGGTATCCTTGATTCTGTCCTGGAGACTCTCGTACCTGGAATATGGAGACGATCAGGACATGAAAATGAAATAGATCGTAAAACTCACGTCATCGTCACGATTTCAGGATTCGTGTTCGAAAGTTCTGATAAAAAGCCATAAAGAATCTCGGTCTCCGTGTCATCACCCTGGGCCGTGGTAAGAATAGTACCAACGAACGAAGCGGCCAGCAATGCAGTGTTTGAATCGTTGATACCAAGGAAAGCAGGAGTGACTTGGGGGGTCTGCTTATCGTCATCTTCATCTGCAAGGCCAGCTTCAGGAAGCCAAGCATCGTCGATGATGCATTCCTTCAGTAATTGGCGATACGACGCTTGAGTTGTTGAAACAGGAATGAGGGCCAAGAAATATCCTAGGATCTCAGTGCAGGGGTTTTCCTTGAAGCCATTCGGTACATCGATGTTGGATTCATGCGCCCGTGCGGTTACGCAAAGCAGGCTTCGCAGGGCAGCCTCAGCTGAGTCCTTCAATCCAGAGTGTCGCATCCCTTTGAAGATAATCGAAGCCAGGGAGAACGAGAAGCTGGTGTCAAACGACAACCTAAGCATCTCATCCAACTGCCCAGTAACGTCCTCCAGGCCAGACCGATTCTCCAAAAGGACCGCGGAGACTGAAGTGTTCTTGAACATGCCCTGCTCCTCCATATGCTCTAGTGTTACACGTAGTAAAGCCGTTGCTTCGATATAGAATGCTAGATGACTTGATTGTAGAAGGGCAGTGGCCAACCAAAAGAGGGAGGGGATGTATCTTGAGTTCTCTTGAATAGCGGGGACTATCTTGCATAAACATCGAAGCATGCTGACGATGGACATTGTGTGTGTCTCGTTAGCCTTTGATAGGGCCGTACGAAGCGCGACAAGAATTTGGTAAACGAAGTCATCATCAACCTCTGACGTTGCTAGTGTCCCGAGAGCGATGAAAGATCGAGTCTGCACCGCAGGAGAAAGCTGAAATGCTGTGGCGGTGACCAAGCTCATCCATCGAGCGCGCCAGACGTTCAGTAAGCCTATATTACATCTGTCAATCGAAATTTTATTGATATGCTTCAAACACATACCTCGAGACCCAGCTGTCATCTCCAATATTCGAACAAGAAGTTGTGTCAGTTGTTCTTGATTGTCAAGCGCTTCTTTGTCGTTCGCTGGATCCCATTTGATGTATTCACTAGTTGGCGTTTCACGACGAAGACCGAACAGCTGCAACGTCGAGGGAAGGGTGCAATCATTGATGAACTGAAGGAGTTCAGGGCCCGGGACATCGTCTGGTCTTGAGATGTATAGGCACTGCAAAAGGTTAATCACGATGCCGTAAACAGACTTCCGGACCAGGGATGGGCCTTCTCCTGCCACCAACGTTACAAGATGGACGATTTCGGGTACGTAGAGCTGGTTCTGGCCACTTTGCTTTGACTGGGATCCTACAACCAAAGCCAACCGAATGAGGGTAGAAATCTCGTTCCAGTTGGGATGTTCGGAGAGGGAGTTTGAAACTTTTGGCGGCACCTTGCTCAATGCCTAATAATGGGGATTGATTAGACTGTAGAACCCCGCCAACTAATCGACATACCTTGCGCAATTTCGAGTAAATACGACCTCTGACATTGATAGAAGACAGTGCAGCCACAATGTGGCATATGGTCTCACATCTTCTCGTTCCAATCCCACCATCAGTGGCCGTTCGAACCAGTTCGTCCAGGATGATGTCCACCAACGGTGACTCAAGCCTTGCAACCTCGCCCCATATATGCTTCTGGATCGTAGACATGATCTGATGGTTGGTGAGCTAAATATTCTCGGACGAGGACACAAACCATACCTCAGGGAATGAGACTGATAGATCGGACAAGGTTCGTATGCAATCCCGTAGTCGAGCTCCTGAACGTTCAAAGAGTGGACTCGTTGCGTTCGCGAAATGCGCGAGGTTTCGGATCCAGGGACTCATGTACTGCAAACAGCTAATGCGTTGCGCCATTGCACTTCTATCCATCCCAGTCATGGCTGCAGAAACCTCATGAACGAAATCAAGAGTTAACTGCGGTGCGAACTCTGCTAGCTTATCGCTCAGCTGGAAAACGAAAGAAATGGGATCCCCAGGAACAAAACCAGCTTTTCCTCGTCAGTCTTGATTACATTTGAAGGGAGGGTTAAGTACCTTTACATGCAACGATGGGAGTTTTGTCATATTTCAGATATGTGCAGACGGCACCAAGGAGGTCATAAGCAGCCCCCCGGAGGTCCTCATCATCGAGATCAACGCTAAGCAGACCAACATGCAGGAGCGTGGCAGGAACGTTCGAGAATCGGGAGAATCGTTCTGTCAATGGCGCTTGGGCTTCTTTTAGGCGAGCTTTTGCGGATCGAATTGTCTGCAAAAGATGTTCGTTTTAAAAAGCTAAGTTGAGATGAGGGCAGCAAAATCATACCTTCACAATGATGTCTCGCGATACTGAGGCAAAATAAACCGTAACCCCTTGCCTCCGACGTATGATAAACTCATTGGGCTCGAAGCCAGTTGAAATGTTATAAACATCGCTGACGTCTGAAAGAGGTATTACTTCGGTCGATTTGCTAGCAAGGCCAGGAGAAATGGGAACTGTTTTGATCTGATAACAGTTAGCGTCTACTGTGGAAAATCTATGATAATCACACACCGAAGTAACTCGAAGATGACTTGATCCGACATCGAGCACAACTGGTAGCCGCATGTGTGATACTTTCATGGTCACATCCGAAAATTTCTCGCAAGGTTCGTGCTCCAGAGCGACTTGTAATCAAAGTATGAGTAAGGCGTAAGACAGATTATATGGAAGCCATACCAGGATTAAGAAGGGCTTGTAATGCGAGTTCAGGGACGTGCTCCACAAGCTGGTAAATGGACGTGTAGGCCCTGATGTCGTTACAGAATGGAGTGCCTGCATGAAGTTTGTTTAGTAAATCGAAGACATTGATGAACGTTAGAACTTGCCTGCAGAGACGTTGTACAAGCGACGCATATACTTTTGCATTAGGGTATTGGGATTGAGGATGTGCGTTGTTTGGAACCGTGCACGAATATTCGAAGGAATTAACTCCGCACAATACTTTAACCATTGAAGAGGAACCTCTGAGATTGACGAGAAAGAAGTGCAATCCAGGACCACGTCGAAATGTCGGCCAGAATATGTGTCTAGATCGAGTGTCTAAATAAATAAATAGATCACAGTGAGAAAAGTTACATTGACAACCGTGCGGTTTACCTTGAAGATATAATACATCAGCAATTCGATATCCAGTGCCTCAACGTCAATGTTGGATAACCGCAAAACAAAAACCGCGCGTTGACCCTGCAACATCGGTTAGCTAGTATGGATTGACTCGTAAGCGGCACACGCACGGAGGGTATGTCGGTCTCAACAAATAACTTTTTCATCGATTCCGTATTTCGGTGTGCATATCGCGCCATTAAGTCAAGGTATTCACGATGTTCCGAGGATTTCGTAGTAGAGGGTCGAGGGACTTCTAAAGGCGACCCCAGATCTACTAGCAAAGCACATAAGCCATCCCAGGCGCGTTTCCCGTTGATTGCTGTGATATCGCCATCTGCAGAGGGCTTCGACAGACTGAGCAGTTCTTTGCCAATTTTGTCTGCGTGTTTATCGAAGAACCTGTGTAACACGATCATATCTGTGTCGTCTGAAGTGGTTCCCTGCCAATGGTCGTCTTCTTCCTCTGAGTTAGGTGTATATTTCTTCTCAATAGTCAGAAACATCGCAAATAGAATGGTTTGTTTGAACTCACGTTGAGCTCACTAAGGAAGCGAGTTACTCCGGCAATATTTACCTCCAAAAATTTGTTTAGTCGGGTCATATGCGCCTCTTTTCCGAAGAAGATGTTGTTCGCAAGGTTTTGGATGATTTTCGCGACGACCATCAATCCTCGACGCAGCGTTATGTCGTTCTTAGGTATATCCACGTCCACGATCTCCGGAGAAACAATTGCCGGCGAAATGAATCTTAAAAACGAGATGATGAAAACCTCAATAAAGTATATTATGCCGGGATGACTGACCTCAGGAAGATGAAAGCGCCCATTGCAGAAAACTTGGAGTCTGGCCAAACCTGTGAGCTATACGAATATTTCAGTCCCAAAATCGAGAGGCTTGGAAGAAGTGTAACTAACACAGTCTTGGCAATATGGGCACATATTTCACGGAACATACTGTTGGGTGATCAGCTAAATTTCTCAAACGATTGTGGGGAAACCTTACTTTGGAAGCGATTGCTGCGAGGAGATGATGAGGGTAAGGAAAGTGGTTGCCACGAACTCCACATTCTTATGATTTTGCTCGAGGTCTTGTCCGGGCGCAATTTTGTTAGGGTCGACTTCATAACCCGAACCAGGTGGCATGGACTGCATGGTTTGAAGTAAGGGTTGAACAAGATTCCTGAGGTAGTGATATCCATGAATGCGAGCAAAGGCGGATAAAAATCTGGTGCATGTCGAGTTACTTCGGAAAAGGCCTGCTTCAGAGTCTGCGAACTAAGCGTCAAAACAACTTTTCCTCTCCTTGATAGGCGAATTTACCTGTTTGTGCAACTTCGTGCTCAATCATACGTTTGATCAAGGTCATCAACGAAACCCGTGTATCAAAAATGTTGAGCAGGACAGAAATCATCATGTCAACCTCTGCTGCTGGACAAATCTCACAAACTGTCAACGCGAGTACCATCTAGGTCGCATATCATCATCCAAAGGTCTTTTGGGAGAGGTTTGGAAAACTTACATCTGATCCCCTAAGCAGCTGCAGGTATTCATAATTAGTAGTCCTAAGCCCGCGATCAATTGACTACGCACGTCGCATAGCCGTGAATGTCGGGCTTGAGCTGCAGATCGGTCTTCTGGGTCGAACTTGGTTCCTTGACCGATCACCCGAGCAAAAACATGGGCAAAAATGGTTCGTTTCCGATTATCTTGATCGTAAGCCAACGGAAGGCACTGCTTGAACCCGCTTTCACTGTTAGCGCTGACTAAATGCGTCAGCCCAGTGATGACGAGTTCGCGTAGCTCGGCTTCTTTCTGAGATGTATGTATCCTCTGAAAGAAAATTCAGGTCATGTTCGTGGACAAAGAAGGAGCAAGGCTTGCCTGGTGTATTGAGCCAAGTTCCGATGTACTGTCGGACGTCTGAGAGAAATATGAGCAACTATTCCAACGAACGGACTGTAGAACGGACTAGACCATCACTTTGGCAAGCCTCAAGGCTTTGAAGCAGTGCCCCCGCATATCTGTTGAAAAGGCGCGATACTACGTGAACGCTATCGTCGCCAGTCTGCGAGCCGTCAAGAGGTCGAAGTTCTAGACGATCCAGGAGCTTGACCGCGATCCGCAAGCACGCAAGGTTGAGCTCATTGTACAGCGTAGTTGCGTTGTCGTCCATTGCCTGTATGGGTTCAGAAAGCTATATCCAGGAGATTCTTGTACCCAACTCACGTTTGCAGGTTGAATCCAGTCCAAAACCAAATCAAGGATAGAATGACGAGCATTGCAGTCTCGTCGAAGGGTCAAGATGTCTGGACGATCACAGACGCTTTCACAAAACACGCAGAATTTGATCTTGATGCGAAATGAGGCAGGCTCTTCGAAGCGAGAGATAAAATCCGCCAATGTCAACATTGTTGAACTAATGTCAATGCTCATGACATCTTCCATAGGGAGTTGTGTGTTTTCGACGAGAAGTTTTAGCACTGCAATGAACTTTGAATTGAAATGACTATCGAACCTTAAAAAAGATGTGAAAACAGCTTACCTGATCCAAAAAGAGTATGTATGGGTCCGTCAACTCAGAACCTGCACCCTGTTCAATGTTGCGAATAGTACTTGATTTGAAAGATTGAGCGGAATTCATCATAACCAACATGAACCCACTCACTCGTCCAGACTCCTGAGAAGCTTCGAGTACAACCGAGGACTTAATTCAGAACCCAACGCATCTCTAGCAACATCACGAATGTGCATATCAGACGCGACCAGAAGGTTGATGAGATCGGAAATGAAGGCTTCGACGAGTGGAAGGGGATTCTGAACCACCCGCATCTTGTCCGGAAGATACTTTGGCGGAATCACATTTGCTAAGGAGATATCTTGTTTGTCGAGGATGCATACGCCGCCAAGGACAGCTAAGAACAAAGTGAGATTTTGCCATTGGAACCGTAGATCCTGGCGAACCATAAGTAATCGCAAACGAGGTCATATAACCAAAACAAACGTACTTGTGCCGGGGGTGGTCGATCGCCTCCGTCTGGGCTTTCGTTTAGAGACTCAAAGATCGTCTCAGATAAAGCGCGCCATCTCCAATAGCACTCTTCCCAAACGGCGACATGAATGCCAGATGAAAACGATATCAGACGCAAAAGCTTCCGAATTCGTTTTTGGTGCCCAACACGTCCTGTCATCATTTCATGAGTGGACAGTAGGGCTCTCAAGATGATAACTGAACTCACCAACAACCACAACTTTGGGATCTCCAAGCTGCTCATAGATAAAATTCCGCTTTGACCTCTCTTCCTCTGAAACATTTTCATTGACAGGTGCATCTGGCTGGCGGTCTGCATGAGAAAGAAGGCGAAGGCCTTTCGTCGCTAACTCCGAAATGCCACTATCCGCGGAGGTCAGTGCAACAAGCAGCGCGATTTCGGCTAAAAGGAAGGCTGGGACGCGACCAGCATCAAGCTGGATTTCTTTGACATGTTCAAGCTTCGAGTAATGTCAGCGAAAGTCTGAGGTTTGCCCACTGCAAACTCACGTCACTCCTCCGAATGTAGACCTGAAGTATTTGATGCGATATGGCAATCCACAGACGCTGTTGCTCCGCATCCTCACGAGTATCAAGCAAACTTGCAACGACGCTAAGCAAGGTTATAGGTCTAAGAAGAAAAAAGTTAAGCTATCGCCTGTAAGAAAAAGATGAAAGCACTTACAATGAGGCTTTGATTATCTCCACCATAAGAGAATGGCTAGGATCCGACGAGGGCATCAAGAAACACAGTTCTGTGATTGCGCGGAGGCAGCTCGCCGTGGAAGCCTTGACGGATATATCAAGTGGCGCCGCCCACAGCTTAACAGCAACTGTCATCCAACTGTCGATTTCAGGCTTACTTATACCTGACATGAAGAACAACGGTGAATTACGCCAGAGGGATAAAATCGCCAGCATAAGAACTTCTCGATCAGCGAGAGGCTCTGGTAAAGTCCGTTTCATCTTGGGTCGATTGGCTATCCGTTTCGCACTCCCAAGGTGATCAACCTCCGGACGGCGAGAGCTGGCAGCCTACAAAGAAGTTGAAAAGGCGAAGACGATGGTAATGAACCTGAAGAGGGTTACCTGGACTTTGAGAAGATCTCGACAACGAGGTGCGATAGACTCTTGTAGGCTATCGACCGAGCGCTGGAAGCGGAATCGAGAAGCTTCTTGTATCAACGTCAGACAGGCTCGAACAGCGCAAATTTTGACGGCTTCAGATCGCTCAGGTGCAACGCAAGCAGAAAACAAGTGGACCGAATCCTCTAATGGCAGGAACCGGAAAACTGCGACCAGAGCATCAGCATAGAGCGCAACGTCTATATCTTCGCTCGATTCCCAAAAGGGCTTGCGACCAGCACTGCTTGCAAGTGCGCTCTGTGCAAAATAAACGTAAGAGTCGCAACATACAAATTGAAGGGGATAATTGCCTTGATCTCGTGCGCAATGTCCGCCGCAAGCAACCGCAAAGGAACCTCTCCCTTGGTGTCAACGTACGCCGCAGCTCGACACATATCCACTGCGCAGGCAAGACCAACTTCTGCTTGCTTCGAATTGCTATTGACGTATCTGAGAACGTCTTCCGTGAACTTCAGCTCCGGCTACAGTCGGGCTCTATCAGACTCTTTCCCGTTTGACAAAGAGCGAAAAAAGGCACCTTTCTTGATTTCTGAAGAGAGCCATATTGTGAAAGCTGAAGGTCTGCCGGAATTCTGTCAGACGTGATGCAATTCAGAATGGTTAGTACAGGCCAGAAAATCTTCTCGTTTCCTGTCGTTGTCATTGAGTATAACAGATCAAAGACACGCTCAGGTGCCCCATCCATCCTTCCCCTTGAACGAATGGCATCGTTGAATTCGTGAGGAAACCTGTCGATCCAATTCCAAACAGCAGACCTCAGCGAAACAGCAATCGCGAGTTGGGCTTCACGCCCCATGTTAACGAGTAATGAGGAAAGTTCTATAAGCGGTAATCGTAAGGGACCAGTCAGGTGTGTTCAAAAGACAACGAACCATTAAGAAGGTAAATTAGACGCTGCCTGTCTAAAGCACCGTGCGTCATGAGTTGAAGATCAACTGTATCGGGGTTATCCTCAGGACTACTGCCAAGGTGGCGAATTTTAGTTCGTAGCCGACTGAAAACGACTGCCCAATTGGAAACCGAGATGTGGAAAATAATGCGGCCAGCAAATTTGGCAATGAGGCCATTAACAGATAATGATGACTTTAGAAAAGACATATGAGTCTTCTCATATCCAGTGTTGGTAGCTGGGATGCGTATAGTGGAATGAATGCTCGTCTGGATTGACCTGACCGATACAGAAGAAGGCTGAGGACGAAGCGGAGCCTCCGGTGGAGCTTGGAAATCTGGATCTGCCGTCTCTTGCATCCAGATATTGATGTTCTCGATCGACTCAAAATCCCGAAAGGAAAGGTCAGTCGATCGAAGGGCGAGCATGAGTGGAACGTCAGCTGACGCTGTCTGGCGAAGGAAGAGTACCATGACACTCAAGATATACTTGGCACATGAATCGTCTAACGGTGCTAGTTCCGATTGTGCGGGAACTGATGGAATGTCGGACGGCGCCTGTCGGTATCGCTTTGTCGGGCCGTTGGAAAATGGAGAATCGGGGGAGATCAATGAAGGGCGGTCACTGGCACGAGATGGAGACCGAAGATCGCGATTCCAACGTGACGCCATGGTCATGGACAACACCTTGAGAACGAAGAGCTGAGATTGTAGAACCTCGATGGAAAAGTGTCCAGAATTTGGGTCCGTTTGCTGCATCACGCATGTCAGTCGCTCCTCAACGTCCCATCAAAGGATCGCTCACCTTTGCCAATCTATCTAAAAGTTCACTCAAAGCCCACGCAATCATATCAAGCGAGTCATGAGATAGCTCAACAAGAGTTTCAATCGCTTGTTGTGTTGGATTATCAGCCTCGACACGATCCAATGATAGGCCCGAGTTACATGGAAGCTAATGAGATAAGGCAAATGAGGACGTGTCAAACGTCAAAGATGAGTTTGTTTACCTTGTGCTTCAATCTGTTGACCAGAACCTGCACAATCTTTTGTTGAGGTGTGGCTGAGGCTCCCAATGAAAGAAGTGAATGCTGCTGGGACGAAGAAGTGGCGACAAAGGCATGATGGGAGTCTGTGCTCTTGTGCACGCGAGCCGACCCGGCGTTGTTTGAGTGCCCTACAGATGCAGACGGCCGGCGAATGGGCATGTCCTGGCAAAATGTTGTGTTGGTAACTGTAGTCGTTGATGATTATGACGCGTGAAACGCCGCCTAGAGGGTCAAACTCGCAGGCCCCGAAGAGTGTTTTGTATAATTATCGTGAGAGACAAGAGCTCGGAGCAATCCAGGTGCGACCAGGCTGCTACCAGGAATGTGTCCGAGTCGCTGAGGACAACGGAAATTCACAGAACGAGTGAGGCCAACTGCCGCTGACTAAGCGGCAATGCCAAGCAAACGGCGGTACCAAATTTGGTCAGTGCTGATAGCGCTGATTCCCAGCTCACCATCATGGCGGTAACGCTATAAGAGCTCGAGCTCGTTCCTCTCATCAAGATTCTTTCTATGGAGGAAACTCTGATTTTTTGAGTTTTCACAACACTGCTATTTTTTTTCTGTCCGGAATTGATTGACCAAGCTTCAAGAGAAACCTCGTTCATAAATTCAAAGAACAGTGTACTGAAGTCAATTTCTATCATACGTATTTATTTAACCCGCTCGCAACCAAAATAATCACTGGCGCTGTTACAGTTATCCCGCGTCCACGCACATTGACGTTGGAACCGTGTTAAGTGCCATGTTAGTGATAATTGGTTTTAAAGGGAAGGAAATGCTTTGATGGGGGTGCCGAGGTACGCATAATAAACCGAATGCAGGATCGAGAAGAACCGGCTCAAAATAGAGATGTAGAGATTATCATAGATCCATGTGGTGCTATAGTGTAGTGGTTATCACTCGGGATTTTGATGTGCTGGGAATAGTAATCTTTCCCGAAACCCAGGTTCGAGCCCTGGTAGCACCTGTGACAGCAAAGACCAGTGGAGTCTATTTTTTTTTTTTTGTGATAACGATGAGTTCAAGCAGTGGTCCCATCAACGTTCAACAACATGCTGCCTTCAGCTTGTCAAGGCTCGTTGTTCTCCGCCTTCACGGCACCTCTGAGGAGGCTGGTGGAAATTCGCGCACAATAAACAAGAGGAAGTGCGAGAAAAATAGCGGCGCTGGCGGGGGCTGGCGTGCGACAACAAGTAAAATGCGACGAAGAAGTATTACTTGAGATCCTGACGGACGTGCGGTTGGATGTCGATATGGCTGGTACACGACAGTCATCTTAACGTGGTGCTGTAGTGCAAGATTTCGACAAAGGTGCATCAGAGTCGAGTCTTCTTTCCCAAAACCCTGGTTCGAACCCTGGAAGCACCCATCCACTCCATGTTTCCCCCTTTTTTGCTTTTTGCAAAGCGCTATCACTAGCTGGACTCCATGGCAAAATTGTGTATAATAACCCAACCAAAATTCCGGAAGGCAAGACGAAAGAAATTACAATCAAGAGCGGCGAGGATTGCTCCGACAAGACTCTAAGAGATTATTTCCAAATCCTGGATGGACGTGCGGACGGAGAACAATGGCGTGCGTCAATAATATCTGCCTACCAGCGGCTCCAGTGCATTCAAAGGGTTAGACGTGCCTAGCTTCCCTCTCAAACCTGGACAATACGGCAGTTCAGTCCTGTGATCAGCTCACGCGTAGGTGCAGACGAAAAGTAGCGGGCACCAGTCGCGTGAAGGGGGATCACAAGACTCTGGTCGCCTTGGAAATTTATTTGGAGTCAGTATAACTATTTTTGTGTTTTACACTGATACTTTTTGCGACAGACCGTTCGTATGGTGGTCCCCGGTTCCAGTTAAATAAAAACTGTGGACTTGATCACACCGCAGGGCCTTGTTGACACCTTTCAGGCCGCTTGCCTATCTCGTCGCCTCGCCTCGATCACGCCCGCTGCAATGCCTGAAGGGAAACATGAACCCAGAATAATGGTGTGGCGTATTCCTGTGTTGAGATGCTTGTTCAACAGATCGGCTTGCGGCGCGTTTAGTGTGGTATAAATCGAGATATGGCCAACGCTCACTTGGTAAAAATTTGAATGGGTAATATTTGGTGCTGTAGGCTGCCCCACGGAGTTTTTGAAAGACCAGGACGCGCATGAGGAAGATATCAAGTAGCCAGTATCGTGCTGTCCAAGGCCGAACTTGAAACCTCCACGGAGTAGAAGGGCTCCCTCATTGAACCTGGTTGGAGCACCAAAAGTGGATCTGCCATGCCAACAAAGTACCAGTTGAACAATCCGTTAAAGGCAGCCTGACGCGTGGAGCTATACGCCCATTCTCGGTCCGCAATGGTGGCAACGACAGCGAGGTGCGTTCTGACTTGCGGGGACAATGGCTGTTCACAACGCTGGATTGAATTATCTTAACCTGAGCTGAGATATCAAAGCTCGAAGTTTCCCCGTGGTCCATTGTTCGCTCGGAATGGAGACAACCTCGGAGACAGACAAGAGTAGGGAAATCGGATGTGGGCGAGCCTTTGTCTCCGGGCATGTCTGAGTATGCCCCGTTGAACCCATTTCCTCCGTAATTAGATTCCCTTGAACATCGCTATGACACATGAACCAGAGCGGCGGCTTTGTCATCTGCGGCACAATGGCATCATGCTTGACGGGGACGCGGAGTCAGAGGCACAGGATTAGACCGAGGGTAGAGAACAATGCAGCCCGCTCGCGTGGCGAACAGCAGGAATCCTGATCGCTGACTCTGGCTGGAGTCATTTTGGAACAACAAGACAGAACAAGACACAAGGGTGTCCCATTTGATATTTGGACAAGAATGGCGGGTTGGTTGTCGTTCCCTGACTGAGGAAAAACGTCAATGGGAGCGAGAAATAAATCGTCAACCCACCCAGGTCCTTGCCCAGGTCGTTCGTTTACTGAGTACCGTGAGGATTTTGTGGACGCGAACCTGATAGGAAGAACACAGCCACTGGACCCACAAAGTTACACAAATGCTTCGAAAGCTCACGATCCTCCTGGAACTGACGTTCATGATCTCGGAACCATCACCCCATTGTTCTCCCGATATATCGACTCTGGCACTTGATATGCATGCACTTGGAGCTTTCAGACAATGAATTGCGAAAACGTATCAGCACAGGCACTCTTTCAACCCCACCATGGCCTTATTTCGGGCATCCGAAATCGTTTGGTTCGTGTTTGAATCTGGTGACAATGACTCCAAGAGGTGGTGAGCGCAGCAGATACGAAATAGGGGCGCGGGAAATATATAGTTGTTATTCGCTACTGGGGTTTCAAATAGCTGCGTGCCTATAAACACAACATCGGCAATCGGAGCCAACACATTTTCGCCCCCTTGGACCACACTAGGTTCTTCTCCTTCGCCCCGTCGTCCGCGATCCTCCTCTCGTCCTCTCGCTGTTTGCCATCCAATTTCTTTTCGGTCGCTTTCTAGTCGTCATTTTGCAAATTAGTTGCTCGTCGCTATTCTTACCATTCTAGCTTCGTCTCCGCTGTCCATCTTCTCGCTTCACGTTTCGTCCTTCGCTCGGCTGTTTTGCTGCTTCTGATACTCGGGAAGAAAACTTTCAACCATTCTGTATCGCTTTCCACCATCATCGTGTTTTTTTCCACATAAGAAATCCTTGCCTTTTTTTAAAATTGACCACTATCCCCATTCCGACGACAGTCATGTCGCGCACAGATCAACAAGATTTCGAGTATCCGCCAGGGTTGGGTGCTTTCCAGGTTCGCGGGGGCGGTGAGCGTGATCCTTACCAACACGCGTCGTCGCTGGCAACGTACGGCTCGCAGGATCGCCGTCAATCGATTGGAATCCAGAGTTATTCGTCGTACGGGGGATTTGCACCGCGTTCGCTGGAGCAGAAAGAGTATGGTTTTGGGGTTGGAGACTTCTCTTCTGGACCAAACAGACACAATCCTAGCTCGTCCAACACGCATTTGCCATTGCGATCCTTCTCTCCCTTCAACCACCATCTAACCCGCCTTTCCCCTCCCTCTCCTCCTCCGTCCCTTCTCTCCCAGGCCGCCTTGTATCAGACCAGCTCCCCTAACGACAGAGACGCCCAGTATTACCGCCAGTCCCCTAATTCACTGCTCGCTAACAACACGAATTCCTCACGCTCAACGCTCTGGTGGGGAGAAATTGAGCCCTGGATGGACGAAGACTACGCCAAACAAGTCTGCACCCTCATGGGCTGGGATCCTGTCAATATCAAGGTTCCTCATCCGGCCCCAGATCCTGCTACCGGTCAGCAGGCCAACAATCCCGGCTACTGTTTCCTCACATTCCCCACCCCCTCCCATGCCGCCTCCGTCCTCGCCCAAGTTAATAGTGGCCCGAAGACTAGTCCGGTCACTATGCCTAACTCGTCCAAGCCTTTTGTGCTCAACTGGGCTTCCTCTGTAAATTCGGCATCTTCTTCATCGCCCACGCCTGACGCCTTTGTTTCCAGCAACGGGATGTATGCGGCATCTGCGCAGCAGCAGTATCCTAAAGAGTACAGCATTTTTGTTGGAGATCTTGCTCCCGAGACATCCAACTCGGATCTGGTGGCCGTTTTTCGTAATCCTGTGCTCGGTCTCCGTAATGATAGGGAGCCAAAGTTCATTCGACCGTTTCTTAGCTGCAAGAGCGCCAAGATTATGCTCGACCCAGTCACAGGAGTTTCTAGGGGCTATGGCTTTGTTCGGTCAGTTGTTGTTTTCCGCATATAGTGCGGCCTTCTGAATTTCATATACAGCTTTACCGACGAGGCTGACCAGCAACGCGCTTTGATCGAAATGCACGGACTTTACTGTCTCTCTCGACCAAGTAAGTTTTTATGTTTTCGATGCGCATATATTTACTCATTTCAAACAGTGCGCATCTCTCCGGCAACTGCAAAGTTTAAGCCACCTGCAACTCTACCTCTGATGGACCTTCCTCAAGTGCAATTTTCGCCTCCTAGTGTTGGGGCCGTCGAGCCTCAGAACCAACCTATCACACTTGCTCTTCCGCTCCCGAATTCTACCCAGACTAAGAGTGTTTCAGCGCCCATCGCATCTGGATCCTCCAACGGTTCCCTCATTGGTACTGGGGTGGCTGGATCCACCTCAGGCTCGTCGATAGGCGGGTCCACGTCCAGCAACTCTCTGAGCACTGGTTCCGATTCCAGCCTCAGTATATCCACGTCTGGCTATGGTTCGGCAACGTCTGCAATTTCAGACGAAATGATGAGCCTTCCCAACAACGTTCTCGCTCAAATTGCGCAACAGTATGCCAATGGTGATGCCAGTCCCATCAAAACAAGCAACGCCGGTACTTCGTATGCCCATGAACAACAATTGCGACAGGTTTTGAGTTTGGCATCTGAGGATGGACCGCCAAGATTTACGATCTCTGAGGAGTCTTGGAAGCATCACGCTCAGGCTAGAGCTATTCTGGGCAATTTGATCGGTCCAAATGGAGAGCAACTTACGTCCACGGATCCGTACAACACCACTGTCTTCGTGGGGGGTTTGTCACCACTGATTTCTGAGGATACTTTGAGGACCTTCTTTGCTCCGTTTGGGGACATTCACTATGTAAGCCTACACTGTCATACTTGGACGTCGATTCCCAACTAAACTCCAAATAGGTCAAAGTGCCGGTTGGCAAACACTGTGGCTTCGTTCAGTTTGTTCGCAAAGCTGATGCGGAGAAAGCGATTGAGAAGATGCAAGGCTTTCCAATCGGCGGCAGCAGAATTCGGTTAAGCTGGGGTCGCAGCCAATGTATGTATTTACCTTCATTGATAGGCCAATCTGACACTCATATTCTACACAGATAAGGCTGCGCAGGCTGCCGCACAGGCCGCTCAAGCTGCTGCCCTTCAGGCGCAGTATGCGGTCCCTACTGTCCCCAACGCCATGACGCAGGAGCAGGCCATCCAACTCTTACAGAAGTTTACGATACAGCAAGGGTACCTCGGCAACACTAACAGTTCCCCATTGGACGGAAGTGACGGATCCGCAGGATACATTAACTCTCTCCACAACGAGATTTTTGCGGACCAGAAGGGGCGAGGGTCGCTGGGGATACCATCAGACGACCTCCCGCCAGGGCTCGACTCCTTCTCTCCAGGATACATGCCACGTCCTGAAGTTAATCGGGCATTGTCTACTTTCTCCCCATTCTCTCCAGATCCGAATTTGTATGCAGAGAGCAAGAGACGGGACTCGACTTCACGCCTGGAGACACTGCCTCACCCGTTCAAGGCGTACGCACCTGGCTTCTTTCCATTACAGACACAGGACCTGAAGATCGGAAACGGGGGTTCGGCAACTGGGCTAGAGAGAATTTCTCCAACATCTACTAGGCCGTCGAGTGCTTCCCGGTACGGATCATTCGCCGAGAAAGCAGATCCTTCGGCCCCGCATAATCGTGCCCCCGGACGTGCTGAGGCCCCCAATTCGCGGCCATCATCGGGACAGACGTCGTCTCAGCGTCAGGGGGGTCGTGAACAACTAGATTATGATCCTCTTCACGACCTCAACGGGACCCTTGCGAGCCTTGACCTTGATCGTCCCTGGAAATCCTCTGAGCGCATGGGGAATATTCCCAGCAACGGTCAATTCCGAAGGACGCCATCGCCTTGAAGACCCAAGTGCATAACGAACCCTACGCCCCCTCATGCCAAACACTATTTTGCACTTTGTATGTTTTCTCAGAATATTACATCACTATCACGCTAAATCTTACGTGTCATCGGTTGGAGTCGGCTTTGGTCTTATGCGCAGCCTCCATTTTCGCTATTCACTTCAACCATTCGCGAGACCTTTGACCAGTTATATATCATACCCCGCCTTGTATTGATAGGCTTTCTTTTTGTCATCCTCACGACCATGTTTCAACAACAGCATTCCGTTCTTTTCGACATTGTTTCGTCTCGATTCTGTGATTTCGTTACTCTAGTCCCTGCCGTCCACTCTAGCTTCTTGTTTTGTCATAGTTCATGTCAAGTTTCTCGTTGTTCTAATCATTGTCACCAACTCGGATGCGATGCCTGTGAAATCGAATACATACAGCATTTTCCGTGATTGACTCTGGGAACGGGTGCGTTTGGCGATAAGCGCCGTGCATCCAAAAATAGAAAAAGCGCAATTCAGCGACGGTCTGCGGTGACGTCGATGTCCACGTTCACTGGCTGTTTCAAGTTGCTAATTGCACCGCGACCTTTCGCATTGGCTTCACATTTATTTACACTTGAACGGGCCGAGAAATACGATGCTCAGGCGACTGTTAATCCGCTTTCAAGTTGGTGAGCTTAAGTGCTCTTCAGGGTCAGTGTAGCTTTACTTAACCCTGCGTTCCATAGGCGTGATATCACCACCGAAGATTTATTTCTATGGATTCTGCCATGTGGAACTGACTGTTAAGCTTGTCCTACCCATCTTCAACTCGCTACTATATCATTGACAGTTCTCGGCCCACAAACCTTGGCTCGGTCAGTTGAACATGATCAATATTACCAACACTCAGGACACGTAGAAGGCTTCAACTTTGGTGTGTGTGTGCATATCACTGATTCTGTGACCTAGTCCTGACTTTTCGCTCAAGCTGAGGTACGGCTGAACATCGACGGTGTATATCTTGATCCATACATTCCTTTCGACACTTTTGGAGGCACGTCTTTTCGCTTACTTCTTACATTGTCTTAAACTAATGGGCCTTAGCCTTTCTTTTTACAAGGGAAAACCTGCCTGATACTCCTTTGTGGAATCGTCTTCGTGATTGATGCATCAAATGCTGAGTATATGAGCCGGTCAAGGAGAGAACTCATTAGTCTTGTCCATGATACGAAGACGTTGTCGCAACCTATTTTGATCCTGGTTTCCACGGACAACATTTCATCTGAGAAGGAAGAGGCAGATTTGATGGCAGAATGTGATTTCCAAGAAATGATTGCAGAGGTGCGTTCACCATTGTTCATCAGGAAAAAGGGCGCATTGCTTTATTTACCTATTCACCCCCATCCAATCGCTTTATGGAAGGTCAGCAGGATTTACGCGCTTTGGCATTAAATTTGGGTTCATCTTCAACTCAGGTTTTCAATGGCTCGCAAAGAAAATGGAGACGTAACATTTCCTACCTCAGTAATTTCCAATTACTTACTTTCAAGTTCATGCTTGGTGTGGTGCTTACACCCTTTGACTCTCAATACTAAGCAACAAGCCGTGCAATGTTTTGCCACGCAAGAACCACTTTTGATCAGGGACACTTAACGAAAAGTAACACAGTTCTCGTCACGAGTAAACGATCATATATTCGATTGTCCGGTGCTAAGCAAAGAAAAAGTACAAGACAGTCAGGCGTCGGGAACGGACACTATCCTAAAGATTTCACAGTAGTTGAACATTCAAAGGTAATTTGTGTAACTTTAAATCGAGGGGATTGATGAGAATGTGATCACTTGAAGGTGGGAACGTGAACATACCCTAACACCAAGGTCAGGCTAATCACGAATCCAACGGTAAATACCTCCACCCGCGTTGACCCCCCAAACCACACCATCGGTGCCCGCACCGATATCAACCAGGCTACCGCCGATCCCAAGCCAGGGGTTCTTGTCATCGCCTGTGGATGTGTAGATGTTGTTCGCCGAGTTGACCCCCCACACATTGGTTTTTATTCCAGCAGAGATTGCACTGAGGGCACCGGGAATTTTAACCCAGTGATTGGGATCGCCTTGGTCCCCAGTATAACGATAGATTTCGCCAGCGGCGTTGACCCCCCAAACCGTGCCATCGGCACCCGCACCAATGTCGCTGAGGACTCCAGGGATCTGAACCCAGGGGTTGGCGTCATCACCTGTATAACGGTAGATCGCGCCCCCAGCGTTGACTCCCCAAACATTGGTGCGGGATCCAGCAGAGATTCGTTTAAGAGCTCCTTTAATTTGGGTCCAGTGATTGGAATCCCAGACATAGCGGTAGATGTTGCCGGCGGCGTTGACCCCCCAAACGGTGCCATCAGCGGCCGCGCCTATGTCGGTGAGGGCTCCGGGGATCTGGACCCAGGGTTTGGCGTCATCGCCTGTGTAACGGTAGATGTTGTTGGCAGCGTTGACTCCCCAAACATTGGTGACTGATCCAGCGGAGATTCGCGAGAGACTACCAGAGATTCCTTTCCAAGGCATGTTGCAAGTGGTGATAAACTTGATCAAAACGAAGACCTCAGCACCGTGAACGGGCAACAACAGTGGGTAAATGTACCTGATAAACACAGAGACTAAAACGATGTAAGCACAGGAGACTAATGAGTTGAATTGTTCACGTACCAATGTAAACGGTCGCGAACGATGAGGGTGGAGATATTTGCACAAGCTGCTTATATAGGACCAGGAGAGGTAAATTCTAATAGTGTGGTCGCCGTTAAGGAGGTGAAGAAGAACACGGAACATGTTAGGGACCGAAGAGAAGTGAGACTAAGTGGCATGAGACTACAACAAGTGAAGGGGGAAATGATACTCGGAACGCCCATCGTGGTCATAACTATAGGGTGGCCTTGGGAAATTCCACTCGATGTTCAACGCTTTTTCAGCCAATGGTACATTTGCAGTCCAATTGAACAGCAGGGTTTCTCTCTCTTTTTTTTCCGGGGCTATCTGAGGTGGATTCTGGGATAAACCTCTGGTGAAGCTTCACAGGGCCTCATAATGCTTGCTGTCACTCCGTGTCCAACTCACTCCTGGTTCTAGAGCGACCGGCGAGACGATGCCGGAGAAGAAGAAGAGAAGTGGTCAAATTTGCATGAGACTATGTGACAGTCAATAAGTGAAGAATAGAATGATACCCGGAACACCGGGAGCAACACACCGTCGACGTCGTGGAACGCTTTTTCAGCCAATGGTATATTTGCAGTCCAATTGAACAGCAGGGTTTCTCTCTCTTTTTTTTCCGGGGCTATCTGAGGTGGATTCTGGGATAAACCTCTGGTGAAGCTTCACAGGGCCTTATAATGCTTGCCGTCGCTCCGTGTACAACTCGCTCCTGGTTATAGAGCGACCGGCTGAGAGACAATGCCGGAGAAGTGGCCAAATTTGCATGAGACTAAGTGACAATCAACCAGTGAAGGAGACTCGGAACGCCGGGAGCAGCACACCGTCGACGTCGTGGCCACTGGTCATAACTATAGGCTGGCCTTGGAAAATTCCTCTTTTTTTCTTCTTCGGAACTATCTGAGGTGGATTCTGGGATAAACCTCTAGTGCAGTCCTGCTGCCGAGTCGGTTGAGGTCGGTCCGCAGAGATTGACACCAATTTCGCAACCGTGCCCGACAAGCGCCCCAGGTGTCGGTCCGACCTCGAGATCCCCCAAACGCCGCCTTCTGATTCGCTCCACAGAGCGGATGAGTACATTATCTCCTTGCTCAGACATGCCTGATGACGTCGCGTGCTTTGGTTAGTTGGAATTCAAAAGTAATAGGAAGAGTCAATGACACGTCTTCGAACAATAAATTAGATTGGTTGGAGCTGGCGATGGCACCAAGGCGCGCTTGAGAGCGTGTCAGTTCTCCCAGACTCGTTCTCCAACCTATGTGAGTAATTTGAGCATCTGTTGAGACATCATAAACAGAATCCACGAACGTGCAAAGCTCTCTTAAGACCAGCCTGAGAGACCTCAACATATTCGTTGAGTCTCTCGTTGTTCTCTGACGACCACTGGTCCTTGCCCACAGCGTGTTTGCTATCCTCAATTGATCCAAACACTGCTCAATGCGAAATTTTGGGCAGTGGATTTGAATGAAATGTCTCCTGCGTCCTCTATCAATGGCTTCACCCTGATCCCCGTCCTGTATACGCCGTCGACAACCCACTATATCTACGCGCGCCCTCATTCATCGTCCAAAGCTGAAATCCACAGCGTTCTACCATCAGGTAGGACTTTGTTCCTGGTCAACATCCCCCCGGACACGACAGAAAGGGAACTCATCCTTCTATTCAAACACTGCGGGACTGTAGAGAGGGTCGTCTTTGACTTTGAGGCGAAAGAACCCCACCACGAAGAGGCTGACAGCGAGGATGATGAAGATGAGGATATGGAAGAATCAGACGAACAGCCTCGTAAACGACGGAAAACATCCAAATCCGACATACCCACTGTAACACCCCTACCATCGACATCCCTTCGTACGCTGAGGAGAACTGGCCGACCGGCTCATATTGTTTTCCTTGATTCCTCCTCCCTCGATCGTGCCATGTCGGCTTCGAGCAAGCCACGGCCATGGCCCACATCTGAGGAACCGCGCGGGGCAGCTCATTATAGAGCACTTTACGCTTCATTACGCCCTCCTCTTGATGTTGTGCGGGAGCACGCAGACACGTCCATCGAGCTATACGAATACCAGTTAGCAAAGGAGAAACAAAAGTCGAAGTACCTCAAGGGCGATGCGATAGTCGACGAGGACGGCTTCACACTCGTTACGCGGGGTGGTGCGTATGGAAAGACGTTGGGTGGTGGTGTAGGGGTGGCTAGTAAGCGATTCCAAAGGGCTGGGGAGAGTGGAAGGTATCGTACTAAAAAGAAGGAGAAGAAAGAGAAGGAGGGATTTTATGCGTTCCAGAAGGCGGAAAAGCAGCGATCCGGTTCGTTTTTCTCTTGGTTCTTGTTTTGAAAGCGCACTGACTTGTTCTACGTCGCCACAGCGCTCATGGATTTAAAAAAGAAATGGGAAGAAGACAAGGCCAAAGTGGAAAAGTTGAAGGCGTCAAGACGGTTCAAGCCCTATTGATTTGTTTCGTGGATTTTCAGTGTTCTATTACTATGGTGTACCCAGCCTATCATCACGAAGTTTTATCACGTTAATCACAGCAACTCCACTCTGTGCCCTCGCTTAAAGGTCAGATTAAGGATTTCTGTTCCAGTCAATAAACCGAATGACCCCACCCCCATAAACAAAATACATTTACAACTAAGTACATAGGCAAGTGTTGAAGTTGTGGATTTAATCGATACATGGAATGGTTTCGTCCTTAGTGCCTCCATAAGTAAGATCTGGAAGCTCAATCGTTTCCTCGAGAGAAAAAATATGCCCAAGATTATTGTGAAAGCGCTGCAAGAACGTCAAATCGGGGTGTAATTTGGCAGGAGAACGGTTTGAGGTGCCTTGGTTGTGCAATAAGAAATGAACAGTATTTTTTTTTTCGAAAAAGGAAACCTACGTCGTCGGTCCCGTCGTCCATGCAACAGTCGGCTCCACCTCTTTGCCATTTTCGTCTACTGCTTTAGAGATATTGAACGTCGCCAAAATATTTGCGATGTTGAGAAAAATTGACATCTCAGCGAGATGAGCACCTGATTAATATATAACAAAGAAGGACCAGGCGTCAGGTTTTCGTAAAAATAGTAGCGATCCGGCGCCCACCAGGACAGATCCTGCGCCCGAATCCAAACACAAATTTGTAGGGATCTGGTTGAGGATTTTCTCCAATATACCGGCTGGGATCAAAAGTCATGGGATTCGGATACACGCTCTCGTCGTGGCCAATAGCCCTTCATTTTTATTTGAGCGGACGTCGGTTTCATTAGCAAAGGTAGACTAACCAAATATTCCCATAAATCGTTGTTCCTTTCGGGATCACGTAGCCTTCATAAATGTCGTCTTCCATTACCATATGAGGGAGGCCTGTGGTGCAGAATAAATTTCAGTGGTCGTCGTCGGACAATCGGCACCTCTTACTCAGGGCGAGACTTGGACCCCATCGCATTATTTCTTTGACCAACGCGATAACATATGGAAGGGAATCATAGTTGTCCAGCGTTGGCAGACGACCAGCGGTGACTTGTTCAATTTCAGCCTGTGCGCGTTTTTGGACTTCAGGATATAGTGCCATGATAAGAAAAAATGTAGTCATAATCGAAACGGTCTGGTTAAGAATCTTTAGGAGAAAAAAAAAAGGGAAAAATGCGCAACTGACCGTGTCGGCGCCTCCAGCATAAAGCACCGCGCTGGACCACTTGATGATGTCCTGCTCCTCCTCAGAAGGCAGTTCACCACTTTCTGGGTAGAGATACTCTGAAATGAATGACTCCACATAATCGCCTGTCGCCTATATTTTTTCAAGGCTCCATGAGCAACGAGAAATCGCGGTACTGACGATATTAGCTCTAGCCCAGTTAAGAGGGACCTGTTCAATCCGACTCAGTTGTTCTCGGGCATGCTTCGCGACGCGCTTGAAGCCGGCGCCAGGGAACCACTCTGGAACGAACCTAACTAAATTCCAACGTCAGAATTTAGCAACCGGACATAATTGGTGGGAAGCTGACGAGCGGGGAAGGACTCAATCAAGTATTTTCCGGGGGTGAGAATGGATCCGGTTAATTTAAACCCTTCATCGATAACTTTGACGAGCAAGTCATCGTTTCCATCTACATGATAGCCATATGCTATCTTTAATATGACTGCTGCAGCATTCCTAAACCAAAAATATTTTCAACATTCATTATTCATTACAAGCAACGTCGCAAATCACCTTCTCACATGCCCAACAAAATCCTCTGGGTTGGTCGCCAACGCCTTCAATAAAACATTCTTCTCCTCGATTTGAATTGGCCGATAATTGCGTGAAGTCCGAGCGTTTAGTCCTGCGTTTAAAAGTTTTCGGAATAACTTGAAGCGAGGATCCAAAAACCGCGTATGAAAGACAGTTTTCTTACGCCCCGCAAGCTCCCCGGCCATCCATATTACTGGCCTATCGGAATAAATGTGCGAACGAGCGTCCAGAAGGTCGGATGCGGCCTTCAGTGAGTTCAGGACGACAACCTGCCTCTGCAACGTCTGAAAGTAGACGATCGGTCCTTCAAGAAGCCCTTCAGCAAGCAATCAGAAAGACCTGATAACTCGCTCGCTTACCGAAGGCTTTGGCCCAATCGGCATAGGTCAGCCAAGGCTCTGTGCTCGGGAGCTGATAAAGGTTTCCAAAGAGAAGTCGTGGCTTTGGTCCAGGCGGGAGTCTGAGTCGGCGGGCTGATTTCGAGAGGTACCAGTACGCAGCTGTGGCTAGTATTGCAGCACCCAAAAGTGCAAATCCGTTACCTGACATGGTGAGGCTGAGGTGACTGATAGCAATCCACTTTACATCTTACTTACATACGGGTACCAAAGCCAATCGGCGTTGTTTCTCCAAGAAAAACACGAAGAAGATGTGGAGACTCGGAGATGCCCCTGAAGTTTGAGGAGTACATCATAAGCGGCGGAAATAGGTAGCCTGGACTCGGAGTCACTTGATCGATGGCCTATCTGCTCAAAGAAGCAGCCGTAGCCTTGTTATCTAGGTCACTCGCAGAAATTATGAATCGGTAGCAAATTGGCGGCACCGAAAGACAGAATGCCGGTCGGAGTATTGCGTGATCACTTTGCACGCAGGACCTTCGACTAAATAGTGAAGTGTTCTATAAGTCTTGACGTTAGAAGTGAGTGACAAGTCTGTGTGAGAGATTCGTCAACTCTTCCTTACTTCAGCTTGCGAGATCCGTCACCGTATCCAAAGAGTTTGCCTGAGAAGGTCTCTTTCGGGGTACAATGAACGATATTAGTGCGCTGAGTATTTTTGGAAGATGCGGAGCCAAATAGATGATCGATGAGGGAGGAGGGCGATAAGGACTGTGACTATTTGAGGATCATCCAAACTTTCTAGTAAAAATGCATTGTTAGATCATAGATGTGTACCATAACTTCTCGCGACCTAAGTCAGATGTTACCGATTTGGCAAAGGCTTTGCCGGATTTAGAAAAACACAGCAGGTTCAGGTTCCCCAACAGGCACTGGCGTTCTCGTAACAAAATATGTTGTGGCGTCTTTGGACATCTGGATTTCCTGAAACTACAGCTTGGATAAACACTCCTTAAAAAATTGAATGTTTCCCCTACCTTTGGCAACGTTTTACGTGGTCTTCAGTTAGAAATTCTCCTGAATCAAAATTCGAGTTAGCCACGTTGGTCTGGCAGTGGTAAGAGGCGACTCACAGTTGGAAAAGGCCAAGGAAAACGGGAAGAAATCAGAAAAGTGCCGCGGCTCTACGTACCGTAGTCACCAAGCGGCCCCCATCAAGCTGAAACAGGTTGTAAACGAGATCGTGATTGGAAAAACCAGATAGTAACACGGTGGTACGGAGGTGCAATCAAGGAGGCTTCGGTGATGCGACTCTGACCATGCACACAGTGCATAGCATGGCTGGGGAGTAGGATGTAAATTATAATTCATACAGCGAGATCCATGTGCTTGTGTTACAGTAGGTACACTCCCTAAGACGGCTGTAACTCGCGAAAGTCAGATACAAATAATAATCGTGTGGTGGTCAAAAAATACAGATATTGATATTTAGACGTCGTAGCCCGGTGGGTTTTCCACTGGTATACCGTCCACCATCGAGACGGAGCTTGATTCCGCCGGCAGGGTATATGTTGCTGCAGTAAGGGCAATGAATCAGCCCTGAGACGCCTAATTGAACCCAAGAATGACGTACGCAATCCTTCCAGTTCAGAGTCCTCTGCTGCCTGTCTTTTCATATATATAACCCTCTCCCTCGTTTTCTCCAACAAACTGACAAAGTCGAACATGGCTCTGTCTTTGAAACGCAATTCAGCCCTCGTTCCATCCGTGAGACCGCCCTCTGGCGATGGCTTGATCTCGAATGCTAGATAGTTTGCCCCAAAGGTCGGTTGCTCGAATCGCGTAGAGAGAATAGAGTGTAATGGAACTGAGAGCGATTCAAAAGATGCGCCAGTTTCCGTCGTAAAGATTAGCTGTTGGATGCATGCAAGGTCCACCAAGAGAGATCCAATGAACAACAGAACCTCAGGGGTATAACAGAACCACGTACGCGTTGATCAGTAAGCCAGATCCTCCCAGAAGCCTTCAACCTCTTCGCGCCGCCCGACCCGCCAGCGGTCGATGAACTCGTCATTGGAGGTACATCAGGTATGGTAAGTGAGAGATCTGCGCCCGTTTCGATGGAGGTGATTGTATGTTCGTTTGGTAGTGGAATCGGCGAGCGGTCATGCTTCAGCATGGTCCAGTTAAGAGCCATGGCGCTCGGGGATAGATAGATAGCTCGAGATATATATTGGGAAGAAGAGAAAGAGTTGAACAGCCTTCGGTCATTCCCCAAACGGGTCCAAATCCGATCGCTGCGGGGATCTTGCACACACAATGACTACCACTACAAGCTTTGTAACCTCCCAAGAAGTACTGAATAAACTTGAGCTCAGAAAACGCCTGTTTGACCGTTTATATGATTCGCTGGATTTCCTGTGACCTTGAAGGTGAAATTTTGGAGATCATCATGATGAATGCCAACCAATTGTACAAATCGTAAATGGAGAAACCACATGTGGCTACCTAGCGCAATGGTAGCGCGTTTGGCTTCGATGGCCTTCCGGTACCAAAAGGTTGCAGGTTCGAGTCCTGCGGTGGTCATTTTTACGCGAGGCCAGCGTGATCGCCAGCTGACCCTTGCAACTGCGAACTTTTTTTTTTTGAACAGCTTCAACCAACTTCAACATTCGATTCCAACCTCCACAGAAGCTCAAAACCGAGAAAGCTACATAACGACATGGTAGTAGGCGTCTCTTTGACCTAACTCTATCGAGAGGGCAATCGTTCTTGACAGGACAGGATTTACGCACTCAAAACCCGCACATTTTTCCAGCATGTCCGGAAGGGCTGACTTGTCTCCATCTGATATCACCATCCATGCCGATCAAAGACCATCCGTCAATGACCTCCCCGTCGAACTTCTATCACATATCTTCTGCTTCGCCGTGCTAAGATATAACGATATGGATACGGGGTTCCTCCAGCTCGATATCGCTCGTCGCGCACTTTGTGGCGTAACCTCTCTATGGGCTAATATTGTTGTTTCTATTCCGAAACTATGGACGACTATCGTCAACTTTATCAACGTTCCTTACCATTGGAATAGAGTTGCAAATCGGTTACCTTTATCGCACAATCTCCCACTTGACCTTGTCCTCATTCGATCTCGACATGTCCCATCCGACGAGTTTGAGGGCGCTTACGTTCAAACGATGCTTGGGCTCGCCGTTCCTCACTTTTCAAGACTCCGGCGTCTTCACGTTGATGTTCATTGCAGCTCCTCCTTACCATCAATTGAAAAGCACTTTGTTTGCTGTATGCCTTCTCTCGTCTCGTTGACCTTGCAATGTCGTCTGGACGATGGGCCTAACATGTTGCGCCGACGCTTTCCTTCAAACCAGTTCTCTTGCCCTCTCTTGAAGACCATGCTTGTGGATGGAGAGAACTTTCGCTACATCTGCCAACGGAGACCTGAATGGACCGATTACCTTGACAATCTTAGCGAGTTGACTGTCTCCCACTTTGATAAGAATGATGATATCGCGGTGCATCCTTTCAAAGTTAGCGACGTCGTTGATTTTCTCGAAGACCTTACTAGTCTTGATACCCTCACATTTGAAGACGTCGATTTTGATTTCATTCCTTCCCAGCCCCGAAATCAGTTTCCACTCAACAACGTCAGGTGCCTAGAGATAAAGAATCTTGATGGCAAGCTACTCAATGACCTACTCTATCATTGTTACTGGGATAATCTCGACGTGGTCACGATAAAGAACTGTTTCCTAGATGAAGACATCTTCCCTTTGTTCTGTCAGGATCTTTATTTGGACTCGATGGATGAGGATGGGCAAATACCTTCCCTTTTACAATCGTGGAATGGAACCACAGTCCACTTTACAAATTGCCCAGGATACGACGATGCTGTCCTCAAAACTTTGGGCTCAGTCAAGCCCGATGATCCATCAAGATTCAATGCCAGTTCGCTGGAAGATATTATCTCGACAGGGTGTTCCAATTTCTCCATTGAGGCTTTGAAACGCCTGGTCAGGCGTCGCAACCGTACAGTCGATTACGCGGACCCAGAATGGTGGAAGAATGTCGAAGCCCCCGAACTTGACACCGTTACTGTTGAGGGTCATTGCTCGGATATGTCGATTGATGATAGACATTGGTTCGAGAGTCACTTACGTGAGTTTTCTTGGAATGGAGTAGGGTGCCGTCGTGGTACGCTGTTTTCTGGAATCCTGATCAACATCACGCATTGACCAGTCCTGTAGATCGTTAATAGATTGGTTTTATCCTTTGGGTTCTCGTGATAGTCGATTTTGAAGCCGTCGTCGTATGTAGAAGTACCCAGCCTGGTTAGTCCAGCTTGAATACGAAGCTGAGGACGCCCGCTAGATGTTGCAACTTGGTAGGCATCTGTACATACAAGAAATTGTGTGTCCCTATTTGCATCTTGGCACAACTCCGATATAATGCTTTCAACTTGCAACCATAACTCTCTTTGTTTCACGTCGAGTGCACACGCTGAAGAAGTAGGCTACTGCAGGCCTAACCAACAAAAACGGGCGGCGGCAACCACTGTTCAGGGTGTCGTGCCTACGAGAAACTCAAAGCGAACCAAGGTAACTGAAGTTCAAACAGATAATTCTTCTTCATTTCCTGCGCCATTAGTGCTACCAGATGACGATCTGGCATTAGACCCGCGCTATCCTCCTCAAAGTGTGCGGGCATGGATTCGTCTGAAGGACCGCAATGAAGTAACGGTGGCCAAAAGGGTTGTATACGTTGCTTCCCCGCCAACGATAGATTCCGACGTGGACACGATGCATGCCTGGAGTCGGCCTTCACTGCGAGCTGGAAAGAAAGAGGTGGTGTCACCCCCACATACGGACGATATCATGGAATATCTAGGCGCGTTTTACCACGGCATGCCAGTGAAACCACTGCGATCCAAACTCTCCTTCGCAGCGTGGGACACTCCTGTATCAGGAACTTCAAGGTTGCAGAAATCGTCACCTCAATATGTTGGCTTGAATACTTCCACGGAGTGCGTCCGTATCCGTACCCGCCCATCCACAGATAAAATCTTCAGCCACCAGCTCAACCTAGACGATCTACTCGACGCCGCTATCAGCATCCTCCCGGAGGACGCTTATGCTCTCCTTTTGCTCGTGAATCACGATCTCTTTGAAGATGATGACGACCTCTTCGTTTGTGGGCGTGCATATGGTGGTAGCCGGGTAGCAGTCATCTCTACAGCCAGATACAATCCCTCCTTGGACTCCGTGCAAAATGTGGACCGGTATCATGCTTGGCCAGCATCTCATTGCGAGTTTTACGTCCGCGAAGCCTGTTCATCAGCGTCAGCGACTCCCACACCGAGGAAGAGGCAGAAAAAGTCTCATAATGTAGACTTGGACAAGAACAGCTCCTCGACTTCCATTGGAAATGCAACAGTTGCGTCATCAAATGGTCTTTCTGGGACCGCCATACACTCCGCGATATTGTCGCATACCAACCTTCCTTCGTTGGATCACTCCCCGTCCATCGCGAGTCTTGCAGGCCTTTGGCTCGGTCGTGTATGTCGTACCACAAGCCACGAGCTTGGTCACTGCTTTGGGATTGACCATTGCGTATACTACGCATGCGTTATGCAGGGAAGTGCGTCACTAGCAGAAGATGTTAGGCAGCCTCCATACGTTTGCCCTGTGGATCAAGAGAAGCTTCTGAGGGCTACGGGGTCGAGCACAGAGCAGCGCCATAAGGCACTTCTCCACTTTTGCGAGAAACATGAGGACGCCATCCATCTATTCGCCGCGTTTGCTGCGTGGATTCGTGTGAGGTTAGAAATTTCAAACGTTCCCGCTTAGCGATTAGATATAGGTTACCCTTCGAGGATTTTTATACCAGACTTCGCTTCGCCATACAATCCTATACCCGACATTCTATGTATACCTGTTTCATGAGGGCTATGTACATAAGTAGTTTCGTCCGCAGAGTAATATCCAAGTAACATCAGGTTTTCGAACTCAGCAAACTGATTCTTCACCTTTCTTCACCTCCAAACCAACTCCAAACTTCAAGCTCACACATACCTCAATTTTTGCATTCGTCGATCATCACGGACCTTCCACAAGAAATCCTCGACGAGATCGTCGAAAATTTGTTCGACACGTTGGGCGTATCACAGACCTATCGTTGGCTTGCAAAGCCTTCCTCCCGCGTTGTCAACAACACCTCTTCTCTACCATCCGGCTCCGAGTAAATGTCGGCAGGTCCAGACGAGATCGAGTGGCGGAGTTTGCGTCTATAATTCGACGTCCTTCATGTCTCATCGGAACCTACGTGCGCCAGCTGCACATGTATTTTGGAGGCTACAAGCAGACACAGGCGAACATGAATATCGTTTTTCCCTCGATACTCCCTCTGCTTTCGAATGTCGAGATGCTGACAGTTGGTCTTACCGACGGCATCATGACGAATAACGCGATGCACAAACTCCAAGTCCAGTATACCTGGAATGCCACACTTTCGAACGAAGCAATCACCCATTTTCTTGGGTCGCCATCCCTGACCACCCTCGTTATCTCAAAATTTGGATTTCCTGGACTGTTGAGCAAGTGTATGCACGTCAAAAGCCTGCAAGTTCGATATATTGAGGGCATGTCAGCCACTGGGGTAGACCAGTCTACAGAGTCCACAGAGAAGGCACAGGCACCAGGGTCCAGCTCTCTCATCTTTACTAAACCCTGATTTGACACACTCCGGAATTCTCCGGTCTTCTCCCTCGTTGTACGCCACGTCGCCAAAACACTTCCAGCATCGTTTGGTGTCGTCGGCTTCAACCTAGCAGGGTATCTTTACCTCAATTACAAATTGAAGAAAATTGGGAAATAATATATTTGAGTTCTAGCTATGAGTTGCTGAAGAGTGCGCCAAATTAGAGCCACAAAGAAAAGATTTACTCGAGCTTATCGTTGGAAACGGCGAGCAGCAAACAACGATGAGGAAACTTCGATGTTAAATTTGGCGTGACAAACGGATACCGCCCTGAGCGGACACTTAAATCTACGTTATATAAGCTGATGGCTCTTGCTACGTTTTGAGCTGCGAGCTGCGCTCATTTTTGAATGGCCCTGTTAGGTCAACCAAAATACACCAGTAGCATTTTATTACGAGGATGGGTGGAAAAAGGCGGGCCAAGGTGCAACAAAGATGGGCGGGTTCAGGCGCGACGAAGGTGGGCGGGTTCAGGGACGTGGCTAAATAACACGGTCCGGGATTGATGAGCTGTTTGACATGAGGCTGGTGGAAAGTCGGAAAAGGCCGAGTCCACCATCAGTCTACGTAGAACGGTCTACCCCAGTGGATGCGAAGCTCTGGATATATTGATATGGAGTTTGAGTCGCGTAGATCCACTCCTGATCAGTGTCCACGGATTTCTTCCCTTTCCTGTGGAGCTTCGTTGCCGACAGTCCGATATTTGATACCTGGTTTTCTCTTGAGAAGTCAAGGGAATGAGAAGGATATTGTCGATCTTTCAGCTCTTCGCCAACTCACCCTGATTCCAGAATTCAATTACCCGGAAAACATGACGCAGGATTTGATCAACTACTTTGCCGACAGGCTAGAAGACCTGGATTGCGGTGCCTTCGTCTTTCGTTCGTCCTCCCTTCCCCTTGCTGAATATTTCTGCTCACGCCGAATTTCGATCAGCATCCCCAAAGCTCAAGCCAATGCCCCACCTCCGTACCTTGAAACGATGGATTCACCTACTACCCAGGAATAATCCCACTGAACAAATCTTGAACCAGCTCTGTGATATCCTCACGCATTGTACCACGACCTCCAAAGTAATTCACCATATCACCATTAATCTAGCAGTGGTTCGTTTGAGCTTCGAGGAGCTCATTCGCCTCGATTGGTCCTATGTTGATGACATATTCGAAAACCCGCCGCCAACGTTGAGGGAACTCACACTGGGCATAAGGTACTAGGGGAAGACGTTCGAAGGCAAGCCGGTGCTTCTCGGGGATTTACAAACCGCTTTGAGGTCGGCGATGGAACGACGTATGCCCCACTTACAACGATGGCTTCTTCGAAACCTCATATCTTTAAGTTCTCCTTCGTTGCGGTCAACTAGCATGCCTGTCACGCGTACGATTCAGCCCGTTGGCCCACCTTCCACTGCCTTACTTGTATCCTTGCAATTCGACGGAGTGCGAGATACAGATGCTGTTGAGGGCGGACCTGCAAGCCCGACTTTCTCGACTTAACGCGCGACCACCTTTGCCCATCCTTTCTTGAGTTCTGACTCTATCATCTCCGTGAGAGGCCTTTCGAGATGTTCCACCTCACAAACCTTTGGCTTTTCTCTGACTGGATGTCTTCCATGCTCTCGTCACTCCCCTCATGATCCTCATACCTGAGCTTGGCATCGTGGCCTGGCCACGCAACACAGGCAAACATAACCACAACAAAAAACCCATTCTCCTTGATGTCCTTTCTCTGTCTGATATTGGTCTGATCCCATGAACATCTCATCATCTCTGAGAAAGCTTGGACTCTTTGTCTATTTCACACACATCCTGCCATCTCTGAGAAAGCTCAGACTCTTTGTCTACTTCACACTCACTTACCCCTCCAACCATCCTCGCATTCGCCTTTTTCGGTTTGGTATTCCCCTGCTCATCAAGACTGAAGAACGCTTGAGGCAGATGCCCTGCGCTTCCTCAATGCCAGCGGCCTTGACCTCCCAATCCCACGTCTCTTCGATTCGATCGTTTGCAATAAAAATACCTACACCATCATGTCACTTATACCAGGCCGCTTACTCCTCCAAGACCTGGATCAGATGTCGGATCCCGAGCTTCGCACGATTCTGAACGACGTGCGCACGGTCTTGGATCGTCTATGGACGCTAAAGCAGAGCCCTTCCGACGCTGGAAAAGTTATGCTCAGTGGGAGTGGACATGGGCTCCCGGACCCATAACCTTCTTTGACACTTATTATCATGCCCATCTGTTTTGAACCTCTACTTCTCGATGGGGGAGTGTCTCAGCATCGACTGGGACAAACCATGGAGTGAAGAGGAGTTCATGGTTAGACATGGTGACGCGATACGCACAGTCGAGGCCGACCGCATCGTATGGGTCCACCGTAATTTGCGGTGGCAGAACATCCTTGTTCACAATGGGAGGCTTAGTGGGATCATCGATTGGGAGAATTCGGGGTGGTTCCCATGCCATTGGCAACTTCACGCGCTGCGCTACGTTCGTGGATGTCCAATACGCATATGTGCCATGTGGAAGGACATGAAGTTCCCCCCAGAGACGGAGGCTGCATACCAGGCATCAATGTCGCTGATATATTACCATCCATGTTGATGATATATCTGCGCTCTCCCCATTGCCCCTTTGTCATTGTGCCACTCATGTCCGGATCTCAAAACTAGCAATCATTATCGTTACAAAACACTAGCACCGTCAACCAAATGTATATGTATGTCCAACCATTAACCAGCAGAACGATCATGAACCGGCGTTGCGATGAGGTTGCAGAGGCTTCGGCTGCCTGCTACTTTGAGCTCGCGAAGGGGGGTAAGTGGGTAATAGATAATATTGATCAAGGTTATAGGAGTACCTAAACGCTTGCTTCAAACCACTCAAACATCGACAACTTTTCAAGAGGTTTATAACCAAAAGCTTTTGCCTGCGGTACACCTCACTGTGGGGCGTCTTTCAGGATGAATATCACGCACTTCCCGCAAGAAATCCTCGATGAGATCTTTAGAAAGTTCCTTCTGTACAAGCCGCGCAGGCGTGTTGCAAACCTAACCTCCGGTGCACTCACTTGCAAGGCCTTTCTCCCATCTTGCCAACGATATCTCTTTTCCACCGTCCGGCTCCTGGCAAACGAACATGCCCAATATACAAGATCGGGTCAGAAAATTCGCATCCATGATTCAACGCCATGCATCCAATCAGAACTTACGTGCGCCGACTGCATCTGTATTTTGGACGTTCTGAACAAACAAGAATGAACTTGATTGTCATTTTCCCATCGATACTCCCTTTTCTTTCAAATGTTCAGGTGTTGTCAGTTGGTAGTAGCGCTGACGCGCTAGGGCTCGACTGGACGCACCGACCCCCCGATACCTGGGAACACATACTTTTGACCGAGGCCTTCAAAAGACTCCTGAGGTCCCCACTCCTCACCACCCTCGTTTTCTCGAAAGTTGCATGTCCTGGACTGTTAGGCGAATGCCTATACGTGGAAAACCTGGCCGTTTCGGGCCCTATTGATATTGGATTTCAGACTCTCAGTCCTCCCATTTATAAGCCGCAGATCAAATCGCTATCTTGTGGAGCTTCGTTGAAGACGATTCAACGCTTGTTTCCAGAGACAATCGGGCGAGGAGGTTTCTTGATTATCTCCAGTGGTTGATATTTCAACCCTTCTTCAACTCATCCTATTCACGGACTTGCGTGGACAATCAAGTGACCTAACCGAGAATCTCGTGGCTGGTACGCTCGAGGACTCCAATTGCAACGGTGGCATCATTTTATCTTCCAAGTTCAAGCCAATCCCTCACCACCGTATTTTGAAGCGGTGGATCCATCTCCCTACCAATGGCCCTCCCGAGCGGACTCTCAATCAGCTCTGCGACGTCCTCACGCACTGCACTACCACCTCCAAGGACATCGAACGTATAACCATCAACTTACTCGTCGTTCAGATGGGCTTCCAGGAGCTCATCCATGTCACTGGTCCGACGTTGATGATGTATTCGAAACCCCTCCGCGAATGTTGAAGGAGTTCACGTTGGCTGTGAAATACAGGGGTAAGCCTCTACAAGGCAAGCCAGTGCGCCGCGGAGATCTGCAGATTGCCTTGAAATCGGTGATGGAACGACGGATGCCTAACTTGACAGAAATGGCTTCTGCAGGTCCCGATGTTTTCAAGTTCTCTTTCATTGTGCTCTAGTTGCATTCTGCTGGTTTTTGTCTCAGTTTGACTTTGCAAACCTCCAGCCCTCCTCTTGCCCTCCTCTGGCTAATTGAAATCCACCTTCTTTCGCTCTCCCGATTGCCCCTCTGCAATTGTGACTTGTACCAGAGTCATGTATGTATGGATATCAAAACTAGATCATGATCATTATCGTTACAAAACATCACTACCACCTCGTAGTACATACTGTAAGCCAAAAAAAAAAGCAGGGGATATATACACACAAATTATCACCGTAAACCCAACCATTAATCAGAAACCTTACAACCCAGCAGCAGCCTGCAAAACCAACAAACTCGCATTCACGTTCCTCCCCACAAGCGCCGCACCAACATCTCCAAGCGTCTTCGACACCGAACTCCCAGTAGCCGGGCCAGACGCACTGAGTTCCTTCAACTCCCCCTTCAGATCCTCCACCGCCATCCTTCTTGACCGTCCCAGTAGAACGATCATGGACCGACGTTGTGCAGAGGTCGCAGAGGCTTCGGCTGCTGCTAGTTCTGTGAGCTTGCGAAGGGGGGTGGACGTTGAGTGTGTGGTGAATGTTATCCTGGAGAGGGATGAGGGTGAGGTAGGGGAGGCAGGGGTGGTGGTGTATCGGTCCCAGAGGAAGTTATCGGCTGTGTCGGATGCGAGGCGGGTTTGTGTGTTCTGGTGCCCGTAGATGGTATCTGCTGCTGCTACGGTCTAATCGTGGGGTGGTCAATAATCGTTGGGGGTAAAGAGAGGAGACAGCACAGCGTACCATGTGCGCAACAGGCAGCTCAGCCGAAAAGATCTTCTCATCGTCATCGTCATCCCTCACCTCCGCCGTCTTCCTCAACCTCACAACTGAGCCCGTAACACCCGTCTTTGCACATAGCTGCACAAGGAACGTCAACGCCAGCCTATCATCCGGCCCACCAAAGAAAGGAAGGAACAAGTGCTGCGTGTGGTGTTGCTGCTGTCCCCTGTCCACGAAAAGCGCCACGTCCGAAGGGCAGTTCAAAAACACGTTACGAATGAATTCGGAATAAACGACGGAGCTCGTCTGGTCTTGCGTTGTCGTCTTGTGGAATATCCCGTCGAATGGGTTGTGTGTGGTATTTGGTCCGTTTCCGTGTTCAATGAAAGAGGTGTCGATGGAGGTGGTGCCCCTTGACCAAGGGATAATGACCATCTCCGCTTCGACGTCTTTGACGTGCTGGCTAATCGCACTAGGAAACTCGTCATAGTTCACCACACTCAAGTTCGCAGAGACCCTCAGTCGATTCAGGGATCCAAAAGTTTTGAACACCGATACCACTGGGTCGTTGTAGATGAGCGCGTCGGCCTCTTGGGAACGGATGACCGCGGAAGTTCGATTCGTCAGCTCGATGAGGCGAAGAGCGTTGATGCTGATGGTAGGACTCGAAGGAGGAGGCAGGATCTTGTGGTCCAAATCATCGGAAGAGGACCCAAAGGCCTCGGCTTCTTTATTGTCCGCTGATGTAGGCGCACTCAAAGTCTCTTGAGACGCTGAAAGATCCTGAGATTGTAAGAGGTTCGCAATAGTCATAGCCGCGGGCAACTGTTCCACTTTTTCCAAGATAAAGGCAAATTTGGATTTAGTGGCTGAGTCGGATATGGGCTTGGGTGCTGCTGGGCCTGCTTCTGGGGTGTCCACTCTGGACTTGGAGCCGACGACGACGCGGTATTTCTCAGGATAGAAGAAGAGCGTCAGAGGCGTGGTCATGAAGGTCAGGATCAGCGCGTGTACGATGAACATGGAGAATGTGCGTGTGTCGAGGATGCCGGCTTGTAGCCCGATGTTCAAGACGATAAGTTCGACCAATCTGTGGGGATGTGAGTTTGAAGTACATTGAGTAGAGCTGGGGTGACTGACCCTTTACAGCTCATAAGTGAGCCGATGGCACCTGCTTCGCGCCATCTGTAGCCAGTGGCGTATGCAGCGCCAGCACAGGAGATGAACTTGGAGGAGAAGGCGACGAGGCAGATGATGACGACGTAGCCCCAGGTGATACCGTTGTTTAGCAGGCCGAGATTGGTCTTGAGACCTGACAATGTGAAGTACTAGATCGGTTCTATTAGTATTCGTAATGTGTAAAAATTCCTTGAAGGCCATACGATGGGTAATAATATGATGGATACAAGATCTTCCAGCTTTTCCACAAAAGAGATCGCAAACCCATTCTCATGCGGAATAATGAGACCCGCCAAAAAGCCACCTTGGCATAGGTCAGCATGCAAAGAGGACCGAACAAAAGAAAGAAGACGGACCGAAGATTGCGTGAACGCCGATGATGTCCGTATAAAAGGCGGAAATGAACACAACCAGAAGTGTAACAGTCATCATAAGGGGCGTGGGTGATCCCTGCTCCAAACTCCCCGTTCGGCGCGCAAGCCACACAAAAGCCCATCTGCCAGGATACAGCAGGAATATAACATAGCCCACAGTGGCAAGTAGCACATAGAGCGCCGTCAAGCCCGAGCTGGCGTTAACGAGCGCGACGGTAAGCGCTAACAATACCCAGCCGACAACGTCGTTCCCTATCCCGGCACTAAGTGTTACCACGCCCACTTCCGTCTCCAACAACTTGAGTTCGGTGAGAATGCGGCACAGAACAGGGAACGCGGTGATGCCGATAGCTACAGCGGTGAAGAGGATAAAGTAACCAAAATTAACGGAGGGACTGATGAACTGTTTGTAAACCCCAACGCCAAGAGCGGCTCCGAGACCCAAGGGGAACACCAAGCCCGCGACTGAAACTGCTGCGGAAGCTTTGACGTTCCGCCTTAATAAGCGCGTGTCGATCTCGAGTCCGACGAGAAAGAGGAAGAGGATGAGGCCGATGGTGGATGTGAGGACCAAGGAAGGCATTCCGGCAGTTGGGAAGATGGCGTTTGTGAAGCCGGGAATGCGACCCATTACGGTTGGACCAAGGATGACGCCGCCGATGACTTCTGCGATAACGCGGGGTTGGCGGATGCGCGAGAGGCCCATGGAGAGGAGTTGGGTCATTGCGATTATTATTACTGTTGTGGTGGTGGTGGGTTGGATTGATAAGATGGATGAATAGGACGGACTTACCAACTTGAATGACCCATAGGCGGAATGGATCAGTAGCATTGTATGCAGCTGGGTTGTCGCCTGAAATGACACCTCCCTGGAAGAGATGGTCGTTTGAGTGAAAACATGACAGCCGATTGTAAGAACCATACCTGTTCAGAGGCTTTGCGAGCAAAGACCCGCACTATTTGATTCGCAAACTCGCCCATGGTGGTGAGCGCTGAGAATGGGGGCGAATTGTTTCATGTTGTCTCCGTGTCTCTTTATACTATCTCGAAATAAGGGTCAAAGTACACCGCCCAATGGAGCTTTTACCGTGACATTCTCTTCATTTCCATCACACTTCCATCAGCTGCAGTCATTTACGAGACGCCAACGACGCTAAAAGCCTTGTGTGCAACTTCTGTAACGCAAGTACTCCAAGGTACTATAGTAGTCTAATGAAATGAACACAACTAAGTTTACAAGTCAATCGGTACCGGATGATATATCCTAATGCGAGAACCTCGGAGAAGCTTAACGCAAGAACATATATGATAACGACAGCCTATTTCGATACAGAACGAAGCAACATGCATGAAGAGATGGAAACGGCGGAAGTACCGCAGTGAACACACGCCGCAACCACTGTCAAACCACAGTCCCCGTTCGTACCTCAGATTTCGGCACTCTGCAGATGCATGTTGAACCTTGATAGTGCATGTCCTGTATTCACAATGGGCAGTTAGGAGAGGGAAAGAAGGGGATTACAATTGGCGGGAGGACATGAGAATTGGAGGTTTTGCAAAGTTGAAGTGAGAGGAAAACCAGCAGAATGCAACTAGAGCGTGATAAAAGAAAACTTGAAAACATCGGGACCTGTAGAAGCCATTCCTGTCAGGTTAGGCAACCGTCGTTCCTTAAGCGATTTGAAGGCGATTCGATCCCTGCGAAGTACTGGCAGAGGCTTACCCCTGTAATTCACAGCCAACGTGAACTCCTTCAACGTTCGCGGAGGGGTTTCGAATACATCATCAACGTCGGACCAGTCGAGATGGACGAGCTCTTGGAAGCCCATCTGAACGACGAGTAAGTTGATGGTTATACGTTCGATGACCTTGGAGGTGGTAGTGCTGTGTGTGAGGACGTCACGGAGCTGATTGAGCTTCTGCTCGGGAGGGCCATTGGTAGGGAGAATGATCCGCCGCTTCAAAATACGGAGGTGAGGCATTGACTTGAACTTGGGAGGTAAAATGACGGAACCACAATCGAGATCTTCTAGCGTACCAGCCACATAGTTGATGAGATTCTCCGTTAGGTCACTTGAATGTCCACGCTCCCCGGATAGGACGAGTTGACGAAGGGCTGAAATATCAACCTCACCCGATTGTATTATCTCTGTGCAAAAGTAGGGAAATAAGTGTTGGATCGTCTTCATCGAAGCTTCACAAGACAGCGATTTGATCTGCGGTTTGATCTGCGGTTTGTAAATGGGAGGATTGGCTCGATTGAGAGTCAAGAATTCAATATCGATAGGGCCCAAAACGCTCAGATTTTCCACGTATGGGCATTCGTCTAACGGTCTAGGACATGCAATTTTCGAGAAAACGAGGGTGGTGAGGAGTGGAGACCTCAGGAGTCGGGTGAAGGCCTGGGTCAAAGGTATGTATTCCCGGAATGGGGGCGTGCCGTCGCGCACGAGCGCGTCAGCGCTACTACCAACTGACAACACCTGGACATTTGAAAGAAAAGGGAGTATCGATGGGAAAATGATGAACAAATTCATTCTTGTTTGTGCAGAACTTCCAAAATACAGATGCAGTGGGAAGTTCTGATTGGACATGCATGGCGTTGAATTATGGATGCGAATTCTCTGACTCGATCTCGTTTGGTAGTATCGTTTGCCAGGAGCCGGACGGTGGAAAACAGATATCGTTGGCAAGGTGGGAGAAAGGCTTTGCAAGTGAGCGCAGAGCAGGTCAGGTTTGCAACACGCTTGCGCGGCTTGAACGAGAGGAAAGTTTTGAAAATCTCGTCGAGGATTTCTTGCGGGAAGTCCGTGATATTCATCTTGAAAGACATCGCCCCACAGTGAGGTGTAAAGCAGGCAGAAGCTTTTGGAGTTGTCGATGTTTAGGTTGTCTTGTCGTGCACTGCCCAACGGAGCTTTTATACTCTCGCCCACTTCATTTCCATCACACTTCCATTCACGAAATGTCAAGTCTTGTGTGCAACTTCTGAAAGCAAGTACACTGTAGTAGTCTAACAGCCTAATGAGATGAGCGCAACTTTGTTTAAGTCAATCGGTACCGGATAATGTAACCTAATGCGAGAACCTCGGCGAAGCTTAACGCAAAAACATACAGTCGGAAAAGCTTAACGCAAGAACATATGGTCATGAGTCTGAGCTACATCCACGACAGCCTATTATTGGCTCATTAGAACGAGGCAACATGCATGAAGACATGGAAACAGCGTACCGCAGTGAACACACTCGACCACAGTCCCCGTTCGTACCTGAGCTTTCGGCACTCTGCAGATGCATGTTGAGCCTTGGTAGTTCATGTCCTGTATACATACACAAACGTCAGCCTTGTTCACAAAGATCTCTCAAAGGAAAAGAGAGAGGACAGAACAACAACATACCCTACTCTGAATGCACCGAATACAACACAGCTTTTCATACCCCGTCTTCTTCCACTTGGCAATCAACCTGTACAGAAAAAAAGAGTCAATACCTTCCCAGCACACCACAGTCAAGTCAAGACAAACGCACGCGGGGTCCGCATATTCCTGCTTCAAAAGCCAATCATACAATTCCTTCGATATCGCCTCCCGTTTATAGTACAGCTCGTAGATATACCTCGAGCGCGCGTGCGAGATACGCATGATAGGCCACAAAGACTCGGCTTTCCGCTTTCCCTCATGCGACTCGTTTTCCGCATCTCGCATCTTCTTGGCATAGTCGTCTAGAATCTTGGTGGGCATCAGCAACAGCGAAATGGGAGTAGGAGATGGAGGCGAACGTACGGATTCAATGTCCTCATAACCCTCTGGCGGCGGCTTTGTCCTCGTCGTTCGAATTTTAGGCATGGTATCGAGGAGTGGTCGTGGGGCGAGCCAAGCAATGGTCGACAAGCAGTGCCCAATGACCACGCTGACTAATCAAAAGCTTCTATAACAAACACGCGGCAACATCACCTCCTCAACCTTTCCTTTCTTTTGCCTGCACCTTACGGGCGTGGCGAGCTGCGGGCGCTCCCATTGCACTCTAGCTCGTCGTCAGGTGTTCTCTCACAGAAACACCCACAATGCCGCTCTTCGTACCCATTCTCCGCCTCGCCATGCTCTTTCTCAACGTGTACGATTCGTACAAGACCCTCAAGCACCCACCGCCTTCTAGACGGAACGATGGACTACCGAGTGTTAGAGCTATGACTCAACGGAAGAGGGGTATGAAAGGCTGTTTAGCTGTTTGGATCGTTTGGGTACGTTAGATTGTTTTGCTGACGTCGGATTTTGCTGAGTCCAAGTGGGATAGTGCTGTTTTGCTGTTTATGAGAGATTCGGAGAGGCTGTTGTCAGCTTGTTCATACCCTTCTACGACGAATTCAAGAGTATCGCTCTACTCTTCCTCATACTCACACGAGCTAGGGTGCGCAAACTATTTTTCTATGGGTACTTTTGTGTTAACATACACACCACAGGGCGCCGAACCAATATACCTACACGTTATCCGTCCCCTCCTCAGGCCATACACATCCACCCTCGACGCATCCCTGGAACTCCTACTCATGATTGGGGACTTTATTTTCGCCCTATCCACCTTTCCCATAAAAATCGGGTTGGAGTTGTGGGAGAAACGATTTGGGTTCGACCCAGCATACTACTACAGCACAGGGATTCTGGATACCGAAACTGAAGTCGAAACCGAAACAACGACGGATGTGTCTTCCGAGCCACCACCACCGCCCGGGCCACACACACAAAGAGCCAGCCCGAATCGCAAACCAGACGAAGTCACGTTCCCTCGGAAAGGCGTACGAAGGCCTACAAGTAACGGTACTCAGGCCCACCAACCAATCGCATCTTCCTCCAGGACACGTCCAAGACAGGATATAGAACCGAACTTTTACGCCACCTCATCAACTTCAGCTTCAGCTTCATCTACACCTCCCCAGCAGCAGCGGCAAAAGCTGAAAGGACGACAACAACATGAAGTGTGGTACCCTCCACCATCTGCATACGCAGGGGACGATGAACGCTTGCAAGACAGCAGAACAACAACAACAACAGCGTCTTTCATAGAACTCGACGTCCAAGTCACCTCAGAGAAGCAACAAAAACTCGAAGACGCAGAAGAGTGGCGCCAATACCCCGCTTTCCCCTCCGCTTACCCACCTACACCCCTCGTCACCACTTCTCGACTTGTCAGTACCCGAGGCGGTATAAGGACGACGACAACAACGAACATGTACCCCATAATCAACGAAAGAGATTTGAAAGATGCAGAAGAGTGGAGGAGGTACCCTGCGTTCCCTGCTGCGTATCCGCCTACGCCGTTGGTTGTTTCTGGGGCGAGGTTACACGGCGTAGGGAGTCATCCCTCTGTTGTTCAAGAAGAAGAAGGAGAGGAGGATGAGGAAGGGAAAGAAAGGGAAGAAAGGGAGAATAATGGACCCGAGGAGGATTTTCGCGGGTCGCTCCAGCCGCTTCGTGAGCCTTTGAATCCCGGCTCCGCTAGCGACTCGAGCGACTCTTATCGATCTTCTTATGGGATTCAAAATCACCTTGCTTCGTCGATCTCTGCTTTACCTGCTGCGGACATTAGCAGCGACTCTGACGAGGATACAGAGATTTATTCTGACGTCGAGGAGGAGGAAGAGGAGCAAGACAACTTTAACATAACACTCCAAACGCCTCTTCACCACCCCCTTGTTGTTCCCATTCCGAGGAACCAGCGGCCTGTATCGTTGACGTCTACTCTGGCGAGTGCGAGTACTGGGTTGACGACGGTTCATGATGGGTCTTTGAGGACTAGGTCTTCTGGATCTGGATCTGGGAGTGGGGGTGGGGAAGATGATGAGATGGATGAAGAGGGTGAGAAGGAGAAGGAGAATGCCGCATCATCAACGTCCTTCACGATGCCTTCCTCTTCCTCGGTGTTGGGCAAGAAGCGCGCGTTGCAAGGGCAGGGGGAGACGAGGAGGGCTAAAGGTACCGAGTCTCCCCATGGTCATGGAAGAAAAAGTGGGACGAAGAAGCGTAGGGTGTCTACTAGCCAAAGTCCTACTAGGCAACAAGGGGCTGCTTTTACGACTGACGAAGAAGGGAACGTTCAGGTTTCTACTGCTTCTGAACGCAGAGATGCAGAACGGGCGCGGACGCCTACCCCAACGAACACGAACACGAAGACAAAAAGTGGTGGGAGGAGTAGGAGGCGGCGGACGCCTTTGTCGCCTTCCAGGGTAAATGCACCTCGCTCGCCTTTGAGGGTGAACACACCTCGCTCGCCTTTGCGGGTGAACACGCCTCGCTCACCTTCAAGGGTGAACACGGCGCCGTCGCCTTCACGAGTGAACGCACCCACAACACGGGCTGTTAGGCCGAGAGTCACGCGATATGCTACTCCACCTCCGCCTCTGTTGCCTACTTTGGGGTCTGTGGGGATTGGGGCGATGACTACAGCGCTTGAGTCGACAGCCACAGCGCCTGAGTTGTTGACGACAGGGATTGGGACTACAGCGCCTGAGTCGACGACTACAGCACCTGAGTCGATGACCACCGGGACTGGGACGACAACTACAGAGAACTGGACGCTGGTGGCTCCACGGCGGCCAGATCCGATATTAATTCCAGACAAGCAGACAAGGCGAGGCTCTCGACCTCAAGTGCCCACTGCCCAGAGATCTTCGCGCAGGTTACGCTCTGGAGAGTCGGCAGCTCAGGCTCGAAAGCCGGATAGTGCTGGTGATCCACCTCCGGAACAAAGGAAACGAAGAACTACCGTTAATGTGCGGACTGCGACTACTGCGAGGACTAACAAGATTCCAACCTTGACTTCTGGAGATCACCGAAAGCCGAGGGGTCTGCGGTGATCATAACACTCCCTTGTTGCTCCACTTGCATCGATTTCAACTACCTATTATATCTCGCCCAAACACGTTTTCTATATTGCCAACCTGGCAGCACACACATTTGTAACATATATTTATTCACGCCTCCTTTATCCTTTTTTCCTTCCAACAGCATTGTATATATCGCAACAGAAACGCATACACATCGTGACGGTAACAGTTGACATTTGACAGCTGACGCGGGATTGGCGCTGGCACTGATCTGGGGTGGAATTTATGAATTCGAGGAGGACGGCCCTGGAACTCAAATCGCTAATTTTTTTTGGCCGGTGGACGACTGTCGTGCTGAATTAATGAACCGCGACATGACTGCGATCAAGCTGACGACTTGGCTGGTATGCCTACTCTATCTCGGGTTCGACGGGCGAATGCCGATCTGGAGGGCTCAGGATCAGTGCTTGCAATAGACACCGTGAGGTTGCGTAAGGATGACGCTGGCGAATCTGCTGTGGACGCCCAGAGAAAGACGACTGACGTCCCCTCTAATCTCGATCGCAAGAAATGACCAAGTTTGAGAACTCGGACACCGACGAGTTCGAAGTCGGCTTTCTTTTTTTTCAAGTAGTTGAAGGCAACTTACTACTAATTCCAAATTGTTCTATTTTTATCACGATAGGTGGTTGCCCACGCCGAAGTAATATTTCAAGGTGAAGGGAATGCCGTCGGAGGCTTTGAATGTCATTAAATTAATCAGTGTTTTGAAAAAACGGAAGTGCGCTTGCACCAATATTTTTACAATACACGAACGTAGGTACGTGTACGTGACTAGTAGAGCTCTTTTAACTTGTGGGTTCTTAGTACGAAGTGTATTCATTTCAAATGTTGAAGCGTAGAAGTTACAACAGCAATTACCAAAATAGTTCTGGAAAAAAAGAGAGGATATAGCAGCGCTGTTGGCGCCAATTGTGTCATGTACATAAAGCTCCAATTTTATGGACCCTCCTCCAGGCGAATCACTGCAAAAATACATATTTTTAAACTTCCCACAGAAGACCAGCCTCATGAATCTTTCTTTTCTGTCAGGTTGGTGATATACTGTGAATAGATTAATCCTTGAGTCGAAGGGGATTTATTTTCACCGTACGACGAGAATAACGCACCGCCTCGACACGACTCGGAGCCCTAACGCGGCTCAAAGCTGAATCAACGGGCAGAAAATTTTCTTGCATTTTAGGGTTCTTTTTCACTTTGGGAGCTCCATATGAGAAGAAGAAACTACTTGCACTGGAGAGGCATGGTGCATTGCGATACACCGCCTCCGATGTAGGAGACCTTACCACAACTTCGACGTTCACGCAACCATTTTTTTGTTGCCGGTGTGATTTTCGTCGGGCCGCAGACTGTGCAGTAAGACGCCGAAAGCGCCAACACAGCACACCAACGGCGCACCCACGAACTTTGCCCTGCATCATTAAGTTTTGCACACGGATGACATACCGGCGGCAATAGGCGCCTCTGTCACCAATGTCGGCAGTGTTCAGGACCCATGAACGAATGGAGGTGAGGCCTTGAGGTCTGAAATTCCCCGTTCTTTGTGCTCGATCGGAATCAGAGCATGCATTTTTCAATTGCGGTACATTTCCTCCACCTCATGATAATCATGGCATCGCGCATCATTTTCCGGTCGGAGCCTGAGGCTGCTGTGCCCCAGGCTTTTAGTGAGGCATCGATTTTGCGCCACATATGACACAAAATATTGCTAAATGTAGGTCCCACAAGGTCAACAATTTCAACGGAGACCATAGAATTACGTCCTGTCAGGTGAACCGCCTTTCTTTATTTTCCATTTGAATTTCGAGGCTTGTTGATTGCAAATTATGGACGAATTTCGCGGTGATGTTTTTGCATTGTCCCACGAGTTTTCAAACTTCTGTGTGGCGCGTCTCCACCTCTACTTATCACGGACGGTGGGCGCAGATCTGAACGGGTAATGTGCAAGGCTTTCTCAGTGATATTCTCCACATCATATCAGAGCGGAGGCGCTGCAGCGAATCCGAGGAGAAGCGCGCGTCAACGGTAGCATGGTCCTGAGGCCCTGCTGGTATTGACGTTCGCCTGGAAGCCAGGCTGTCCGATGGGTTTTGTGACTTTGTTCGCACACAGTATCAAAATTTCCGAGCTTTGATTTTCCTTCCGAGTCACGATTCGAGTTGCGTTGTGAATTCGCCCAAAGTTCACAAAACGATTGCGCACCGAATTTTGAAAGCACAACTGACGCGCCATGGCCAGCGTTCTCAGCGTGCTGCATGCCAATCACCTTCTGTGGATTTTGCTTGAGAGCGTTGGAAAATAAAAAGTGGGAAATGCTCTTGCGCGCATTGCGCCACACTGCGCCACACTAGGGTCTGTTTTTCGTCGATTAGCATTGACAGGTCCCGAAGCATCATCGAGTCAATGAACGCATTATGTCACTCAGCTTTCCGTTAGATTTAATTTGCCGTTGAACGTGGATCAACTCATGTTTCCAGCCTTAATTGCCGGAGTTTGCCTTTGTCTCTCGACTTCCACAAAAATAAATAACTTTCCCTGCCTACCTACTCCCCTCATTCTAGGGCCGATGAAATTTCAGTTGCCGACCTTCTAGAACGGAATCGGATCGATCTCTCCTTCTCGCTGGACCCACCCCGAGGCACCAATGGAGGCGATCTTTAAAGATGCGATAAGCCGCAGCGAGTCTCAACACGCGAAAGAGGCATTCAAGTTCTCTTCGTATAAAAGGCGGTTCCGTCTCTCCGGGTTTGATACTTGTTCTCAACGCTTTCTGCACCCGCTTTAACTTACTCGAGCGGGCGACCTATTTCCTGCTCTCAGCGCGTCATGCCGCCTAAATCTGCGCCCCGCCGTCGAGTCCCAAGTGTTATGCAACATTATTCGGGCAATGTGCGTTCAGATTTTGTTTTGTATTGTCACAACTTTGCTCATAACATCCATTTAGCTCCCCGTGTGGAAAGAGAAGTGGTTTCCCAACATTGCAGTGGATCAATCCCAGCCTATGAAAGGAGAGATGAAATCTCAAGCACACTCGACGGTCCCAGAATACCAGGTCCCTTTCGGCTATCCATCACCTGGAGAACCTGGCTCGCTATCTCCTGAAAACAGGGCCTCATTTGAAAGTGTGGCTACCATTCCTGACGAGGGACATTCGTCGGGTCCAGACGAGAACACGGACGACATAGTCTCCCCGTCAAACTCTGATCACGCCTCGTCTGACGCGCAAATGAGGTTCCTTCTCGGTGTACCTTCTGTTACAGCATCAACGCACAGTTGCAACAGCAGAAAGGAATCTCCCCTTCGTCACACGCCAAGCCCTGGTTCCGTTCCACTCCACTCAGAAGGCGCAATCTCGGACGACGGGTCTCAATATCCATATTCATACTCTGATTCCACAGATATCACCTCCAATTCCTCATACAACATCTATTCCCCCACCCCAAACCCGTCATTTCAACATTACGAGCCCCAGTCACACTCCGATGTCGCTTCAACAATTTTCTGTTCCAGTGCCTATCCTTCCGTCGTCGGGGAGATGCAGCTTGTTCAACCAATTTTTGCAAGCTCCAACATATATACGCAGGGAACCTCGACCTATGCTCCAGCAAGAAGTGGACACCAATATCTTCCCGGTGCCCCTGTCGTCAGCGGGTATGAGCGTACCAACCAGCGCGCTCCCCCTCCTCGCGCACGGACTTACCCACTCTATGATGTTTTACGAGGTAGACAACATACGACGCGCACGCCTCCTCGCTCTTCTGGACTTAACTTCCGTGTGAGCGGTTCGCATTACCATCCGTATCAGCGATACGCCCAGCTCCCGCAAGACGCCGAGCAGGGATACTCACAAAGGACGCTGTCTAATGAAGAGCGCTCCCCAGAGAATTTTGCCAACTCTTCTCCATTCCAGTCTTCCGGAAATATTATAGGCGAGGGTAGTTTGCTCTACCAACACCCCCAACAGCACCCCCTTTTCCCAAATCCACAGCTCCACCTAGGTAATTTTTCGGATTACGCGGAAATTTCTTTCTAGTCTATTCCCAAGTTGTTTTCCATGACAATTCAGGCTATTTTCAAAATTATCCCGATTGTCTGCTTGCCGTTCTAGTATGGTACATTATATCTATCCATCGGACTTCGAGACCCAATCTACTTTTAACTATGCTTTACAAATGCGGGACATTTCACGTTTATACAATTTCGTTCTCAATCGCTGCGAGCGCATGCTGCCCTCGGAGTATTTTTGTGACCTCGGAGGATGGAAACAAACAGGAACAAACATAAATATCCTCTGTTGAAGGCTTGAAGCTGGTGTCCACTTCCTCCAATTACCAAATCCATCATGCCTGTCCCTTGGGAAGCTCTCATTCCTTTCGGTAAAATTTCCTTTCAAAATCTGGTACTGTGACAGCTGACGTGTCGAAAAGGTTTACTCACTGCGATGTTCGGGACAGCCGGAACGTTGCTCAACCTTTCGACGAGAGCTCAAAACATGGGAAAGGTGCCTCCAGAATTTTGGTACCGAAGTTCCAATTCGAGCATTTGAAATTTGCTCTTACAGCCACCTCGATATCGTATTGATAACTGGGACGAAATGATGATGAAGCGAGATGAGCGGCTAACAGGACACAAACGAGGGCAGACGGTACGTCTGGTTTAACATGCGATTCTTGCGTGCCCTTTTAATACATCATGAATTACAGTCGAACCCCGTTGCGCCGCCCGGTTTTGAGACGAGCAGCGTATGGATGACAGAAAGTATCTAGGTTGATCAAACCAATACCATACCATTCTTTCCTTCTCCTAGGAGCATCTTTGACTCATGAAAGAGGAGTCCTTACATGGAATGTTCAACATGACGATCCTATGGGACGTGAACGTTTGATAACCGGTTGCATCGTTTGCACAACAATCCAAGGCCATGAAAGACCTGATCCGTATCCACATTCCCTCCACGCAACATTGTTTCTGGCAGAAATCATGGCATTGTTGGTATTCAAACCTGTGCGCTACATCTTTTCGCTCTTCCGATAAGATTCGGAAGTCTTCGATTCAATCTGATTTTCCTCCCTCTCTCTCTCCCTTCAAAGTCACGTGACAGACGTCGAATTGAAAAAAGGAAATCGTATTGAGTGTGGCGCCCCCTCTTTCACTTTCCAGCTCGACTGATTTCTATTCACACGTCAGCAGAGCTCTATATCTAACTGCATTGAGTTCCGTCCCGCGAAGATAACGCCCATGTGGCGATTAAATCCGATCGCGAGGATGTCCAAACTTTCTCTTACTATCACTGCCCCCTCGTGTCGACCAGGAGTGCCTATACACGCATTTCCGTATCGCCCTCTGGACATTAGAGGGAGAAGAGATCCGAGAGAGCCTATCTATTCACCGTTGACCGGAAGGGCGTTTCGAAATGTCCCTCCGCTGTCGTATCCACAATGTTTAGATACCGGACAAACTGTGACGCTGAAATTATATCACGTACAGGCGCCCAGTCCTCATGGAATTTGTCTTTGGGATATGACCGAGACCAAAGCCATGGAATGGTGGTAAACTCGTTCACTTTCAGCATGCATTTACTACGGTACTCAATATAGCGACTCCACTTTTCAGGTTTGATGCTGCCGCTCTGTATATCGAACCTGACGTTATTAATATTGGCGATTGGTATGAGAAAGATAGCGACACTTGACTATGTTCTAATATCTTGTCATAGATTCGGTAACATTTTTGCCATTCTGACCTAAGGGCGAATGCCCCGACGAGGATGGAGACAACGTTCCACTGTCAACAAGGAGTCGATAGATCTATTAATCTGCGAACGCTGCGCTCAAAACCTACCCATGCTTCCGACTCGGATTGGCTTACAGACTATACTCGTTTGAGTGAGTAGAAGTTTGGTTGCTGAGTTGTTCAACAAGGCGCAAGTTTTCTAGTAAGCGCTGCGTCATGTAACGGCCAGTTTATCAATCTCGATACTAATGAAACCGCTAAAGTCCCAAAGTATTCCAAACCAAATATAACCATTTTGAACAAGGAACGCAGCAAGCCGATACGGTTTGAGATCAAGGCCGTACTGTTTGGAATTCCAGCGTGTGGCGAGAGCTCTTTTCCATGGAAAGACAAGGATACCGGCACGAATATTCCGTGAGGACCACCAGTTGACTGAGAACCACTTTTCATAAGACAGGTCACTGAAACAACTCATCAAAGATTCTTGTTCCAAGCGAGGAAGACATCATTCGCTTAACAGAAGATCGACAGCCCTAAACCATGACTATGCAGCAGGCCCTCCCGTTGATCATCATCGGGAGTCTCTTGTCCTCGATAGAACTATGACTGGACCCAGCACGCCATCTTCAAGGAGGTCCAACGAACCTGTTCGAGATGACGTGCCAACGATTCTGTTTCTGGTCTTGGGATTTGGCGCTCTCCCACATTAGAACAAAACGAGAGAAAAAAGAGGCCGAAGAGCGGCTGAATTTTGGCCGAAAGTCATTCAGTAGATGTGAGCTTAGTTCCCACAGTATGCTATCCTGGTAACTATCTCCACTGGCACCTGCTCCTTTTCTTTCTCCCTCTCCCTCTTCCTTTTCTCTCTTTCTCGATCGGAGATGGGTTCGGAAAAGGCAGTTGGTATAGGACCTTCTTTCGAATGATGGGTGGCAATCTCCACGGGTTGGACGAGAAGGCACTGTTTTTGCTCGGAACTGAGTGGCCCGCAACCATGTGGAACCAATGGCAGCATTTCGACGGCGTACTGGCAATGAGGATGCGCAATTTCAGAATCAACCTCATCCGCGTAACAAAAAAGAAGACAAACCTCGACACTAAAGTGAGGGAACCTACATGTCGGCTGCAAGTCCTTCGCGAGATGTATCTCACCCTCCAATCTCTTCAAGTTCATCTCCGATGGAGCATCGTTCAGCGGAATCCGCCACACCGCCAACTCTACCGCGTCTACTTCCTGTATCATGCCCCCAGATTTACCGCCACCGACCATGTTGATATCTTTGCCTCCATACCGAGAGGAACCTGGAAATCTGGCGGCAGTGGACGAAGCAGAGTCACCAGCAAGTACGCTGAAGGAAGTTGATGGTTCGTTTAGGGTGGTTTCAGTACTCGATGTCATATCCTGGGTATAACGCACCCGCCGCGTGAGCCGGGCAAAGGGAGACTTTGGCGTGGAGAGGAGGCCGAGGGCATGGGAGTTTGAGCTTTCCAGAGTCAAGTAGCAAGGGATGACGGCGCCACGGGTATAACAGAGCTAGGAAAGGGTGTGTTAATCCTTGGCCAGAGAGCAAAAGGGGGCAATAATCACGGGTTTGGCGAGTGAGAGGGTACATCCCACTTCTACCTTGCGTCGACCTAGAAGCTCCCCGCAAACCATGACTTTAGGGAGAGTGTGCCATCCTTCCGGATCGACTGTTGGTCCAGGGAGCGGACTACCTTCAGTATAGGCGAGCTGGCGAGCGACTGAAGCTGAGGCAGGAATGATGGAAGGTGTATAGACAATTGCTGTCTTCAATCTAGAAGCTCCGTTAGTCAAGCTTCCCTCGACTTGGAATCAAACTAACTTGCTAGCAGGGCGCAACATTCCATGGGCGATGTGTAAGCCCAGCTCGTATTGTACGTTCGCATGGATTCCACGCTCCAAGAAAGTTTGTGGCAGAGGATAGACATGCGCCGAAAGAGACTTTGAGCTGTTATCTTCAACTCCTGCCTGAATTCGATCCCGTTCTTCCATCGTTCGTTTGAGCTTCGCCTTCTCTGACTCTTCTGAGGAGTTTGGGATCGGGAAAGAATTGACTTCATTCTGATGTTTCTCCTGGCTGAAAGACTTCTTATGCCGCCCACTACCCAAGGGGATATTTGCCGTTGATATTCCGCCGATTCGGCAACCAGTAAACTGGTGGTTTGTACTCATATGAACAAACGCCGTATTCATCGCGGGTGATTTGGAACTGGTACTCATGGGGGAGCTGAGAGAGCGGAAGCGAGAATTACGTGGTGAAGGGATGGGTGGAAACGAACTCGATGCCGAGGGCGAGGCTGGTGTGCTCGGAGGACTCGATTTGGGTGTGTCTGAAGGAGTTTGCAAGGGCAGAAAGAGTGTAGTCGAAGTTGATAGATCTAAGTGGGTTGGGAACGGGAAAGTAAAGGGGAATTGGTATGCCCCCTTAAGTTTTCCATCGAACTTTTTCGCAGACCCTTGGTTTGGAAAGCGTGGATCTCCAGAGGCGCGTGTCCAGATACTGACTTGATGGTCAAGGAATGTGTCAGATTCCCCAGCAAGGTAACCTCTGATAATGCGCCCACGAAGCTGATGGAAGCATCAATATTATATGTCATCCTAAACGATGGACTCACGGAGACAGTGATCGAGTTGACGGTTTGAGAGTTATCCAATGTGAGTTCAATTGTGCCCGAAATCTTGTCGCCGCCAGAGAAGCGGGGGAACTTCTGATGGTTCTGAACGACACCGACTGGTGGATCGCTGAAGACGCGGAAAGTAGCCCAGGGCTTGTTCTTCAGCCCACTGCAGATATTGTACGTGTGTTCGGTGCGCGGGAGCCCCTCTGTTGTGACGCTGTGGGCTGGAATGCCGAAAACGCCAGAATATCTCGGGGGGATGGATGAATACTGAGGGGGCGACAATGAAGCGGCTGAAGCCTCAACGTTGCTATTGTCTTGAAAAGGAGCACTTTCAGCTGAGGACGTTTTTACATCGCTATCGTTAGCAGTGAACTGCGAGGGAGTGGTTTCGTCGTGCGTGTATAGATCGTCATCGCGAAGGGTACAGGTGTCGACCTCCTGATCCAATGGTTGTTGGCCTTCATGTAGCGAGTATCGAGGCAGGCGGGTGATGCTGTTGAGAGACGCTGTAGATATAGTACGACTGATGAATCTGCTTTGAGCATTTGATGACACAGGTCCAGTGTCTGAAGGGTCGCTCCAGGGTCGAGAGTGCTGACCAGATGCTTGATGTTCTGAATCCATCCGCGAGTATTCTTCTGTGTGAAGAAGGGCTCGACTTGGTTGGCAGAAGAGCAGACAAAAGGTCTGGTCAAATGAAGGACAAGACAACTTTTATGGATCTATCACACAGCAAATCTGAGATAAGAACAATAAGCAAGCGCTTCCTGACAGAAAGAGGAGTGGACAACTCAGTGATCTCATCGACACAACATGTGCATAGACCAGCTCCAGTGACAAGTTGAGAGGGTCATTGTCGTTCTCAAGTGTGAGTCCACGTTGTTTTGAAAAAATACTGAAGAGTGTCTTGAGTGCTCAGCGCACAGAGACTTGAAGCTTGAAGGTGTGAGATTCATGAATCTGTTGGATGTCGTATGATTGATGACTCATCAAATACGCCAACAGCTGAGCTATTGTTGCAAATTTGAAATGCGAGGATCTCAGTCCGTCGTCCGAGGGCAGGTCATATGGTTACTTCGGCTTGACCAAGCTGAGCGTTATCTTACCTTTGCCTCCATTTGTGTCATCAAGGCCGCCTTACAGTAGAGCATACCGAAGTAAATTTCTCCTCCTTGATCATCTTTCAGTCTCCCGTCACTGAGATGCCGTCGTCGGCTTTGCAATTTTCTTGTTCCACCTTCTAAGTGGATCGTTGGGTAATAAAGCCGCTGCAACACGTCGGCCTTCTTCCGCGAGGAGGTTGTACGTCGCGCACGCGTTTCTCTGTCATGGTCAAAACAAATAAGCACATGAAATTGAGAGTCCAGTTGAACCACATAGAACTTACGGTATCCATAACATCTTATTGGATGCCTCAGTTTTTGAGGTAGGTACGTACGCATGAATGGGGGCGGCTGGACGATCCGCTTGCCTGTTCCCAATAGGAGGATTTCTGTAATGGAGGTTTCGTTGGTACGGAGGACCTGACCAAAAGAATCAACGCGCACCAGGTTTGGGAACCACAACGTCAAAGAGCTCGAAATGATCTTCCGTCCACCCTTTCCACTGGTCTTTCTCGGTCCTATCCCCCTCACCCGTTTTGGGCGAAGGAACATCCCATAGGTAAACTTGTCCCTCCAAAAAAATTGACGCGGCGGAGAGGACGAGGCCGTCAGCAAGACGGATACCTTCCTTGTCTGAAATACTGGACACCTGAATTGGAGGGGGGTTGTCTGCGTCTGCGAGCAGGTTAGTGAATGTGCGATCAGAGGTGCGAGAGGTGGTCTAGAAGGTTCGCAGAAAGAGGGGCGTTGGCGTTGGCATTTGGACGCGTATAAGAAGAGGCCATTCCCCTATGATTTGAGTACAATGGAAGATTGAGAAGCCCCGGCCTAGTTGTCGAAATGTGCGTGTACGAGGAGACATCGTCAAGTAGCCGGATGAGCAGGCCTCGTTGATGGTGGAGAAAAACGCTTAATCGACTCCGCTGCATCACCTTTACCAACCTCAACCAGGAACCTGCCTCTCATCAAGCTCAATGGAGATGCATCGTAACTTGGAGTCGAGAGTGCAACATGTGGATGGCCATAGAAATGAGTGGTCAGAGCGGGTTGATGAGGAAAGATGATTGGTACACCAAAAACAAGTACATAAACAGGTAAACGTTTGCCGGAGCTCTAGGGCCTCCCGAGGCTCCCAACAGCCCCGACCTTTAATGCGCTGACTGAGACATGTTTACGTTTCGAACAAACCTCTGCTCAGCATTATCTCGACGTGCTCCTTTCGTTTCTCTCTCTCCTTCTTCTTTTTTTCTCTTTCTCGATCGGACATAGGTTGGGAGAAGGCAGTCGGCATAGGGCCCTCAGAATGATGCGTAGCGATCTCGACGGGTTGTACAATGAGGCAATGTTCTCGGTCAGGTGGAATGGGCTCGAACGCGTGCGAGACTAGTGGGAGCAGTTCGACGGCATACTAGAGAGAAAAGGCGGGCAATGTCAGAATCACCCTTGCCAGTCGATGTACAAGAAGAGAACATACCTCAACACTGAAGGGTAGAAATTTACATGTCGGCTGTAGGTCCTTGGCAAGATGGATTTCGCCCTCCAGATTCTTCACGTTCATTTCCTGTGTAGCGTCCATCGGCGGCATACGCCACACGGCCAGCTCTACCTCATCTACTTCCTCTATCATCTCCCCTGATCTACCACCATTGACCATCTTGACGTCTCTACCTCCGGGCCGAGAGGAAGTCGAGGATCTAGCATTCGGCACGACAGAGTCGCCATTGGGTGTGCTTAAGGGACTTGTCAACTCTTTTGACTTCTTGTTGTCGATTGTAGACGACGCGTCCTGGCTGTAACGTACCCGCCGCGTAAGGCGGACAAAGGGAGACTTTGGCGTTGAAAGAAGGCCGAGGGCATGGGAGTTTGAGCTTTCGAGGGTCAAGTAGCAAGGAATGACGGTGCCACGGGTGTAACAGAGCTAAGAAAGGACATGTTAATCTTTAGCCAGACTTGAAGCAAACAGTAATCACAGGTTTGGCGAGTGAGAGGGTACATTCCACTTCAACCTTGCGACGGCCTAAAAGTTCGCCACAAACCATGACTTTAGGGAGAGTTTGCCATCCAACTGGATCTGCCGCTGGCCCAGGCACCGAAGCACCTTCGGTATAAGCAAGTTGGCGAGCGACTGAAGCTGGAGAAGGTGTAGTGGAAGGAGTATAGACGATAGCCGTCCTCAATCTGAACAATCCTGTAAGTCAACTTGTTTTAAAAATTCGAACTCAAACCCACTTGCTTGCGGGCCGCAACATTCCGTGCGCAATATGTAAGCTTAACTCATATTGCACGTTCGCATGGATGCCGTGCTCCAGGAAAGTTTGTGGCGTAGGATAAGTGTGCGTCGAAGGGGACCTTGACCTGTTGCCTTGAATTTCCGCATGAGCCCGATCCCGTTCCTCTAACGCTCGCCTGAGCCTCGCCTTTTCCGACTCTCCCGTAGAACTTGGAACCACTGAGAAAGGATCAACTTCATTTTGCGGTCTCGATGATCTTTTGCGTCTGCCGCTCAAGGGGATGTTCGCCGTCGATATTCCACTAATGTGACTGCCTGTAAATTGATGATTTGTACCCATATGCACGTTCCGCGAGCTGGACGCAAAACTAGGATCCGTGGGGGAGCTAAAAGAGCGCAAGTGAGAAGCACTTGGTGTGGTAGCAGATAGAAACGATTTCGACGATGGCGTAGCTGGTGTACTCGAAGGGGCTGGGCTGGGTGAAGGCACAACAGGATCCAAAGGGGTTGGCAATGGCAGAGAGATTGCAGTAGATGTTGATACGTCCACGTGAGTAGGGAATGGAAAAGCAAAGGGGAATTGATACGCCCCCTTGAGCTTTCCATCGAATTTTTTTGTAGACCCTGGGTTTGGAAAGCGTGGGTCTCCGGAGGCTCGTGTCCAGATGCTGACTTGATGGTCGAGAAAGGTGTCAGATTCCCCGGCAAGGTAACCCCTTATAATTCTCCCACGAAGCTAATGAAAACATCAGCATGGTAATTCACGCAAAAGGAGACTGTGGACTCACAGAGACGGTGATAGAGTTAACAGTCTGAGAACTATCTGAAGCGAACTCAATCAAGCCCGCGACCATATCACCTCCGGAGAATCGGGGGAACTTCTGATGCTTCTGAGCAGCACCCACTGGCGGTTCGCTGAAGATGCGAAACGTAGCCCATGGCTTGTTCTTCAGTCCACTGCAGATATTGTATGTGTGTTCAGTGCGGGACAGCCCTTCCGCTGTGATTTGCTGAGCCGAAGCACCGAAAACGCCAGAATATCTCGGAGGAGTAGATGAATAGTGGGGAGGTGACACTGGTGAAGCCCTCAAGATGCTGCCATCTCGATGCGGAACGCCCCCTGAGGTCGTTGTGATATCGCCATCGTCGGCGGGGCATCGTGAAGTTATTTCGCCGTGTGTGCTGAGAATAATATTGGCGTCGATCTCTTGGTCTAATGGCTGTTGGCCTCCCGAAACTGAATATCGAGGCAGGTGTGTGATGCTGTCGAGGGACACTATAGATATAGTGCGATCAACAAATCGGTCAAGGACATTTGAAGTGAAAGATTCACTGTCTGAAGACTCGCTCCAAGGGGGTGGGGATTCTTGGGAGTGCTGGCCACTGGCAGATGCTGAATCCATCACCTATATGGGCAAACTCCGTCTGTTCTTTCTTTGTACAAGTGCTCGACTGAGCAGGAAGAGGACCTGGTCAACTAGTGTGAAGGACAATTGTATCATTTCAGACAACCTTTATGGATGGATCATGCTCTTGGTACTTGGGGCAAATCTGAGATGGTGACAATAAGCAAGAGTCTGAAAACGGAGGTGCAAACCTTAACCCGAAATTAAGGTTTACTAAGTGTTCATTGGCGTCAACAAAGACCATACCTGGGAAGAAATTATCAGTATATAGGAACGAGACCCGAAAAAAATACACCACTGGCAGAAAGCGGGGGAACTGCCGCAATTGTTGTCAGAGCACAGAATGGGACAATGAAGTAAGGTAGAAAAGGGGGTGGAATCCAATGGAAAGGAAACTCACTCAGAACTGATGCACTCAGACAATTTTGCGAGAGGCTGCACGACACGTCTTTGCACATCCTTTGGATCTCGACGGCTTCTCGCCCTCTCTATATCTAGTGCACGTCCACAAAAGCAGCCATAGGGTAGCTCATGCTGCAGCGGGAGGTCGAGTAGGGATGTCCAGGCAACAGTAGCTGAACGACCCAGAGAGGAAACACCGAGCAACTCGTGCCAAAAACCCGTTTGATGAAGGAGGGAGTCTTGGGGGCTAGTTTGAAAATATGCGCATTTTGAGATTGGACACACTTTTGGACATCGAAGCTGACCGAACAAAGGCAAAAAATCGACGGTTTTTTAGGTTGAAAGGTGACACTTCCTTTGTGTAGTCATCGAGACATCCAACTGTGTGGAGGTGGGGGCTGAAGTGGGCAGTCCTACTTAGAGTGTCTAGGGTATCTCTTCAGGTGAAAGAAAATGGTGTCGAAAAGAAAAGGTCTCCCAACTTCCATTTCAGGTCGTTTTTGATGCCATCACGAATTGACCTCACTCACTTCGATACCTTGAACTGCATCCAGGTCGTATCATCTCCAAAATCGAAACGAAAATACGTCGAATCACCTCGCTTCGACGGCAACACTACTCGGGTGTGGTAACTTCTCCCACCAACCACGACGTTACATATACAAGGATCAACCGGATTGGGCTTGTTGTCTCGGCGTCTCCTTCAACGACCCTTGCCTTGTTGAAGCAAATGAGTGACGAGTCCGGTGACAAGGCCCAAAACGAGACTAAGTATCCCGGGAATATCCCAGGACTATCCCATCCATGGCATGTTCTTCAAGATCACCAAGTTGCCCGGAGCGTGGGTCCTTGTCATGTTTAAAGCTTCTACTGATCCCTCCATCTCACAGCAACCATCGACACTTGCGTTCCACTCAGACAGTGGGGGGAAACGTCTACTCAAACACTAGGGTGAAACGTCCACAGCCATCACTGTGATGGCGACACAGATATCGCCACCTTCGCCTGTCGAGCCCTCTTCTCCTTCAATCCCAGCTCGCCGCCGGTTCTTCCATCGTACCTTGTCGATTAGCGATAACTTCAGGTTTTCCCGACTTCCCCGATACTCGTTCCTTGGAACAGAGACATCCGAAGTTGATAGCGAGTATCCGCCTCAGCTTCCTCATATTGCATCGGACGACTCCAACGGTGGGGATCCAGAGGCGGCCCCCGGCGATGATAACGCAATCAATGCCGTTATCGATACGTTGCCACCATCCTATGACCTTGCATCTCAACCACAAGACTCCACAATTTTGGGTGGCGGTCAAATTTCAATAAACCCCGCGCAAACCCCCACGGAGGCCCCACACATTGTACATAGGTATCATATCCATAGTGGGTTCAAAAACAAACCATGGGCGACGTTTTGTCTGTTCAGCCACCCACCCGAGGCCCCGCAGCAGAAGTCACAGAAACTCCCGCGGTTTTTGGGGGGTGATGATATTAAGGGAGTAATCGAACTTTCACTAAATGGTTCTCAGACTGTACATTCAATTGATGTAACTGTGAGTTACACGTTTTGTCCCGTTATCTCAACATTTGACCAGATAACAGCTCCGTGGTCGTATTATAACTGGTTCCCTTGACGGGGAATTCTATACCTTTCTCAATCATCGCGTCTGCGTTTGGAATCGTTCGTTTGGAGATCCACGCCTTGTAGGCAAGCAGCCTGCCAAAAGGTTTGATGGGAAACTCAGCGGGTCATACGAACTTCCCTTCTGCTTTTCCTTTCCAACACACGTCGACATAGACACCACTTATCCTGTGTCGTTTGCTTCAAACCCATCCGAAGCAGTCTCTAAGCCTCCGCTCGATCCTATAACCTCCAATACAACCAGCCCAACCTCACCTACATCTGCTTCCAGTCCATCCAGCCCCTTCTCGACGTCTTCCCTCCCTTCATCCATGTCTCCTCGATCGCCCGCTCTACAAATAGAATCCCCAGAACATTCTCCTCTTCCTCGTTCACCTCCAAGCTCAAGTCGTAGCTTCCTCATGCGCAGTCGGCGTAACAAGTCTATTGATCACACCCATACTCCCCACTCGCTACATATCCCAGAAACTGTGCAGGAGGATCCGAACGCGACTGAACGAGCTCGAGCACAAGCGCAGGCGCAACTGGAAAGCCCCGCGCTACCAGCGCAGCAAGGAGGGAGGTTACCTCAAAACATCTCGCCTATCCCGCAAACGTTTTTAGAACGTCACATTGGTGTGAATGTACAATACGAGCTGGGCTTGGTCGTGACACATGGGACGTTTACGCCTGATAGCAAGTACGCGCTCTTTTGCTTCAATTTTTGTCCTCCCAGACGGTTGACTATTGCCTTATTTAGAGTGAAAACTGTGATAGTTTATACGCCCTCAGTGAAACCCCCCGTTCCTTCGAGTCTTCGCCAAACTGGTACACAGCTTCCAAGACCTGACGTTGATCCTGAGGGTTGGTACGCTCTGCCGAAGTTGATCATAAAAGGCGAACTTCTTGGGGAGCGCCAGGTGGAGTTAGGATGTACCCTTTCTCTGGCTAAACCAGTAAGCAAACATCTCCTTCTCCCAATATCTCTCAATGACACTGTGACATCTAGCTTTGCTACGCACGCGGCACCGTCATCCCCTGCCACCTAACGATCACTAGTGTGGACATGAACGCGCTAGACCTCCTTGCCGTACCCAAGTCCGCCCCTCTTGTCCGGCTAATGAGGCGCGTACGATATCGCCAGGACAGTTCGGCGGGACCCGATTCTCTGGAACCTACAGTGCGGTCGTCATCTTTCAACGGTATCGGTGCTGGTGTCCTTCCGATGCCAGTTACAAGGTCACATAAGAGAAGAGCATCCGATCCTGGGACTAAAAACTCTGTGGAGAGTGGCGGGATGGCGGATGTGGTAGAAGAGATGGGTGTTGCGAAGTGGTCTTTGAAGACCAAGCAGGATGCGGAGGGGTCTTTTAGGGTATTGGAGGGCGAGATTGTGCTTGGGAAGGAATTGCAGCCCAGTTGCGGGTTTGCGTTGTTCAATGTTCAGGTGTGCCTTCGTTCGCCTGTTATCGTTCATCTTTTTCGGCTTGCTTACCCCCGTGTTTTTTAACAGTACACTGTGGATATGTTAACTTTTGTGTCAAAGCTGTTTGAACCTAACCGCCAGGTCGTCCGCGGTGTTGTTGATCAGAAGGCAGACCCGAGGGCGCGCGTTCTTTTATCTCAGCCTGTCGAGATCGCTACTCTCCCTTATGAGGTGAATACATCTATGGGCCGGGCCGTTTCGAGTTCTTCATGAAAGAAGGATCTACCATCTCATCGTTCCCCGTCCTCTCTTTTTTCATTGTCGTATTGTATTGTTGCTTTGCTTATGCTTTCGATTTCTTATCAGTTCACTAAAAATGTAACAATTTGTACATGGGCTCAAGTTGCACGTTCAAAAGAGAGTAAGACGCCATGATTTTGAAGATTTTATAAGTGAAAAGGACGGTAGAATCCTGACATATGGGTATCCGCATAAATCAAACAAAAATGCGCGAGTTTCGGAAGCAGGTCCAAGGCCTTGTTCGTAGAAATTCTTCCCGCCATAAGTTATCTGAATTGGGTTAGAGAATGGTCATTCAACCTCCCAACCCAGACCGGAACGCCATGCCTGAACCCGCTATATCCATAATGCAGAGGAGTCCAGGTCCCAATTTCCATCACAACCCCTCCCAAATTGTTTACGAATCTCTTGAGTGCATCCAATTCCAGCCAGGTACTTGTTACATTATTGAGCACAAGCGTTTGCAGGGGCATTTCTGTGTGTCCTGGCTTCTCAGCGTTATCCAGGAATCGCGACCCGACCATCTGCATCAAATCGAGGACAGCGTCTCTGTCCAAGGAATTTCCGACGAACATTGTTTGAAGTTTCGGGAGGACGGATGCCTCCCCAATTTTCCACGTCATTTTTGACAGGACTTCATTGACGCTGGTTCCTTGCAGAGTCAAATCCAGGACCTCAATGCCTGGAGTGTATTCAAGAATCCTGTTGACTGTAGCGGGCGAAAAGCCGGAAAGAGCCAATGCGGCAAGGGAAGGAGATAACTGACAAAACTCGCAGATCATATAGATCAGCTTGATGACAGCATGCGCACCAGGTAAACTGTCTCTGTATGTCAATTGCACCTCTGTGAGATGCGGAGCCTCAAGGCATTGAAGTAATTCGTACATCGGAGTCCACGATGCTTGTATGTCGAGTCGAAGCATGTGATTCCGTAAAACGCGTCTCTTGGGGGGTTGTCTCTCGTTTACGGAGAAAACAACATGATTTTCGATCGTCAGACTGATAAGATGAGGCATAGCTTGCAACAGTTCGAAGTAGTCGTCAATGGAATGGTATTCACAATTCTTGGAGATGAAATGGGTTATTTGAGACCAGGTTATCGTCAAAATTTGCATGGGGCGGGGGAAGGCGTTGAGAGACAGATGGGACAACTGCGGTGCCATCCGAAAAATGGGCAAGTCCTCAGGGCGGTAAGAATGGGAAGAGGATGATTGGATCGACATTTTTCTGAGGATGGGGAAGGAGGCTGGCTCCCAAGACGGGAGGCTGTCTATGAACTCGTTCGAATCCCAATAATAGATCAGCTCATCGGGGACGAAGATGACTTGCCACCTATCCTTCTGTCGCCAGAAGGTGTTGAAGAACGAGCGATCAAAGAAATTGACTTCCCAAGCCGCAAAATGAAGTCGGAGGGGATGTCTGCCCGAACGAACGAGACAGGTTCGTGCCATGGTCTTCAAAGTATTGGCGTAAGACCAGCGCTTCAGATTGGCGTACAATGTGAGGTCAACATTGATGGAGGACCAGATGCTGCGGATCGATGTGACGATATCGCTCCATCGTTTACAAACCTTAGCGATTCGCCACTGAACACCCTGCGGGTCGTTGGAAGCATAAGAGTCGGAATCAGTGGGGCAGCAATGACCAAATATCTCTATGAGGACGTCGTCAGGAAGATGATGGATGGGGGATAAGAGAGACAGCTGTTTGTCGACGTACCCCTGAAGGTCGTCGCGTCTTTCTCGTAGCCGAGAGAAGATCTCTGCTAACTGGGCCATGCCTTTATCTATGACGGAAATGTCGGCCTTGGCCTTTCGGACATTTTCGTATATGATTTCCTCGTCAGCTGGTGAGGGAAAAAGACGGTTTCCCAGTATGTTCAAGTTGAATGTATCGAATTTCTTTTCGTCTGGCGAGATACCGTTAGGCAAGCCACATGTCTCGCACCCCGTGTATCCTGACGCAAAATTGGATCTGTGAAGCGGGGTCAGTCACTTTATCCCTATAAAAAGATATAAATTGCCCACTTCGACGTTTGCATAATTCGTAGAAGTCAGAGGATGAACAACAGAGTTTACTTGGGAGAGTCAACAAGTCGGAACCGCGTAAAGCCCTAACCATAATTTATGGTCAGCAGGACCAGAACTCCTCAACACGAACGTCAACGCCTTCCATCGTCAGTGCCACTGGAAGAGCCATGTCTGTTGCGAAATTTTGGCTTTTAAAGGCCGAACCTGATTCGCGCATTGTGAAAGGAAAAGAGGTCAAGGTTGGTTGCATTTAGTTGTGAATCTCGCCTCCTAATCCTCGCTCTTTCATCCAGTTTAGTGTCGATGACTTCGAGAGAGTCGCGACTTCTCCATGGGAAGGAGTTCGCAATTACGAGGCGAGGAATCTTATGAAAGAGATGAAGGTTGGGGAAAAGGTGAATCCAATTCGTCGTTTTCTCTGGCATCAATCTCCTCAGGCTGCTTTTTGTTCCATTTGGAAGGCACTTTTCTACCATTCAAATTGCAAAGCACCAGGTAAGCATTGAATTGGTGCTAATTTGAGGCCATAAAGTGACATTTCTTCAAGGAATTGCGGCGTTTGCAGAGGTTAGTTCATTCGATCCCCACCTGAGAATCTCTCTTTCTGACCTTCGCGTAATTTTAGGTGTCAAAGGAGGCATATCCAGACTGTGAGTTGACAAGACCATAAAAACGCGTCAATACTGCCGTCATATTGACCAGGCACTTCTTATCCCCACAGACACGGCTTGGGACTCGTAAGCCCCCTACGAGCTATGGTTGCCTTCACCCAGCTAAACCAGGTATCATATCAGTTCACACCCTTATTACGATGCAGTAATTCCTCTTTCTTTATCTTTACCGCAACCTTTTGACTCCCTTGCAGAAATCTGACGCTGACAACCCGAAATGGTACATGGTCGACCTAACCTTCAGCTCTCGCGCCAAAAATTTCGTTCCGCTGGCTCTTCTCAAGTTCATAGCCGACTTGCCTTCAAACTCAGCACCAGACGAAATTAATTATTTAGGCGAAGGAGGCGTGAAAGCCATCAAAGGTAGGTAATCCTCCGTGAAAGGTGTCTGCCTCTCACCTCCTCTCATTCACAACTCTGCATAGGAATGGATCTGGTGACTCGCGGTAGATTGAGTGTACAGCGCGTAGGGGAGGGGGCCTGGAATGCTATTGGCCTATTAGCCGAGAAAGGCGGCTGGGAGGAGATGGATCTCAGACCGAAGAAATCAGTGAAGACAAAAGCGAAGCCACCTGCAACTGAAAGGAAGGTCAAGACGCCTACGAAGTACGTGGAACGTGACAAGAATGAGGATGATGAGGAAGCAGAAGAAACAGAAGACGAAGAAGACGAAGAACCCGGTAGAAAGTATACAACTTCCAAGCGGAAGCGGAAAGCGACGGACGCGGGTGATGAAGACTTCATAGAGACGCCTCGCCGATCGACAAGGAGACGATGAATATACCAGATGACACGAAATACCCCATATACTTACAGTAACCACCCCAGACTAATATGACTGCTCTGCTTCATCCTCAACAACGGAACTTGGGAATACCGGTGAAAGCGCGAAATCAACTCGCATGTCAATTGTTGGTGTACAAAATATGTATCATATCGTGGTCATGGGGTATATAGAGTCCATTCCGTGTCGTGCGCCAGGCCAGAGTGATGGTTGGGTATAAATAGTGGCGAAGGGAGGCTTCAGAGCCAGTGTTCGCGCAACTGGCCCAAGCCGCGTTGCCGTAAGTACGCCTGCGTTCATAAATAGTAGCGAAGGGTGATCCATAGGTGGTCCCCATGTTACTGGCTCAAGCCGCGTCGCTGGAAATACGTCGGTATTTGACCCTGCCCTTCTGCGTTGGGAGGAGCGGTTGCACTCATAAATATTAGCGAAGGGAGCTTCATAGGCGGTGTTCATATAACTGATCCAAACCGCGTTGCAGGAAATACGTCTGTATCTGACCGTGCTCTTTTGGGGAGCAAAGGAACGGCCCGTTGCGTTCATAAATAGTAGCGAAGGGAGTTTCATAAGTGCCGCGGGGTAATAAACACGTCCGTATTCGACTGTGCTCTTCTGTGGGAGGAGAGACCTGAAGCGCGTTTACCCGGGGGAGCGGTGAACGCGACTGGAAGAGGACCCTCCCCGTGGAACGACGCAATGGTCACAGGTTGGGAAATGATCGGACTATCATGCGAGCCCACAGACGTGAATCGAAATACGTCAGAAAGGTCGATGGAAAGGGCAACATAGTACTGGGGACGCAATGTTTGTTATGAGAAATTTAATTAATGGAATCAGAGTGTTCCTGGTTGGTGGACCTACCTCGACGATCAAGAAAGGCACCATACAGGAGGGGTACAAGTTTTTTGGAAGGTGTATCTCGCCTTCCAAACAACGCACGTTCGGACCATAGAAAGCGGCGTTCGAAGGGACCCACCACACAGCTTGCCCTGTGTCCTCGACGATTTCGGTCATTTCGTCCTGCCGCAAGCTGGATCCTTTTCCCCGTGTGTTTGCCTTGAAGTGCGCTAGGACTAAAGAAGCATTTCGAGTATAGCTTATTCGACGTTTCAGACAGACGCGGATTATCTTCGCATTGGCAAATGTGTCCAGGACTTTCTGGTCAACTGCTTCTATGTTTATGAAGCACGGAAGCACAGTGCCGCGGGTATAAGTGAGCTGTGTTGATTATCGTCAGCAAGCTTTTTTAGCGATGGAGGGGCAAGAAAAGCTCACAGGATTGGCTAATGATAGCTAAGGGATGGAGTTGAGTGCAAAAAAGGGAGGCGAGCTACGATCCGGCTTACTATACACCTGAACTCTACGCCGCTGCGGCCTGACATCTCCCCTTGAAGGATGACAGGATGGAGTGAATACCAGCCTGCGTAGTCCTCTCCCGGACTGGAAAGAGATACACCTTCAAGATAAGCCCGCCGTCGCAGTGGTGATGATGGGGCTGGCGTAATGTTTGGCACATACGCCACACCAACATGCAACCTAAGTGCCAAAAATCAGTCAAGAAAGGCAAAAACAATGGCAAACTCACTTGCTACTGCCACGAAACATGCCATGGTTGATGTGCAAAAATAACTCATATTCCAAGGTGGTGTTAAGACCGCGCTCGTGGAAGGTCTGCGGGGTTTGGAAAGAATGCGAAATCTGACCGCCATGCGAAGGAATGGTAAACTCCGTAGGGAAGGCGAAGTTAAACGGCCACCGATATTTGCCGTCTAGTTTTCCGTCGAACCTCTTGCCCCCAGCTTGAGTTGCCCGCGGGTCTCCAGCGTCCTTGTTCCAGATATCGACGGCGTGGTCAAGGAAGGCATAAGAGCCGTCTTCGAGCGAGCTTGTAATTATTCTTCCACGAAGCTGTTTGCCTTCTTAAGAATCAGCGTGGAAACGACCAAAAAATGTTACGAACATAGAGTATTATCGAGTTGATTTTCTGCGGCTTTTCTAAATCAAGCTCGACAGAGCCAGAAATGGAGTCTCCCCCAAAGAATTGAGGTGTTGAGCCTGCATTGCGGCTAAAAATTCGTAAGGTCGTCCAGGCATGACTTCTATTGGCATTCATAATGTGAAATTCGTGTTGGTGCTGACCGGTCGAGCCTTGGCCGGAGCTCGACCCTTGTCGTTGAAGTTCAAGAGCAACGGCATTAGAGTATCGTGGTGGCCCATGTGAGAGACGTCGTCGAGCGACAGGGTTTTGCGACGACTCCGCATCGACAGTATATTGCGGAGGAAGTTCAGCTAAGAAATTCGGAGTCGAAACCCCATGTGTTAGGGTGTGCCGACGAGAGGATGAGGATGGCGGCATTGAAAAGCGGCGTTCAAGTTGACGCACACTCAAGACGAGCTTGGTCCTTCCAAGTGCCGTACCTATCGTTTCGCGTTTGCGCACATCGAAGATATAATCTTTTCTAACCAGCGAGTGAAGGGGAACCTCAAGGGAACCTGTCAGGATAAACCTAGAATCCCACTTGCTATTGTTCCAAGACGCCACGTTTGGCGGAGGGACATATAACAATTGAAGTAGTAGGCGCTGAATCTGATGGCGGAAACAAATCGCAAAGCTAGAAGGGATGCCTTGGAGTCCGTGAACCTTGTCAAGAACAAGGTCTATTGTATACACTACATATCTCCCTAATACGGGCAGGGTTCAAGCCGACGGCACGTCATTCGGATATGTCGGAAGTATCGACGCAGGGGTACGATTTGCATCACGCGCCCTGGAGTATCTCCGTTAACCACAAATTGAACCATGTGCAACCTTAGCCTTCAGATGGAAGGTTTAGTCAAGATCAGGTCTGCTATCAGGTACTCCCCCGCTGCACAAATCCCTGCTGACCACAACAATAACAAGGATGTGATGCAAAAAAAGCTTATAGATTGTCCAATTTCGAGCCAAGAACCGGTATCCCGGACGTTGAAAAAGAAAGCAAGGGTCATTCCTACGCCTATGAGCTCCATGTAAAATACTAAGCAAACGAGACTTACCATCCATTAGCGTAAAAGCTACGAGAAGGAGGGAGAACGGGGGCAGGTGGAGCGCTTGGTTAAGCAAAGCAAATGCTAACGCGAGAATCACGTAAGGTGCGACTATCTTGAAGATCTGGTATACGCAAGTTGAGGTATGGCTACCAAGAACCCGTGCGAAAGAAACTCACGAGCAGGGATGCCATGAAGAAGGGACTGAAGATGGGTATGAGCCGATAGACTGGCTCCAGGTAGAAAGACCTGAATCGGAAAAACTGAGTTTCGTGCGTTCGCTCAAAACGGCGTACCTACGATATGGATGCCACACTGCCGAGAGAATGGATCAGCCTAACGGCCGAAGGGGTGACTAGTTAACGTACTTTCCAATACCAAAGAATCCGACCTGGACAAAGAAAAGGAAAAATAGGGCAACCCTTAGATCGTCTGGCTGGAATCTGTAGGCGATGTCTTGAGGCGTATGGCCTTTGTTCACTTCGGTCTTATCCACGTCAGAGGACGGAGGAGATCCAGGCCCTATGCGCACGAGTTGCTCCACCTTGATCCAAGTTACCAGTGTGGCAGAATATGCAACATAAAAGAGACCCTCGATACTGATCGACAGAATCACAAAGCAGGGACCAAAGCCAAGGAAGAACATCACCAACTTCGATGCGGTGGTGTGGTGCTTCCCACGGGAGGTAAATGGCAAGATTGAAGAGGCGACTGATGAACAGAAGTCAGAAGGACAACTGTGGTGCAATAGGTGAAGATTACCTAGGATAGTCCACCCTGACAGCTGATTCAATATAGGGAGACCTCGTTTTTCTTGAAGATTAACCACCGAACTGGCGGTAATAAGCATAGTAGCTAGAATCAAGAGGGCCTGACAGAGTTCATCAGTATAAAATAATGCAACCGATGTCTCTAAACGTACTTGAATACTGAAGAGAGTACGGAACGACTTCCGGGTCGCCAGATCATCTGTGCGGTCTAGCACATAGATTACACCTCGCCCGCCAATAAACAGGATTGAAGCCCCGCCGAGTAGTCTGTCCTGCCGGCATTAATAGTCCGACTCGCAATTCGACAGCAGATGAAAACTTACATTGACACTAGGCTCTCTCTTTTGTCGACAGAGAGTAACGGGAAGATTCCAGTGATGACGCACACAGCACCCCAAACGAACCTCCAACCCCAATTTTCGTACCTTGTTCTATCCTCCCATGCAAAAGGCCAAATGAGTCCGACAAGGATAAATCCGACACTCCAAATTGATCGGTGGGTGTAAGCGGCCTGATGAATTACATTTCATAAGTGTATAAATGAAGATCAACACAGAACATCAACATACCACCATCCCTTGCAAAACCAATATGACCGATAAGGTGAGAAACAATAAGCTTCCGTACTTGATCTGGGACCCTCTGGACTTCAACCGCGACTTCATTAATGGAAAGGCTTGAAACAGAAACTGCCTCCAGAAATAGCAAGGGAACACGATGTAGATGTAGAATGTCAATGGTGACCTCTGTATCGCGAAGAACGTCCATGACCCCAGAAGCACGATCGCTGAAATCAAGGTAACGTAGCTTTTGAAAGGACTCTTGGGCGCTGGGGGAGGGCGAAGAATGTATATCGATGCATACGCAGCCCATCCGGTGTAAGCAAGGGTGACGATGATACGAATCAAAAGCCGATCATATGTTTGGAGGTAGTGGAGGCCAAGCAGAGCTTGCTGAATAAGGTTCAAACTTTCCTGTCGGGCGGAGTGCCATTCCCCATTAGATATGAGGCGTTCGATCATTGAAACGTGCACAAGTCTGGCCGCTTGCTCTGTGCCGTGAGAACCCTCAAGGGGCTTAAATGGTTGGTAGAACAGCGTGTGTCGCTGCTTCAGTTCTATAAAAAAAGTTTAGTAAGGCCTTCAAGGCTCCAATGAGGCGACAACATACCATGTTTCATTCGGTAATGCTCCAGAATAACCTTTGCATTGACCAAGGCGACTTTTGCCCGTGCCTCGTCGCCTTCCTGAGGGTTGAGATAGCCAGGTAGCGTCGGATTCACGTCAGGCAGAACACCGACTGAGTTCACTGGCCAGCTGATGCCGATAAGTGCTGCCATAAGAGAGGCAATGTCTGCTTGTTCAACATCACGACGGAAGAGGTGGTTTAGGCGCCATGGCTCAGAGTAAGCGTCATGCGATGTTGGTACCGTGTCTGGAAGCGGACCACGTACACCTTTACCCCAAGCAATTAAAGGAGTACGCGTATTGTCTGGATCTAAAAAGATATGGTTTAAAACGATACACAAAGCCACGGTAGAAAATCCGCAACATACGCCCATCACCATGATTGCCAATGACCGACATGCCATGGTCCGCAGTGAAGATGAAGCTTGTTTCTTGATCTTGATAGTACTCGGATATCAGTTGCTCTGCATCACGAACGATATCGTCAACCACTTGAATGTTTTTCATGTATTCCTGTGATAGTCAAGGAGGTTAGACAGTGACCCAAAATCAAGTCCGAATCGGCAACCTTGGAGTGAGGCCTGTAGGAGTGGCCTGTCGTGTCGAGCCCCAGCAGGTGCAAAAAGAACACTACTTTGCCCGAACGCAGCTGGGCATCTAGAGTAGGATCTGAGGTGGCATTTTTAAACAGTGTTTGGAGTTGGTCTAAAACCCAGATATCCAGTGTGGTTGCGTCTATTATGATCTTCGTTTATAACGGGAGTGGGTACGGCTAGCCAAAGTCGCTCGCACCTTTGGTAAAGTCTTCATCTTCCTCGTTGTAACTCCATGTTTTCACTTTGCCAGGGGTCGCTCCCCTCGCAAACATAGGCAGTATATCAGGAGACCCAAAAGAGAAGGTTGTGCTTGATTGATTGAATACAGAGTCAAAATCGACCTTGAGAATCCACTTATAAGCAAGCACATGCTAGTCTCCCCCGAACAACTCACGGGATTGGTTTTCCAGCCCTATATCCTAATCCCATCAGTTAACGACCGACATAGGGCATCGGTCAACAATGTGTTCACCTTCGTCACAGCTGAGACGTCCTCATACATGCCACCTTGGGTGAACACGTCATGTCAGCGGATGATATAACGCCCTCTGAGAGTAAGACCTGCCGATAATTGCAACATGACCAGGCCGACTCTCTGTTGGCACTCTAGTATGGGATATGCCAAAAGCGCCTCGATTTTCAACAATTGACCTTAAATGAGGTGCAACGATTTGGGGTGAATCAACGATATTCGGGAAGGGGTTGACGGAAAAGAGAAGATCGGCCCGAAGACCGTCACCTGAGCTCACAATGAGAATTTTTTTAGGAGTTCGGAATGGAAGAGAAAGCGCACCGACGATCAAAACCAAACGTTTTGCTTCTGCAGTTCCGACGTGGTAGCTTTTCATACCACTCACCACTGGACTGGTAAAGTAGCAGTCGAACACGGAACCAATGTATACGAGGTGGAAAACGAGTCCGATGAGAAGAAGTTTGAAAACATTGTAGCGTGTATCTTTTAACTTTCTAGGTGCCCTGGCGGAATTGGATGCGTCTACTGCCATGTTAGCGAGGTATAAGTTGAGGTCCAATGTGTTGACGATTCGTTCAAGCTGAGTGCAATACAATTATTCATTGGCAAACATAATGATAAGGAAGGACGCACTATTGATGGGCTATTGCATTGTAATTGGAGCTATGGCTTGAGAGATGCTAGTGCCAAGGACCAGAGGTTCAAGCTTCAAGCTCAAGAGAGACTACTGCACTGGCACGACTTTGTTTGTTCGTAACGTCGTCGCCCTACGAAAGTTCACGACTTCATTTGGATGCCGGCTCCGAAATACGAACTGGGGAGACCTCATGCTAATCCGAATCGCCCTCAATCGCCACTACAAGTACTTAACCATGTCTGGACAATAGAACCCCGCGACTTTCAATGTCAGGTCTACCTCCCTCCATGAATAATAACACTCTCCAACGGCTACAACCAATCCTCCCCATCACAACGATGGTCCATCAAGCCTCAGTATCTGTCATTCCTTATGTCGAATTCGAAGAGTCACAAGTCGTTGCCACCGGCATGAGATGCATGGAATTTGATGGAATAACAGGTGTTGTATCATTCGCATTATTAAATAAATGACGCATGCACCAATAAATGATCCTCGGTCATCATAGACGAGGAAACGAGCCCCATGCGCGGCATATCGGGAATGGTGCTCTGCAGGACAATGTGTGGCACCGTTGTCGTTGTCGATATATTGCGCGTTCTTCGACGCAACTGTGACAATCCAGTTCAGCCAGAGTTGTGGTATTTACCCTCAAACCATCCATGGCGTTTCCCAGTTGTTGACCCCAGTCGGGCAACGCTGATTGCCCGCGCAACAGTCCAAGCAACCAAGAACTTTCCTTCACACGATGGCCATTTTTTCATCGATGACTTTGATGATCGGGTTGTTGAAATGCAGAATAACCGTCATCGTGCCTTTTTGGTCGTTCATTGGGTAGGATTTGATTATGACACCAGAGTTTCATTCAATATATCTGGTCATATATATTACAACAAAGAGTAGGTCGATTCTCTTCAATAATTTGAATAAATCTGTTTATCCGCGATGTGTAGATATCAGATTTTGACGCCGTCGCCCACAATATCCGCACCACAGCCAGCGGAAGGTGACGCTTAGACGAACATCACGCCCAATCCAGCGGCCTTTAGATATGCAGAACGACGATCCTTCTTGACATCTTCACCATCTTCACAAGAAACAAATATATCCGATTATATATATTACAACAGAGAGTAGGAGAATCCTTTCTAAGAATTTGTATAAAAAGTTCGTTTATCCGCAATGTGTGGACATCAAGTTTTGACACCGTCACCCACAACATCCGCTCCAGGAAGCAGCCAACGGAAGGTGACACTCAGCCTCACACCACGCCCAATCCAGCGGCCTTGAGATAAAGCAGAATCCTTCTCACCATTTCCACAAGAAACAAAGTCCTCCTTTCGTTCGTCTATACCATGCGTCCATTCATATCGCGCTTCCTCCGAAAGGACAATAACGCTTCTCTCTGGGAGGTACAACTCCCACCTAGAGTCATCCTCCCCCTCTGCTCCCCGTTCTCGAGTCTCAGTTTCAGAGGGAACTTTATCGAACCTCATGACGCAACCACTCCCAAAGCTGACGCCTACGATCCCATCCCCAAAGCGGCCAAGCAAATCCACATGAGGGGTAATCCCTTCACCAGGCTGGTAAAGATTAAGAATCGCTTGGCGCGCTTGCGTCGCCCGCTCCGGGAACAACAATTCATGTGATTTGGAGGGTAGGATTGGGCGTAGGAGACTAGACAAGGTGTCGAGGAGGGATAAAAGAATAGGCGGAAAGCCTGAGCCCGAGGTCGATTTCGAGCCTGGTGATTCACAATTTAATAAAAATCGTTCAAATAGCATGATTTGGTTGACGCCTGGCGCCTTGAAGTACGTTTCCATGCAATAAGCCATAATGGTGTCCGCCAACTCTTGTGGTATTCGCACAGATGGTGTGAAAGATAAACCAGTAATTTCGGGCGCGTCTAGGAGCGCTGGCCATGGTTTCCGATCGTCTTGAATGACACTGCCAGCGGTGTCGTCACCACCAAAGTCTTTCAAGTCATTTATTACAGAATCCGCATCCGAAGCCGAAAAGAGAGAAGAAAGCGACTTTGCTGAAAATAGGGTATCTGTCGCAGAAACATGGGTATCATCCGCCTCTGGCGCAAGTCGTACAGGTATTTCAATCCTTAACAGTTTCCGGTTTCTTCGATCCACCAGAGAGGTTGTTGGCAGTAGTAAAGTCCCAGACTGAGAAAGGTCGTCCAAGCCTTCGGTAGGTGTATCATCTCGATAGTCCCGCTTTCTCTTGGTGAGTGACGATGACGATGAAGTTCCAAGGGACCTTGGCGAGGCTACTGGCATCGCACAGGCAACCTGCAGCATCAAAGCCCTCGGTTTAAGCACACAAGGGACATAACGGTGGTTACCCACTCAAAAATACAAGCCAGTGTAAGGAATAGCGGTTCGAGGCCTGCTTGAGTTGGGGGGAAGGTTGGTGGCTTCGTGGTCGTGCCGAGGACAATTGCAGTTGTTGATGCAATGGTTTGGTGGCTGTGTCGATGGTATCTAATCCGGTTTAGAGTCGTTCCGGTATAGCCGACTAAAGTCCATTCACGTTTGCCCCTCTCCTCCTCCCTCCTCCAATGCCCCATCCAACCCCCTCCACCACCCCAAAAGAGGACATCTCCCACGTCTCAGGGAACGCCTCCGATGACATCAAACACATCCTAGGCATCCCATCCCGGTTCTTCCAACACTTCCAAGCGGAAAACGCACCGCCCATGTTCGGTGATTCTATCCAGACGCGTATGGTCGTCACGGAAATTTCGATAAATAATAAAGCGGAGGAACCGAAGAAGGTGGAGGGGAGGGTTGTGCTTGAACTTGATGTTGCGGAGGGTATGTGCGGCATTATCAAAATCAATTGGGCGATGATTTGAACTTACCTTGAAAGTTTTGTTATTTAGATATGTTGAATGGAGGTGGTAATATTCACGGAGGGTGTTCGGCGTTTTTGATAGACGTGTAAGTAAAGTTGATTCATGGTTTCATGGGTACTTGGAGCTGACTCGCTACCTACTTGTTTAGGTGCTCTACCCTCGCACTCACAGCGCTCAACCTAGCGACCACGGGAGAACTATCCCCAAGCGTTTCTCAATCCCTTAACATCGTATACCATTCCCCCGCGTCGCTGTGAGTTGTTCTTACCTCACTCATATCGCCGCCTGCTGACGATCATTTCAATTATCAGTGGAGATAGGATCAAAATCGTCAACACCACGCTAACCCTCGGAGCCCGTGCGCATTCTGTCCGAACCGAAGTAAGCACCCGACGGCCATGATACTTGGTGTGAAAAACGGGTTGACCGAAATGTTATGCATAGATTTGGAACCTCACGCATCACCGCCTGGTAGCGTCCGGCACGCACATCAAGATGGCTCCCTCGAAGCCCAAGTCCAGTCTCTAGACTGATACCAGTTCTGCAGCGTATGGACATCCTGCAGAAAAGAAGCCTATCAATGGATTCTACGCATCTAATCATTTCATCCATACCAATGATTTATTAATCTGACAGTAGTATGTAGTTCATGGTAGATAATCCGTACTAGAACGCCATGAGGCGTAATTAACCATATATTTTTCCAGAATAACATTCTAGAGTTCCGCAGCTAGATCCTCCAAAAAACTAAATGTGACAATAAATCTCTCTGACATTCGCTAAAAAGCGACGTGGCATTGATTAGTTAGTGATGCAGAGTAAAACACTTGAAGTACCCACCTCGAAATCCGGATAGGGATGCAAGAGCTTCTTTTCCAGACGACCGACCGACATTGACTGGACCGGTCGCAGCTTACATTTGGACAACATCATCGTCCGCATCGTGATTCGTCGGCTAGGTTGTATTGTTCCGCGGTGTCGTTGTGCCTTGAGTTTAGAGCACAAAGACCGTAAACTATCAGCGCGAGGGGTGGCAAACATTTGAATCAAGAAGGGCACCGTCAACATAATTAACCATATATTTTTCCAAAATAACATCCAAAATTTCCGCACTAGCCAGATCCTCCAAAAACTGAATGCGACAATAGATCTCTCTGACACTAAAACAATCCGCTCCTTCACTAAAAAGCGACGTGGCATTGATTAGTTAGTGATGTAGAGTAAGATACTTGCAGTACCCAACTCATAATTCGGACAGGGATGCAAGAGCTTCCTTTCCAGACGACCGACCGACATTGACTCGACCGGTCGCAGCCTACATTTGGACAACATCATCCTCCGCATCGTCGGCTAGGTTGTATTGTTCCGCGGTGTCGTTGTGCCTTGAGCTTGGAGCACAAAGACCGTGAACGTTCAGCGCGAGGGGTGGCAAACATTTGAATCAAGAAGGGCACCGTCAACATAATTAACCATATATTTTTCCAAGATGACAATCTGGATTTCCGCCCTGGCTAGATCCTCCAAAAACTAAATGCCACAAAGATCTCTCTGACATTCAATCCGCTCCTTCACTAAAAGGCGAGTTAGTAATGCAGTGTAAGATACTTCAACACTCACCCTATAATTCGGACAGGGATGCAAGAGCCCCTTTCACTCGACCAGTCGCGGCCTTCATCATATTCGTTCATAGCTTCCATCGTCCGCCGGGTTGCTGTTTTTCGGCCCTTGAGTTTCCGGCACAAAATCCGTAAACAAGGAGGAAGGTTCAGCGCGAGTAGTTATTCGTGCTTGTAACCAGACATTGAGGTCGAGGTCGAGGTATGAGAAGGGGTGCATTTGACCCATGAAGGAAGGGTATTGCAGGTCGAGGTATGCGCGTTTGACTTAAGAAGGGCACCGTCAACAGTCGCAGGATCTAAACGAGCGTTAGCGAACCACGCCCCCCCCCCAAAAAAAAAGCAAGACTTGCTCATTCCATCCAGCAAAAAAAACTTCTCTTGACCCACTTGAGCTTGTAATGTTCACCTCAAAACCCTCCCCTTCTTCAAATCCGCAAGCTGGCTCAACAACATCGCCCGTTCATTCAACAGCTCAAGCGTCCGCTCATACTCCCTATTAGCAACAGCGAGCTTCTTGGCTCTTCCACGTTCTTCCAATTCCTGCTTTACATCAGCCATCAACATAAACACGGTCGTAAGTAGAATGCTCACCAAGCTTCCCGCCATCGAAGTATCAAGCAAAATAGACCCCCGACTCCGCTCGAACGACTCTACCTCGAAATCTTCGTCTACTTGTTGGATGTACCCGTCCATGCGAACGGATGGGGATACGGAGGAAGAAGAGGGCGAGGTGTGATCGTGCTCGTGCTCTATCGGGAGATGTTTGGAAAGAGACGGGGGACAGGTACAGAAACTTCGGTCCGCGTCGCGCTTTGGAGGTGGAGGTGGAGGTGGAAAAGGAAAGAGGGAGGGTGATGGGATTTGGTGGATGCATCTTGGTGGTGTAGGGCCCGGGAGGAAGCTGAATGAGGAAGAGGGGGTACTGGGATTGGAGAGTTCTTCGTTGTATTCGACGGTAGTGTCAGACTCTATCCTGCTCTCGCCGAGCTCGAAAGAGGAGAGCGTCTGCTGGGTATGCTTCGTCGTCGTCGACGAACCACAATAAAACACCGAGTCGGTGTCTAGTTCCGGGTGGGGTGGGTAAGGCTCCGATACACCCCTTCTTTTTCTTCTTCTTCTGCTCTTATTGCATCCCGCCGGTGGTTGTGCGTCCACCAAGTTTGGATTCACGTCCAGCATCCCAATCCTCCGTGCAACCCAACACAAAAGCTCACCAACGAACACGACCTCGTCCCACTGCCCCTCTGCAAGACGACGGGGGTCGACGTTGCTTAGCCCCAGATCGCGTTGGAGGATGTCGGTTTCGAGTACGCCGAGGAAGATCTTCATGTTTTGGATTTGGGATGGTCGTTTTGAGGATGTGGTGAGGGATATTTTTGTTCCGAGGAATGACTCGAGGATGGCGATGAGTAAGGAAGGTGTTAGGTCTGTTGGAGATAGTATGTGTATTGGGATGTGGATGGCTTGGAGTAGGAGGTTTAGTTGCGATGTGAGTAGGCGTGCGTTTGGCATATTCAAGATGGAGAAGGAGGATATTGACGGATGTTTTGGTAAACGTCCTCCTGGCGTCAACGACCATGTCAAAACGAAAAGTTGCATACTACTACGATAGCAAGCCACCGTATACCCTATGTGCTCTCAGCTACTAACATACGCTATCCAGCCGACGTCGGTGCATATACCTATGGCTTAGGACACCCAATGAAGCCTCACAGGATACGGGTCACACACGATCTAGTCACCGCCTATGGCATGCTCGACAAGATGCACGTCTTGGTGAGTCCAGTCTTATAGGATGACAAGTGTACTAATGATCACCAATAGAGAGCTAAACGCGCCACACCCGAAACAATGACCTCCTTCCACACAGACGAATACGTCCACTTTCTCAACAGAGTAACTCCAGAAACGTCCGAAGAGCTGACTTACCACGGAACCAGATGTACGTTCAATCCCTCATATCAGTCTTTCCACACCTTCAACCAAAAACAAGTTCTCGTAGGAGAAGACAACCCCGCATTCGAAGGCGTCTTTGAATTCTGCTCCATCTCCGCAGGAGGCTCAATAGGTACGTCCACCCTCTCTTCCCCCCTCCAACCCAACCCCACTCACCCCTTGCCTCCCCAGCCGCCGCCCAACGCATAACCTCCGGCGCAGCCGACATAGCCATAAACTGGGCCGGCGGCCTACACCACGCCAAAAAACGGGAAGCCTCGGGGTTCTGCTACATCAACGACATCGTCCTCGGCATCCTCGAGCTCCTACGCACCTACCCACGCGTCCTCTACATCGACATCGACTGCCATCACGGCGACGGCGTCGAAGAAGCGTTCTATACCACCGATCGCGTGATGACGTGCAGCTTTCATAAATTTGGAGAGTACTTTCCTGGGACGGGGACGCAGGAGGATAAAGGACGTGGGAGGGGACGTGGGTATGCTGTTAATGTTCCGCTTAAGGATGGGATTACGGATGAGAGTTTTAGGAGTGTTTTTGAACCTGTGCGTTGCTTTCTCAATCTTTCAAACTTGAGAATGCTAAAGAGCGCTGCAGGTCATCACGAAAATCCTAGAAACCTTCCAACCTTCCGCTATAGTCCTCCAATGCGGTGCAGATTCTCTAGCAGGTGACAAACTGGGTTGTTTCAACCTAACAATGCACGGGCACGCACACTGTGTCCAATTCGTGCGAAAACAGAATATACCGTTCATACTCCTCGGTGGGGGTGGGTACACCGTTAAAAACGTAGCACGGACATGGACGTACGAGACGGCGTGTGCGCTTGGGATAGAAGAGAGCATTGATCCGAATTTACCGTGGAATCAGTACTTTGAGTGGTTTGGGCCACGGTATAGGTTGGAGGTTGCGGAGAATAATATGGATGATTTGAATGTTAGGGATGGGTCTTTGGAGAAGGTTCGGTGAGTTTTCTTTTTTCCTTCCCCCCCTTCCTGCTTGGAAATAAATGGAACTGAGATGGAGACGCGTATGATAGGATAACTGCCCTGGAACAATTATCACAGTTACCGGGCGCACCGTCCGTAGGGATGCATGATGTCCCTAGACAAAGTCTCGCTGAACACCTTGGGTTTGGGAAAGATGATGATTTGGGACGGGATGAGTTGGATGATCGGTTAGCTCGTACGTCTCCCTTTCCTTCTTTCCTTCCTTCCTTCCTTCCTTCTCTTCCTTACTAACAAAAAAACACACTATAGAACACGCGCGATACATATACACCCTGCAAAACCACCTCCACCCAAGCTCTCCCACCCCCTCATCAGCCGAATCAGACTCGGATTCATGGGACTCTGATTCGGATTCGTACGCCCGCAGCCGCAGGAAACGAAAGCCTAATAATGTAAATAAGAAGCGGATGAGTCTTTTGACGGGACGATACTATACCCCTCCTCCTGCTCGTCCTCATTCCCATTCCCACTTGGACGCAAAACCATCGACGACGACGAGAAGGAAGTTCTTCCAGAGCGATGCGAGGTGGGATGGGGGGGTCGAGCGTGTTCTTCTTGGGGTGCCGAGGGTACAAGTTGTGGATGTTGGTAGGGTTATGGAGGGTGGTGGTGGTGTGGATGATGGGTTTGAGGGTGAGGCGTGGGATGGGGATGATGGGATGCAGGAGGAGGGGGAGGAGGGGTCGATGGTTGTTGATACCTAGAAGGGTTTTGCTATGATGTGTATTTTTATTGGTTTTGTGTAATTGCGAGCGAAGCGAGCATTCCTGGAATCCTTCACTAAAGCGCTGAAAGCCCGGACAAACAAGTACAAATTGTCAGGTCGAAACTTTTGGCGGGGAAAAGGAGTATTTCGCGAATATCTCGTGCATTTCTGGCACTCTTCAAATGAAACTTGGCAAGTATGTTCATGTGGTGTATATATATCAGAAAAAAATGCACCCTGTCCTATGTATTACATGTTAAATCAACCCTCAAACTTATGTGGCATTTTCAACAATCTTCTGAAACAGCGTAACAAACATCTCTATCAGAGCCATTTTACACATCTTGGATGTCCTTTTTTAGTTGTTTCCCCCATCTTTGAAGATGGGAGAAAGTCGCGTCGACACGACTTTGGCCACCTCGACCCAGGCCACTGCAACTGTGGTCACAGTCATATTATTCGAAGGTCTCAAAAAACTTAAGTGCAACATTGGTGCAACAAACTAGTTGTGCAAAGCAAGCCTATGTAACCCCCGCGGGACTCGCGGATCCATTTTATTGAGTTTTCTAGTTTGCTTCTACCCCGACAACATTCGGACCCCAAGTTTGGATCTTCAAGCTCTTCAAGCTTCAATCGTTTTTTGCGCTTCACATGACATGGAGTCATTGTCATCACTATAACCATCTTGTGCTTTAGGCATGTACATAGTTCCAGAGCTTCAAGGGATATCAGGTTTAGAGCAGTTTAAAATTTAATCAACCAATTTCGCAGAGCTTTCCTGCGATCAGGGACTCCATTCCCAGCAACAATCCCTATGTCTTCGTTGTAGAACAGGATTAGCTTGAGGAATTCGAGGTGCTGGTAGTTGTCAATACTAGGAGGATCAAACATCAGACTCGGTGGGATGGTCGGAGCCAATGTTCGCGCCAGCAAATTCAGCCTGAGGGTGGTTGGTGGCAAACTCAATCGATGGCGTTGCGGGAAGCATGATCGGGGGCGAGGGCCCTTGCTAGTTGGATACCAGACCCTGCTACCTGGCGTGAAAGAAATGGATAAGCAACAATTGCAAGAGGTGATTGGTTATACCACGACGTACAGTCTTTTGAACAGGATGGAGACCCATCGGATCGACGAATCGGTTTTGTAAACGAATCAAGGCATTCGCGGTCTCTGCTCGTCCAGTTTTCACGTTATTGTTAAGGTCACGGAGTTCTTCACGGATTTCTTGTAGGGTATCTGCCAAATTTGCTGGCATGTATTGACTCGGAGATTGGGCTTGTCGTAGATGTTGCTGGTTGAGTGCTTGCCCTTCTACAACTGCTTGCTTGAGATTGATGTCACCAAGTATTTCAGGGAGGCCAGGGTTCTTCGCATATGTAGAACCGATGCTATATGGATAGGTGGCCATTTGGATCGAATGGTGGTGTGTTTCAGGCAAGTCCCGGGCCGGACTTTCGAGGCGTGAATTACACAATTATCACTTGATTATCACCCTTAACTCGCTCGCTGGCCCGGGCGAGCAAGAGCACAAGACCGGAGGATTAAAAGACGGAGCGGCGCTCAGAAGTACTTACAATGGTGCGTCAACGCATCCTCAATTACGCTGAGGACTGGAAGTTGAGGTTCGCTTAGGCCTTGATGCACCCAAACTCAAGTTGGGCCCAACCTCACCGGTACCTTAGCTTGCCCAAGCTTCGTTGGGATCCTGGCACTTCTGCCTCCGGTCGTGGCCTTGTTGAGGAGTGGTTGGGACAAATCCACTGTCTACAACTTTCCATGGCCATGCTGACCACTTTCAATCAGGCCTTCAAAGGCATGTTGATCAAATGGCAAGACAACGCTCGACTACGCGTCCACCACCACGCCTCATGCTTTGGCCGTTCGCGTTCTGTATCCCGGGCTTAGACCTTCGTTGGGATCTTGACAGCTCTCTTCGGCAAGTCTTTAGTTGTGGCCTGAGGCTCATTCAGAAATCATTGGCACCATTGCCACTGGCAATGGCACCCCGACTTTCGGTGGCTCGCTGGTCTTGCGTTCGCCAATTTCAGGCCTCGAAGAGGCCCGATGATCAAATTCAAAGACAACACTCGCCAATGGGTCCACCTTGCACCCTGTTCCATGCTGCCCGTTCGCGTTCTGTGTCCAATCCGACCTTAGGCAGGCCAAGCTTCGTTGGCTGCTGTCTCCGGTTGTGGCCTTGTTCAAAAATCACTGGCACCATTGCCACCCCGCTCTTGGTGGCTCGCTGGGCTTGCCTCCGCCTCTTCGAGGCCCGATGATCAAATTCAAAGACAACGCTCGCCAACGCGTCCACCTTGCCCCCGTCCCATGTTTTGGTCATGTTTGGTTTTGCTCTGGTATAAAACGACGCCTCAAACGCGACTTGAGAACATCCCCCATTCCTCAACTGACCCCCTACTTACTAGAAGACTTTGACCATCACCATCACTACCACTGCCGCTGCGCCTTTTGATGTACAGATCTGGACCGCCAGCGTTCCCTCCTGGGGCCTTCGCTCCTGGACCCAGCTCAACCAGGGACTTTCCCCGTCGACCAAGGGCGCCTTCTCCTCGATCAAGAGCGTTACCTTATGGACCAGGTGGTTTTCTTTCTGGACCAGGAGTTTTCTCTTCTGGACCAGGTGCCTCTCATTCTGGACCAGGAGCCTCTCATTCTGCACGAGGAGTCCTCCCTTCTCGACCAAGGCCCCCGCCTCCTCAGGCGATGGTTCTTCTCCCTCGACCAAGGGCTCTTCTTTCTCTACCAACCTTCCCTCCTGAAACATTTGAACAAATCTTCGAGTACGTCGAGGACAGCTCAGTTTTTCTCGCCCTGCGTGCCACCTGTCGCCTTTTTTGCCGAATGTACACGCACAAAGCGTTTCGGAAACTCTCTCTCTCCCCCCTCTCGTTGCGTAATATCCAGGGGACTCTTCAGATTTTACGACATCCAGAGTTTTCCCGGCATGTCCAAGAGCTCGTTTTAAATTGTTCTGAGAAAGGACGTATTCCTGCTTCGTTCATCGCAAAGAGTAAGTATTGCTCTCATGTCTCTATGCTACCGTTTACTGATTACTTCAATATTTGCAGAAATCTCCTCTCAAGGCAAAACGGTTTCTGGTGTTATGAACATCATTTGTCACATGGGCCACTTCGTCCACCTCAAAGCACTTCGGCTCCATTTCTATGATCAATATGTAGAAGCGCTCCCGATCCCCGTCCAGGGCACAAGCCTGGATACACAGAAGGCTTCCGAGTATCATGAATTCCAACAAGAAGTTTTTGCAGCTCTAGGCAACATGCGTGTTATTCCGAGATTTTTGGAGTTCCTTGAAATCACCTTGCTGATTGATGGACCGGGTGACGTATTTGAGATTGGTCCAGCATACCCGCACCTTGTTCAACGTCTCAAATGCTTGACCATTCGAACCATATCCGACGCTATCGAATCCCGTAAAATGGCTCTGTGGACTGAACCTCGTTCCTCAGTCTGGGCAGGCACCGTCGTCGCCTTAATAGGGCCTGCTATGAACTCTATAACCTCGCTCAATCTCTCCAGCGACCACCTGGCGCGTATTAGTTCTCCCGATTGGCTGGACTTTCTCTTCCCGAATTTGACTTCTCTTAGCGTTTGCAATGTCTTGTGGGGCGATACTATCGATGGCAGGGCTGGCCTTGAGGACATCATCTTACGACATTCGACCACGCTCCGCACGTTGATTTTAACAGACTGCCCATTCTTCTTCAACGACAGAACTCAGGGCGTGCCCCCGACCTGGGCTTCTTCCTTCCGACGGATTGAGGAGCAGATGACTCGTTTGACGACGTTCCGATTCTTTGTCTCCGGAGCCTTATACGCCCACTGCAATGTTATGGGATCTCTGATTGCCTCTTCTTTGAAGATTCACCGAACGGCCTCCTTCCAGCATCAGATCGCCTTGTATGAGCTTCAGAACACTGTTAAAGGCCGTCAGATGACAAGGGCCAGAACCTGCTTATACTAAGGGTTGCGATGGGAGGATACATGGATTTATTATCATGATTTATAACGAATTATATTATAATCATCTACAATTTTTTGAGAAGATAGGGACATGTTGAACTTCAGTTCAACGGGTCTGATTAGCGCACGTGACCATACCTTTCTGTGCATGTTTTCGCGTCTTCTTTCTTTCGACCCTCACGTTGCGAACTAGTTCGACTCTTTTCACAATTACCTTCACAAACCTTGCCAATTTGAATGTCCAACGACGAGCATGATGTGCGGGAAGGTGTACTCTTCTGATATCGGGCGCCTGTCCATCTGCTACTTATCAGTAGTGGGAATGCCCTGATATTCTTATCTGCCCCACAAGAACCGCTAGATATCGGTCTTTCCATACGCCATGTCAGACGTCGTTGGCCAGCAGCCGGGACCCACCGTGCTACCGGTGGTGCACTCGTCTTCTAAGCTAGAATATGTGAAGGACCGTGTTTCCAGTATCAAGCACAAGCTGTCAACGAAAGACGGGTGGATTGGGGATTATGATTATGCATGGTGAGTTGTTGTTCTGCTTGAGCTGCCCACAACGATATGCTGAGTATGATGATGAATGTAAGGCTATGCACACCTACTCTTCCTTTCCTTAGGAACAAGACGAGCCCACCTCCGTTCTATGCCCTCGATGACGATCTTCCTCTTATACTTGCCATCTCTAGCGGATTGCAGCATGCCCTCGCCATGCTTGCGGGTTTAATCACACCTCCTATCATTTTCGCTTCTGCTCTCAATCTGGATGTCGCCACTTCGGCTTACATGATTTCAGCTTCTCTCATTGGTTGTGGTGAGTTGATTGAGATCGTGCTCGTGTGCGAGCGCCGGGGTTTGATGAAATCAACCTAGGCATCCTGAGCCTTGTGCAAATGTCCCGCATTCGCCTGTTTAAAGGATACTATCTTGGGACAGGGCTTATCACGGTTGTTGGAACGAGTTTTGCTACCTTAAGCACAGCAAGCGCGGTTGGTATTCTTGGTCTTCTGATCGTTCGTAATCTGACGTTATACTTCAGATCTTCAATGCAATGTACAAGGATGGGACATGCCCTTCAACCACAGCAGCTGATGGGTCCATTGTTCAAGGGGCGTGTCCTGATGCTTATGGCAAAGTGCTGGGTCTGTCAATCCTCTCTTTGCCCCCCTGTCCCGCTCAATGTTCAATTTGTCCAGGAACTTCTTTGATTTGTTCCTTCCTCGAAATTGGGATGTCCTTCTGCTCTCCAAGGCTGCTTAAACGTCTTTTTCCTCCCCTTGTAACTGGTACGTTTGTTTTCAACAAGGCTGCTTCCCCACTCAAAATGTTACAGGATCTGTCATTCTATTGATCGGAGCATCCCTCATCGGCTCATCTGGTGTTCCAAATTGGGGTGGGGGTTCAAATGACTGTCAAAATCGTCCAACGTCTGGAATTTTCGAACTATGCCCAACCATATTCGCTCCCAGACCACTACCGTGAGCACCCTTGTTAAGCAGGGGAGATATCTGGCGCTCACGTCCTTTGCAGATGGGGATCGCCTGAATTCATAGGGCTCGGCTTCCTGTCGTTTGTCGCGATCATTCTTACGGAGATATTTGGCTCTCCCTTCTTGAAGAATATCGGTATCATTGTAGGGCTGGCTGTAGGGTGTATCGTTGCTGGTGCAACCGGGTACATCGACGGTTCGACAATCAAGTCCTCTCCTGCTATCACATTCCTGTGGGTGCACACATTTAAGATCAGTGTCTACCCTCCAGCTATCTTGCCTATGCTGGCTGTATACGGTGAATTTCAGTAACTCCAGTACACCGCAGTGTCTTATCAAGTAATACCTCCCTCAGTGTCTCTAGCAATGGAAGCCATTGGCGACATTACAGCCTCAGCAGAAGTATCCCGCCAGCCAGTCGTCGGTGACGTGTTCGACTCTCGAATCCAGGGAGGCATCCTCAGCGACGGGATCGGTGGCTTCTTGTCTGCCCTCTTCACCGTGACCCCTCTATCCGTCTTCGCACAGAACAACGGGGTTATCGCTATCACTCGGTGCGCAAATCGCGGTGCAGGGCGATGGTGTTGCGCATTCCTTATCCTGTTCGGTGTACTGGGCAAGATCTCTGGCGTCTTCCTCGCCATTCCGAACCCCGTCCTTGGAGGAGTGACGACGTTCTTATTCGCAAGCGTTGCTGTGTCCGGAATCAGGGTCCTTGGGTATGTTAAGTTCACGAGAAGGGAGCGGTTCGTCCTTGGTGCAGCTTTGGCGTTTGGATTTGGAAACCTCCTCAAGCCGGACATATTCACGCATCTGTTTGATGGAGTTAAGAACCCCAATTCGGGATTGCAGGGGTTGTTTGATTCGATTACGATTGTGCTTAGCACCCCTTGTGAGTTTATGGTTTGACTTTGATGTTGTAGGATGAGATTGCTGATGTGTGTGGTGGCATTAGTCCTGGCTGGAGGTGTTGTGGCCGCTGTGCTCAACCTTATTTTGCCGCAGGAGCAAGAAGAGATTGTTCCTCGTGAAGGGTCAGTGGATCAGGTCGATGTGGAGTCACAAGAGGACGAGAAGAGGCTCTAAGATCTATTCAGGCTGTTTTTTTCTCTCCTCCCTTATGCTCTTGACTTCATTTCTCGTGTTTCTCCGTTCCTTTGTATTGATATACCTTTGGGAGACAAAGATTTCAAAGGTGCGTCAAAACATGAATCTATTTCGTCCTTAGCTTTAACTGACATACTGCAGGTGATGAGGACGGATGCAACGTTTTAGCTAAACCATGTATACTAAGGCGAGCAGATCCAACGTTGACGTACCTTGGATTGCTGGTTGTACGTTCAGACCATTTCGCCTGTCACATGTCATTGGCACCACCTCGGGCCCTGGGTAGGTCGGAGACTGTTAATTGCTTTACTCCCATGAACTTGAGCGCCCATGATATCTTCTCAAGATGGGGTGTCGAAATGGGACACTGCCTTCAGTGCGATCTTATGTCAAGTCTTTTACTTGGCTAGGTAGGTGAGCGATTGTTCTGACAACCATAGGGCAAGTTGCTGAAAATTTTCGACTGTAGGAAGGTCTCCCAGTCAGCCCTTGAGTTTGGAGACCACTGATGACCATAAGCTTATCCGAAAGCACCTCTTGAGGTTCGTTCGCAATGCAGAAGATCGGGGATCGCTATCAGGACATGAGTGATGATGTCGTACACGTCTGTCCTTCATTACGAGATTTCCCTTTCCAGCCGACTTCTATCGTCTGCCTTCAGTCGAATCCAATGACCAGGGAATTCGATGAACCTGTGTGGATTTCCTGCTTCTCCGCGTAGCGCCATTAGCCCTTGATATGCCCTTGATACTCATCTTCCGTTTTTGGTCATCAGCGAAGTACATAAAGCCATAGAAAACAAGGACCTCGTAGCAAGAGCATCTGCTTGCAGCATGCAGCGCTGCACTTTCACCGGCCTTTGTCTTGCTTTCATGTTCATACCAGCCACTCTGGGTGCACTCTATCATGATCCCAGCCAACTCCCACGTTCTGTCTACGACTATGTTATCGTTGGTGGTGAGTTCTTTCTTTGATGTTCTCATGCCTCAATTAATTCATCTTGTGCAGCTGGGAATGCTGGGAACGTCATTGCAAGCCGACTCACTGAAAATCCGCGAACTACGGTGCTCGTTCTTGAAGCTGGCGTTAGGTGACTCAAAATACCTCGTTTGCCTCTGCACCCAGCTCAATCCATCTTTCTACAGCAATGAAGGAGTGATAGCGTCCATCGTTCCATTCTTGGGGCCTTCCCTAGCCCCTAGTAAATTGTCTTTCTCTTCATTGTGCTCATGAGATTGAATCATGACAGACACCCCCTACGACTGGAACTTCACTACGACTGCTCAGGCTGGATTTAACAATCGCTCCCTCCCGTATCCACGCGGGAGGTTGCTCGGAGGTTGCACTTCAGTTAGTGCGTCTCATCTTGATCGCTCATCCCTATTTCCTTGTTTACCCTTACATACAGATTACATGGCTCATATGTATGGCTCATCGGAAGATTACGACAGAATCGCAGCGGTTACAGGTGATCCAGGTTGGAAATGGGAAAATGTGAAGAAAAATATTGGAAGGGTAAGGAGATTCTGAAAGAATCTCGCAATTTCATCGAGTTTTCGGTGAGATAAGCGATTGGTGGGCTTTGCTTGTCCACGACTGTAATTCTGACAAGTCAGATTCACGATCAGGAACGACGACATCGTTCCTGAAGGTGACGCCAGTGGTAGCTGGGATACGCTCCTTAGCCGTTGTGCTCTGCACTTGGGCTTGAGGAGGAATACGCCGAAGCGTTCCTTCCCTGCTGGTAAGTACCGGCGAGGAAGGTCTGGAGGCCACCTGCGAGGGGTTTTCTCCGGGGTATCTGCCAAGGATCGGGCAGGGCTGGTGGGGGCCGCATCAGGCGAGCTCTCCCGGGGTATCTGAGAACCAATATCGTTAGTAATGCGATTAGAAGAGGCGGACGTACTGTTCTGCGTAGCAAGTCCAGAGCGCAAGACACGCGCTCGAGTCTGGTAACACGTAGTAGACATAGAAAGTAAACAAATAGGGTGCAAGGGCCAAGAGGGGAACGAGAAGGGTATAGTCGCCAGTTGTCGGGGGTCCGGGTGATCAAACAGAAGGGGTCCAGAAGACAGGCGAGGTGAAGTCGAGAGAGAAAGAGAGACGAGTTTGTCGAGTTTGTAGAGTTGGGGTTAGGTCAAAAAATATGTGGCAGTTCCGTGACTACAGTGACGGATGGGTAGCTGTGGTTAGGAATTGGCACACGGAGAGATAGAGCGAACACGAAAGACCGTTAAGAACTCTGGTATTCACTCGGGAATTTACTAGGTACAGCTGGGTCTTATATACTGCAGATCGGTAGGGTAAAGGGGTAGAGTATAATGGGGATAATACCCAGTAAAACAAACAGGTAGGGCATGTGAAAGACAGTGTGAGTATTAGGCGAGAGGCGTCCGTAAGGGTATGTAGCGCGTCGGTGTTTCACGGGAGGCCGAAGGAGGGGACGCGGAGATGGGAACCGAGGCAAGGAATGATGAGGAGGGGTCACGTTCGTTACAAATATTATGGCCGTGAGCTCACATGACAAATTTGAACTTTTCTTAACAGTGACACCACCTCCAGACCACCACGCGCCGTCCCCAGGCATCCATATTGCTCTAAAATGGGTCAGTAAACATCGTTGTATGTTCAAAGGGGTTAACTGATAGTCATCGGCGATAGGTATCCCCAAGGTTCGTCGCTGTTCGGGTGATTTTGGCGACTATTGACGGTTCTTCCGATATATCTCGTTTGTTGGTTCCATTGAGCTCGCTTTAGCCCTTTCTGATCATGACTTAGAGAGCGATATCCATTGACCTCACAGTTGATACAAGAGAACAAGATTCAATGACATTACTCAGATAATCTTTTACCTGGATTTCAATGGAATCATTCACAACTGTGCGTTTCCTTTTACTCAGGAGTTGTTTTCTATACTGAAACCTTCTAGGCTTTCACCCGAACGACGAGGACGCCCACTTCCGACTTTCAGAAGAGCAGATTTTCACTTCGATATTCACCTATGTGATCATCTGTTTGGCAAGATCAAGCCGAAGAAACTCTTCTTCATGGCGGTGGATGGCGTGGCGCCAAGGGCGAAGATGAATCAACAACGCAGCAGGCGTTTCCGAACCGCGAAGGAGGCAAAGGAGGTCCGGGAGAAAGCTGAACTGAAGGGTGAGAAGTTGTCGACGGAGAAGGCGTTTGATAGTAATTGTATCACACCGGGTGAGTTTCTATCCATCTTTTTGGTGCAGCACTCCTTCTCACCACGTCATTCCATCAAATGACTTTCACCTTTGCATACTCCTTTCAATCCTTTCGCTCGGGAGACCTAAACCCATATCTCGCCCTTTATTTTCCACCGGACACGTAACTTCTTCTTTGTTCTCGATTTTACTTACCCACTTTGCATGTCTTTCCCCCTCTTTCCCTCACAATCGCTGTCGTCTGCCTTTCCACAACTCTTCTTGCGCACATATGTCCAGAAGAGATCCAGTCATTGACACCTGAGCTGAAACTACTTCCGCCCTTTCTTCTTCTATCCACGTGCCGAACATTTCTTACTTCGTCATGTTTAACTTGTGCACCGTTGACAACCTTCATCAGGGACACCATTTATGGCACGTTTATCCGACCAGCTGCGGTCTTTCATCAACAAGAAGATCTCGGAGGACTCGAATTGGCGCGACGTCGAAGTGGTGCTGTCAGGGCACGAAGTTCCCGGAGAGGGCGAGCACAAGATCATGGAATACATTCGCCTATCGCGCGCGCAGCCTGGTTACAACCCCAACGTCCGACATTGCCTGTACGGCCTTGATGCCGACTTGATCATGTTGGGGCTGTTAAGCCATGATCCCCATTTTTGTTTGCTTCGCGAGGAGGTCAAGTTTGGCCCAGCGTCGCGGAAGAAAGGGAATACGAGGTACTTGATTCACTTTACCCACGTTGGCGCTACTAACGCTTTTTCTTATCGCACTAGCTTAGAATCGATTAACTTTTATCTACTCCATCTCTCGTTGATGAGAGAGTATCTTGATCTCGAATTTCACGAGATTCAACCGATGCTGCCGTTCGACTATAACCTCGAACAAGTGATCGATGATTTTATCCTTCTTGCTGTCTTTGTGGGCAACGATTTTCTCCCCAATCTTCCCGATCTCCATATCCATGAGAATGGGCTCGAGAAGTTGTTTGACATATATGAGAAAGTATTGCCGGGTTTGGGTGAGTGTCTTCCCGCTCGCTTTTTGCTGCATTCCTAACCGTCGTTGTAGATGGTTATATTAACGAGGGGGGAGTGATCAACACGAAGAGGCTGCAGGTCATTTTGGACGAAATGACACAATGGGAACAGGGGGTGTTCGAGAAAGAGTATTCCGATTTGAACTGGTACAAGGGGAAGCAAGCAAAACATGTCAAAGAGATGGAAGATGGGCGGAAACGGGCGAGGCTAGGTATGCTCTCACTAGGATAATCTCTTACGCAATGCTGAAGTTGATGACAGTTTTAACTACGGCGCAGAGAGAGATCTTCGATAAGATGAAGGTGTTTGTGATGGAGAACAGGAACGCGCCCTCGCCTTCGCATTAGCGGGCCGCAAGGCTGACGATGGTAAACGCATTCCCTGCGAGGGAGCGAGTATTCATCACGAAGTTGACAGAGGATCTGCACCTGAGTGAGACTTGGGACGAGTTTGATGAGGAGGACAGGAATTTGGTGACGTGGCGGTTTCCGAGAGCACTGGAAGAGGAGCCTGAGACGGGCGAGCAGAAGGAGCATAGTGAGTGGGAAGACGAGGATGAAGTTGAAGACGAGGAGAGCAAAGCGGCCGTTGATCGTGTGCTGAAGAAGTATGAGAAGGCGCCTGTTGAGGATGTCGATGCTGATGGGACCTTTGAGGAGCGGTATGAACGGTTTGTGAAAGAGAAGATGGACGAGTGGAAGCGGGGTTATTACAAGGTTGGGATCCTTTTGCTGCTCCTGAAGTGAAGTTTGGGCTGACAAGACACCATCGCAGGGGAAACTAGGGATATCTTACGACGACCCGACTGAAAGGGGTGATCTGATCTAACGATATGTCGAAGGCCTGCAGTGGGTCATGCATTATTATTACAGTGGAGTTGCATCGTGGGGATGGTTCTACAACTATCATTATGCTCCTCGGATTTCAGGTGTGTGTCGTCAGGTTGGATTTTGGATATTGCTCATGTTGCCAATCACAGATTTGCGGGGAGTTGACGAAATGTCTTTCGATTTGAAGCTGGGAACGCCATTCAAGCTGTACCAGCAGCTTATGGGCGTGTTGCCCGTTGCTAGCATGGATCACATCCCGCTGGCTTATCAGGTAGCTGTCTACACTTCGGATATGATGGCTGGCTGACGTTTCTCCGAAGGATCTAATGTAGGATCCAAACTCACCGATCCTCGACTTTTACCCTCTCGAGTTCGAGCAAGATCTCAACGGGAAAAAGCAAGACTGGGAGGCGATTGTCAGAATCCCATTCATCGATGAAGAGAGGCTGCTGAGGGCAATGGCTGGTACGCTACTTGCTAAAGTGTGGTCTTACGACACTAACGCATCTCTTCAATTTCAGCTCGTGATGATTGTCTCACCCCCGAGGAGAGAAAACGGAACACTTGGGGCTCGAGCTCGAAGTTCAGTTTCAACTCTGGTGAACCCACTCTCTATCCTTCGTCTCTGCCTGGATTCTTCCCCCTCTGTATCGATGCACGTGTAAGACGGAGCCGTTCGACCTCCCGACCCTTGATGGGTTGCATCTCATTCCTGGTCTTTGCGACGGAGTGTTCCTCGGTACAGAAGCTTTGGCTGGATTCCCATCCCTCAAAACGCTTCCACACACGGCGCTGCTGGGATACCACGGCGTAAACGTCCATGGTTTGGAAAGCCGGAACAAATCGATGGTTGTGCATATACGAAACCCGTATGAGGGGATGAAGACGGAAGAAGTTGCTGGGAACGTGATTGGCGAACGGACGTTCATGGGCTGGCTGTTCCTGCAGGAAGGATCGGTTGTGGCGGTCTCTGATTCGTTGTTCAAGTACGAGAAGATGACGGTCGTACCTGGGACACCGGCCAAGGTCGTCTCAAACCCACACGCACCACAAGGATTGGGCCATTGGAAGATGAAGGCCGATCGTATTGAGCAGGTTTACTCTAAATGATCTGGAGTCATCACAGGCACTGTTGACATTCTCCTGCACGTCCTTCCTCTGAAAGGTGAGTATCTCATCTACCCTTCGATAGGACATTGCTGACACTCTACGACACGTCAAGGCCTTAAATGATTGGAGTCTGGTGCCTTTGTGAAGGACTATGAGGGCCCAGAGGGAAACGGAACATGCGGTGCAGATGTGTCTTCCCGACGTTGCTTCAGAAGATCCTCGGTTCCTCGAACGCGACGCACCTCCTTTGTCAGAGGAGTTCCCTGAGGGTAGCAAGATTTTCTTCCTGGGGGAACAATGGGGTAGCTGCTTCGGTCTCCGCCACGACTGATACCAGCTTGTCTGTGATACTTGCAGTACGTCCTTTAATAATTTTTATCAAAACGCGCTCTTAAACTCATCGCTATATAGTTCTTCCCCGCCGAAAAGGCTGAAAACGACCAGTTCAAAGCCGTCGTACAGAATCGACGATCCAGCCACTACTTCCCCTCTTTCAAAGCTGCAGAGATGGTTGGCATCTCGGGGCGGGCTTTGGGGAAGATAACGTCGAGTTTCATGGTCATCACGTCTGACGAACAGAAGACCAATGTCGGCCTGAGCCTTAAATTCGAAGTGAAGGCCTTGAAGGTCGTCGACTATTCTCGGAAAGAGGGCCGGCATTGGGAGTATAATGATAGGGCAATCGACCTGATCCGAGAGTACAAGGTCTGTTAGTTTCTACGGGCTCTGACCCTTACTGAAGCATGGCATCGATAGGCAAAGTTTCCTGAGGTCTTCCTCTCGTTAGATAACAGCGGAGATGGTACGTGTCCGTTATTGTGCGATTGACAAACGATTGACCTTAAGTGTTTATAGCAATGGCAAGGGCATCGGACATCCTGTCGGGGCCGGATCCTGATGGCCGTGTTAGGGTGATTAAAGCATGGCTAAAGACGAAGGGTGTTCGAGATTTTGAACCTGTCTCCCTTTTCTGTGACCAACTAGGCAAGGTAAGCTGAATAGTCACTTCACGGGCTTGTAACCCATTCACCCACACCCTCTCTACCTGCAGGAGACCATTGGGGAAATTGAGCGAATGGCTGATGAGTTTACGAAGAACAAGTCGTCAGCTCAGTTCAAGAAGGCCATTGTCAAAGGAATCCCTCGACAAGCCGTTCTCAAACCTGCACATACTGCTTATCGTCTTCAGAATCAACACTTTGCTTTGGGTGATCGTGTTACGATGGTGCAAGACTCTGGAAGCGTTCCACTATCAGTCAAAGGTGTCGTCATTGGGCTCGATTCAAAGACTATAGACATAGTGTGGGATGTTCCGTTCATGTCTGGTATAACGTTGGGGGATCGGTGCGTCATTTTCCCCCTCATATATGTTTGCTTGATGCTTACGATGCAAATGTAGGTGCTCGCAGTACCGTGGCTCGACGGTCGAGTTCAACACTTGCTTGAACTTGTCCAACCCACAGTTCGTAACGTCCACCAACCCTAAAGCTCCACCGCCCGTTCGGAATGAGGTCCCCTTTGAACCGAGACATGGTCCCCGACCCGAGATCAACCCCGCCCTTGGCCAGGCTCCAGCAGCTGGATTCCGCCCAGCGCAACCTCCCAGGTAACTCCCTTGCCCTCATCCACAAATTTTCTTAAGCTCACCGGACGATAGCCACCGACCGCCCATGCACATCATGGCCAACCCCAACCGCGGCCGAGGGGGATACGTCAACGGCCGCGGCAGGCCACCCCCTCAGGCTACTAATGCCAATGCTCCAGAACCACCCGAACCACCATCAGCGGCACCGACCTCCCAACTAATGGCGTGCATGCCTCGCCTGCTCCTGGACGAGGCTACATCCCTAGAGGTGGCAGGGGAGGCTTTGTGCCTGGATTCCGTGGAGGTCGAGGAGGCTTCATCCCCAACGCTGACCGTGGCCGAGGAGGGCGAGGTGGGTTCCGTGGGCGGGGTCGAGGATCGTTTACGGCTCCCCTGCCCTCATAGATCCGTGTTCTTCTCCAGTGCAATCCGATTTTCGTAGGGTCGAATGTATCTGGAATTCCTTGGTCGAGTCTTTGTAACTTCCATACTTGTATGAGGTTTCGGCTTGCGGTATTAATATTTCTCACCAGAGCCCAGTGATAGCGATGTAGATGAAACTTGTAATTGTCAGGGACAATGTTTTGTTTTGTAAATTTCTTTTGAGCGCTTTACCATGACAGCGCTGCACTTCCATATTGAGTTGTAAGCTGCGGGTACTTATAACACCGTTATCACTGTCAATTTTATTAATATGACAATGGTGGCTATGACTTCCAGGGGTATGTTACATAACTACTTTATGGTATCTTGCTTTGGGGTGGGAATAAGAATATCTAAGAGGCGGTAGGGACAGAAACAGGAGGTGAGAGAAATGAGAGGACCCAGAATCTAAAGCTTGGGAGGATCGGAAATGAGGTGTGAGGATGGAGATGACAGGTTATGGGGGTCTCTGGGAGGAAATGAGAGGCAGTAAGGGTTGAAGAGGTTGCAAGTTGGAACAAGGGCTTGGTGGGGAACGAGGGAGGAGAACTTGGAGGGGGCACAGGATGAGAGTTTTGGGGGGGAAAGGAGTCCGAGCTTGGTGGAGTTTGGAAGAAGAGCGACACAGAACAGGTTCACATCTATGAAGCGTGATATGAAAGGAGCTAACAGCCGAGGAATTGCCACACACCTGAACCGAAGACTGAACTTGAGATCTGATGTGAATTGTATTTGTTACGATGATCTGTCCTGTAAGTGGAGAAGTATACTGAAACTGCCCCTGGCCAGGCAGGAGCCGGATAATGTACTCGCGCTGCTCCCAGATATGAAATAACCCAACCCCAGCAGCAGCAGCCATCATGTTGTGAAGAATTATGGGTGGAATTACCGGTGCTCGACGGATAGCATGGAGGGTGACGACAAATATGGGTGGTGCCGGTACGCCGCCAATCACCGCATAAACCAGTGCCGAGGGCGGTGCAATGCACAAAAATTGAATATGACCAATGCCAAGAGGGTTTCCGATTATTTGTATGTCTTGGCGGACAGCGAATGGATGGTGGAAGCTGACGGAACCGACAAACGGCATTATGCAAGTGGTGGGTCTTATCCTGTCTTATCGTGCTGGCCCGAGAACCTGTCGGTCCTGTCCGAGTTTGGTCTTATTTGTTCTTCCTTCTCAGCCATGCCCAGTCTTACCATGCTGACTTGAGTAGTGGGCCTTCTGCAAGCATGGCACACTGTGAACCCATATTTTCAAGATTGCAAGAAATGCTGCAGTATGTAGCACACATGGCTCGCTGCGACGAGCAGCAGGCTTTGGACCTGAACACGTAAAATATCATGGTAGCGAGCCTTGCGCCCAAAGGCACGCTATGTGGTGGGCCACAGCTAATAAATTATTATAGTTAAAAATTGAAATTTATGGCAGAGCTTTGGCTGTAGCGGTCTTTGCGCCCGCAGGCGCACTACATTATCATGTAATAACTCAAATATCGACAAATGTTTGCAAATGGGTAGTTTATTCCGAGCAAACAAACAACAATACTTGAGCCACTTTCGAACACAACCATCATCATCACTGCCACTACCATGAGCACGAGCACTACTCAGCAAGTGACGACTTTTACCACCAAATCTCTAATTGGTGTGTATGCCATTAGTCTTTAAAGCTTTACGTCGACCCTAACTAACTCATGTCGCAGTTACGTCGCAAAACGAATTGCCCACTGGTACGTTGGCCACGCAAGAAGGACTCCCAGTATGGGCCATCCCTATGGCGCGTGCTCCCGATGGCATGGGAGAGGAAATGGGTGTAAGTGACGCATCCTCATGCACAGCCTTTGTCTCACGTTTACTATCAGATCCATGGTCCTGACCCAGAACTTGACCGCATTGAAGAGTGTGGACCATATCTCCTGTGTATCCGACCTCCCAGCCCACGCACCAATAATGAATATATCATTCGCCTTTACCACCAAGGTACAAAGGAGGTCGTCATCAGTGTCGATCCACCTGTGGACGTGTACAACGCACTCTATCCCGACTTCGCTTTTCGAACCTTCATGGGGCTGTGCTGGTGGTCTATCCTTGAGGAAGATGCTTTTTATGTTAAGTATAAGGGCCAGCTTGTTTGTCAGTGGGGTGGCAAGAGTGTAGTCCAACAGTTACCATATGAGCGTGGCCCCGGAGCGGGAGCGGTGTAGATCAGCTGGAAGGTTTTCTGTCCCAGGATTGGGTGCACCACGAAGCGTTCTAGTAATATTGTGGCTCTCCCCAGATACAGACCTGAATCTAGCGAGTGTCGTTGTCGTGATACGCTGTTCACCAACTGCGCGGCGAACTTTTTTGTATCACAATGAAAGCCGCCAATCTAAAACATGAGACAATGTACAGTACTACCTGGAACAACGTCATAAGCCCAGTGTGTCTCCAAATAATCGTAGTACCCCTTCAAAGCTTTCACTGCTCTTCTGTCACGCCCCATTGCTTGCACCAGTCCTTTGGTTCTCCTTTCTAACTGGTAACCTCGCCGTTAACTAATATAGGCGCGAAGTGGGAGTATTGCCCATGTCTATGTTAATCCCCCGTCGTCCCTTTGTGGAGACCTCATACCGCCCTATACACGATCACCCCCTTCGACAAAACTGCTTCTCGTAGTTCGGGCTGTTACGGCCCTCCTCCATTCGCCCTCTCTGAGATGTACATGGCGATGTTGATGCTCTGCGTGCTGAATGATTTGCTGCCCGTCGCCGCTGAGAGGTCAGTTAGTCTGAGGAGAAATCACAACGAACGATCTGCTACAAGTACCTCTCACATCGATGTTGCCTCATTACCCCGGCCGACGTCGGACGGCGTTCTCGCAAGTTGCTTTGGATAACAGCCCCGACCGCCACATCATCAAAGCTGTGAAATGCGACCCGTTAGCTCGTCGTCAAAAGAAGAGTAGTTGAAGCTGTATCAAAGTAAGAGGACGTACGCAGACGTCTTGTTGTAAGGCAAATAGCATTTTGAATTTTGAAGGGTAGGATGAGAGCATCGTGTTCACAGGGAGAGTGAAGGTTTCGAGGTTGGATAAATGGCTCGAGAGGTTTGGAAGATCATGGAGAGGTTGAATCTGTCGTATTTTGTTGTTGAAGTGAACGGTTGGCAGCGCGGTGTCGGGGTACAATGTATGTTGAACGTGGAATATGCGTTGATCGATTTACGTGATAGGACAGTGTCAACGCAGTGCATGGGCGGGCTGGAGTTTCAATGGGCTAGTGAACCGCCCTTGGCGTCGGTTCCGGAAGCACAGGTGTCTTAGTAGGGGCATGGTTGTTGACGAATTAGCACTCGTACCTGAGATACAACAACGCCTCTACTCCTTCTGCACGGCCGTGTATATTCCGTCGTTGATCATAAGTCGTGGGGTCTTTAGCTGGGTTCAACATTCCAAACAGGCTTGAAAGTGCATGAAATGTTGGATTCGCGGTAGATTGTTGTCGTTAAGCGACCTGTTGGTGGAGCTGCAGTCCGAAGCGCTGAGAAAGCTCTCAGAGGAGACCCGGATGACAGCATTGTCACTGAGCACGGATCAGACAACCGCCGCAGGAGTTCGTACGCGCAGGCCAACCGTCCTTCGCATTGGTCCTGGCGGTTGAGGTGTCTTGGACAGGGATCGTCATCCAAATCATGGATGCCCAAGCTTCAACCGCTCACCTGTCAAACAGCACAAGATATCAACCGCAGGACGACTAGCCTCTCCTCCGCCATCCGGGAGCACCTATGTTCCATCATTTGTCGTCCCGAATACATGGTTGGAGGTCTCCAGCCTGGAGATATCAGACGCCCGAGTTGACTTTGATGGGAATACAGTATGCAAGGCGAACTGTGGGCTGCATAGTCAGACGACGTGCGGTTCGAGTGTGACAAACATAGGGGGTACGTATGTAAACCAACACAAAAACTGCCCCTCTGTTTGCCGTCGATCCCACGAGGAGTGGTTGACGGGCAGCGCATAGATTGCTCGCGTTTAGGCCACCAATTCATTTGACAGAAGAATCAAGGCGGCGAATTGTTAACTTTCGCGAGATGCGAGGAAGCACGCCAGCATGACGCTAAAGCGACCGAAATCGGACAACGCCCGTTTCTTCTGCACCGCGACCCACTTCTGTGCTCAACTTGACTCATCCCATTTGTCAACGATGGTCTCTTTCTCGACCTCTTTGCGGACCTTTTTCGTACCAGCTCCCCAGGGCATGCCTGAGAGTTTGAGGGGAGTGAGGGTGAGGTGCTTGTAGGGATAGGATTGGCGGGGGAGACCCGCTGTTGGGCCACTGGTGATGGCCTGCGCGGAGGTTAGTGAGCTTCTGAAAACATTCTGAGGAGTTATACGCGGTTGTGGTCGATGATCTCCGTGATGACGGCGATCTTTCTGCAGAAGGGGCCACATTTGAGGAGGACGACTGTTGAACGGAATGAGTAATTGTTACTGGAGAACCTATTTCCACAACGACGTACCTCGCCCAACCTCGACGAAGCTCTTGAAGTTTGGTTCCTTCAGCCCAACAATCTTCTGACCACTTTTGAACACAATCGTCTCCGACAAGGTCGGGCATGGAAACCTTTCAAAGGTTTCCTTGCACACTTTGGCAGAGAAACGACACTCACTGTGCTCATATTGTCTTCGTCACCTATAGTGTGTAAGTTAAAACTGAGGACGAGATAGATTCATGTTTTGACGCACCTTCAAGTTCTTTATATCTCAAAGTACAGAAGGACAGGTAGCAATTAAAAGGAAATGTCCAAGTCACGTATTGTCCTTGAAAAGCTCCACAGCTCTTTCCGCCAACAAATATTGGAGGTGGGTGTTAGGAACGAAAGGCTGACACAACCAAGGATCAATCAAGGGGACTCAGTCTGGACTCACACCAGTATACACTCACAATAACCACCGCAGCGCGCCTTCGGGCGCAAAGCCCGCTACGCCGATTAGGCTTTTAAATCCCATTGACCAATCCAAATAACACCTGCGTTTGCGGGGGTTACATAAAAAGGTCATTTATGTGACCAGCTGAGAAGCATTTCACATTGGAGAAGGAAATGGATTTTTTTGTATCTACTTATCTCGTCGAATTTAAGCGGATTCGTCCCGAAAGGGGTTCGTGGGAGCGATCCAGGCGATCCCTGAGACTTTTCAGGGATCGTGCCTCGGACCCTTCTGGACCCTTTTGATGCCATCACATCTAATCACATCTTATCAACGTGCACACGTGCTTCCCTGCCCTCGCCTTTTGTGCGCCCAAAGAAGACGCGTCCCCTTGTTCTTTCCTTCCCTCGCCCCTTCCCTCAACGCTCTCTGCGTCTCATCTCCGCCGTTGATGTGGGCGTCGCTTCGCCCGCGTTCCCCTCGTTTTCTGCATCCTCGCCGCCTGGGGGAAACACTCTGCCTCTGTCGTGTCTATGGCTTACATGCTGTTATCACCTGCATCTGCCTCGAGGTGCCTTTCTTCACGATTTCGGTCATCCTTCTCTTGTTTGGCGGGCATCCCCTTGACCTTTCTCTGCGCTGTCTGTTTCATATAGAGGTGAGTGGATCTTCTTTGGATCCTTTTCCAACTTTCTCACTTCCACTCTGTTTTGAAGATTTCGCGTGCGCTTTTGTCGCTCGTCCCTTTGGCCTCCGACTTCTCCTAGGCCCGTGTGCACCCCCCTCACCCGTATCTGGTCTGTTGCGTCTTATTGGCGTCGTCTCAGCACCCCCCAGTCCTCTGGTAGGAGGACCAGTCTGCAATCCGCGAGTTCACTTGCGAAGTTTGCTGGACTGCGTCCTGCTCGACTCGTCTGACGCTTTGGTTTATCCGAGTGCCAGCGAGCGAGTCGCTGTCGACTTCCCAGCAGACTCTGACAGGCTTCAACCGGGTTTTCGAAGACATCGATTCACCTCAGATCATGCGATCACTTGGCAGCTGCAACAGCTCCTCCCTCCAAGCTCGCTTGACTGCCGCAATGGCTCCTCACCTCAGCTTCCTCGATTGATCTCTGCGGCGAATTTCGTATATGTGGTGAGTAGATCTTCTGTTGATCCTCTTCAACTTCCTGATTTTCAATCGCTGGTGAAGGGTTCACATGCACCTTCGCTCGCGTACCCGTTGATTACAGGCGAGATCGCCTCTGGCAGCATGTTTTTTGGCGGCATGTCCTCTGGCAGACATGCCATAGACCACACTTTCTCCACCACCGTTGCCCACTTTGCAACTGTTTCCTAACGCTTCGACCCAATTGTCGCACCCATGACTTCGTAACAACGAGTCCACCAATTTCATCCTGATAGGTCGGTTGATTTTCAATCTCTTGTTCATTCGGTGTTCAATAACTTCAGCCTATTCTCAGATCGAAGCAAATATGCGAAGACGACACTTTTTGATTTCTTAGTTTACTTTTCGCATTAAATAAAAAGTATTATGTGTAACTATAGTAGTTGTGTTGTTGAAAATGGTAGCTAGATTCTTTTTTTCATTCCTCGAACTGCTTGATGGCTGACCTATCTACTTTGCAGTACTCTTGCGGCGGTTGCGGCTGAGAATTTTGCCTTCCGCCTGCCCTTTGACCCGGATCGCGTGCAAGAGAGCCGTGATGCCATCCTTATGTTCTGGGTAAGCCTGAAGGAATGAGGTTTCATCTCGCCCAAATCTGGAAGCAAGTAGTGAGTGTTGACCTCGGTATTCTGCGAAAATGGCTCACTCTTCAATGAACTCCAGTGCGATCGTGCGCCGTTGACCCCATAACTGGCTTTGGCGACTGGAAGCATGCCACTCCCGTTTCCAGTGCTCGAGAGCTGTGTGGTGGTTGCGACTGGGGTCGGGATGCTCCCAGTCATGTACGACCTGCTTCCAGGCAGTCGCTCCCATCTTGCGGCTGATTTCTGGCACGACCGCAGATGGCTCAACAGGAACAGGACCGCCCGAGCCATTTGTCATGGCATTCATCAGCGAGGAGCTCTGGAGTGGAACTACAGCCCCATGGCCACTTCCAACTGTAGGGTAGATACCGTGTGATACATAGCTGCGGGGCTGACTGCCATGATTGGTGAAACCTCCCCAGGACGTGGGTGCGGGCAGTGGCGCGGGCATAGACTGTGTTACAGGCATAACCTGTGGCCGCTCGCTAATCAATGTTCGCATCTCTTCCCACATCCTGCGCTGCTCTGCGAACTGCACAGAGAATAGCTTGAGTCCTTCTGCAGCTGTTAGAGGTCGCGTTTCCCCACTCTCGCCCATGTGGGACATGTTGGCTTCGTAGTCAACAGGACAGAGAGCATCACTATGATCCTCTTCGTACGTATATAATTCATCGAGCAGGTATCGTATTAATGTATCACGCTAGATCCACAAACATTAGCCTTCTGTAGAAGTGCAGAGCTGATACATACGTGTTCGCCAATCGCCCACCCTCCCCACCAACGAATTCGAGCCAGCGTCCAACGCTGCCCAATCGGCGCGAACATAAAGCGGTATTGTGCACCTCCGCGGCGGAAGCAGTGGGTTGTGAAGTGTCCTGCGCCCCTGATTCCTGCTGCCGCAGTCCACTCGTTAATCCTCTTTTGAATAAGGTCGGATGTAATGGGTACATGTGGGTGTGCAACCAGCCCGTTCACACCGAAGGACGGAAAAATGAACTCATCTGGCTGTAGCTTCCTTCCAAGAAGCCGAGTCTCGTAAAATTCCTTCCATTTCCAAATGTGTGTGTATAGGTCAATGGCGGGGTTGTTGGGCTGTGGGTAGACGTTGTAGGTATGCCCTGTGTGGGAAGATTGAGCACCCCATAATTCAACAAGACATTTCGCACAAACCGTTGAGTCCATTCTCTCCGTTCTTTGATTTCTTCTGCCAGTTCTTACGGTTTCGTAGATTGAACTTGACGTATGGTAGATGAGGTTTACCTGGCCTTGGCGGCGGCGCAAAATCAACATGTTTAGCCTGAAGACCAGCTGCCTCGTTCACCCTGGCTTCATGTGAGGTTTCTTTTGACTTGGCAAAGATCTTGAGCTTACCGAGTCCAGATCAACCAGCTAAAACTTGCGAACGCCAGATTGAACAAATGGCTAGCTTTCAATGCAAGTGTCTGCTGGTCTGTGATCTCAAGGTCGGAAGGACAGGTTTTTTGCGAATGTGCGAACAAAGCTTGCATATCTGCAAGTGACATGGCTCGGGAATGATTCCGCTCGCCCTCGCCATCCTTGTTTTTGCAGGCATCGAGCATGTCCTCGACCTCTGCCGAGCGAGTAGGATTACCCTCCCATCTTTGGCGGGCATCATTGAAGTGCCAACGTCCTCGATACATGTCGTTGGCCCTTCATCATCGTAAGTATGTGGCTATCACGTTCTCGATGGGAGACATACATTTGGTCGTAGTACCGTGTAAACGCAGCGTGAATTGAGATGGCCGTGGATGCCTTTCTATTCTCTGTGAAGCACTTGTGCGTCATAAACATGGAGATTGCAAGCGGCGTGCATTCAATGGGGGGGCCGTCGAAGGCCTTGTGGAAGTCGGGATCCAACTTGGCTGGTCCGTCGTCTTGTATTTCATCCTCATCATCATCACCCGACAATACTTCATCCCCATCTTCCTGCCACCGCTTTTCTGCTTCTGCTTGCTCTACTGAAAATCGGGCCACAAACTCCTGCCCCCGCTTGACCTGTCCACCATAATTGTTATTCGTGTTCTCTGATTTCCCATACTGCTTCTTCTTCTCAACGGACGCCTTTTGGAGACGAGCATAGTCATTGGCGGAAAGTGGAGTCTTCGTCTTTGATTTGGGTGCCCTCTTGCTACTCTTGCCCTTGCGAGCCTTTGCTGGATTTGAGGGAGCTGGCATGGTAGCTTCGTCAAGGCCAATTCCTCTGAAACACGGACTTCATTAATATTTATTGATCTCATTTAATGATCGGTTTATAGTACAAACAGGAACAGATAATGGAGAGCCGAAGTAGGTACAAGTAGATCTGTCTAACCCTTTTTTACTCCTCCCCGCTTGAAAGAGTGAGATCGACATGAGTCCCCGCAACACCAGGGGGAAGAATCAGCTCTATGAAAAAGAGGTGAGCTGTGAATGAGATAGGTTCCGAGTGGAAGGTATACACACCTTCGTCAGAGCAACTGATGCTCATAGCATTGCTCTCGTCGGCATCAGTGAGCTCTATGGGTGAAGTGGGTAAGGCGAGAAAGGTAGTTGTTGAACCTCTTCCGTTTGAGCGGCTGTGGCGATAATAGTTGTAATCTTCATTGTCTTCGTCGGCAGAGTCAATCTCGATGATTTCGTGTGGTTGTCTTGCAGCCGAGTGGCTGGTTGAAGCTTGTGCTTGGTCGTTACTTTGCGCCGTGGTACTAGAGGTACTTCCTATTTCCATGACTGGCTGTACACTGATACTACTCGGCAATATCTGCAAAAAGAAGACAAATGGGGAGGGGCCATAAAAGAGAGAATCAACATATACCGGTTTGTATGGAGCAGTGTGAATGTTGGCTTTCTTGTTTCTTGGGGGTGCCTCACGTAGAAATTTGTCAACGACGGCTGGAACTGCGCTGTGAAGGATCGGCCCCGGTACCCAAACATTGATGCTGATAATTGAGCCTCCTTTCACCAAGGCATTTTCGTCTTCAAGCGCTTGCCTGGCACCGCTCAGGGCAGCGATAGGTAGTGGCGGCAACCATACTTCGACAAGGTAGGACTCGAAAGCTGATTCCGACTTGAATTTTGTGTCCTGTTTACAAACGTGGCGGATAGACGACGGTGAAAGCACTGACTTCTCACCCGAGAAATTATGAAGCTATTGAGATGAGGTTCAGAAACATTTTATACTCATAGCTACTGCTACGTACCTGTGAAAAGGTGCGGATGCAGTAGCCGGGCCAGACATGGCTGTAAAACTTGTCAATGATGGCTGTTCCCCATCCAAACAGACGCTCGCAATGAAAGGCGAGCTTTTCTGTATCAGGGAACTGAGGCGAAAGGTCACCAAGGTTAGGGCCGATCCCTCCGCGAGACCAGGATGTGACAGGATTAGCGTAAAGGTAAACAATGTGGGGATCAGGAAAGTTCTCAGGGACCTTTGTCGCCAATGTGGTGCAGTGACTCGGAAGGTTATGACGGGGATTGGTGGCCAAGACCTTCTGTAGCTGATGTCGCCATTTTTTAAGGTAAACCTCAAGCTGTGTTTCGGTCATGGCTTCCGCAGCTGCGAGCAAATCTGTGGCTAAAGCCGTGGATGCTAGCTTGGTTGCAGTGACAATGCCACATCCTGGCAGGCCAGCCTTGTTCACGAGTGATCAGGAGTGAGGTTTTACAAACGAAAGAACGGAACTCACAGTATCATAATCCGCACCATTCAATACAGCAATCAACAAGAAACCAGCCCGGCTTAAATGGTTTTGACCCTCCGTTTTCGCGGAATCTTTTGTTGTGTAGATCTCGGCATCATCATCGCCCTGCTTCTTCATGTGGAGACTAGGTGCAAATCCGTTAGTAACGAGCTACACCCCTGACATATTCTATCAACACCAACCTTCGAATAAGCCTTGTTCCACCAAAAAGAAAATAATCGCTATCCGATGTGATGGCAAAGTCGATGATGCCATGTCTTTCGAAAGCGGCTAGTTCCGCTTCTGCCTCGCCTGGGGCCTGCGAGCCGAAATCAGTGTCATAACCGATTGACAAGATCAGGGGGAAGGGCTTACTTGGTGAAATTTGTAGCGAAAGTCTTGAATGATCTCAGAGAAGTGTTTGATGACCCAATGCTCCTTTTTCTTGACCACCATACGGCGCTTGTAATCAGGCCTCTCGGGACCATCAAAAACAAATATGACGGTGATTGGATAACGAAGAAGATGGGCCAAGCGGAAGAAAAGTGTGCGAAGCTCTGGATTTTCACCAGCTTGAGTGTGGATGTTATGGTACATGTGCTCTCACTACAGTCTTATTCCCTCTCATCCTACAGTACTTACCTCCTACCTCTTTTCTTAACTCCTTACGGACTCCCATCAGTGTACTTAGTCTATTCTCGTGTTTACCAACTGTCTGTAAATAGCGCGTAGTATACCCGGATTCAACACGCTATCTCCACCTAACGCGTTGTGATCAGTCTCGACGCGTGTAATCAGTTGTGACGCGACGCGACTGCTTGGCAACGTTTGGATAAGAGCTGTTTGGTCAATCAAGGGGTAGCCAAACAAGGACATATCCAAACACACCGAACAAGAACAAAGGCTCGATATATCTTGAACGTTCCAAGGTATTCTATAAAGATCTAGAAATACGAAAATAGGTACTTAAGCACACTTGTAAGATAGAAGAAATCAATCATCTTTTACCCCAAATATAACTGCGTGAACTAAGTTCTTGAGAAAGACTAAACACGACGCTACAGCAAGTATTTAGTAAAGCCGCGCGCTACTAACTACTTCAAGTCCGAAACGTTAACGTCTTTAGACTAACGTTTCTGATTGGCGCCGCTTAAGTCGACCACAAGAAACATAGGTCTCACAGGATCTAGAGCAAACCCAAACACTTACACTCACACTTGACTATCAGCCTTCCATAAAGGTTTATTCTAACTTACAAGTCTACATAGTGAGTCTTCATTTTATAAAGCTAACTAACAAGTTGTTTGTATTCGCAGGAATACACCAACGCCAGAGTCCGAGAACTCTAACATTGGTGGACACATTGGGAAATCCTTGCCTACGATTCGTGTGAACATCTGCACGATCGGATCTCAAGATCTTAACTAATACAAGTACTTCCACAACCGGCGGAACACGTTGCACCCACACAACGCATCCTAAACGAAACCCTCACGCGAGATCAATCCGTACAAGATTTGCTTCTAAGGTACCGACATAGCCCCATGGATACAAGGAAATCAGGTAGCTCCGGTAGGAAAACTAACAACTCGCAGTCTACAGGAATGTCGAAGAGTTCGACCCCCATTCCCCCTTCTGGAACGACGAATACGTCCCGCGGAAAGGAGACCGCGTTAGACACCAGCACGCAAAACGTATTCACACCGGGAACGCCAGACATCCCAGAAGACTTGGATATGACCGAAGTACCGTTCTTCAACACAGTACAAGGGCCAGATCAAGAAACGCCTATTCCAAGTATGGTCGAACCTGAGCACCCTGATATCGAGGATCTCACCGAACTAGGGACACCATTTGCATTCGAGGACTTACCTGATCGGGGTTCATACAGGGAGATATTCATCGAGTTTCCTGGTTGTATGCCTTTCTCCTCGTTTGGTGAAACCGTTACTGACACGGGATTTGACAGATCTGAGAAGATCTTCGCCTTAGCAGGTCGACATCGTCAGGCCCTGCAATTAGGGGAAGCTGCACTCAGACGACCCATCTACAATTCCTATAATAAGGTCGTCACGCGAAAAGGGCGGAAGGATTTGTTCAAGGAAGAAATGGACACCTTGAAGGAGTTATTAAGTCGTTTGTATTACTTCAATGACGAATCTAACGTGGCCGGTTTCGCGTTACAAAGGATCATCCTAGTAAATTTGAATCATCAGCTAAAGGCCCGACGGAATGAAGCCGAGGAAGACTTCATAATTAGCGGAGAAGGCGTTCCTACATTACCTAGATGGGGTCTAAACAGTAAAGCCGACGAATTTTGGTCAGCAAACGATTTTGAAATTTTAGGAGCTTGCTTCCGTCGAGAGGTCGAAAACTTTTTAGCTTACCTAGCAGAACATCACGACTTTTCCAAGGCAAAGAAGGGTAACAAACACGAACAGCGAACGACCATCATCACGAAACCTTCTCATAAAAAGGTGTTAATCAGTACTCCAACTATCACGACCGTATGAGACTATCAACCTACATTCGTGAATTATGGCGCTGATAGCATTTCCGCTCACCTCAGCCGGAACAAGGGTCACGCAAATCGTTTCGCGGCAAATAGAAACACTTCAGTATTCGGCCATCCCGCTCAAAATAGTTCCTCACACACGTTCAAGGAATTATTTGGCGTCAGGCAAGGTGAGGACGCGATCGAATCCCAGAATGGTGATGACGATTCCGTTCATTCAGGATCTCACAAATCTGGAACCGGAATTTACAATCAGCAAGGACAGCGTCGAAGTGGAGGGGATCCAGGAGACCCTGACGGCAGCGACAGCGACGACGGAGGAAGCAATGGACCGCGCCGAGGACCAAAAAGAACGGCGGTACCAGACAAGTCACGAAGGAATCCATTTGAAACTACGCCGGAAGGAGGGAATTCCACTACCGTCAAGGCCCCTCCAGAACCACAGTTCGACACCAAGCTCAAGATGGACACCATTCCGACGTGGGATGGTAACCCGGAGAACTTAAGACGATGGCTCTTGAAGATCAATAGCCTTGCTAAACGATCTACCATCGTCTTCAAACAACTAGGTACATTAGTACCCACGCGGCTTACAGGGTCAGCAGAGATTTGGTACTACAGTCAAAGCGTCGACACGCGCGACCGAATCGAGCAAGATTGGAGCACCTTACGCGCAGCAATCGGGGAGTATTACATGAACCGAGCATTCCTCGACAGGCAGAAAGCGCGCGCCAACCGCGCTTCCTATCGCGATATGGGTAATGGAAGGGAGACCCCGAGTGAGTATGTTATTCGTAAACTGGAACTCTTACAGTTTGTGTATAATTACACAGAGAGAGAACTAATCAACGAAATCATGGAGGGAGCACCCTCATTCTGGGCGACAGTAGTCACCCCTCACCTACTATTGGACCTCGAGCAATTCCAGTTATCCGTCAAATTTCACGAGGACTCTCTCTTACGACTAGGGGGAGGGGAAAATTCTTTGAACCGGCAAGTTAATTCTAACTATTCTAAGGATAATTCCCAACGAAATCCTTACAATCCGTTTAGGAACGCGCGCGTCAATCTGGTGGGATGGACCAAAGCGGCGTCGAACCCGCAATTTCCTAAAGATGACGCCAATGTTTCACCACGCGGAACACCCGAAGAAAAAGGCGCTAGGCCTTGCCGCCATTGTGGTAGTGGGAAACACTGGGACAAGGATTGCAGGCACGCTAGAAAGGGTGAGAAACGCGCAAGGGTTAACGCGGTCACCACAACTGCGGAGGAAGATCGAGCGGAGGAAGAATACGACAACATCTATTACGAACGATTCAGTGACGAGGAAGACATAGAAGATAACCCGGATTTTCCGAAGCCCTCTCAGCCATAAGGGAAGCATCGAGACTGAGGGGGGTAAGTGTTGTTAAGTCTTCTCGAGTTCTTTCAGAATCCGAATCCTGGCAGAAGAACTTGCTAAATCCGTATTCTAGTTCTCCGTCTTTGAACTCCTTATTTGTTAAAAAAAATTCGCCACCTTCCATCAATCGTAAAACTAGGCGGAAGCTCTCCAAGGAAATCAACAGTATTTCATTCCATACGCGAACGCAAAATAGTGAGATAGAAAGCACCACTATCGAACTTAAGAAACATTTGGCTAGACCACCCGGATGTTCCTTTTTAGGAGCACGAGCTACAGAAACCCCTGTCAGCCTTAGCGAGGCAGGAAATCAACCGATACCAATCATCGTGGATTCAGGATCAGATATCACTCTGATCTCCCAGAAGACACTCGACGAGATGGCAAAACCACCTAAGGTGAGGACTGGTCAACGCATTAGACTGGTGCAAGTAACCGGGAACGCAATTATCACCGGATACGTTACATTAGACGTCTACTTCCACACTAAGGATGGACCTGTCCTTATAAAAGTAGAAGCCTATGTCGTAAAGGGTATGTCAGCTCCGCTTATTCTCGGAAACGACTTTGCAGACCAGTATTCAATCTCGCTTCTCAGGGAGGAAGGAGAAAGCACTTTGATATTCGGAAAATCAGGGCGATCTACGAAAGTGCATAATTCTATCATGACAAGTCTACTCGACGAAGAAGGACATGCATTCAAGGTACTTGTCCGACCTGATATCACGTCCAGAGCACTCAAAGGGAAACTTCATAGAAGATCCCAGAAAATCAAGCGAAGGATAAACCAGAGAACAAAGGATAACTACGTGCGAATCGCGTCCTCCGTGCAAATAGCACCGGAATCTACGAAGTTAGTAAGGGTACAGGGCAACTTTTGTAAAAGCGTCGATCACTTACTTGTAGAAAAGAAATTAGTGACAACGGGTGGACCAGAGAGCATTTACGGATGCGCAAACACGCTGATAAACAGGAAGTCGTCCTTCGTGTACATCTCGAACTTCTCGAAGAAACAGGTTAATATTCCTATAGGACAAATATTGAGTCAGGGACACGACCCTTCGACATGGCTCGATAAGGAAGAACAATTTACCAAAAAGGAAATTAACGCTATCAGCGGTCACGCCAACCTTTTAAGGACAGTTATCAACTCGGAAGGAACCTCCATCGACAAGAACCCTTTCGTAAAAATGACCAGGAGCGAAGTTGATGCCTTACAGGACTCTTCGCGTCACGATTATAGCTCGGATGACGTTCTAGCGGAACCACCTTTGGAAGGAGGGCCTAAAACGGCCGAAATACCAGGGGATACGACATCGTCTGCCGAATTACTCAAGGAGATCGACATTTCGCCTGATCTGACCAAGGAACAAGCAGACGATCTAAAAGAAATTCTCAGAAGACATGAAGGAGCATTCGGATTGGAAGGAAAATTAGGACATTACGAAACAGAAGTCGATATCCCTCTTCTCCCTAATACTAAACCAATATCTATTCCACCGTATCAAGCCTTGCCAGCCAACCGGGAGGTAATCGACAAGCAAATGGACAAATGGATGGAGCTAGGAGTGATCAAGCCCTCCAGGAGTCCGTGGGGAGCCCCCGTATTCATCGCGTACCGAAACAGTAAACCTAGAATGGTCATCGACTTAAGAAGATTAAATGAAAAGGTAGTGGCTGACGAATTTCCACTTCCTCGGCAGGACGAAATTCTTCAATCACTTGAAGGAAGCCAATACCTTACTACGCTTGACGCGCTCGCTGGATTTACACAACTGAGCATCAGAAAGGAGGATCGAGAAAAGCTGGCCTTTCGAAGTCACAGGGGATTATTCCAGTTTAAAAGGATGCCGTTTGGGTATCGAAACGGGCCTGCCGTATTCCAAAGGGTAATGCAGGGGATTTTGGCGCCGTTCCTCTGGATTTTCGCACTTGTGTACATCGACGATATAGTAATATTCTCCAAGTCGTTTGAGGATCATCTAGTTCATATAGAATTAGTATTGAAGGCTATTGAGGAGGCGAAGATAACCTTGTCACCTGGAAAATGTCATTTCGGGTATCAATCCTTAATGTTACTTGGACAGAAAGTCTCCCGACTCGGGTTATCTACGCATAAGGAAAAAGTCGACGCTATTCTTCAGTTAGAAAATCCGAAAAACGTACATGACTTACAAATGTTCCTGGGGATGATGGTCTACTTTTCCTCATATATACCGTTCTACGCCTGGATCATTCACCCACTGTTTCAGCTGCTGAAGCGCGGTAGTAAGTGGAAATGGGATGAGGATGAACAAAACGCGTATGATGTATGCAAACAGGTATTAACTCAAGCGCCGGTGCGGGCACATCCAATGCCAGGACTACCGTATCGAATCTACTCAGACGCATGCGACTTCGCTCTTGCAGCAATTCTGCAGCAAGTTCAACCTATTAAGGTTAAAGATCTGCGTGGCACGAAAACTTATGAAGTATTGGAGCGCGCCTTCAAAGCCGGAGAACCGATACCCGATCTTGCAACTCATCTAGTCAAGGAGGATTCTGATGTGATGCCACAAGGCGCGTGGGACGTAGAGTTTGAAAATACGACGGTATATGTTGAGAGAGTGATCACATATTGGTCCAGGGTTTTACAATCCGCAGAAAGAAACTACTCCCCTACCGAAAGGGAAGCATTAGCACTGAAGGAAGGACTAATTAAGTTCCAACCATACCTCGAGGGAGAAAAGATTCTTGCGATAACCGATCATGCGGCGTTAACGTGGAGCAAGACCTTTCAAAACGTTAATCGGCGACTACTAACCTGGGGCCTAGTCTACTCAGCGTTTCCTAACACGAAGATCGTCCATCGAGCCGGAAGGGTTCATTCCAACGTCGATCCAATCTCCCGACTACGACGCCGCGTACCACCTCAGAGTAGTCCTTTGGATGTTCAATTCGATCCGTTGAAGCTAAAACCGGCAGAAGACCCGTTGCGAAGCATGTTTGACGAGCTTGGCCCCAAGTTCGAAGAAAAAATGTTGACAGTTGCGACCCACTTCGCCGAAAGCGAACTTCAGCTTGAAAGTAGTAACAAACGTCTTGACGTAACGATAGCCCTGGAAGGTGATAAGGAAATCGTAGTTCCGTATGAGACGTCTCAGTCGTATTCTACCACTGTTCAAATAGGTGAACAGGAAATTAAAAGGTGGAAAGACGCATACGCACGGGACTCGCATTTTAATCTAGTAAACCGAAGTAACGAGGCAAATGAAGGAGTAAACATCACATACCCTCAATATCACTTCTCCAGAGAAGGACTTGTTTACTTCCTGGATTCCACCGGGAACTCAAGACTTTGCGTACCAAAGGACCTTCGCGCCGAAATTATGCAGGAAGCTCATAATACTATTACCGAAGCGGCGCACGGAGGTTATTTTAAAACCTACAACAGGATTAGCGCTACTTACTATTGGCCCAGAATGTCGAGAGAAATTAAGATTTTCGTCAACACCTGTGACGTCTGTCAGAAAATAAAGCCCAGACGGCATGCTCCAGTTGGCTTACTTCAGTCCATTCCAGTCCCATCGCAACCTTTCGAAGTCATCAGCATGGATTTTATCCCTGAATTGCTGACTTCAAACGGATTTGACAATATACTAGTGATCGTTGACAAACTCACCAAATACGCCATTATAGTCCCCACTACAACAAAGGTAACAGAAGTAGAAACAGCTAGACTGTTCTTCAAGCACGTCATTTCTAGATTCGGAATTCCATGACAAATCATATCGGATCGAGATACCAGATGGCGCGGAGATTTCTGGAAGGAAATTTGCCGATTGATGGGCATGAAGCGGTCCCTGACGACATCATATCATCCACAGTCCGACGGACAAACGGAAATCATGAATCAGGGTTTGGAAATCTCGATCCGCGCATATATTGGCCCTGACCGAGATGACTGGAGTGAAATGCTCGACGCTTTGTTGCTCTCTTACAATTCGTCAATACATACTGCTACTGGATTCAGTCCAGCTTACCTCTTATGAGGGTTCCAACTGATTACCAGTGGTTGCATCGTAAGTCAGTCTCCAAGCGTCGACCGAACGGGAATTTCAAATTCAGGAAGCGATGATTGAGAGACGTCACACAACAAAGCGCTTGATCTAGTCGAAGGCTTTGTCGCAGAAAGGTCGAGAGCTAGGGACGCTCTCCTCCTGGGGCAAGTATTTCAAAAGAAATCCTACAACAAAGGAAGATTAAATTTGGAATTCAACGAAGGAGACAAGGTAGTGATAAATCGACAAAACCTTGGCTTGTTAAAGGAAGAGAAAGGAAGAGGAAATAAACTCTTAGCCAGGTACGAAGGACCCTTTGAAATTATGAAGAAGATCAGTGCTGTAGCATATTGTCTCCGCATGCCAGCATCTTATGGGATGCACCCAGTGTTAAACATCGCTCACCTGGAAAGGTATCAAGAATCACCTGACGAGTTTGGGGATCGTCCACAGCTCAAGACGAATAGGTCAGATTTCGACGCCCTACCAGAATATGAAGGGGAAAGGATAGTAGCTGAACGAACACGAAAAGGGAAGAATGGAAGAAAAATCCCGATCTACCGGTTAAGATATACAAATTACGGACCTGAGGGTGATACATGGGAGACTAGACAAAATCTCAAGAACGCACCTGATGTACTACTCGAATGGGAAAAAATCAAGGCGCTCCAAAAGAAGAACTCCCGGACAACGAGTTAGGCGTATGCGGATGCCTACTTAAGGAGGACGTGTTTTTTCGGTAAAGACTCAACATTCAGCCAATTCTCCCTCGATAAATCCTTTCTACCAAATTCCCTCAGCGTTCAATTCAGTTATCATGCAATCCCTTGAGCTCTATAACCCCAACTCCGCAAACTTGCATCTCACTTCGTCCGCAGCCACCCACTCCTTCTCCGAAAACCTTAATCCACTCAACTACCAGCTTACGTCCGACGACTTCATTACGCTCGTCCAGCCGGACGGTCAACTTTTGTATATGATCGATCCGTCAACTGCGACCTCATTGTTCTGGGCGCTACACCGTTTAGCAGCATACATCGTCCGGGCAGCATCACACGACCTTTACAGTGACCCTACCATTCCGTTCGCCTCCAGAGGCTATATTCCACAAATCTATTTCGATAGTATCAACATGCAACGTCCAGACATTCTTACCATACAAGAACATCATTCCATTAACCCTCTGTACGGCTACACTACTCGCGAAAACCTTACGGCTTGGTATCGCAACTTCCAGATGATGGGTCGGCTCGCCGTCCAATGGATCCAGGTGGCACGCCGACAAACACTTCAACTAGGAGAAACAGGATGGAACTGGGACGTACGGCGCAGTGCTCGCGTCGAGTACCCGGATCGCCGTCTCATTACGGGACACATTACGGAGAACGACAGCGATAACTCCTTTAGTGACACCACCTCTGAGGAGTTGGACGATGGTTTAGGTGGATGGAAAGATGGGGATACCTTCGCAGGAGGATTAGCAGGAGGAGACACTCGCCTAGTATTGCACCCAACCGAGTCCGCCTATGCTAAAAGGTACCCAAACTTCGACCCCTTTGCAGGACGACCCCTCATCGACAATGGGTACGTTGACAACTTCAACAATTGCTGCTGCGCGATGACCGATCACCCCACCGCAAGTTGTGCTCGCTTCGACCATATGAACACCCTTTTTGCGGCCTCTAGCGAGAACATGGAGGAGTGATAGGATCTCGAGGTCAGGGGGGGGGGTATGTTATGGTACATGTGCTCTCACTACAGTCTTATTCCCTCTCATCCTACAGTACTTACCTCCTACCTCTTTTCTTAACTCCTTACGGACTCCCATCAGTGTACTTAGTCTATTCTTGTGTTTACCAACTGTCTGTAAATAGCGCGTAGTATACCCGGATTCAACACGCTATCTCCACCTAACGCGTTGTGATCAGTCTCGACGCGTGTAATCAGTTGTGACGCGACGCGACTGCTTGGCAACGTTTGGATAAGAGCTGTTTGGTCAATCAAGGGGTAGCCAAACAAGGACATATCCAAACACGCCGAACAAGAACAAAGGCTCGATATATCTTGAACGTTCCAAGGTATTCTATAAAGATCTAGAAATACGAAAATAGGTACTTAAGCACACTTGTAAGATAGAAGAAATCAATCATCTTTTACCCCAAATATAACTGCGTGAACTAAGTTCTTGAGAAAGACTAAACACGACGCTACAGCAAGTATTTAGTAAAGCCGCGCGCTACTAACTACTTCAAGTCCGAAACGTTAACGTCTTTAGACTAACGTTTCTGATTGGCGCCGCTTAAGTCGACCACAAGAAACATAGGTCTCACAGGATCTAGAGCAAGCCCAAACACTTACACTCACACTTGACTATCAGCCTTCCATAAAGGTTTATTCTAACTTACAAGTCTACATAGTGAGTCTTCATTTTATAAAGCTAACTAACAAGTTGTTTGTATTCACAGGAATACACCAACGCCAGAGTCCGAGAACTCTAACAGTGGAGGCCCTGCACATAGAACACGGCCTGGCATTCAACAATCCATACACTGTCTTGCTCATCAGCACTATGTGCAAGATGAGCAATTCCATCCTACCTTGCATCAATTCCTACAACCAAGGACCGAGTATTTCGTGCATTTCTTAAAAAGCCTTCGCAAACAGCCAATTCAAGTAGCGACACCAAGCGTCGCACAGAGTCCAATTTCTGCAGAAGTAAGATAAAGATCATCTGAGGCAGAACTCCATACCTTCCAAACATTGTGGATCCCCATGGTGGGCAGAGACGACAGAATAGCAGTGTTGGGGCAGATGTCTCAGTATCTCCGCCATAGTATGAGAGACGACTTGGTGTTTGCATCAACAAAGAATTCAAACTCCGCACGACGCGTCAATTCACGGTCGCGTCGACCATACCCAAGTGTCATTGCACGTAGTATCTTTCAAAGAAAAAAAAGAATATTCATCATTGAGATTCTGTTGAGTGTTTCAATGGGTATGATGATTTTTTTAGCTCTGCCCAACGCTGAACTATTCGTCAACAGATGGTGTCCTGTTCTGCATTTAAGAAATAACCAGACTTATGTCGACGAATTTACCGGCGATCACCGGAGACCACCCTTATTCGGACAGGGCGCGCTTGTCCCGGGCGCTGCTGCCAAACAAAGGTGCGTGCCCTGTCTCCGTTTCACCCCTCCCCCTCTGTGTTTCCCCTGTCACCCCTTCGCTTTTCCAATGTCAGATTTGTGGGTCTTTTAAATTTCTTCCCATTGTTTTATTCCCCTCCCACCCCTCTTCCCCTTGTTGTAGTTCAGCTAAGAAGCAAAGGACATCATGTAATTAGACAGAGACACAGAGACACCATTCAAGTTTCACTCCCTCAGTGCGCAGAAATGAAACACTCGCTTTCGAGACAAACATTAATTAGTGAATAAACTACCTCTTCCCCCTGGCGTGAAATCATGGAACAGAAAAAACCATGGGCTTTACCCTAGGGCTGCGCACCGTCCGTCTGGACGGGAACGGCCGTCCACTGGACGGGTGGTGAACGGGTAAGTCTCGTCTGTCCCCCGTCCTGTCAATGTTTCCTTTGGGATCTCGACGAGGACGGAGACGGCCGTCGTACGGGTGACAGTTGTCAACAGCTGTGTATTAATGCGTGTAGTGATGAATACCTACAGCCTGTATCTAGTAAGGGTTAATGAAGTAGCAAGGATGACGGCTTCCAAGACGAAGGTCCTAAAACGCAAAACGGTACGACCATAACTCAGAGTCACATCTTGCTCACATCATCTGGAGGGCCTGTGCTGTCCAATAGAGTTGAAGGAGGGCAACTGAAGCACAAGGTGGGTGTTGCCAGGGTTAGATGACATGTATACATACCTCGGGGATGTCTTGTTCGGAGAGTGAAGACGGATGTCAGAGTCTAAGAACGTTATTCTTTTCAAATTCTTTTATTGGAAAGAAACGGGTTGAGAAGAAGAGGGCAGTCGCCTGTCCTGCAGCTGAACAAAACTCGTGAAGTGATCAGCGTAAATATAGATCAGGGATTCAAGTACAAGCCCCCGCATCCCGCCTTCAAGTTCAAGTACCAAAATATTTCGTGTGTCGCAATGGCTACGACCTGGAATACTTCCAGCGCCAATGTCGCCGCAATGGCCCACTTATTCTGTATGAAGACGTCGCAATTAAATGGGACCGTAAAATTTGTGTGCGTCTGAAGCGACGTACTAAGGGCTGACTTCGGTAGCAACATAGGCCCCGCTGGGTCATGGCAGAGTGGGCTGCTGAGGATGTAAATGAGGTTTAGTCGACGTTCGTTACCAAAAGAAAAGATGCGAAATTGTTACTCGCACTGGAGAAGAGACGGTAATACACACTCAACGAAAATTGGAACAGATTCTGTTCTCTACTCCTCATGTATCCTTATTCCACTCACTGGAAAGATCACATTTTGCAAAGACTCGAGTCTCGGATCCAAGGTGTTTGAGATGCATAGGCGCCAAATGTAGCCTGTAGTAATAGCAACGTGAGTACACGGTGAGTTTGCAAGAGGGAGGAGAAGCACTGACCGAACTTGCCCGTAACGCTTAGCAGAGTCTCCCAGGCAAAATTGCCGTCAACAGAAGGATTACACGTCTAACTCGATGGAAGGGAACGGAAAGCTACATCATTGACGTCGATGTTGGCATGGTAGAAAGTTTTCCCACAGCATCGCCATTCGTACCGTCCAGACGGCCGTCTAGGTGACGGGAATAGATGGGTGCTATCTGTCCCGTCCACCATCCCGTCCACCGTCCCGTCCACCGTCCCGTCCACCGTCCTGTCCACCGTCCCGTCCACCGTCCCATCCACCGTCCCGTCCACCATCCCGTCAGAATCTTATCCCAAGTCGAAACGGCGACGGGTAGAGCACCCGTCTAAACGTCCCGTCCAGCCGTCTTGGACAGGTACGGTGCGCAGCCCTACTTTACCCTACCTTGCCTGTGCACCTCAACCCTCTGAGCTCTTGTCAGCCTCTTGGGATACTTCTCAAGAACCGCACTCCTGTGGGGTTCCATATTTGCTTCGGCATCGTGCCTGGATTTTCGAGGTCTTTATCATGCCCCACTGATTCCTGCTGGATTCCGGTCATTCCTGTGGAATCCAGCGGAATCCGGAGGAATCAAATTTGGCAGAGACACCAGCCAAAAAGACATTCCGGGGGACAAATATTCCTCAGGAATGATGTCATTCCTGATTAGTAGCCGGAATGGTCCCCGGAATGGACAAAAAGGAATGCAACCGGAATGCAATGTCCGGAATATACATTACTAATCAATAATATTAATAAACATTAATATACCCATGCCCAAATCGAGTCTCGGCAAACGCCGAGGCTCGATTTCACATCATCAAACAATCCACAACGTTTGTTTCAAACCACCACCATCGTCGTCGACAACATCCGGGCACACCACGCCACCACCCTCGCCAACGGCCATCACCAGCCACAACCGTCGCCGTCACCGCCCACTGAGGACGACGATGGACGATGACGGATGACGAGGATAACGACACGTCAGCGGACGACGAGGACGGCCACACGTCAATGGACGACGACCACGTCAACGGACGACGAGGCGACGACTACACGTCAACGGACGACAACTATGTCAACGGAGGATGGCCACGTCAACCGACGGCCACGACCCACGACGTAGAGCACCCACCCCGTTGGCAAAGACGACGACGAGTGCATATGACGACACGACAACGACGCGACACAACGGCGACGCGACCCCACGACGACAATGCAACACGACGACAACGCGCGCCCACATCGTCGAGCGCCCACGTCGTCGACAACGCAACACGTTGACGACAACGCGACACGACGACAATGCGCGCCCATGTCGTCGAGCCTTCCTTCCCTCCCTTTTCCTCCCTTTCCTGTCCCCCCTTTCTCTCCCCCTTCCTTGTCCATCTCCCCTCCCTTTTCTCTCCCCCTTCCTTGTCCATCTCCCCTCCCTTTTCTCTTCCCCTTCCTTGTCCATCTCCCCTCCCTTTTCTCTCCCCCTTCCTTGTCCATCTCCCCTCCCCTTTCCCTCCCCCTTCACTTTCCCTCCCCCTTCCTTTTCCCTCCCCCCTTTGTCCCTCCCCCTCCCTTTTCCCTCCCCCTTCCCTGTCCCCTCCCCTGCCTTATCAATCCCCTATTCCTTGTCCCCCTTTCCTTTTCCCTTCCCCCCTCCCTCCCCATTTCCTGCTCCCCCCCTCCCCTTCCTTCTCCACCACTCTCTCTCCCTACCACTCCCTCCCCCCTCCATCACTCTCCCCCACTCCCTCCCCCCTCCCTTTAACACTCAATGTAGTAGAATAGATTTATGTAGTTCTATCAAATACACTGTGATTCTCCCTATTCAAGTCTAAATAGCATAAGGAATTCTTAGAAGTTATGAGCATAAGGTCTGAGTTGATTAAGTCATGTGACATCTAGCTAAGCTTGGAAAAATATGTGTTTTAGGCCATTCCTGTCCATTCCTGTCCATTCCAGTGGATTCCTGTGGATTCCTGTGGATTCCAGTGCCATTCCTGTCCATTCCTGTGGATTCCTGTGCCATTCCTGCGGATTCCAGTGGAATGGCTCCATTCCTGCAGGAATCAGTGGGGCATGACGAAGTACTGGGATTTTCACGCGGATAGCTTTCAAGAGCTGTGTAAAACCTGTTTCAGCATCTGGGTATTCACTTAGGAATCTGTCGACGCTCCGTCCCAATCTGATGCAATACTTATCACTCCTCCACCTATTCCTACCAGACTCCGGGAATCCAGTAGGATTCCTACTGGATTCCAACATTCTTTCCAAAAAAGCATTTTCACATTCCCCGAGGTCTTTACCATCCCCCACGTAATCCATATGGACTCCACTGGACTCCACTGGACTCCAGTGGAGTCCAGTGGATTCCAGTGGCCCTCTTACCAGGCCAGATTGGCTGGCAGAATGCCCAGTCCAGTCCAGTCCAGTCCAGTCCACTGGACTTCCACTGGACTGCCAGCCACTTTCCTGAGTCCAGTCCCAGTCCAGTGGACTATGAGTCCAGTCAGAGTCCAGTGGAGTCCAGTGGAGTCCAGTGGAGTCCAGTGGATTCCAGTCATTCCAGTATATTATTATTATTATATATGAATACTAGTATACTAAAAAAGCGAAAATAGAGTATACAATAAACTTACATTTTAATGATCAATGAAAGGAAAGGTGATAATTTACATGTAGTGTGGGTCAGTGATAGCTGCAATAAGGATTTATGATTTTGTTCAGTCTGCGGGGTGAGGTCACGTGACTTACTTGAGGGCGTGCCATATCGTCACGTCTCCTGTTTGCGGCATGGTCACACCTCCGTGACCATCCCATTCCCTTCCACCACCACCACCTCTATCACTGCCCACGCCAACGCCGCCCACGTCAACGCCGCCCACATCAACGCCGCCCACATCAACGCCGCCCACGCCAACGCCGCCCACGCCCATGCCCACGCCAACGTGGAAGGACAGGCCAAGAACGAGGGACGGCGCCCATGACGTGTCAACGTCATGGGCCAAGGGTATGTCTGCCCCACCACCCCAATGCCCCGTACTCACCACGACAGGCGCCAGCGGCACGCAACAACAAAAACAACACACGAGGAGGCCAACGACACACAAGAACGACGACACGAAGACAACAACACACGACGACGACGACACGCCAGGACGACGATATGCGAGGACGACGACGACGCGCGAGGACGACAACACACGACGACGACGACGACTACACGCCGGGACGACGACACACGACCACGACCACGAGCACGACACGCGACCGCGATGACGACGACACGCGACGACGATGACACACGACGACGACGACGACTACATGCTGGGACAACGACACGCAACGACGACGACTACACGCCGGGACAACGACACGCGACGACGACGACGACGAACGAGCACCGACGAAAACGCCGCCCCCACCACACCCGAAAAACGACGAGCGCCCGCCAGCGCTGAACGGCGACGAGGCCCCTCCACTCCCTCCCCCCTTCACTCTCTCCCCCTTTCCCCCCTCCCCCTTTCCTTGCTCCTCTCTCCCCCCCCTCCCTTTCCTTCCCCCTTCCTTGCTCCCTCCCCCTCCTATTCATTCCTCTCTTCCCCCTCCTATTCATTCCTCTCTTTCCCCTCCCTTTCCCTTTCCCCTCCCTTTCCCTTTCCCTTCCCCCTCCCTCCCCCCTCTGTAACATAGAATCTATGTAAATTTAATTAATTTAATTAATTTAATTAATTTAATTAATAAATATACTTCAATTTTATTTTTTGTTTTGAAGTCTAAGTCCAGGAATTCTGGATTAACTTAGGTCTGTGGCAGTCCAGTCCAGTCCAGTTTTGTGTTGGGAGAGTCCAGTGGAGTCCAGTCCAGTCCAGTTTTGTGATTTGCAGTCCAGTCCAGTCCAGTCCAGTCCAGTTTTGTGCTTGCAGTCCAGTGGAGTCCAGTGGAGTCCAGTTTTGTGCTGGGAGTCCAGTGGAGTCCAGTTTTGTGATTGGCAGTCCAGTCCAGTCCAGTCCAGTGGAATCCAGTGGAATCCAGTGGAATCCAGTGGAGTCCATGTGGATTATGTGGGGGATGGTAAAGTATTGGAATTCTGGATTAACTTAGGTCTGTGGCAGTCCAGTCCAGTCCAGTTTTGTGTTGGGAGAGTCCAGTGGAGTCCAGTCCAGTCCAGTTTTGTGATTTGCAGTCCAGTCCAGTCCAGTCCAGTCCAGTCCAGTTTTGTGCTTGCAGTCCAGTGGAGTCCAGTTTTGTGCTGGGAGTCCAGTGGAGTCCAGATTTGTGGATATTGCCAGTATGTAGTGAAGTCCAGTGGAATCCAGTGGAGTCCATGTGGATTATGTGGGGGATGGTAAAGTACTGGAACAGCGCCTGGATCAAAATCGAGATGCTGAAGGAATGGTTACAAGCACGTGACACCGTTGATCAGCCTACTCCCACCAGCATTGCCAGCAACAGTCGTCAGATTACAGTCAAACAGGAAGCACCCGATATCAACCTTAGACATGACGACTCCCCATCAAATGCTCCGGTCCGAGTATGAACGATCACCAAGAATGACTGTAGTGTCATTGAAATTTTGGATTCCGAAGAGGAGGCTGAGCTGGAACGGTACAAGGAAATGAAGCAGAAGGATTTGCTGACAGAGGAACGAAGGATGTCGTATGTCATTTGTTTTTGGCCATTTACATTTTATTTTGAGCCCTCTAGATTATCTTCAGTTGACTTCTCTGAATTTGAGCCGCACACACCGTCAACATCGCCCTTTGACTCAGACGATTTTATCTCAAGCGCTATCTCCACCACCATTTGGGAAGATTCCGATATAACCTCCTGGGTTCTCGAGCAGCTGTTCAATGTGACCAAGGAATTTCAAGTTGAGCGCGTTGAATATCTCCAAGAAATACCCTCCGTCTGGCCAATTCCTCAGTGTCCAATGGCTTTTATCCTTGATCTTAGTGCCCCAAAGTTCCAGTTATACGATAAGGATGGTGTTCTGCACACTGATCAAAAACAAGGTACGTCTCATCAGTTTTGTCATTTCCCATTGAACTCATAGTACACAGGATCAAGATTCAGGGGTTGCCTCCACTGGGACGAGCGACAGCCACTCCATGGTTACGTTCCAACCAAATTACCCTCCCGTAGACTGTCAACGCTCATGCCTCAAATGCCGAGGCTCTTACTCTTGTTCCCAAGCTGACCCCGAACTACTTCGTGCTGAGCGGTATGAACTAGATCCTGGGCCTCGAGCCAGAATTTTCGAGGCTCAGGAGCAGACCAGGATAGAAGAAGGGGGGACAAAGGAACTTAAGGCAGCCACATGAGTCAATATTGCGCTCTCTATTGCCACATTCATTGACATTCTCAAAGGTTTTTAAGCATTATTCAATGGAGATGTGGAGCGGTGGATGGTACAGGGAAGCAGTGCAATGGCCGACCAAAGATGCAACCTAAACCCAATGTCAGTTTGCTTCCTTTGAGTTGGAATTAAGCAATTCTAACATTCACTATACAGGGGCCATCGCAGGGCCACACCTGTTTCATCACCTGCAGTGGGTGGTTGAAGACGTTCAAGGAGAAACATCAAACCTTTCCCATTCCTGACGACATGGACGAGGATGTCCTTTCCCAACTTCTGAATGGCTCTGGTCTATCACAGAATTCGGACACTGTGTCTTGTAGTTGAGTAGTCCCGGGGCACATCAGTCAAAAGCTCAAGCAATGTCATAGGTCCTTGGATACTCTTTAAAACATCTTAGCTAACAATCATGTAGCTCACGTCCACATTGTTAATGGTAATGCAGTCCGCTCTCTGATTGTTAACCATGCCTGCCCCTCAAAACGAGGACTTTACACTCCCCCACATATTCCGGTTGGACTCCAGATGGACTCTGGCAGACTCCAGATGGATTACTGCTGTTCATCCAGTATTTTTTCTAATTTTTTCTTTGGTGGCAACCCAGCCAAATGTTAGTCTAGAATCCACCTGGACTCCAGCTGGACTCCAGGTCCACCATCTGGACTGCATGGACTCCACCTCATAACACAGTCAACCAGCCAGACTCCATATGGAGTCCAGCAAGAGTTTACAATTTCTATTTATTTATTATTGTTATTATTAGACAAGGAAAAAAGAATGCCATAGCCAGGAATTGAACAGTAGATCACTTGGGCAGCTTTGACTGCTGCAATAAACCACTACACCATGAAAGCTTTATTGGCTTCACAATTTTTACACATCATATACCCTCACTCCCGGCATGTTCCGAAAGCTAGCCAAACATCGCTGCCTCTGGCTTTCCTCAACAAGCCTCGGCAAACGCCGACACTGGATTTGGCGTTGTCAAACACCCACACCTTTTTTCTTCCTCACCCACCACCACCATCCGCGACCTAGCCCATCCGTCCACGCCACGTCACAACGGTCACCCGTCGCACCACCACCCACGACACTCGTTGACCGCCCACTACGACCGCGACAACACATCAACAACAATGTGGGATCGCCAAGTCACCAAGCAAATGAGCTGGGGCAAGGTCGAGGCGACAAAAACGGATGACGAGGGACAACAACATCATCCCTCATGGCCACGTCAACAGATGACCATGACCACGGACAACAACACCCACTACCATGTCAACCAAACAGCCATGTCACTAGACGCCCACGCCCATGGACGACGACATACCAGCAAAGATGAGAGGCCAAGGTGCCATGTCGCTGACAGCGACATGGCAACCAGACGACGAATGACAACGTTGTTCATCGTCGCAGAAAGGTGAGTGCCCCAGCCTCCTGCATCCCCAGCCACCCCGTTAACTACCACGACGACGACGGGCGCCCACGCCGTGAGTGCTGAACCCACCCTGTGTACGACAACCATGACACAATGACGACGATACGAAGATGACAAGTGCCCACGATGACCAGTGCCCACGCCGTCGAGCGCCCACGATGACAAAGTGCGCCCGGCTCCATCACCTATGCATGGCAACGAGCGCTCCACACTGTCTTGCTTCTCTGTACCTCCCCCCTCCATTCCTCTCTCCCTTCTCCCTTTCCCTTCCCCCTCCATTCCTCTCTCCCTTTCCCTCCCCCCTCCATTCCTCTCTCCCTTTCCCTCCTCCCTCCCTTCCTGATCACCACTCCCTCCCCCCTCTCTGTAATATAGAATGTATTAAAATTAACTTATTTAGTTACTAATATACTTCAATTTTCTTTCTATATAGTGATGTATACAATTATCAATACAATATCTGTTCACCTATGAATTTTGTATGGAATTTTGAGGTGGCAGAAGGTCTGACTTGTTAAAATTCCACAACATTCCTTGAGAGAGTCCAGACAGAGTCTATGCAGACTCCATCTGGACTCCAGCTTGATGATCCAAAAAATATACATTTGGTTCTATTTGAGGTAGACTCCACCTGGACTGAATGGAGTCCAGATGGAGTCCAGTGGAGTCCAGGTGGAGTCCAACCAGAGTGTGTGTGGGAGTGTAAAGTACACCTCAAAACAAAGAATATACATACCTGAAGATTCAAAAATGCAATTTGCATTGATTGTACATCCCAGGAACATCCCACACAACCATCCAATGCCTCCCATGGCCAAGGCTTCGATTGAGGTCAAGGTCGCATACCAAGAATGCATCGAGGCTGTAGGATCTGCAGGAGTTACAGTACAGAAGGTAGACAATGGTATGTTCTCGATTATCACATGGCAGCTGAATTTGCTTACACTGTTGACTTAAGCACCATCCACAAAGCTGCTCCTCAGGGGCAAAGAACCTGGACAGTACAATTCAGCCTTGAATGATAAACAAGTCAAGCAGGACATCTTACATGCCAACTGGATGAAGAAAAACCCTGCAGGAATGGGAATACCTGGTACGTTGCCCCTCACTCTTGTCTTTTGTCATCAGCTTACAGTCATCATAGGTGTCTTCAACTTGTTTCACCAAGAGTTCTTGAAACAACCTTCTGAACGGTACATTCACAACATTGTGACGACCGAAAAGGGGAAGACACTTATCTTTACTGGTGTTCCTTTCCTTATGTCCCTTATTCATGAGGTATCATCCTTCAAGTGTGATACCACCTTCAAGCACATCAAGGATTCTTCTGGCATAAATGAATGGGAAATGGTTATCTATTATCCCCAAGTTCAACAAGGTAAGATTAAGCTCAAGCTCCAAGTCAACATGGTGTATATCTAACCATGTTCTTAGCTGTTACTCTTGTCTGTGTATATACAAACTCAGCAGAAACAGATCATTACGAGTGCCTCTTCAATGACCTCCAAAAGCATATCCTCGCAGTCACCAGCAAAAAGATGTGCTTCAAGAGATTTTCCAAAGGTGGGAACCTTTCCTGTCTCAATGCTGACATGGAGGCGGTGCAGGTATTGGGAGCAGCCAAGTCATTTATGAAAACAAATGAGCCCAATTTCAGTGGTATTCTGGCTGACGTGACTCCGGAAGATTTCGCCACATATTTTGTTCACCTCTGTTTAACTCACATAAAAAAGTAGGTTCAACATATCTGTAAAAAAAAATTACGTTGAATCTTCGCTGTAGGGGCATTCTTGACTTCAAGAGTCTCGTCTCAGTCACTGATTATCAACAACTCATGGACTTTCCCTACCTTGCATCAATTGAAGAACTCGAGAATTTCACAGCGTTTGTTGCGGGTCTCAAAGTTAAGAAGATTCAAGGCTTGCTCTATTTACTTCTCATTGCTCGCATGTCCTGACAATGTCGTTTCAGATTGGTGGGCACACAAGTACATCAGCAAATGGATTGTCCCGTGCATTCTTCGCTCGCAATCGAACATTCTTCCTGAAGATTGGGAGAGCATCCCAGCAACAATGAACATTGGTGAGGGCCAACATCACTGGACAAATCAACAGAGTGGGATCAAGCTTCCCCTTGTGGAAGCCATACTCACATACATAAAAAATGCATCTCATTCAAAGCTCCTTCATTCAGTATGTCCTCAGTGCGTGATATCGATGAGCACCTTGCATGCCAAATTCAGGCAACTTTAGAAACTGGCATCAAGAGCGGTAGCCAGACTGATTTGGTGCACTGCATGACCCACAAAATTCAATGCCAAACTGCAACCACTCAGAAAGCCCATGAGTCAGGTGAAGCTCAAGATCTTGCACAAGCACTTGCCAGTGAAGTCGAAGCAGAGAAAGAAAATCGGCGGAAATCATTGGCTTGTGGGAAGGAACTACGTGCTCAACTCAAGGAACTCAAGACCGGCAGAGGAAAGAAGTCAAAGACACCAGCAAAAGCTCATATGCACGGAGTACCTTGCTCTCCACTCCCCAATGCCAGCTCAAGTGGCCGTGTTCGCACTGTGGTGAACCATCAACATTCAAGCACTTGCAATGTCAAATTCGAGGACGTAACTATGCAAAGTAAGTATCTACCCTTTCAACAACCACGTCTTATTTCATCTCAAATGAAACTCCTAGTGAATCTGAGCTCAGACCTCATGCCATGTCATTTTTTGGGAGGCATCGATACCATGAGTGATAACAAGGATTTCTGGACCAACCTCAACCCAACTGACCTTATGCTTGATGGTTATACATTGGGCTTTTTGGGCAACGATCCCACAACCGATCTCTCATTTGATGGTATGCTATACAACTTCCCTGTTACAGACTCTTTTTTCTCAAACTCATATGACACATGTGAACTCATACATATTCTTAAGACGTATCTAGACCATACTGGACAGTTCTAGATACGCATCCCAGGCCTTATTTCTTTTATGACTCATAGTTATTTAGATTGACTCATATGACTCTTATGGAGTCATACGACTCACTTAGACTCAATATGACTTGTATGACTCTACACAAGTCATAACGACTCATATCTCTGACTCGTACTCTGACTCATACCTTAGTATATAAGTAGGGTATTTTCGTTTGTATTCGATAGCTTGAACCTAGGCAATCTAAGCTTAGTTCTCTCTCATCAGACCCTTCAGAAACACGATCGCCCTCGAACTCTATAGTCTTACGACTTAGAGCCTCTTTTGAAACCTCGAACGAATAAGTCTTTAACGTCAAAGACTTAATCACCCCACGAACGTCATCAGTGTACGACTTAGAAACCGATACCGAATCTCTAACAGACCTTCGGGCTTAGAGTATTGCGGAACCCTATAGTGTCGTTATTAAGGGCATAACGAGTTGATAGCAAAGACTACGTCGTCTCATAAGGGAACGTAGCAAGACGAACGAACCGAAGAACTCGAAGCTTAACATAACTGCCCGTTACGCTTAACAACCGTAACATTCCCCGACACTCTCTTACCTCCTCCTCCTTCATCATCTCCACCTCCATCATCACCCCTGCCATCTTCTTCACCAATTCCATTATCACTGTCTTCTTCACCAATTCTGTTGTCGCTGGCCCCACTGGCTTCTTCATCAGTCAAGGCTGCTGCCGCCATAACCCCAGGTATGTTGACTGGCATGGCTGCACAGGGAAAGCATATGAAATGGGGGAGGAATGAGGTGGATGAGAAAGATATTCTGCCCCAAGGGACTCAACGCTCAAAAGTGAAAGTGCCCCCACGAGAGCCAATTTGCATCATGGCATGGAGATTGTAGGACTTAGACGTTGATGAATTGAATTAGCTATGAGCTACATACAGGGTACTAAATGTCTAAAGTGTGACACCCAATAGATCCTGTATATGACACATGGAAGTACAGAAGTGTGACACACCTTCGCAAAAGGCGACACATTGGGCTCACCTGTGTGTCACTCATTATTGCACTGTGTCATACACTGCCAATTGGCCCACAGGTTGATGGCAGGTTGCCAAATTTCCTGATGCGCATCAAGTCTGTCACCTGTGAGTTACCTGATTCACATGCTGTGCCCAGGCCCAGCTGGCCATCAGCTGGCCCATATATGGGCACCAGCTCCACTGTAAACATAGTGACCACCAAGTGACCACCTTACCACAAAATTAGCATATCTGCCAGATTTCATGTAAAGGCAAGGGCTATGTAAGAGACAGTCAATGTAGTGCTTTTTCACTTTGATATACCATTAGTTGCATGCAAATACAGCTTGTAATAACATTCACCAAAACGAAGTCCGTGCACAGTGAGCAAAAATTCATACAAGTCATTTCAAACTCAGACACATTCAAACTCAGACACACTGCATGTTCAAATACTTGCAACCCAAGCTCAACCTTCCTCGCTCTCGCCTTCCATCTCCACCACCATTCCTCTTGTCACCATTGTCAATAAGCACCACCATCTCCCACATCAATTGTTTGAATGCCCTCAACAACGACATGGCAATGCCACGTAACCAGCCCATCAGCGCACGATGTTTCAATGGGATGAAGACAACCTGGCACACCAGCGGACATGCCACATTGTCCAAATGGTAATGACGCAAATTGTCGTCACTGTCCCCATGAATTAAGGTGAGCAAGCTGACTCCTCTACCCCTTTCCTTTTTTCATGAGAAAGAAGGGCCATGTCGCCGTCACAACTTGCAACAGACAAATGATGACAACTGACAGTGAATGTTCAGGTGAGCAACACTACACCCCTCCCCCTTTGTTTTTCACTCAAGGAGCACAGACCATGTTGCCATCCAATATAGTGTTTAAAGGTTCAGTCCATAGGACCGCAAAAAACCGGTGGACCAAACTGAACCGGACCATGGTCCAGTCTTTTTTTCGGTTGCAGTTGCCCCAATTTGGGGTTGGTCCAGTTGCCAGTTGCCTCATTTCGAAAATATTTTAAAACCGCTCAAAGACCAGTTTTAATTGGTTGCAACTGGTTAAACAGTCACATGCATTACATAGCCTTGTAACCACGTTTATTATCTTTTATTGGGTTTTTGTTTCATCAAAACGGTTAAGAATTGAGAAAGATATAACCAAATCCATATTTTACCTGAGTCTCTAGGAGATGTAATTCGGTTTCAGTCATAGCTATGTCAAATCTTCATTAAATCTCTTAAAAATTGGTAGAATGATGGGTATTTACATGCTTTACTATGGTATATAACCCATTTATTTTTCACAGTAATAATGGTTGAGATATAAATGGTTTATATTCAAGGGGGTGTCGGGATTGAAAAAAAAGACCTAGGGTCAATTTTTTTGGTACTGAGACGTTGGGCTGAACCAACCACCCAATGTAATCAGGCACATGTCTACTTTAGGAAATATGATGTCACTGCCATGCAGCCTTCCCTCCTCATCCTCCTCTCAACGTTGAACATGCTTCGCAGACCCAATTCTTGGGCACCTGCTCAAGGTAAACACAAACAAGGTGATACTAGAATGGTTTGACACGAAGATGTGAGTAAGTTTCACGTTGAAATCGAAACAAAAAGTTGGTTTACTTACCCACACAGTTTCACATCCAACTCTCTTGCACTGGATCACGTTGTCAGCGGTCGGCTCTGCTCGGGATCCACACAAGCAATCATCCAATCCTCCGATGTCGACAACCTTACATTTTCGCCTTTCGCGCCAACCTAACATTATCTCGCTGGCAATCTCTGAGCTTGAGGTAGACAGCCCAGGAACCTCGTTGGTGTCAGAATGAGTCACGGCATGAACATCCTGTTCTGTGGAATCCCTCAGAACATCTCATACCGCTTCAGTAGGTTCCATTTTGGTGCCTGCTAGGTATTGGAACACAATCGATTGCACAAGGGAGGAATATCAATGCTCACTCTGACAATATCCAATATCATATGTTATCATTGTCTTATGTAAGGAGTCCTGTTGGTGTTTTTTGGCGCATCCTGAGGCATTTAGCCCACCATGAAGCTTTCTAGTATCTATGATGTATAATTTATGCACTAGGAAGCCTGTCTATGCTGTTTTTTGGCCAAAATTTTGGAGCTTCCAGTTTTTTTTTAACGGCCTGAGGGCCCAACCAACCGGCCCCCAGTCTGGGATTATGATCCCGACAGCCCCTTGTTTATATTGGTATAATAAATTATACACAAAAAAACTGGTCTGGATCAGTCTGAACCAGCTCCATAGACCGCAAAAGACCGGTCCTAGGTGGTTTGGTTCAGTTCCCTCAATATCTGGGTTGGTCCTAGACTGGTTGCAGTCCACGGTTGCGCGTTTTGGGGGCAAAAAACCGGACTGAACTGAACTTGCGAACACTAATCCAATAGCAGAAGATCTACAACAACGAACGACGTTGAGGTGAGCAACACGACACCCCTCCTCTCCTTTTTTCACACATAGCAACAAATCAACGACAATGCACGATGAATGCCAAACAACGTCCAGGTGAGCAACATCACATTACACCCCTCCCTTTTACCTTGTTCATGTAGATGTTCTAGGTATGTACCCAGTAACCCTCCATGATGACTTACTAACTCATACAACCCCTTATCAGAGATCAGCCCTCTTGACACCACCACGAACACTGTCAACTTCCATGCCACACCTTTCCTTCCATATGGGTAGTAGATAAAGTAGCTGTAGATAATACCTGTGTACACCATTGTCAAAATACAATTTATTCTCTTTTTTATGTTCTCAAATTGACATAAGGCAAGGTGCAAATGAGGATGAATAAGTGTTTATAGAAATGAGATGTAAACCCCGGTACCTCACACCCAGCCCAATATACCAGCATTCCCTGAATGACCACCTGTCCTCAACATCTCGCCTCCACCCCGAGGACAGGTATCCCTCAGCTGTCAACAGGTTGACGCGTCATGGAGGCTGGGTGTGATTACATCATTTGATCCAGGTTTCTGTGACCTGGCCCGGGTTTGGTGGTGTACTTCACCTCGGTGTGTCCTACTTCAGATTGTCCCCATCCGGGGTGTGTGTCGCATTTCGTTTACCCCGACTTTTTATGGCGTCTATGGCTGCGCTCAGTTTTGAATCTGGTCGCTACTGAGGGGGTCTCAGCCTAGCTTCCCTGCAAAATTCCGACACAACGCGCTAAATATGGGTCTTTGAAACCTTGGACCGAACCATTGTCTACCGCCGTGCAATGAACGTTTGAACTGCAATGATGTCAGTTTAGTTCATTCACACCTGTCGGACGTCAATGAAATTCCAATTCAGTATGTCTATCACTCTGACCGAGACTTGAGCTTATCGATATCTTTACCAATCTGGCACGACACCTAAGCTAGACGCTTGCTTGTTTTGTCGGCAGTCTCTTGACCTCTACACACGAAGGGTCACAGGCAAACCTGCAGCTGCTACCATGGCGTTCGCTCCCAGCATTCATGAAATCCTGCGGGGTCAAATATACCTAGGAAAGTAAGTCAGCCAGTGGTCCTGGTTGTCACGCAGCTGCTCACTGAGTATATCGCAGCTTGTCAGCCGCTCTCTCTGTCGACCGGAGAGAAAAAATGGGCATCACGCATGTTATTTCCGTATGCCCAGATTATCCGTCCACCGGGGAACGACATCTCAGTATCCCAGTGCACGATGCTGAGTATGAAGATCTTTTAATTCGTCTTCCAAAAACTTGTGAGTTCATCCAGGCGGCTTTGGATCAGGGTGGCAAGGTGCTCGTTCATTGTGTTATGGGGATTTCGAGAAGTACGACCGTTGTTGCAGCGTACCGTAAGTATCCAACGTCTTCATGTCATCGGCCACTCATTTCTGATTTTTGGTAGTGATGAAAACGAAGAGTTTAGATGCGAGTACAGCACTACGTTTCATAAAGCAGCGTGAGGGATTAATAGCACCCAATCCGAGTCTTGTGCCCACATATATCTTTGCAGGTCGACCTCAGGTCCATCCCAACTACGGCTTCATCAAACAACTCGACGTTTTCGCGAAATGCAACTACGACCCCAACCCCACTAACTCCGCTTACCGTTCTTGGCAACGCAGACGAGAGCAGGACGTCACTTGCTTCCTGAACCACATGGCTGACACAGTTTCCATCATCCCAGATAAACTGCTGTTGAGCAGGTACGGCAACTTGCTTCTGTACGCGCATAGCAATTGATTGGCTTTTCTTCACTTCCAGCGACTTCCCCTCTGACTCCAGGCAGGCGGTATCCTTGCTCTTGGATATGGGCGTTACGCACCTTCTCTCGCTTTCTCCAGCAGAGATCTCTTCGGCGGTCGTGAATCCAGTCGTGAAGCACCACCACTTGAATATATCGAATCAAGCACCAGAAGCTCTTCTCCTAGCGCTGCCGGATGCGTGTAAATTCGTTTCTGACGCAATCAAGGCGGACGGGCAGGTTCTCGTCCACTGTCTTATTGAATCTAGGGCGTGCACGGTTGTCTCTGCGTATTGTCAGTTGCCCCTCTCCTTGTCTTCATGTCGGATTCTGATGAAAAGATGCAGTAATGGCCTCGTCTAAATCCTCATCAGAAAATGTATTCGCTGTTCTTGAAGATGGTAAGTACTACATACACATCCTTTAGAACATCACTCATCATATCGATGGTTACAGCGCTCCCACTCTACAACCCGACTCGCTCGTTCTCCCACCACCTCGAGTTGTTTGAAGCGTGTGGATACAAACCCACTCGAAGTCATCCCCTGGTAAAAGCTTGGCTCGCTTCAGAGGACGGCTCGCACACAGGTTCACAGAGCCATGCAGAAGACCGGAAGAATGCCGCTAATGTTCTCAGCGAAACGGGACGTGATCTAAGTGCGTTCGGGGACGCGTTAGCTGCGATTCAGTTGAAGGCGGGGCTGGATGGTGGTGCATCGACGAGCACACCACCGATGAGGAACACAGTATGGGCTAATTAGCTAGACCTTTGATGAAGTATCTCTACGATTATATAATACTATGTACGACTTTCCAGCGCTCTTCAAGTTCGACTTCTTGCTGGGTGTCTGTATTATTTGTATCCCATGGTCTATGTAGTGCTTTTCAGTGTGTTATTCATTGAAACCCGAGGTTGCCGAATAGTAGCCGGACATTCACCAGTATCCCAGTAAGTTCAGTAAGTTTGGGAATTGGAAGTTACGGCGTGCATAACGGCGATCGCTTACGGCGGCACTTTCCGTGACGAAAAAACGTGACCCGCCGCACAACGCGTTGAAACGCCTGTATCGTGCGTGCATCAAATTACCGCCAATACTACCCGCCACCAACGCCCTCGACAAGCTCAAGGCGCACCCGGTGCTTCGACCCTTGTATACCCGCCTTGCGGCCTTAAACGAACTAGTGAACTTGTCAAGAACTTGTAGTGAACTCCCTAAAGTAAGCACGTGATGACGGCGGAAACTGCCGCCGTAAACGATCGCCGTAATTACGGCGCCGGAATTTCCAATGTACGAATGCCCTCCAGTATCCGCCCTCCTTTTAAACCTCTTTTCAATTACATTTCTCTTCCACACCTGCCTGTATGAGTTCAAACAACACACCAGGACCCATAAATCTCCTCAAATTCCACAGGCCAAAGCTCCGACTAAATGAAGCGCGGATACCACCTCTCAGCCAGCAGTCGAAACAGTGCGTCCCTTTACATTTTCGCGCTCCACACCTCATAATCCATATCCTACAGATGTCTACGCAATCTAGTCGCGTACAAACCTCAGAAATCACCCATGAGATACCCAAGATCGCGGTGTGCAGCCGTCCTGGTTGCATTGTTCGTCGGGCGTAAAGGGGATCTGTATGTTTTGCTCAGTCGGTAGGTGTGTTGTCTTGAATTTTTAGTTTGGACAAGGCTGATGGTGGTACTATGTAGGCGGTCTGCGACTTTGCGGACGTATGCTGGTGATACTTCGTTGCCAGGGGGCAAGGTGGATCCTGAGGATAAGTCGATTGAGGATACGGCGGTGGGTGTTCCCCTTCCTCCTTGTTTTTACCTTGGTATTGAATTTTTTTGATACAGCGGAGAGAAGCACACGAAGAGGTATGGAATCCGTTCTCGTTGACTTGTACTGAAGGCTTACACTCGACTGTAGATCGGACTACCGCCCGAAAGACGGAAAGCACCTCTTCTCTGCGTTCTTGAACCATTTCTAGCTTCGGAACTCATCGTCACGCCAGTAGTCGTCCTGATACTCGACAATACCCTCCGTGTAAGCTTAACCCCTCCTCATCACCATAACATCATCCTTACCCGCCCGTCTAGCCAATACTAAACACAGCAGAAGTCGCCAGCCTCTTTTCCCATCCGCTCTTCGCGTTCCTTACTACCAACCCTCCCTTTCCATCTGAGCCCGAGTCGCTCGAGGTGCCGTACCATACGTCATGGGACTACGATACTACGGGACCAAATGGGTCGAAGCAGGGGTTTCGTGTACACCAGTTCTTAACGGGACGGGAGGCTGGTGGAATCAAACCGGTGTTTGGATTAACTGCGTCAGTCCTTCTCCCTCTATTTTTCTGTGCCACACACAGACATAAGCTGACCTAGATATATTGATAAACAGAGCCATGCTGATACGTGTAGCTACTATCGGGTACGCGCGGGAGCCGGACTTTGAAGTCCACCCACCAGGGATGCCGTTCACTCAAGAAAGAATTGCATGGGCTTTGTTGAATAGAAAGGTTTTCCGCGATGCGTGTGAGAAGGAGGGTATTGATTTGTCGTATGCCAGGCGGCTGGTGGAGACGGCGGGGAAGGGGCGGCGGGATGGCACGGAGGCGGAGGAGCTGAAGAGGAGGAACAGGAGTAAGCTTTGAACTGGGAGGGGTTTATATGGATTGATTGGTATATCATGTCTGTGGTTTTTGATTCATGGGATAATAATACCACCTCACAAACAATCGGGGAAGTTTATGCCTTGGCGCTGCATTCAATCACCTCTATCCGGCATCTTCGACTCAGACGCGCGTATTGACGCGACATTAATCGGAGATCTGTTGCGGCCCGGCTTGCCCGTCGTACTCGCAAAAATCTCACAGAGTAAAACATAAATCTGCCAGTTCACAGGCCAGTTTCAATTTCTGGCTTCGAGAACTCGAGCGGCTTGGGGCTCAAATCCCGACTTTCGGCTGGTCGTCTGCTGAAGGTTTATGCTGCACGAAGGTGTCACTCGAGTACACCAAAAGTTGAAAAAAGGGGTTTTGGTAGGAGCCGCTAAAGTAAAGATCACACCTCTTGTGAGGGACATCAAGAACCGTCTATGCAAATTGGTTGTTACTGGGGCTTGTAATAACAAAGCAGACGGACCATCGTAAGACAATGCCTATAAATGATCTCGAAAGCATCGTAGTTTCCTGACTAGCCCGAAGAGTTTCAAAGTCGAAGCGCGCAAAGACCTTTTATGCAATTTTTCGTTCCGAAGTGCTTGATCCGTCGTCGTCTTGTGCTTCTCTTGATCGGACCCACAACCATTTCTCTTGAGATGCTCAAGTGGGCTATACCCATGCGAAGAAAGAGTAGCAGCCAAGCTTAGTAGTTGCGCCATAGGCACCTGGACTGAGCAGCTTCAACTTGAAGTGACCTTCTCCGAAACACGCGACCTGGAAGCCCTGTCCATAAAGATAATCCACGACTGAGCCCTGGAAAATCCCACCTATGCCGCCTCGTCCCTTATAGACGATGGCCGTATGTCGACATGACTTGCTGTAACCGATCTCGAAAGATACTGAGGCGGAGACCAACGAAGGAGTCACAAAGAACGTTACGCGTCGTGACTCGTCGTGATTATTGATTGACTGAATAAGACACCTGCTCTTACCCGCTCGCCATTCCATTTCGTATCCACATCTCCTCCAAACCTCGGCCTTTGACCCCCACAATCTACTGAATTAACCGTCAAACCCACCACTATCATGTTGATCAAAGTCAAGGTCTGTCGAAAGCTCTACATCATCGATATCACGCGTCGGTACTAACCGACTCACGGGTCGCACCACCAATAGACATTAACGGGGAAGGAGGTACTTGCTTTTTTCTCTCGGATCGTTTCCGATCGAGATGGGAACCGGACGTTGGGCGCTGAATCTGAACTTTTTTTGAACGTAGATTGAGCTGGACATTGACGCTGATGATAAGGTGCGCTTGTGCCACTTCAACTTTTGCTTTTGTAATTCTGTTGTGAGTGGGGACTGATGAATTGGATGATTTAGATTACAAGGATAAAGGAGAAGGTAGAGGAACAGTCGGGTGTACCGCCGCCGCAGCAACGGTTAATTTTCAGTGGGCGTCAGATGTGCGTTATGCGGATGTGTGCTTTGGTTGTATATGTTCTGACTTTTGGTTCGTTCATAGGCAGGACGACAAGACGGCTAAAGAGCTGAATATCGTCGCTGGATCAGTACTGCATCTTGTCCTTGCCCTCCGTGGTGGAAGATGATGGGTCATGGCGTTGCAGTCCTGATGTTGTCTAGATATATTATCGCGGTCCGATCCAAATGTTTTCCTCGCATTCAATCAAAGGTTTCCTTTTTCTAGTCGTGTTCCAAGTTGAAGAGACTCGCTTTTCTTTATTGTCTTGCTGATCTTGTAGGTTGTTACGATTGTTCGTTGTCAGACTAGCGAATCTTTGCCCAGGAGTTTATCTTCCATCCAATTCATTCCTCGTGGAGGCCTTTTGCATATCTGCGTTAGAGGTGAAGGTAAGGTCCATCCGGATTGTATGATCGTCTTTGACTTATCCAAGTTTCAGGTTTCAATTCGAGCGCCCATGCTTGGAAGGTCAAGCTATATCGGTCCTCCCCCGTTGAGGAGTTGCAGGATGCTGCGGCATTTTCAAGGGGGGCCCTGTGACAAACCTCCAAATTACACATATGGTCAGCGCATGATTTGCAGTGCGGCTGATGGACGACGTAAATCGACATGATCGCTGCATGGGATGCTCAAGGCTTAAATTAAAAATCTCATGCACTCGGAGTGTTGCTCCGTGTTGATCATGAATTCGACAGGGTAGCTTAACCTCCAGGCATGCATACGCATAAGAGAGGAAGCAAAAGCACATCTTCATTAACCCTACGGAGTAGCTTATCCCACAAATGACACTGACATAACACAAAAGCCCTGATCGAGTGCCTCACAAACATGCAAGCTTGCCTAAATCGACGGCCGACTACTCATCATCCACACATCCAAAAGGCTAACCTCCATCTCCCCTTCATCCCTCAAAACAACAAACGGGTACGTCAACCTCGCGCGTTCCACCGCCTGAAGCCACGTACAGCTCTTCAGCGCCAAACACCTCCTTGCGATCCTCTCCGTGACAGCTTTTCGGCGGGCTTCGCACCGGGCCCAGCAGTCGAGGTTGATTTGGGAGGTGAGCGGGTCGTTGGCTGCGAGCTCCATGTCGGAGGAGAGGGCTAGGTGGGTTAGGTTTGGGAGGCGGGAGAGGGGGGTGATGTGTGTGTCCTGTGGTTTGTTTCAATTAATCGTGATTTGTGTGAGGAAGTAGAAAGGAAAGGGAGATAGACGTACGTCCCACAAAACGGAGTGTCCCATTGGGGGATGACACCACTCTACCGCGAGTGTGGATAAGTTAGGGAACGTTTCGGCGATAATTTCTAGTACCCCGTCGTCTAGGGTTGAGATCGTATACTCGAATGAACGGAGCGTATCTCCGGCTGGCTTCAAAAGCCGCAGATCGAGCTCCATTCCGGGACGTTTCGGCCGGTGTTGGATTTCAAGGGCTACCAGCGTGGATAGGGACGGTTTGACAAGGGCGTACAATTGGGCTATGGAGCTTCCGGGATCGGAAGGGGCGTCACTGAAGCTCCAGGTTATGTATAGTTTTTTCAAGCCGCTTGGCCCTGAGAAGAGGGGTAGAGCGACGGGGGTGTGTTGGTCTGTGCGAAGGGTTAGTGAGGAGAGACGGGTTGGTTTTAGGGAGGAGAAGAAGGTGGGGAGGTCGGTTGGTGTGAGGACTGTTGTGGTGCTCAGACATTCGAGAGATTGGAGGTTGGGGAAGGAGGATAGGACTTTGAAGAGGAGGGTGCGGTCGTTGGTTGTGTGGAGTTGTGGGAGGTCGACGCTTGGGAATTGAAGGCGGACAGATCTGGAAGAGGATGAAATCATGTTCAGAGAATTGGTCATCGATCCTTCTCACCTCACAGCGGCCTTGAGATCTGTATTGACGTGGTATGTGTTGCGTGGCTTGAAGAACCATCCCCTCCCCGCGAAGCATATATCGTTGAATATGTACTGGAAAGCGACATCACGCGCGAATCGCGAGGTGAGAGAGAACTGGATTCGGTCCTGCGTTGTAAGGGGTTCCATAATTTTTGCAAGCAGCTCTGGAGGTAAACCATATAGCGGTGAGGGCGAACGAGACATGGTTGTACGTTCGTTTGTAGTAGGCAGAGCCTATTTATGTACTTTCCAACTCCTTGCACGTTCTATAATCTAAAATCCAAGGTTTTTATGTCGTTCAACGTCGTGGCTGGACCCACAAACTCGAAACGAAAACGTGATGTTCTTTCAACAGCCGCGAGTATTGATCTGTGCATGAGGAGATTCTATGATGGGTGGTTTCCAGATTAATTTTGAGAAAATGCGAAAGAACGAACCTCTTTATACTTCGAGGGAAGCTTTTCTGCCTAGGTGATGGAAGTTCGGGGTCAAGAGTTGCCACGAAATATATGTGCAGGGTCGGTCACCATGCTTCCGTCACGCCAGGATTGGCAGTAAGTGCAAGCCTGACCACACCTCTCCACCTCACCTCCATCGTCGGAGTCCACGAAATCAACCCCAACCCAACACGCTGAGGGTGCATTGGGCATAAGTTTGGTCTTGGGATGGCTTCGCAAGGTACCTCAAACGGTTTAGCCCCAGTAATACTCAATGGCCATGCCGATCACGACGAGAAACACGAAGAGGTCCCGCCAAGATTATCGAGTAGCCCTGCTCCGCTGACGGATGATGAGGCTGAGGAGGGTGTGGGAGAGCAGAGTGAGAGTGTCGCCACAGACGACGAGGAGGAAGATGAGGAAGACGATGAGGAGGAGGAAGATGAAGACGAGGAGCCGTCGTTGAAATACGAACGTATAGGCGGCTCTTTACCTGACCTTCTCAAGAAGGACTCTGGTTCTGCTATTACAGTGTGCAACAAACACCTGGTACACTCCTCGAACTCTGGTATAGTCCGTGTTCTGAACCCTTATACAGGCAATGGCTACACACGCAGGGATAATACACATCCTCGACCTCACAGGAAAGCGCATAAAGTCATACAAACCCCACCTTGCATCCGTAGTCGACATCTCATTCGACGAGACAGGCGATTTCGTCGCCACTGCGTCCATTGACGGTGAGTGAACGCCCAACACCTCCCTTTCGCGTTGCTCACCACCGTATCTTAGGACAGGTCGTAGTCCATTCTCTATCCACACCCGAGGCATACGCCTTTGATATGAAGAGGCCAATGCGAACCGTTGCAATGGAGCCAAACTTTGCGAGACGGAGCACACGAGCAGTGGTTTATGGGGGTTTGGCTGGGACGCTGGTGCTGCGAGAAAAGGGGTGGCTCGGGCATAAAGAAACGACTCTTCATACGGGCGAAGGGCCAATTTGGCAGGTTAGGTGGAGATCACGGTTGATTGCTTGGGCGAACGATCAGGCAAGTATTTTATCTGACTCCCTTTCTGTCCAACCAACCATTGATGCTCAATGTGCGTTTAGGGCGTCAAGATTTACGACACAGTATCACAGACACGAATAACATACATCGACCGACCACCTGATAGCCCCCGCGCAGATCTCTTCAAGTGCACACTCTACTGGCAAGACGACTCCACCCTCCTCATCGCATGGGCAGACCACATCAAAGTAGCCAGAATCCGCGCCAGACCACGGATAAACACCACTGCGGCCACTGCGAACCTCCCCCCATTCGTGATTGAAATCACAGCCGCGCTTCAAGTGGATTGTATGATCTCTGGCGTTGTACCTCATCCTACACCCATTCCCCCTGTATCAATATCACCTCTGGACGGATTCCCGAGTTCAACGACGGCCCCACAAACACTTACGTCTTTCCTCATAATCGCTTACAGCCCACCAGAAACTTTCGTTGACGAAATGACGGAAGATCGGGCGAGGCAAGCGCGGAAAGCAGCTGAACGACCCGAGCTGCGCATCATCTCTCGGGCGGGGGAAGAGCTCGCCGCTGATGCGTTGAGTATCGCGGACTATCAGCATTGGGGGTGTAATGACTATTCACTCGCTGTTGTTGGTGGCACGGACGAGTCGACTGAGGGTCGAAGCTACGTTATCCTTAGCCCGAAGGATTTGGTGATTGTGAAACCGAGGGATAAGATGGATCATGTCAAGTGGTTGGTGGAGAGGAGGAGGTATGAGGAGGCTTTGGAAGAGGTGGAGAAGATTGAGGCTGAGGCTGTTGGTGGTCCTGGTAAGGAAGCTCTGGATGGGTTGAGTGTTTTGGAGATTGGGAAGAAGTATATGGAGTATCTCGTTAACGAAGGTATGTCTATCCAAGTTTTTTGCTATTCCAGGCGACTAACTGAGCGGCATGTGTTTAGGCGATTTTCTGAAAGCTGCGAAGCTCACTCCGAAAGTGTGTGCTCATGATCCGAAGATTTGGGAGGGTTGGATATTCGTGTTTGCGGATAAGAGACAGTTACAGGTCAGTCCTTACTTCCAAGGGTCAGTGTAGCATTTGTTGAAGTTCACTTAGGCAATAATTCCGTTCGTACCGACCGAACATCCCAGACTTGATCATGTAGTTTACGAGATGATGCTTGCGCATTTCTTGACACATAATAGACAGGTGTGTTTTCCTTTCTGTAAAGGCGACTATATCATATACTGACCCGCCTGCAGATGCTCCTTCAGACAATCAAAGAGTGGCCATGGGAGATCTACGACATTCCAGCTGTCATAGTCGCTATCCGTGCAGAGCTCGACAAAAGCGCATCAACATCAACAAGTATCTCGTCTGCGCCCAGTGCAGTTGTATTGATGGAATGTCTTGCTGAATTGTACGTCCCTCTTCCACTGCCTTTATTACATTTCATGTCCCCCATAAAGGTACACGGCGAATCGTCAACCAGGCAAAGCACTCCCATTCTACCTCCGCCTCCGACGACCTAACGTCTTTGATCTTATCCGAGAACATAATCTATTCACGGACGTGCAAGACCAAGTCTTGCTTCTTGTCGAGTTTGACCATGAGCTTATGGAGAAGCGGAAGAAGGAGGGGCTGCCGAATGCTGATCATAGTGACGCGATCAAGTTGCTTGTTGATAATATCCATTCGATACCTGTGAGTTCATCAACTGAGGATGGGGAGAGAAGTGCTGATGATGGATTGTTTAGATCGCGAGGGTTGTTCAGCAACTTCAGAAGAGGCCTTATTATCTCTTTCTTTACCTTGATGCACTTGTGGAAAAGGACCCCCAGCTTGTCTCGGGTTTTGCTGATTTGCAGGTGAGAGGGCATCTGAGAATGGTGTGCTTGGGTTGAAGCTGATGATAACACTCCTTAGGTGCAAATGTACGCAGAGTTTGCTACGCCACGGCTGATTGACTTTTTGCGAGCAAGTAATTACTATAACCTGGAAACGGTGCGTCTTGTCTTTGTACCCACCTCTCTCATACTCAAGGATCTTCCTGTAGGCGTACAACGAGTGCAAAGGACGAGACCTTGTCCCAGAGATGGTCTTTCTTTTAGGTCGGATGGGAAACAACAAGAAGGCACTGACTCTTATCATTGAACGACTAGGAGACGTTCATCGGGTGCGTCTTCCCTTCCTTTTTTTCTTCAAAGGATTCCGGCATCTAACTCGGTCGCAGGCCATCGACTTTGCAAAAGAGCAGAGCGACGACGATCTATGGGAAGATCTACTAATGTACTCCGAAACACGACCAGGTTCGTCTGTTTGCCCTTCCCTGTCTTCCCCATCCCTCACTCTCACTCTTCACATCACGTAGCATTCATCCGCGGCCTCCTCGAAAACATCGGCGTCGAAATCAGCCCTATCCGGCTCATCCGCCGCATCAAGAACGGACTCGAGATTCCCGGGTTGAAAGAGGCCTTGATCAAGATCCTGCAGGATTTCCATCTTCAGATCTCTTTGCTGGAGGGATGTCAGACGATAATGGATGGGGATAGCTTGGATCTGTCGAGGGCGTTGCAGAGGAAACAGAGTAGTGGGTTCTTCCTCTCTGGTAAGCTTTTCGTGGCTCTGTGTTTGGTAAGGCTGAAGCTCAAGTTGCGTGCAGCAAAGACGCTATGTCCGATATGTTCCAAATCTCTACAAGATACACCTCAATCTTTAACACTCCTTTTCCTCTGCCGACACGTCGTCCATGCAACATGTGCGTATGGGGGCGATAAGATACCGCTTCTTTCAGACCCGATAGCAAGAGGCTTTGGGGGGTCGTCTTCGAGAGGGATAACGGGGAGTATAGCGTTGTACGTCTTCTATGTATACTTCAAATTCATTCGACTTGTTGCTAACTAAACCTGGGTATGAACAGTGAATCTATGATTCGTGGTCGGCTTAGCCAGGGTTGTCCGGTGTGTCATAAGAGTGGGGAGAGGGTTCGGGTGTGATGCCTCACTTTTCGTCATAGCTTACTATTTGCTTCGCACATGTATACTGTCCATATACCCCACCGAAAGCCGAGTTGTTGTAGGTCGAATATGATCATCAAGCCAGAGGGTTGACAACAGGAATCCTCGTCTCAATTCCAGCACCTTAGATAATTAACCAAGGGTCATTCGACATAAAGCACTGGCCGTGGCTTGAATGCCCGAGAGCCACCGGAATGTGAATAGGAATGTCAGGCTTAACTTTGGGCGGCTAGGAGATCAATGTGGGTGTACCTTTCACAAATGTCGAGACAGGTGAATTGAGGAGACACATCATGTCAATGGATTGTCGATCTCACTCACGACCAGAACGATGATTGAATGTATTGAGGTGATAAGAGCATCGAGGGTATATTGACCTTGAAATAAGTATAGTATGCACCTCAATCGCACGATCGACACCCACTTCGATCAAGTCAAAGTGAATCTTCGGTTGAAACTTGGCGCAATCTGAGATGGCATAACACATATCGATACGCCAATTCGCGACCTTCCAGCAGTTCAAGCCGTGGAGTCATCCTTGCGTCTGACGCGACCAATCCGGAGTCAAAGTCGGCGGCATACTTGTGGACGTCTCGGGTGATCACATTGGAAGAAATCAACCCTCCACAGTCTTCTTTTTCTTCTTCTTGGGCGTCTTCCCCTCGATAGACGGGTCAGCAGCAGCTTCGCGGTCACGTTTCGACCTCTTCATGCGAGCTCCGTCAATCACAACATTTTTGCTCGATCCTACGGAAGAGTCGAGTTCTTTTGGGTCGTCCACGCCGGATGGTTTCAAGAACGTGTCGGGGGGAACTGTGGCCTTCGTGGGAATAGGTTGTGGTTTTGTGGATGATGGCCCCCGAAGGTCAACACCAACGCCGCCCGTCTCAAAGATGGCCTGTTTCGCGGTTTTGCCGTTTTTCTGTTCCTTTAGTTGTTCAAAACCACGTAGCCGACCAGAACTTCCAGATGCGGATATAGAGATGGGCCGTGGATGGATTTTTCGCCCTTTCGTTGATGTTTCCGGAGCGGGAGGTGTTTGTGGGGTTGTGGTTGTTGGTTTGGACTCTGAAGACAATGACTAGCGTCCAAGACAACTTTGAGCCTCTACGCGATAGCTGAGAAAAAGTGCTCACCTCTTGGGTAATTTCTACTCCCTGACGTCCAAAAACTCTTCGACCTTTGAGTTTATCTGTAGCGTTTGACTCCTGTGATGATCCACCGAAAAGAAATGGGATATAAGAAGCCTCATGGATAGCCGAAACTCTGAGCTGAATAAGAATCAAATAAATTATACGATATGTGCGAACTCACGATGGTTCGGCGTTTGAAGATGAACCCCACACATCCTTTGCTGCCTGGCCGATCTCCCACTTTCCGTCGTCGTGTACTTCTGCTCTATCCAATTCCACTTCTTTCAGGTGTTTTGCCCGATTAGCATTTTGCATGAACCGGAGGCTGAGGGTACCGGTGCTCAGAGTTTTGCTGGTCATTGTTATCTGCAATTTTGTCTGGAATTATTTGAGTGTCGAGCGCATGTCGAGCGTTTACCCTCCCATTACGTAATGCTAACTGCAACCGCAGCTGCTCACCGACACTAGCCACATCGAGCATGATTGTCCAACAGTATACTTACATATGTAAACGGCAAGTTCTGCCCAAGTCCTGCCCAGTCGTCTCCCCGATCTCTTCGGTTTGGCCAAAAATCCCAACGGGCGTGTTTTCATTTGGTTTCCATCCTCACTCTCATGTCCAAAATTCAAATCATGTCGTCCTTCGCCGACTGCCCTCTGGACGTCATCGAATTGATTATCGAACTCCTCCAGGGTGATCTGGAGGCCCTCAAGGCATGCTCTCAGACCTGCGGAGCGCTTCTGCCCCTATGTCGCAAATACATCTTTCAATCTGTCCTCCTCATTTCTTCACACTCCATTGGTTACCGTGCCTATCGATCCCGGAGACTTAGCACCGTCACGGTGATCAGACCAAAAAATTGGCACCTTCTAGACACCAATCCGACCATTTCAGAGTACATCCACACGTTAACGTACTTTATCAGCACCGACGACTTTTCAAACGATGACGTTCCTTGTGTGCTGGAACGGCTTCACCACGTACGCTCTTTTGATGTGATTAGCAGGTATGAGAAGACAGATTGGAAACAAACACCCCCACGTCTCAGAGATGCGTTATTGCCTGTCGTGCAATCGCGCTTCATCACACGTTTAGTAATCTCCGTCAGCGGGTTCCCCATCACTGCTTTCCTTGCTTGCGTAAACCTCACGGACCTGTCCGTCTATTTCGTCGACTTTGATTATGCCGGTGTAGCTGAGCAGGAACCTTCCACCTTAATTTCTTCAGATTTGAACTTCGAAGTCGTCCCACGACTTCAGTTGTTTGCCTACGGGTTTATGGGCGAACGATATGCGATGAAGCTTCTCAATGCTAAATGTCCCAACGGCGGCCCAATGCTAGACTTTACCAACGTTCGAACGTTGAGTATCTATCCAGGGGAACAGTCGAACTTGGCCACAGCGCATGCATTAGTAAAGATAACGAACAACCTCGAAACTCTGCGGTACAATGGTAAGCTATCAAAAACAAAGGCTGATTTCTATATCTCACTCACCCTTGTTAGTGTACGACTTCATCACCACCAGATTTTCATGTATCGCCGCGTCGATCAGTAAGCCTTCCTTATCGACACTGAAACGACTGCACTTCGACTTTGAATCCGTTTCCCATTGCGATATCAGGGTCTTCTTGAATGGAATACGTGAGGAACTCGGTACCCTTTCAGGACTCCCAAACGTGATTGAAGAAATTGCCATAGAGGCTCGAATGACAAATTTCAGTCGGGCTGACTTCCGCAGTGCTTGGGAAACGTTGGACACCGTGCTTTCCAACGGGTTCCCAATGCTCCGCCGGGTCAAGTTTGATGTTCAGATGTCAGTAAAATCGGATGATGTGCCTCGTGTGACGGAGGAGCTGGACGAGATCCCGACGAGATATCTTCCGTGGTTGTCGAATACTACGAATTTCCTCTTCTCTTTTTTGACAAAGGTAATTGCGATTACACCAAATAATTTGCAGGTTGTATTTGAGCCTTTATAAATGGTACTTCACTCTGCGCGTCCTTGATGGTGTTGAAAGTATGGTCTGCTCAAAATGTTCTGCCCGGCCCTCTGCGGCACTTGCGTACGATTTTTGTCCCGTGCTATGATGTATTGTCAGAACATCCTCCGCCTTCCCGCGTGGTTTATAAAAATACCTGGAAGAGCACGATTGAAGACATCCACTGGAGTCTTAAAAAAAGGACAACTTTTGTGAGTTGACCGCAACCCAAAACGATGGAATTCAAGTTATATAAAAACATCAACGCTGGTGACACAGAGGGATGTGCCTCCCATCCAATAATCAATTAGAGTAGGATGCTTCCTGTTCAATTCAGGACCAGTGCTTGACCAGATGTGGATGAGTTGCAAATCTTTTAACAGTTGTGTTCTTTGGGAATTTTATAGTAAACACTGCAAAATGAATTGACTATTGATTCCTAGAGAAATTTGATCCAGTACTTGGAAGTGGTGATATGTACAAGAGAAATGTGATGCACCTTAGGTACAATTTTGATCATTAGAAACAAATCATTTGTTATAACTGATTTTTGGTTGAAAGGGGAAAATCAGCCTAATGTTTGTTGATTTACAACCAAAGCTGCCTTGATCATTGAGTTCTATACCTGAGTAGTCAGGAGCAAGATAAAGAATGTAACAAAGTCCTTCTTTCTTTGCTTCTTCTTTTGCTGGGGCAAAACTGATGACAGTGATATGGTCAACATCCAGCTTCTCACAGTCTCTGCCCTCAATATCTTCCTTGGCTGACAACAAACAGATGTGATGCTCAGCTGCAGTCACCAGGCATGAAGCTCTGTTCCACTTCCACCTCCACAACTTCAAGGTAGTCATATGTAGGCCTGAGTTAGGAAGTGAATGAAGACAAAAAACATGAAGTTACTATTGTCAAGTTAGTAAGTTGGTGACATACCAAGAGATCTAATGGTTGATGCTTAGTTGGTCCTAGTCTCAAGAGGCGTCAGATCCACCGATCGCGTACACAGCTCCCACGGTGGGTAGGTGGGGAGTACCCCCAAATTGGGAAGGGCATGTAAGCAGGTGATCAGCTGTGATCAGTCGTCGGAACTCGACATGAGATGTTTCGGCATGGTCGGCAGCTCAGTTTGTTTACCGCGAAAAACCTTCATTCTTCTCATCTACGTCACCTGTGTTATCTACAAACGCGTCCACGCCGACATATCCCTCTCAACATGGCAAGCTAATAATGCACATACTGGTGCATATAAATCGTCAAAAGTGTAAATTGGGGTTTGCTGGTGTGCGCATACCTTATGATATCTGTACCATCCCGCTACTTCGGTGTCTTCCGATCCCACCTGCACCCATTTATGCCTCAATTACACAATGTCAACAACTATTTGCTTTCAACAAGTTCTCTGTCGTATATAATGCAACCTGTCCTGTTTCGCGAAGTTGTACATTGCACAACATTTTCGCGCAGAACTTTGAATAAAGTTCATATATGCTAATAGACACTACTGTATTCTACAAATTTTCAGGCTTACATGATAAATAACCGTTCGACATAGGTGATCCACCGCGTAATGTAAGGCGTTGGCAAGTACAGCGGAGTTGATTCAGATTTGATGGGCGAAGCGTTTGCCATTGCCATGCCGCTTTCTGGAAATCATCGATCATGCTTTGTCATGGTTGAAGTTGGTGTCCAAGATCGGTGGATCTGACGCCTCTTGCCTAGTCTCGTTCCCATCCGTTGTGGTGGTCGGCCCGACGGACCGTCGGAGATTCAAAATACACTGCAGAAAGACCACCAGAACGTCTGGTGCATTTGGTGCAGCAAACCTACCATCGAGTCACAGGTGTGACTGCCATTCATAAGGGGCCGAACCAAAGCGCTCTGCAAATAGTGCTGCCAGCGCACGTCGCGTGGCCCCACTATTGTATTTTCTCTGCTTTTCTGCGGCAGCGCGCGCTTCTTGGAGCCGCTTTTGGGATGCGATTCGGGCCGCCTCATGTCGGGTGACGTCAGATCCTGACTCCGTAGGCATTTGGATGTGTGTAGCCTTGTGTGCGTAGTATGACAAAAAAAATTCTATTCATGTTACAGAATGTCACGCTGTGACTCGATGGGTGGTTTTGCCTACCAAATGCACCAGACGTTATAGAGTGTTCTTCGTCGTGTGTTTTCACACTCCGACGGTCCGTCGGGCCGTACACTCTATAGCGGATGGGGACGAGACTAAGTTGGTCCATCCTCTCATCTATGCTGAGCAATTTCATGTCGAGGGGTAGGGACTGTCATGGATACACCCGGGTATTAACCGTACCCGATCCACGGATTTTCCCACCCACAGATCAGATAAGGCACATTACAGATATATCCGTGGGTAAAACGGCCTGAGTGGCTGAGGACGTAGCTTCAGTTATATAAATGAGTGTATCTTGTTCATTTCTTGTCTGTTCTTTACAAAAAAAAATTGTGTTATGAAGCGAAAATTCAGAAGAATTCATATTAAAATAAAAGTCATTCATATATGATCTAGATTGAGTACAGTAAAACTAAAGTTATTTATATATCATAATCTGAGGTCTTTCCCTTTATATAATGCTGCTGTAACTGAGCCTTGATCACAGAGTGTGTTTTGGGGTGTGTATTAGCATGCCTTGGCCATCTTGAGAGTATTTATTTTCAGTTTCAGAGAAATGCCTTTGAGAACAATTGATATTTATGTAGAGGTATTGAAAGAACAATTTTGGTGACATAAAGTGTTACAAAAAGAAATCATTGTCCATCTTTTTTTCAATCATTTGCATAACTTTATTGAAGCCTGGGTAGAGGGGGGATTTAATCCAGGATCTGAGAGCCATTTCCGCTCTGAATGTTTGAGAGTTAATATTGTGTTGGGTGAAATTGATCTGACGGTGGCCAGTGGAAAATGCTCACTCTGCATCCACAGAAGTAGCTGCAACAATTGTTGAAAATAAAGGAACATAAGTGTGAATAATGGTGCTTACCTGGGGCTGAGCAGAAATCAGAACCCATTCGTGAGAGTTGTGGTCAGGACTGTGATGCATTGTGCCAGTACATCATATAACCTCCCATTTCCTTGATTGTTTCTGTTGCTACCCTGGGTTCATCAAGGTAAGCCTGAATGTGGTCCTTGACAAACTGATTTTCTTTTGGTGCATATTGTGATTGCTTTGGCTAAAAATTGAATTCAATAACAGGATTTCAAAGATATTTTTACCAATTACCTTGTTTTCCTCCCCTCTTAGCTCATTCTCCTCTTCACCTGCATATACACTGTCTCAGTAATCACATACTATACTTTTTATAGACTTGATTTGTTGGACATCATGACCATGGTCTTGAAACCATTTGACACTTGAGACGGCGACAAATATGTAGGGCTACATATGTAGAAACATATGCTCTCAAAACTGCAGGATACACTGTAATCTCTTTTGTTCTGATATATTTGCTCTCAATTTCTAAGTTTGGTGATGGAATTGTACATCCATCATATGCATAAAACAAACTTACAATAAAAAAAGGGATCAGATCCAAGAAATGAACAATTAAA